TAAAGTGAAGAATGATTTTTTTTATTGTCAGTACTTAAGTTGAACACAGAGTTGGAAACTGATTCAATATATACATTTATATATAACTTTATCGCAAGCATACCCATGCCAAAAAAAATTGAATGGGTTTTCCATAAACGGATATGTACCTTGTCAATCTTTTGGGTAACAAGACTAGTAAATTACATGTATTGTTTTAGTTTATTTCGGGAATGATATGAAGCTGAAGAAAATTCTTCAAGAATATCTAGAAAAGAAAAAAATCCTTTTAAAGACCTAACAAGAAAAGCACCCCTTCCTTTTCATCTCAGCAAACAAAGATGACCGTTAGAACAAGCAAGAGGTTAAAGGCGCTCAAAAGTCAAATGTGAAGGAAGTTGAAGTAATCGCGTAAGCAGGAAATTTTCAACATTCTCGAGGTGGTCATATGCAATTGTGTAGTCGAGAATTATAGGAAGGAAAAAATAGTTGAAAACAAAATCGCCGCTTTACTAAATTTTTTTTTAGAAATATGGAAAATTATACCATACAAATATTGAAAAATTTCAACATCATTTCTGAATTTGATTACGTGGAATCATAAATGATAGGGACTTCTGAACAACGCATGTTCTAAACACTCTCATACTCAATCGAACCTTGGGTGAGACAAATATTGAAAGTCTAACGAGGTTAGTTGTAAAAATACCTTGATATCTTTAACTATGCTAATATTTAAGAAGCTAAAAGGCACTTTTCGTTTGAGTATAACGCTGAAGCCCAAAGACTTTAGGGAGCTTAACGATGTTATGCCCACCCTATAAAGCTGAATGCTTGTTAAAAATTTTAGGACTCAGCAAGTCATATCCCAAAGACTAGCTAAGGACATTGTTTTCTTAGCATTTCATTTTGCATTGGCTGAAAATAACCAAAAGTAATCCTTGCGGTATAATTTACAGGTCATTTTTCTTGACTAGTCAGGAAACACTATAGGGTTCCCTTTCCGAGAAACTTTCGATTCCAGTGTCCTACGCCAAAGCCAAAAAGTATCGTGGATAGTGGTGGATGGGGGGGGAAGGCAACTAGGGGCAGTTGCCCCTCCCTCACCGAGTTCAAGTCTTCTTTTGAAAATGGTTTGGCACAATTATTGTAAGAATTTCCTTTAGAACATGAATAGAAAGCCTTCTGTCAGTGGTTAGGATCTGAAATTGTTATACATAGCGTACTCTCCTCGCCAATTTCTGAAAATTTTTCAGCGCTAGTGGCGGATTTAAGGGGAGGCAACTAGGGGCAGTTGCCCCTCCCTCGACGAGTTGAAGCAAGTCTGCGCCCCTTTTTTAGAAATTGTGCACCCCTTTTGAAGAATGAGAATCAGGTGAAAACGTTTCTGAGACCGATAGGTTAATTTGCTTCCAGGATTACCTAAAAGTTATGTTGTTTATTCTGAAAATGGATCTGAAATTGTTGTATACAGCGCACTCTCGTCACCAATTTTTGAAAAATTTTCAGCGCCCCCTCTACCAACTGCTCCTCCTTCAAATTTGCTCTGGATCCGCCCCTGTTCAGCGCCCCCATTGATTTGTTCTGGATCTACCCCTGATCGTAAAAAGGGATTGGCAAAAGGAATAAGTATTCCATACAAAGACAAAGGTGCGCCAGCAAACCCGTTTGCTGCTGGTTTTGGATAAAAAGCGAAAAACGTACTGCCAAGATAAGATTGTAAATACAGCAGTAGGCATTAAACATCCAGAATTAACAGAATCACGTAAAAATGGAAAAAAGCTTTCGCATACAAGGACTAGTCAATAGCGTAGTAAGAGGGAGGCAAGAAGCATAGGCACAGACTTAAGGGGCCTCGGCTCTAAACCATGGGAAGTAGAAGTGGGCTATCGAGATTTTAGACTAATTTTTAATATTCTTGGTTTAACGCTTAAAAATCGTCTCAAAAGATTTAATCAAGATCAATATTAACGACAATCAAAAATTACATGAAAATCACATTAGAACCCTCAGCTAAGCCTCTTTCTACCCTCTGCCGTCGGCAGCCTCCATTAGCAATTGCCATTAACTTTTGAGCCAAAAAATTGTGAAGATGTCTCCAGACAAGATGAATTTGGTTATTTTCTGCCCAAACCTTAAATTGTTCCCACCATGTTCAAAAAAATTTTTATTCCAATTATGTGTTAAAAATAGAAAGTGATATTTCTGAAATGACAAATGTCCCTTTTGGCTTGACGGTGTTCGGTAAGCTGTATGGACACCTTAAAAAATGACAGTTATCTTGTTTTGGTCTTCTGTAAATGTGTTTCCGCCTAGAAACTGAATTCGATTTTCTGTCATCTCCGAAAATTGGTGGTTTTTGACAAGGAAATCTTCATTATTGAACAATTTTGATGTGTTAATTCCAATGGATCTATGGAGGCCCTTTAAGATATCTATATACATAAAATAAATGGAACGAACTCACCGCTTGAGAATTTAATCAATAAACAAATCTTTCATTTCTCTAACTCAATTTCATTCCTCGATCCTTACGAACTCAACTATCACACCCCATAACAAAACTAAAATCAACTAAACTGTTTCCATGGATATCAGTTAATGTGCAGTGCAATTAGAAACAACAAAGAGTATTTAAAATGCGTTAAAACAATGGTAATTATGTGTGAACAATAAGAGGACGTGAAAATGCATATAAACATAATACTAATGAGAACAGTTCACCACAGAGCTCCCCCCCTAGAGAGCTAGTGCGATAAAGCGAACGATAAATGTCATAATTAAGGAAGTGTTAAAGGTGCAAAAGAGTAAACAGATATATTTAAGTTACGAATAAAAACGGTCTGGAAAATGAACATGACGTCCAGAGCGAGTTTTACGGATAGGTACATCGGACTCCTTTGGAGACGGAGGAATAACAGTTTCGTCACGACTCTTAACTGGAGGAGCAGATATATCAATGAAGGCTGGCTTTAACCTGTCCAAACATACCGTATCCTGTTTTCCATTGATGTCCAGTGTATAGTACTTTGGAAAACGACGAAGAATCCGGAACGGGCCACGGTAAGGAGGTTGAAGGGGAGCTTTGACACTGTCATCGCGAACGAACACATGAGTGCAGGACTGCAAATCAACAGGAATGTAGGAGCGATTTGTATGAGACCGGGTTGGCGTAGCTTGTAGCTTTGACATGTACCGACGTAAACGGTCAACGTAATTTTTCGGATCTAGAGAAGCCAAGGATGACGGAGCAAAAAATTGATGAGGGAGACGAAGTTGTGTTCCAAAAACGAGTTCAGCGGGGCTGCAGCTAAGGTCTGATTTAAAAGAGGAACGAATATTAAGCATTATCAATGGAAGGCAGTCAGTCCAATTAAGGCCGTTATCCGATGCTTTCAAGGAAGACTTCAATTGACGATGAAAGCGCTCCACAAGACCATTAGCAGAAGGGTGGTATGCAGTTGTATGGATGTGGTTGGTTTTTACCTGCGAAAGTTCTTCATCAAATTGTTGTGCATCAGCAAGTTGGGAGAAATCGATCGATGAATGGATAGAATTAATATCAAGGCGTGACAGGGCATCAGCAACAGGGTTTTTAATACCTTTAATGTGTCGAATATCTGTTGTGAATTGCGATATAAAGTCCAGATGTCGAATCTCCCTAGGCGAATGACGAGAAGATGCTGAAGAAATGGCATGTATTAGAGGCTTGTGATCCGTTAAAATGAAGAACTGACGACCTTCAAGAATATGACGGAAGTGGCGAATGGAAAGGTATACTGCAAGTAATTCTTTACCGAAAGTACTGTACTTTGTTTCCGATGGTTGTAATCGCTTTGAGAAAAAGGACAGAGGGTGCCAGGTACCATCTATGTATTGCTGAAGTACGGCACCAACCGCAATATTTGAAGCATCAGTCATCAGACTGTATGGAGCTCTAGGGACTGGATGGCGGAGTAAAGTTTTGGTTGCTAAAGTAGATTTGACAGCCGTAAATGCGGTACAGGCAGACTCTGAGAGGTGAAAAGGCTGTTTTGTGTGACGAGCATTTAGAAGATCAGTTAATGGCTGCATGAGTGTTGCACAGTTTGGTATAAAACGGCGGTAAAAGTTGACGAGGCCAAGAAATTCACGTAGCGAGCGTAATGATGTTGGAGGCGGAAAATCTTGAATAATTTGAACTTTGGAGGAGAGTGGGCTGATACCGTCAGCAGAAACATGATGACCCAGAAAATCCAATGAAGCAGATCCAAATTCACTTTTTGATGGATTTATGACAATGCCGTAGTCTTGGAAACGCTGAAAAATTATACGGAGATGATGTAAATGCTCCTCTGCGCTAGCACTTGCAATTAGAACATCATCGATATAGGCATAGACGAAATCAAGGCCCCGCAGGACCTCGTCAATAAAGCGCTGAAAAGTCTGTGCAGCGTTTCGAAGGCCGAAAGGCATACGCACGAATTCGAAAAGGCCAAAAGGTGTTGTTATGGCAGTTTTTGAAATGTCGGATGGTTCAACAGGAATTTGGTGATACGCTTTAACCAAGTCGATTTTTGAGAATATATTTTTACCATGCAAAGAAGAAGAGAAATCTTGTATGTGGGGTATTGGGTAGCGGTCTGGGATGGTTACGTTGTTCAATGCGCGATAATCTCCACAAGGTCTCCAGTCACCTGGGGTGGGTTTTGGAACCATGTGAAGTGCAGAAGACCAACTACTCTTTGAAGGACGAATGATGCCTAATTGAAGCATGTGATCAAATTCCGACTTGGCGATAGCAAAACGATCTGGAGCGAGTCTTCGTGGACGACAGAAAACAGGTGGACCCTCAGTGCGAATATGGTGCGTCACAGTGTGTTTGATGGCAGTTTCTTTGTTTGAAAGACGAACAATGTCTGGAAACTCTTTTAGAAGATCTTGATAAGGCGTAGCCAGAGTCGATATCGCAAAAATGGGACAAGGTGAAGTGGCTGGGGTTGTAAGGCCTTGAATGGTGAGGTTAGTGTTTGTGTCAAGAAGTTTGTGGTGATGAAGATCCACTTTTAGACCAAAATTGGCTAAAAAATCGGCACCAAGGATTGGACGAGGCACGTCAGCGAGAATGAATACCCATGGAAAAATACGGCGTAAACCAAGATCTAAAGTGACTGACTTTTGTCCATAAGTTGCAATAGGTGTATGATTGACAGCTTGAAGAGTGATCTTTGATGGAAATTTACGCTGTTGTGAAGAAGGTGGAAGGACACTAACTTCAGCACCTGTATCAACAAGAAAACGAGTACCAGTCTTTCGGTCAGTAACATAGAAAAGACGACTGTGAGCGGAGGAACCAGACGAAGAGGCCGCCTCTAATCGCTGGTGGGACCGTTTCCCAAAGACGATGAGCGAAAAGAACATGGTGACTGACATTTTCTTGCATTAACACCAAAACGCCAATGGTACCAACATTCAGAATTAGGGTGGCGAGATCGACTTGAACTGCGAGAGGGGCGACGAGAACCAGATGAAAAACTGGAGCGACGATAAGGAGAACGACCACGAGAGGAAACTTGAGATTGTAAAGCCTGTACAGCAATGGTTAGCTGAGAAATTTGCTCTTGTAAATCGCTTGTTGAAACTGAAGGTGTTGCTGTGGCAGAAAGGGGGGACAGCAAAGGTGACGATGAAGTAACGTCTAAAATCTTATCAGCAAGAGTGGCAAGTTGATCTAGGGAAATTGTATCAGCAGAGGAAACCAAGATGGGTTGAACATTAGTCGGTAAACGTTCGAGAAACAACTGACGAAGAATACGCTCCTCGAGCTCTGCATTGCCTAAAAGCTGTCGCATTTTGCGAAAAAGTTGGGTGGGTTTTCGATCACCGAGTTCCTCTGCTACTAGTAACTGATGAAGACGTTTTCGCTCCGAAACAGACGTACGCTTGATAAGCTCGGACTTGAGGTAGTCATATTGTTGAGAAGTTGGTGGATTAAGTAATATGTCGCGAATCTCTTGAGCAACTTCTGGCGGAAGCATGGAAATGACATGGTGATATTTTGTCGATTGAGATGTAATATTGCGTGTCTGAAACTGAGCCTCAACTTGTGCAAACCAAATAGAAGGATCGGAAGGCCAGAACGGAGGTAGCTTGAGACTAACAGAAGTGATGTTCGTAGTGGAAGTTGAAGGAGTTTCAGAGGAAGTTTCGGGAGTAGACATGATGTTGGTGTGTGAAGTAAACAATGGCGCAAGGATAAAATCAAACGTAAACAAATGCAATGAAGACGTCGTGGTTACCAATTATGGAGGCCCTTTAAGATATCTATATACATAAAATAAATGGAACGAACTCACCGCTTGAGAATTTAATCAATAAACAAATCTTTCATTTCTCTAACTCAATTTCATTCCTCGATCCTTACGAACTCAACTATCACACCCCATAACAAAACTAAAATCAACTAAACTGTTTCCATGGATATCAGTTAATGTGCAGTGCAATTAGAAACAACAAAGAGTATTTAAAATGCGTTAAAACAATGGTAATTATGTGTGAACAATAAGAGGACGTGAAAATGCATATAAACATAATACTAATGAGAACAGTTCACCACAGATCTTTCTTTTGTTAAAAAAGTTTGTTGGCCTATTGCACTAAACTGGGTGATAGGCTTATGTCTATGGCCTTCCTATCCCATTGAAAAGCCCCCGCCCCCAGTAACTGCCAAACTATGATGGAATTTTTTCATAACAAACATAAGACCTAAGTATGATTTTCTTCAGTAAAACTCAACAAAATCTTAACGTGTTATAACTGCTGCTGTCAATTCAGAGAAATTTCCAGCAAAACTTAATCAATATAAATCGGATTCTACAAGTTTGATTATAAAACCCTAAGTCTAAATGGAGTGTTACAAGAAACATTCTGAAATTCAACTAGAATTAGAGCAAGGTAGAGAGAGGAGTATTCTTGTAGACTAGTACGATGACCAGGGGATGAAAATTTCTTTCTATTGAAAAACAGCTACCGCAAAAGAATGCGACGCGGCTATGCTCAAAGAGTAATTCTTGCCAGCGGTTTACAGGGTTTTTGAAAATCAGATTCCTGGTTTATTTTCTTATTTTCGTAACAATCTTTCATGCTAAGCTGGAGAACAAGTCACCAACTTGAAGTCAAGAGCATCTTCCTTCACGCCTTGTTAACAAATAACCTTCAAACTTTTAAGTTTGAAAAGTTTACAAGTTTCCCTCCATCTTCAATTCTTCGTTAATGTTTTGTTTCTCCTTCTTTAGCCGCAGCCTCTAATCTAAAACTGTATCTTTGTTTGAAACAAAAGACAATTGTAATGCTGTTATAAATGTTTATAAATACATTCACCCTTTGAAATCTCTGTGAGATAAATCCAATCAAAATTCCATACTGGCCAATCATATTCGATGAATGCAATCACGTGCAAGTAACGCACGTAAAGGATAATTAATTGGAGTAAGGACAGGAAGAATTTAGATAAGTTTCTTCAAAAATTTGATTGCAACAGAAACTTTTAGTCACGTTGGCTCACCAGTTTAGATTTACAGCATCGTCTTACTTATCAAGTGGTTATTTGCTTTTCGTTCCAGATAAAGGGAGATCGACAAGCTCAATTAGAAACGGTTGAGTGCCAGCCGCAATTGCCAAGGCGAAGACACTTCAAGCCTGAGTGATCATCGATTCACCCAACTGACTTACGGACTGGAAAATCATGGCACATGCAGGTTAATTGACTTCTCGCTCCACTTACTACTCACAATAAGTTCGAGTTTGCTCAATATTTTAATAATAAATGAGTTGATTTACATTGCGCCTTCTGTCAATAACCAGGTGTAACTCAGAATTCAATCGAATTTATAGTTAGGCCAAATTAGCAACCAGCTACGCTCAGCCGTTTGTTGACTGTTTCTGCGCTTTCCAATTATCTGTTGGCAAATTAAATTGCACTTGCGTGGACTTTGAAAGCGGGAAATAGGGAACTGCTCCATCGCTGAAATGAAGCTTCTGCTTAGCAATTTTAGTGCTGCTAAGAAGATGAAAGGATGCTCGGAAAGCGGTTGTTGGTAGGTCGTCCATTTGTTGTTTGCAACATACGTTAGGCCGATAAAAAGGCGCGACTCAGCGGGTATCAATGAAAACACTGTAGTTTTATCTGTTATTCTAATGTTTTCAGAAAATTCAGAATTCACTAACAATTTTTTCTGTAATCTAATAAAAGTTAGATAGGCCAAATCATTCTAATTGTCATGGTTGCTTCGTAGAAGTGAAGAATTTTTTGAAACCCTTGAAATGTTTTCTAATTTTTTGAATTAATCCTTTCAGTCAAAGCTGTTTTCAGTATGGCAATAGATGGGATAGGAGACAGGGAATTTCTCCTCAGTTTGTTACCTTTCCAGGGACATAACGTGCATGCTGTGACAGGGGGAGGGGCATGATTAATTTCCTGATATAGCGAATATCGCGCATCTACCATACATGTCAGTATTCTGAGTATGGCCGTTTTTGACAAGATCTTGGATGTGCCTACAGCCCCACACTTCAGCTGCAGATGTGCAAAACTTACCTGAGAATCCCAGGTGCACCAGAACCATCAATTTTTCCAGATATAAATTGAATAACCACATTTCCAGATATATTGAGAAATTGAATATAGCTAGTTTTTAGGTGCACCCTCAATGGTGCCATGTCTCATCCTTGGTGCACTATGGTCATGCTCTGTGTACTGAATACTGTGGCTAGCAGGATGAAACATTCTAACTGAATTTTGTGGGTAAAGGCTAGGCTTTTTAAAATAAAGGCCATGCTATATTCCAGGTTTATGTTTGGGCTTAAAGCAGTGTTGATATTTATATTTATGCTCTTAGGTATTGAGAGAATTGTCCACTCCTCACTAAAGCTATTTTGTAGATAATGGGCTTCTGAAATTTATTTTAGATTCTCAGACACGTCTTCCTTCTCCTCTTACCTTTCTTTTTTTATCTTTGATGTTATGGATGTTTCACACTTTATTTTGATTGCATTTGAAAGTCAAATCAAAATCAGACCACTTTTTAATGAACACATATAATTGCTATGTCTCTGCTCCATGGAAACCAGTCAAGTCTTCAAAATATGGTATTATTACTCCATCTGTGAATGGTTTGAAGTCACTATTTTCAAAATCAATTATATGCAATCACTCACTGGAAGCAAAGAAGCAATAGAACCCCAATCAAACTGCTGGCTAATGTGCAGCTATCTTACAAATAGGGTATAATTTCTGAGTTCTAGATGCTATTCTGGCTGAGCACCATTAGGCTTTCAAACCTGAAATTTATTGTTCTATTTCACTTACCTTTAAGGTCCAAAACATTTATTTCCAAGTTCCAGTTCCAGAGTTGACTTTCTTTTCAATCTGAGTTAATTATCTGTTGTCCCAGGCAGAGTCTATGAAATTGATCATTTCATTTCAATTTAAATATTCTTAAGAAATTGAAAGGTCCAACAGAACCCAATTCAACAATTAATCAAGAAAAAAATTATCTGAAGGTGTACATTTTTTTTGTCTAACTTCAACAAATATTTTTTGTTTCTGCAAGTATTTAAAATATATTACCTGCTTTCCTTTAATATATTTGGTGTGTGTTAAATTTGTAATTTCATTTTTAGGTCATGGAGGAATCAACCAGCTTGGTGGATTATTTGTCAATGGGCGACCATTACCTGATCCAGTTAGAAGAAAAATAGTTGAGCTGGCACATCAAGGTGTTAGGCCATGTGACATATCTAGGCAACTTAGGGTTTCCCATGGATGCGTTAGTAAAATTTTAGGACGTTATTATGAGACAGGATCCATCAGGCCTGGTGTCATTGGAGGGAGTAAACCTAAAGTTGCAACTCCTCTAGTGGTCAACAAAATTGCAGATTACAAAATTGCAAACCCAACAATGTTTGCTTGGGAAATCAGAGACAGGCTGCTGGCAGATAATATTTGTTCCCAGGACAATGTTCCTAGTGTTAGTTCAATCAATAGAATTGTTAGAAACAAAATAAATTCTAGTAACATGTCACAGATGAGCCAAAATGAATTGGGACAGGAAATCAAAACAGAACACCAGCAAGCTGGTGTACCAGTTTTATTACCTGGTGGCTTTTCACAGTTTCCAGGAAGAGGAGGAGCTTACTCAATCAATGGTATTTTAGGGATTGCCATGGCCTCTCAGTCAGGCCATTCCATGGGAAGTGTATCAGAAAGTGGAGAAAGAAGAGAATTATCTAAGTCAGAACATCAAAATGGTTTTGCAGATGGTAAGCCCTACTCTTTTACAAAGAAGTAAATATTATTCCAGACAAGTAGCTTATTTTTGTAATTTTTGCTCAAGTGACAGACATAACCTTGGTCTCATTATAAATAACATATTTTTTCAGAGAAAAGGGGGGGCATGGGACATGATAATGAAAGTTACAAGTTATGATGCTACATTTTTGGAGATCAATCATACAGTATAATCTGGTTATAAGGTACTTTAAGGGACCAGCAGATTAAGTATGTTATCTCAGATGTAACTAAAAAACAACATTTCAACTTAATTTGTCTCAAAAGTCTGAAAAGCATTTCTGAATATCCAAATGTTGCCGACTCCAGCATCAATTTTGCTAAACATCTTAAATTTTTCGTCGGCACTAGACAAATCTGAAAACTTTAAAACTTATTGTGAAACCTGGATGGCCCTTGAATCAATCAAAGAAACAATAAAACGTTACCAAGCAAAAAACTTTACAAAAAATTGAAGATGTTGCGCAAAATTGATGCTGAAGTCAGCAACATTTGGATGATGGTCAGTGTCACTTATTCCTATGAGAGTTTGCAACTTGACAGTAATTCTGAATTAGTGATGCAACACAATGGACTTTTAACAAAAAAGACACACAAAGTATGTTGTATCTGATGGAATTTGTTTTAAAGATTTGAAGAAGAAGTATTCTATAACGAAAAGTACATTATAAATGAGTCTGTTATAAGGGGGGTATTTTCTTTATGGAGACCTTTTTCGGAAGTACATTTTAACGGAGTATGTTATAACAGGATTATAGCGTATAGTGAGTTATTCATGAAACATACTTAACTCACTCTTCAGGAGATTGTTGAACATATCCTGAAGGGTGAGTTATTCAGGAGACTGGCTTGTAGAGATAAAACATGTAGTTTTATTTTCTTCAACTTTTATATATATATATATGCTTTGTTACGCTCTACCTGCAAATGTATTGAGCACTGTGCTCCGGGAATATTAACAGAAAAATTTTTATATTTATACTTGTATTATATTAAATTTTTAGTGCAAATTGTAAATGTTGAGTCGATGGCTGCACAGCAAATCCAACTTGCGCAGCAGCAAAGTCAGCAACAACAGCAGCAACAACAGCAACAACAACAACAACAACAACAATCTCAACAACACCAGCAGTTGCAGCAGTCACAACAGCAGTCTGGTTTTGGACAGCACCAGTATCAAGTTTCCAATGTTCATATCACTCAAACTGGTCCCAGTACTAAAAGGCAGACTCGCAAGAACAGAGTGAATTTCACATCAGATCAGTTGGAAGTGCTTGAAAAGGCATTTGAAGAAACAGCTTACCCTGATGCCATCAAGCGAGAAGAATTGCCAAGTTAGCAGACTTGCCTGAAACAAGAGTGCAAGTGAGTGCAAGGGCTTCATATATATGCTCAATGTTTATGTACCTGCTAATATAACCTTCCAAGAACTTGGAAGGCTGGGAAGGATAACCATTGGTGATTGTTGTGAGAAACTTTTGTTGGCTTATTGTCATGATTGTATCCTCTTGTGAAAATCAGTCTTCTTATCACTTCGGAAATCATCAACAAATTTCTGGTTGGCAAATCATCTGCTTTGGAATGTATTAAAATGTTTTTATTACTTTGAAGAATTTCCGTTAAATTCAGGCCTGGCTGTTTGCCTCAGGGCCCTTCTGGATCGCTTGAGGAGGCAATTAATTGCCCCCCTCCCACCAATTTTCTCATCGAAATTTTAAGCTAAGTTTGACATAGAAATATCAAGCATCATATTGCAAGCATCAATGTTTTGTCAGAAATGTGATTTTTTCATGGTTTCCAGGCCCCTGTCTAATTGTATACAAATTTTTAAAAAATTTATTCGAAAATTTTTTCCATTTTAAAAGAATTCATCCACTTGTTAACTACATTTAAACACTGGAAGCAAATGCAAAATTGTCCCACCATGCACATGTTGGATCTGGCCTGACCCCTAGCAATAGCAGTCACATTTGGTTGTTTGATGAAACTAGAGAAAAAACCAGGCCTTTATGTCTTTACTAAGACTACCTCGCAGACAGAACAAAACATTATATCATTCAGCAGATCTCATAATTAAAACAGAACACAATATCACTAGGCAATTCAACTGTTGCCCATTTGGTTAATGTTCAAGGAGGAATGTTCATGTTGAAACCAAACCGTACAGACAGGCCTGTTAAATTAAATATTGTGTATATCTTGTTGTGTAAATATAAAAAATAATGTACTTATGTTTTGTTGTCTTGCTATTCAGGTTTGGTTTTCTAATCGAAGAGCAAAGATGAGAAAGCAAGAGAGCTCATCTAAAGATGATGAGAATATTTCCCATATGCGGTCAAAAACAGCCATTCATCAGCACACCAATTCTACTATAATTCCCCCAACCAGTCTTGCTTTCATGTCATCGTCATATGCGGTGCAAACTGGTATTGAATCAGAAAGTGCAGCTTATCCATCTCATGAACTTAAACCACATTTAACAGAACTAAGGCCAATAGCAGATTCAACACTGGGAAACATACAAAGTATCTTCATCCCATCTTCACAGCAGAATGGATATGAAATAATCTCAAACTCCTCTTTCTTGACACCAAGTCCTCAACCTAACCCAATTTTCACATCGGAATATCTCAAAGCACATCTCCAAAAATGAATGAAAGTGAAAGTGAAGATACTGTGGTGAATATTAAGACTGAGACGCCACCAAACACTCCTGCTACTGAATCTACTCACATGTCTTTTTCAAGTAAGTTGGGTTCAGCTACAATTAGTACCATAAGAACTAATTTGATTGGCACTTCTGATTGTAAGAGGTTGATTATTATTGACGAAGCTAAGGTTTTAGATGCTCTTAAAGCAAATAATATTGAACAGCTTTTGACAGTTTGATATCTGACTTCTCCCTAGCAATTAGATTTATTTAGAGCAATTAAATGTTTTTATACCAACATTTTTAGTGTGACATTGAAAAAGTTCAGGGCACAGTTTTGTTATGCAATGTTTTGTAATGAATACATTTATGTACACATTGCAAGTCATTGTCACTTGAAAATATTCTTATGATCTGTTTGAAAATGCATATATTCACTATAAATAAAGTTATGCTAACTTCTGTGTTTTCACAAGTTGTATTGCAATGAAGTTAGGTGGCAGTTAGTAGTTGGTACCTAACCTCAATCATTGTGGTTCTATTTTGATACAACATCCCTTGTTCCTCTTTTTAAGAGCAGCACTTGAAACTTTCATGTATGTCTGCTCATTGTACCTACAAGCTTAGCATAAAATGCTGAGACACTTGCAAAAAAAGAAGCTGCTTACAAATCACCCGCCCCCCTTCCCTACAAATCAATGTTGGGATGGGATTGGTATAAATGTGGTAATCCCCACTTATTCTGTAACCATCTTAACCAACATTGACTTTCGGGGGGAAGGGGGTTTAGATCACCAGCGCATATAATATGAAGATATAGCACACAAATTCCTTATTTGTTCAAATGTCTCAGCTATTTTTGGCCAGGATTGTAGCAAAGTTACTTCAGTTTTCAGTCAGAACTGTTTATAGTGTCAATCAATAGTTTTTTAACAATATTTTATAGGTTTCTGTAATGTTAACCAATTATGGTTTAGATGCATAAGTATATATCCACCCTTATTTTGAGTATATCCACTGTCCCTTTTTTGTGTTTTTCAATCATTAGTTTTATACATACTAGATTTTATTCTACAAGATGCATTTCAAATTTGAAATTTTATGAGTATTTAATGTAGGTCAAGGTATAAGGATAGTTTTATTGTGTTTATGTTTTAAATGTTTATGTAAATCTTTAAATGTTGGGTAATTAATACTACCAACACCCCTACGCCCCATTTAAGTCCCTTTCTAGGTTCCTTGCATTAAATAGGAAATTATATCATATAAGACAAATCTACAAATTGTAATGATTTTATGTTTATATATCTTCCCATTCCAAGTGGTGAAAGGATGAAAATAACTGATTGTAATTAGACCCACTATTGAATGTATTTCGTCAGAAATTCTTGGTTTTCTTTCATCCAGTGGTGTGGTTGTTCTTATGTAACAATGATATTTTGCCACGAGATTTAGATGTTTCCCAAATCTGAAATAATTTATTGGTTATATGGCTCTTTTCTTGCAAATAAACCCAGCCATTTTGCCCTTGTGATTGCTCTTTAGCTTTAAGTGGTATAGCATACAGGTAATGTAGAAGAAAAACAAAAGCTCAATTCAGAAGAAAATTCATATATTTTTTCAATACCGAAATGTATAATTTTTAACTTAAGCCACGAGCTAATCACTTTAGTTTAGGTGATAGAGGTCATGAAAGCGGTCTAGAATTTTGCATAGGTGTTAATGTCTTCCATCTTCGCACCTTGTTCTACCCTATATCATTAGTCGATAGTAGATGCATATAGTTTTTGTATCGTTTTGTATTTTATAACAGATTACTATATTTATAGATAGAAATAACTATATTTGTAATTATTGCCTTGTTTTCGTTTTCGTTTTCGAATTTCGTTTGATTGCATTGTTTTTTGACTCACTACTAGTATTGTCACCTAGGACGAGTGTCGTTCTAATTCCATATTCTCTGTGATTTTCAAAGAATTCTTTTTCTATGAAAGTCAATTTCTCTAACATAACATTTTTACCACTAATCGCTTTTATTACTAATCAGTTCCTGTGTTCTTTCCTTATAGCATCCCCTTCAATGATAGATTCACAGCCAGCTACACTGACCCAGTTGTCAAGCTCGTTTTCCTTACCCCCTGTCAGTACGCTGACCAAAAGCACTAGTGAAGCAGGAGATCCGACTAACTCTGATTATGACCAGCAATACTCCTCAGATTGGCTAAGGTACCCAACGCCAAATCTAATTGGTAGAACAGCCCAACTAACCGCTAACTGGTATGCTTTCACTAATTTCTTTGTCTTTTCTTTAATTCACTAATATTCACTAATACCTTCTTTCAGCTAAAAGGTTTTTAAAGAAAGCAGCGATGACGCCACATACCACCCAGAAAAGAGATTACGTCACATTACACAGATGTTTTTCTCCTGTGTGATTACACGAGAGCTAGTTTTTACAAATCAGAAAGAAAAGTTGTAGACACGTTTATTTTATGGAAAGGATAAAGACGAAATTACATGCGCATTTCGATTTAGGTAGATAAAATATGAAGCAAGGCCAATCTTTTGGACTTTATGCGTTAAGTTTTCAGGGGCCTGGAACCTAGAAATTCAGCTAGATCGAAAAAAATACCCTCATTGAAACCTGTGTGACAACTAAAATGTTTTTAACCTAGTTCGTTTCGTAGAGAACCTTTGTTGGTAAAGTTTAAGATCAAAGATGCCCTAAAAATCTCTAAACTTTGGTGTTATATGATTCGGCATTTTAGTGTGCTACTCTAAAATTCTATTCTGGAATTAGAAGTAACCCGCCTTTCTATGAACGAGCATACCTGTGACTCAACACTATGGTCTCAAAAGATCTTCTAGAAATGAGCACGAACATATAGTTGTTTGGCTTAGGTTTTGCTCTTTGAAGTGATTGTGGAAATAGCTTATTATAGGGTTGCCCTCAAAAACATTACTGAAAAGAATTTTGGTTTGCTATCTGATTGATCGCAGCAAGAATTTATCATTGGAATTCTTGCATTTGATTATTTTTGTTAACTCATTCTTAATCGATGATAGCCAATCGATTGTCTGAATAGATGACTACAGGCTGTTTTTACGATTGCGTACCGTTCCAGCTAGTTTCGTTCCATGCAGTGGATGTTTAGAAGCTGCTTGTACACAAGAGCGATTCAATTTCTGTCATTCCTTTGCGAAAATTAGAACTATTTTGTAAGTTATATGACAAAAGAACGGGACGCGATTGTTCCCGTCCGGTTCCCGCGTAAACGGGAGAAATATCCAAGAAAATGGAACAAGCACTATTTTCTGGGTTTATTGAATAGATTGTCTATGATTGATGATCAGGAATCCCGCGATTATGGACTTGCTTGCTGTAAATCTCTTCATCTGGTAAAACTGTTTTATTTCGCGCGGATAATATGAAACTGAACGAGTGCGTTCACGTGTGAACAGATAGGCTCAAACTAAACGCGAGAAAAATTTATACGAGATATTTTTCATGTCTATGTAGTTGTTTTATGATAATGGAAATTCCATGACCAGGGGCGGGGAGGCAGGAAGGGAAACACCATCTATCAATGCTCTGACCATTTACTCCAACTTTGCTGATGTTTTTCCTTGTTCTGGACTTGAGATCTATTTTGCCGTCTCAAATCTTATGTTCCTCATCTTGTTTTTGCTCTGCCGGCCAGATTCCATTGATTTATTTGCCATGCTGACTAGCAACTCATCTCTCTCTTATCTTAATCAGAACGCACTGTGTAATCAAAGAATTACATCTTTGTTTTTGCACACATTTTCTTTCGCTACTAATATGCCGTAATAAAGCTAATATGGGTGTGGTGAGCTCATCTCAAAGATCAGTGTTGAACGAATTGCCATTTAGATTTTCAAGTTTTACGCCGCTTTGTGGAACATTTGCAGGTACCGTAAACCCTCGAACTAGCCCCTTGGGGGGCTTATTCATTTTTAATATTTTTGGATGGGGGCTTGTACGGGGGGCTTATAAATTTATTATAGACGTTTAGCAGACACCAATAATAAAACTCTCATATTTTAGTAGGAATTTCCTTATGAACATTTAATTAACTGTTACCAAAAGTATGAATTTTTGTGGTAATTCAAAGAAACGCCAAAGACAACTTCAGATGGCAAAAATCAACAAATCGAAGGGGGCCAGTTCGAGGATTTACGATTGCAGTGGGGGCTTATTCGAGAGGGGTGGAGGTTATTGACAGTTGGTGGTTTTAGGGTGGGGGCTTATTCGAGGGGGGCTTTTTCAAAGGGGCCAATTTGAGGATTTACGGTATTGATGTTGTAAGAAAGAATGGGAGGTTGATGTCTGAACTCAGATTGTGTTTGCACTCAGGACCATGATAGCAGATCCATGCTACAGTCGTTTCTTTGGACCTATTTGCGACTGTGGCCTTGAAAAGGCTTTATTTCTTAGTTAAATTGCCGGGCCCTACCTTCTGGGCCTCAAAAGAACAGTTTTCACTCAAAGGGCGAAGAGAATAGGCTCTCTGGGAAAATAAGTAAACGATATAAATTATTTCTCGGGTTTTAATCTTGGATATCCTATCTACATGTATATTTTTTAAAAAGGTGGACAAACTTACTGTTGATCATTTTCTCCTGCATATACAATTAGATTCTTATCTCCTCATCTTGTTGGCAAACTTGCACCTGTTGCTCCTCTGGCGTCATGCATTCCAATTATTTGCTATTGATCTGCTTTGTTACTTTTTAGCAAGATAACAATTCCTTTTCCGTTTTTCATTTCAAGTGTGTTACTGATAAACAGTGTCGTTCTCTCTTTCATATCGTTGCCACATCCATGTAGCTGTCTTTTTCAGAATGAGGTCTCTTCCTTAAGGCATTCTCTTTCATATCGTTGTCTCTTTCATGTCGTTGTCTTATTCAAATCTTTGCCCTTTCAGGTCGTCATCTCTTCAATGTCGTCGCATCTTTCATATCGTTGCCTCATCCATGTAGCTGTCTTTTTCAGAATGATGTCTCTTCCTTATGGCATTCTCTTTCATATCGTTGTCTCTTTCAGGTCGTCATCTCTTCAATGCCGTCGCGTCTTTCATATCGTTGTCTCTTTCATGTCGTTGTCTCTTTCATGTCGTTGTCTTATTCAAATCTTTGCCCTTTCAGGTCGTCATCTCTTCAATGCCGTCGCGTCTTTCATATCATTGTCTCTCTCAGAATGTGGTCTCTTACATATTGCATTTTTTTCATATCGTTGTCTCTTTCATTTTGTCTTCTTTTTCATATCGTTGTCTCATCCATGCAGTTGTCTCGTTAAGATTGTTATCTCTTCCATGTGGACATCCTTTCCGTGTCGTGGTCTCTTTCGTATTGTTGTTCCTTTAAGGTCGACGTCTAGTCCAAATAAAGAATATGGATGCCGAGAAAACTACTTTGCCATCTTTTTTGGCAAAAAGCAACATTTATAGCTTTTTTAATGCTACATATGCATATGATAATCATACCTCATTTGCTTTTCTAGGGCACCAAAAACTAGTGGGGCTATCCTGGTTGAGCAGACAAAATAGTTGGTCTTCACAAATATCAATTGGCTGAGATTTTGCCGTCAGTATGAATTACAAGGAAGCTTCTACAAAGCCCGGTGTACTCGGTGAGCAGTAGCGTAGCCAGGGTGGAAAGATTGGGGGGGAGTGCAAAGGCGAGTTCAGCAAGGGAAAATTGGGGGTCCACGCCTTTTTGAACGCCAGAAAACGCAAAAGACTTTTTGCCATTTTGGGGGCGTCTCTTGCCTCCCCCTCGCTACGCCACTGTCGGTGAGGCTTACTGCGTGTAACTCCCGTCCTGCAAATTTACAGATTCATGCTCATGATATTGTCTCATTGGTTGTGAAGAAAGCTAGTATGCTTAAGATTCTTGTACAATCTATAGTCCAGTGACATCTGGGTGCCAGATATAGATTTCCTGCAGTACCCTGCCAACTTTCTATACTCGTAAGAAGGAGGCGTTCGGTGGATTCCGCTTACCTCCGATTCACTAGCAATTTTCTACCACTATTATAACGAGTTAGTCTGTCTCCCATAGCACTCACCTTCTGTACCCCGTTTTTTATCCCCCTAGTCAATCTTGCCAAAAGACCCTAATTTCATATCCATAATTTTTGTGTTGACCCATAATAGTGGGCTACACTTTTAAGCTTTGCTATTGTAAGGTTGGGGATTTTGCAATTCTTCATGACCTGTTTTCCCCTTGTTTGCTTCAAGTACCGAGTCTCTTGCTGCCCATAGTTAGGCCTAAGAGGCGAATGCCCAAATGAGGCGAGGACCCATTGGAGGCGAGGACCCAAAAGAGGCGAGGGCCTAAAAAAGCTTCGGTGTCCAAATTAAATTTTTCAATGGTCTTTTAAATAATAATTATTAGTTTGAAGTCGAATCCTGGTGAATTTAGGGTTCCAAAAAGAAGCCAGCTCGAAAGCTCATCCGCTTTCCTTATTTTGTATATACGAGAACATTTTTATTTAATTTTTTGTTTCTCTATTTAGGGTTACAACCGTAAAATCCTTTGTATTTTAGCTCTAAGCTTTGTCGTTTTATAATACTGAACAATTTGCTCGTTTGTACGAGTCCTATTTTATGGAAATAATTTGTTATTTTGTACATTTAGCTGAATTGTAAAGGTTCCGATTTATGAACCAGGGTCCAAATTTAATACTTTCTCGACAATACTTTTGGATTTATTTAATAGTGTTTTAATTGGTATTTCATGCCTGTATCTAAGTAAGAAATACTCGTGCTTTATCGAGTTTTTGTGTTTAATAGAAAGACGATTTGATATCCGGTAATATGTTTACCTTCTAGGATTAATATAAAATTCCTTTGACCAGAAACAACGATTCTTGCAAAACCAGTCCTGAGACATATTCCACAGATTTTAGAAGGAAGCAATTTTTGTGCTTATTTTCTATTCCTCGTCTGAATATTTATTTTTTTATTTTCATTACCCGTGCTTTATACATTATGATTGCTGTAAAATACAATTACTTTAATGGTCAAAAATTTCAAATCGTCTCTCGAATGTTGCATTTTGTTTACATATTCGTTTTTTTAATTGTTTAATTAGACTTTTTTCCTTTCCATATAGCTAGATGATGTATAAATTTGTTTCCCAGAGCGCCTGGACTTCAATAGCTGCAGCCTTTGTGACAAAGAGGGCACTTCGCAAATTCAGTTTGATGATAGCTTTCCATAAGTCTACTGATTTTCAGTTTAGGCCTTTGTCCCCACAGAATAGAGGTTAATGCCAAACTTGCTTTTACATTTAAAACAGATCAGGAAGTCATCATCACAATCATAATGGCCTTCTTCATCGACATATCATTCCCCAATGCCAACAAATCATTTCTCTACAATTATATTATTTCCTACTTATTTGTGTTTCATCCCAACAGGCTCACTATTTTAAACATTTCTGTCTAGTTTCAAATTCTTAGTTGCATTTTCAGTAAATTTCTAGTTGAAGAATCCTGATAAAATAGGTTTTTATTCTTGACTTGGCTTTTCAAAGAACACAAAAAGGCCCTGAACCATTTTGCCACAATGTTCGTTTCGAATACTGCTTTTCACGTGTTTTTATATGTACTTTTTTGGAATTCCTATTTAAGTAGCAAATATTTGTAATGAATTTTTCAGTGCTTATTTAATCACATTGAATGCCTTGTTTATATTTAATATCATTTAACGCAGTTTTTCATGACTTTTCTGGACGGTTTTGTAGTTACCATCAATTTTTTCCTATGCATTTTTAATTCCGTAGAATTTTTTCTCAAATGCTATTTACTAATGAAATTGTGTTGTATAATAACACATTGTGATAAAATCAACTCGTTTTTTGTTTGTTCCTTGCGCTGAAGCCTCGAGAGTCTATTGAGCTGATTTTGGAGTGGATTCGTATTTGTATTAATGTTGTGGAATTCGAATTTTTTCGAAGATTACACGTTTTTCTATAAGAAAGTTGTGCTCGGTTCTTCAAAAAGTTAAGAAAGTTCATGGCTGGATTTTTGAAACCTAAGAAAGTTGAAAAATTTAGATATTCAAAGTTTCAAAGGAAATTGTGGTGTAAGAGTGAAATATTTCAACAATACAGTAATGTGCTGAACAGGAATGATTAGAAGATTGGTGTTACTTTGAATAGAAGTCTGTACTTTATTCAAAACTGTGTTTTATGAAGCATCTTGAAATAATCCCAGTTGCAATTTCCTAGTAGGTATTTTAGAGGTCAACTAGAATTTTAGAGACGGTTTCCAGTTTCAACTATTTTTTATACAATGTCTTGAATCGTCTATCAACAAATAACATCCTGGAGCTATTATTACCGAGAGGGGGGGCTGGGGGGGCTTTAGCCTCCACTTTTTGCAAAAAATGTCAAATATTATGTAAGTAACTACCAGTAAAGCCTCTTCATATGGTGTTAGCCCCCCTTTTTTAGACCCCTTCTTTTCTCAACGCGCCGCGGTGACTGGACACCAGTTGCCAACCAATGGGTAAAGAATACATTTGCACCAACCATAGACAAAAAGCAAGAAAATGTTATTTTTGTTGACAATCTGGCCTGCACATGTTCCTTTGTCTACAATGTGATCGATTATTCTGGATGCATTGCGTCATTTTGAATTTCGCCCGGTTTATTTCTTCTTTCGCGAAGTGGTTCGATTGAAGTAAAACCGCTGGCCACCATTGTTAGCGAACAGTGGGCACAAATCGCACGACTCTGTTTAGGCCAACCAGCTCTAAAACGAATGATGTAAGGCAGAATGAAAGGAAGTTGAACATCTAGCTCTGCTGCCGACAAGTTGGAAAGAAGCTTCCATAATGATGTGAAATTGGCGGTGAAGTTGTCAGATCATACTATGAAACGCTTTGTTCCTGAGAAATAGTTTAGTAACTTAGGCCAGAAGATCAGGGGCAGGGCATCTCATTACTTTACTTTGTTATGTTAGGTTGGAGTCGCATTTGGTATCTTTGCAGACTGCAGTTATGAATCAGAATTGGCATAGCAGTCCGTTTGAAAATGACCTCAAGAATCTTAATCAACCATTTGGGAGGAGTATTGACCCTGGTATCGACAATGTTAACTTGAATTCCATGATTGGAGGTAAACTTTTTATAGTTATTCTATTCGATAACTAACAGATTGTTGGTTTTGGTTTTTACATTTATTTTCCCGCAAATTAAGGGCCTGAAATACTTTTTTAAATCGATGGAAAACTCTAGCTTTTTATTCATATAGTGTAAACACGAAAACTAATCTACATTGATTCATAAAAACATGATTTAACTAATTTACAGGAATAAAAACTATTTTTGTTGAAAGAAAACAACTTTCAAGTTCGGACTATCCCATTTTCCCATCATTTGTTAGTTAGCTGTTTTGATTTTCAGTGATTTGCTAACTTGTTCACGGTTTGTTGCCCTATGGACCTAGCCATATATGTAACTCGGTTGGGTCTGCTAGGCTGCGTATCAATTAATTGCAACAATTTTTATGAAGTCTACATCCTAAACAAACACCTTACAATGAAATTTCACCATGAAGCATCCTTCAAAAACATCATTTTACTTGATGATGTCATAGTGCTCCTTTCAGGAATACTCTGCAGTATGGCTTAAGATCCATCATAAGCAGGTGCTAAAGCCTGGAATGACATTTCATTGAAGATCAAACAGTCTCCCTCAGTGATGATTTTCCGTCGCGAAATGAAACTAAATCTCTTCTCCACCAAGTACCAATCCTGAATTTCTTGATAGGACAACTTTCTTCCACTTTGAACGATCAAATCAAGTAAAAATGTCACAAATTTAAAAATAGGTTTTCAAAATAGGGGGTGCTCTCTCCTTGATTAGTTTATCCATTGAGAGAGCTCCTCCTTAAGAAATTCCTCCCCATACACCATTCTATATAACTATGTTAATTGCATAGTATAACTGTAATTTATGTTAGTTTATTTTAGATGTATTGGTTGTCATTCATTTGAATTTTGTATGTTGTGGGATTTTAAAATTAAATAACTGAACTGGACTGAGCTAGGTTTTACGAGATGCCATGCCATGCATCAGGGCTGTATAGTGTAGCTTTGTTCTCAGCTTTTATGCAATGCATGTAGAATAGGTGTATAGATTCCTTAGATTCACGCCCTAAATGATGGATAAAAACAGTTATAGGTGCAACTTGAAATATGAAATCTTCCGTATTTCACAGAAAAAAGATATCCTCAGAAGAGATGGCAAAACAACAAAACCAAATTCCTCTTTAACAATTATCCTTGTTTCACACAGACAACAATGCTCATAGTTAAAGAATGCTATATAGTTATATCTCTGTACATATTCATAATATGCCAACACATTAGGCATTAACTGGGATCATAAACATGCGTGCACTGCTAAAATTGTGCAAAACTGTAGTAAGCAAATCAGACCAACATATGTTGTATGGTTCACCTTATATTGTTTTTTATTGTATTTTTCAGATTTCATGCAAAGTGAACAATATCCATATCATCTAAATTTGAATGACAGCTTAACAGAACTATCACCAGAAGAAACTGAACAGTTTCTTGAAGATGCATTCAGCTTTACCAGTTCAAAAAGCCCTCTGTCAGATGATCTCACGGAGTCAAGCTTGAGCATGGAGAGCTCCCCAGCCACACAGCACAGCGATGACTTACTCTGTATGTCATATTTGACACAAGATGTAAAACAAGAAGAGCTGTCACCTGCTACAAACTCTATGGAATTTAGAAATCCATTAGAAAATGCATCTTTGCCAGTCACTCTCAATGGGAGACTAAGATTAGGGGATAGTGGCAGTGAGGTTGATTCTTTCCTTCATCAATCAAATATCACTGCAAACAATTCACCAGACTTATCTTCACTGCTAACTAAGTCAAGTGAAATTTCTCTTGCACAGTTGGATGATAGCATTTGTACAGCAACGAGTCCACTGAGTTACCATCAGGTCAACATGGTGGGTAGGCAAGTGCCAGAACCAACCATGAGGCCAATCAAAACGAAAAGCACTTCAAATGACCAGCAACCTGTTCAGCTTGTTAACCTCTTGCAAAATGGCCCAGAGGCAGAATCTCTTCCTTCAACAAATGTAGATACTCCAGCTAACCAGAAGAAGAGACCAAGCAAGCCAAGGAAACAGAAAGTAAATGATCAAAAGGTTCCTAAACAGACCAAGGTAGCCAAATCACAATCTGAGGAGTTGGAATCAAACTCTGTGGGCGTCAAAAATGAATCTTCTTCTCAGTCTGTATCCCAGGTTTGCCATTTTTCCTTGTAACTACAGAAACTGCATTTTCAACAGTTGTTAATTTTGAATCAAAAAACTTAGTGCAAAATTGAACAAGTTGTTTTTGTATATTTTCATTTTATAAATACAAAAGTTAGTTCATGCTACACTTTTGTCCCTTTGTGACAATAATTAAGATCTGTGACTTACTATAATTTGAGTATGTTCAGAGGCAATGTTTTTGCTCCACTTTGAGAAGGATATAGATTAATGGTCATCTACAAATAGATTTGTGTTGATTTACTTAATTATATATGCATTTTTGTGTGACCCTTGTGACTACTTACCATACAGGTTGTCATGATCCCGCAAGTGGTGTTCACAGGACGAGATGCCTCTACTTCACAGCCTATTACAGCATACATAGCGACTTCATCAAAGCAAGTAATGACAACAGTCCCAATCAAAATTATGAGCTCAAATTCTATTGAAATGGAGAAGATTCCAATAACACCCATTGGCAAGAAGAATCTCAGTTCAAACCTTAAAAGAAAGAATGAAAAATGTGGGCGAAAAACCAACCACAATGAAGTTGAAAAAAGATACAGAGAAAGTATTACCACAAGCTTAGAGGATCTGAAAGAATTAGTTTTTGGCCATGACACCAAGGTTTGTACCCTTTTGAAGTATCTAAAACAAAGCTAAATTTTTCTTTTTTCGTCTTTTGTTTTGAGTTTTTATTGCTGCTTCTAAATAAATTCATAGTTACACTCTTTATGTAATAATTATTAAGTCATAAAGTCATAGTATACTTTTTATTAAATAAAGAAATTATATATAAAGTTTCGTTGCTTGTCTGTTGTTGTCTTTTTGGTATATTTGAGTTAGTGTACAAATATATATATAAATATAAATATATTTTTGTAATTTTTAAAAGGTGTTATTGATTGCTTGTCCTCCCTCTGTGTCCTGCTCATTTTCCTGCAAATGTTTGTTATTGTATTGATAATATTATTCATAAACTCAATAAATTTACACCTTTTATGGTAATCTTTTGTTTTGTTGTGTGACAGTGGCTTTGTTGCATGCTTTAGTTTAAGTTTAAGACCAATATGCTGGTAATAGCTATCTTTAATTACTTACTACAGTATTGTGCCTCAGAACTTGTAAAGTTTCTGCCCTTGATATTGTAAAATTCAGATTACAAAAGATAATTTTTCTTTCTATCTGCAACCCCTTCCAATTGCCTGGGAATAGATTAAACTTAATAAAAATTTTATTAAAGTTAAATTGGCAACCCTTCAAAAGCACATTATATCGCATTTCTCTAGATGTAACTTCTTGGTGCTACTTTATAACTATAAAATTCAGTTTTTTACCACAGTTTATATTTTACAGCATTTTTCTTGTCATATTTTTTATCCATATTTTCTTATATTAGAGCACAAAAGCTGGGATATTAAGAAAGGCAATGGATCATATTAAATATTTGAGAAAGATCAACCAACGATTGAAACAGGAAAATATGAGATTGAAGATGGCCCAAAAACAAAGTAAGTTATTTAGAATATAAACAACAGATAACCAAAGTGAACAGTATTTGAACCCAGGACAAGATTTGTGACTCCCATAAAGGAGGAACTTGTGCAGTGCTTGTGGCATTATATCTTTTAATATTGTATCCATGACTCTGTCATTATTATTTAGAGCTGTACGAGAAGTAAGCTATCTTTGGAAGGGCAGATCTAGGGGGCACCCTACTAGTCAGTGTCTGACATACTAGTCAATTTTTTGCCAAATTTTATTTAGGTTTATCATAGATAAGTTTGTTAATAGGTGTAGCATTCCATTGATTAGAAATTTATTTGCATTGCTGCCCTTGGGAGAAGAAGCAACCATCTTCACATATTTTTCTCTGTGCAGTTGAACTATCAGTTGCTTTTCCCTAAACAGCTTGTTGTGACCGGCAGAGTTGCATATTATGGACTCTTAGCAATGCATGATTTCTTATATAGCAATATTTGAATTTCTGTTTACAGCAAGCCTGGTAGACTTGGTTCAGAACCATAGCAATAACTCTCACATTCACCATAATATAATTGAAGACATTGATGCTGATGTCTGTTCTGAAGATGAAGATATCGACCTAATGGAGGAAGAACTGCAGTCCCATGATTCTGGCCAGTCCTCTGCTGCCACTTCACCATCTTCAGTTGAATCTGTTCAAGCCAATGGCACTTTCAGCATTTTGAATAAACAGCGCTTCTTTCTCAGCATGTTTATGTTTGCATTCATGTTTCTTGGCCCTGGCAAACTCTTGTTTGGAACCAAAGATGGTAAGTATTTATGGAATTTATTTGCTTTCTATGAAAGATTTTGTTATTCAGAACCACCTAGGGAGTGCCCCCTCCCAAATATTCAGAGCTATAATACCTCTTGATATGTGAGTTTAAAGGGACATGTTATTAAGTTAAGGGAGCCCCAAAGCTCTAGCATTGAAGGTAATTGCCCATCATGCATTGAAATGTATTAGATGCGTGTGATACTTTATCCAAAGACCAACAATATAATGAGCAAATAATAAAAGTACCAAATATGTAAAGATTTATCGTTTCAAGTATGTATTCGTTACCAAGTGACTCTAATAAACAATATGTCAGTTTTTAGTAAGTTTTTCGAAGTATGGCTAATTTACAGAAGGACTAATGAACGCTATTTTTGACTCTGCTTTTTACTCCCTTCATTTTTTTCTGTATTCGCTTTTTCTTCTCTTCAGGACTTTCTTCTGATTATGATACTCCGCATACCGGGGGTAGAACAATCTTGTCAGTGAATAAGGACGCTGAGAACGATGGCTTCAAAGCCTACACTACGGTTATTGTCAATTCAATCTTGTATCTGCTGTTTTTTGCATGGCTTCTAATCAAGGGTGAACCACGCTATTCTCGTGATTCCAAAAATGTCGCCTCGTTCAAAGCTTACATGAATAAAGCAGATTCTGAGGCAACCAAAGTAAGTAATTTTGTCAATCCATTTTTACATTTGTGAAGCGACAAAGGAGCGAAGCATTTGTTCTGTGTCAAGGAATTTTATGATCAGCTGACAGCGCATGTATTCAGTAATTTACCGCTGATATTATGAGCCGCAAAGTCAGTTAAGAGATATATGATAAACTTGGGTATGTGACGCAATTACATCAAAGAGATATCAGTGTCGTAACTATTTTAAATTTTGGTCGTTGATCAGCTTAATACTTTAGATATTGATCTTTTTAATCTTGCGTTGCTGAGGATGTAGTGAAGATGAATTTAAAAACCGATTAATCTAAATACCTTAGCAGTTTGCTACTTCTTGTTTATTTGGTACCAGCAAGAAGTTGCACTGTCACAGTGGTTTAGAGGTCGCTAGAAAATAATGCTTAAGAAATGCTTGTTTCTAAAATATCAAATATTATTATTGTTGTTGTTGTTGGAATCAGCAATTGTTGTTGGTTTATAGAAACAAGGAACTGTGTTTTCCATAAAGATAAAAAATGGCACAAAAATGAATTTTAGAAAAAAGCTTCAGCTTTTCCATCTTCATTTGTCATTCAAAGAAATAAGCTCAAGAAGGCTCTAGGCCTTTGAAACGGGAAACCTTTAGGTTGGACTTTGTTTTTTGTGTTAAATATAAATCTTGCTAGACTAAAAATCTCAAATCAACAGAGAAAAAGCTGTGGTAGCTCTTCACATCCAAAGTTCAGGCTTTGAAATTTTTGTGTTTTTTGTGAAATTTCAAAGATACTTTCTGTGCAATATGAATAAATTTGCTTATACGCCCTCAAATACAGTAGAACATAAAAAATGCCAACACAAGCCGTGTAAAGATCAGCCTAACTGGCAGATGATTAATTCTTAAATTTTATGAGCCTTTTTTGGTTTTGATACATTTTACTTTTCTTATCAGGTTTTGTCTTGATTTACTTAGGGAGATGTCGAGAGCGCAAGAAGTTGTGTTGAGCGCGGCTTGCAAGTGATTGGGCGTCCATGGTCGTCCTCAAAAATTGACGTCATCCCATCATTAATCTGGCATTTGGTTTGCCACGTGCTACATCAAACTGGTATTCTGTCTCTACTCAAGAACCTAGGTTGGTTGATTTTGCCACGAAGACTGTCAGCTGCGGAGGCGAAATCACGATATCGTAATTCTTGTTCGCTTGCATCACAGGCATATGGAAAGCTGCTTCAACTTGAATCGATTGGTAAGTTGTGGTCGAACTAGTGCTTCTTTCAATGCTTGATGATTTTTGATTGAATGATTTGTAGCGAAAAATATGTTCATTCACATATTTATAAACTTAGTCCCAAATTGCTATGTGACGTCGACGGCAAAAGTGGAAGTAGGCTTAGAAGATCCTCAATGATTCCTAAAATGTGCTTAAAACCGTGCAGAAATAACCTTTGTAGTTGTTAATTACGCGTTCACCAGTTTTAGGTTCCTCTCATTCTTGCAGGAAACCAAGGATGCAAATTAACATGCTTAAAGTTGGCCATTGCTGCAATAAACATGGCAGAAAATGCAGATGAAGTAGTCTCCAGTGAACATGTCTTGAAGATATATCTGCATTCGGCAATTATGTTGAGGGTGAAGTTTGGAGTCTTCTCGAAACTTTTCATGGTAAGAATTCAATAAAATTGTAAACATACTAGACTAGCAACCGATCCTCAAATGTTAATGAACGAGCTGCTTATTCAGTTGGAGATATAACGATATCTCTTTATCATTTGGTGTTGTTAATTGTGTTAGTACAACATTGACTTAAAAACGTTTGAAGTTTTGGTATCTACACGCTGTTAGCTTGCATCTTCCGGTGCTAACATCTTTAATAAGCTCTTTGCTGACTAGCTAATTAACGCATATGCATGAATTATTTTGCAATCAACCTGTTCTAGCTTCTTTTTAGAAAGGAGATCCAAACCATTCGGTTTTCACTCTCCACTGTTCCGTCCTTTTCAATCGTGTGAGATTCAAACTATTCGGTATGCTAAAACTAATTGCTTATTAAGCCCAAGAAAACCCCTGTAGTTATTTGGTATACTTGGCGTGCTTTTATCAAAGTATCGTCCTTTTTTCATAGCGCTACTTAATAAGTCGAGCCAACGCATTGCTGGCAGAACGAGCCGACGATGTCCCAGTATCTTTGGCTTGGGTCTTCCACCCTTTTGGTCATCAATATGTGTTGTCGGCGAAATGGTCACTGGAAGGATTTCATTTTGACCGGAGTTCTATGAAAGGTAAGGTTTAGCTTATTAGAGCCTGGTAAAGATTTTCCTTTATTTGAAACATTCCACCTTTTATTTAGTTTGAGGATGTACGTTATGAGGGCCTGGAACGAGAGTTATTGTTGTTGTGATAAGTGAGTGAGTGGAAAGAAGAGAGAGTTGAGGTGGAGATACAGGTTGGGTAGGTAGCTGGAGAAGTTGTGAAGTTAAATAGTGAAATATCGAAAAGGAAGTGAAACTGAATCATCTTCTGTATATGTTTTCGTTCCTGCTTGTTTTGTTACCTTATAAAGGGGGATGTACAGATCAAATCAGTTCAATTCGCCTTTCACGGTACATGTGTCTTAATCACAACAGCAATTGATTAACAACGGCTGTATGGCTGTATTTCATCACAAGTAAAGAATTTGGAGAAAGTGCCTCTGTTGTCGTATTTTGCTCAAAATGTACTTATATTGGTTATTACGTATGAATGTTTGAATGTTTGGCTCTCTTTAGACTGGCTGTTATGAGAAACACGTAAATCTTTCTTAATTGTTCACCGTCCCTGCCATTAATCCGCAGAATATTTGTAAGGTGTTTTTGCTTATAAAAGTATTTTCTTCTTTTGATATTGAAGTTAGTTTGATCTAAAATCACAAACAACAAAATTAATTGCTTTGTAAAGTGGGTTCGTTTGTGTATTTTCCAAATAATTCTGCTTTTAAAAGCTCTTAATAGGCCAAAAAACTTCAAAGACATACATCCTCTCTCGCGGTACCTACAACTCATACACTCCCCATAAGACAATTTTCATTCGATAGCCAAATTGAAATGCATCTGATTCCTTCACATTGTCCAATATGCAAGGAAGCCTCTGAGAATAATGAAATGGTAATTTCCACAACATTTTTTCTAGAACCTTTAGAACACGTGAAACAAAGCTTTATTTTGACCCAAGTTGAAGCAGCTCTGGGGCAGATTGTAGCCCCTGCAAGTAATGAATTGGATATTCAAGCCACTGAGCGCTGCTTGTCTGTACTGAAACAGTGTGGCTCTGACAACGATGACACTGTGTCTTTCTGGCATGGTTTGCTGAGTGTTGTGTTCTATGTTGGTGTTGGGATGAAGGAAAAAGCTCGGGAATCTTGGGAGTCGCTGGATTGTTATGCCGAAGATAAAGCGTAAGTGTTTTCATATGCGTTCAGGCGCCAGCTATGGCTGCCTCACAGGGTTGCCAGATGCTTGGAATGGTTAGCGGCCAAATTTGGCCAGCCAAACAAAATATACAAAAAGCCACATTTTTGCTAATTCCGTGGAATAAAAGTGTAATCAAAAGTGTAATCAAAAGTGGCTTTGTTTGTTACAAAAGTTCCCACTTGCTTTCAATTTCAATTTTCTGCTATCTTTTACTTTGTTTCTTGCTTCGTTTTTTTGCAATTTTAAGATTATTTATTTTAACAAAAAGTTTGAATATTGTCTGTGCTAAAGTTGCCGTTTTTCTTTGTATTTTTGTGGCTTCAACATGCCGCCAAAATTCGGCCAACTTTTGCTTTTTCGGCCAAATCAATTTTCGACGGCCAACAGCTTTGACAAACAGCCAGATTGGATGAATTTGGCCATCAAAACGGCCTAATGGCAACCCTGCTGCTTCAGTTTATCGCGAAGAACCAAAAACCATTTCTACACTATTCGACCCAACATATTAAGCATCATATCTATAAAACTAGCGAAATTTGAGTTTTTTAGCATTGTTAGGTGGGGGAAGAGGCGGTAGTGCATTAAATTTTTCAAGTAGCACGGTTAAGCTGTACTTTTTTCCATTTCCCAGACAAAAATTTCCAAGTCTAAGTTGAAACTCTGAGTTTCATGCTTATTGCGATCATTAGGCATGCATTCTAAGTATGCATTCACATCTGATGTTGTGATACATCTGTATGTTTTAGGCAAGATAATCTCTTAAGTTTTTTTATGATAATTCGACATATTTTATCATTTATAATATTCTCTTTTAGGTCCAATGCCAGTGATTTGTACGACCTCGTGGATTGTTACTTTGACACCGTAAATGGGACGGCTGAGGAGGAGGTTGAAGCCAGGCTCTTGATTGTTGAAGAAAACATTCTTAAAAATTTCGCCTTTGATGAAGGCAGAAAGCAGCAAAGCAGCTTTTTGCAGGTGAGTTTTTGTTGTTGTTTTCGGCAATTTTTGTCTTTCCAAATGACGTCATGTTTCTGCCAATGAGTTCTCAATATCCTTGTATTATACGTGTATTTCTCAGAAAATTTTGTTTTTTCTTGTTCCGAGTAGTAAAGTTGAAATGCTATCCAATATTTTATCGTGTTTCTGTATGGGTATAATGATTACCTTCACTCATGAAATGCAAGTAGAAAACGAGGAAGCATGTACAGTGCTTTGCAACTGAAAAGCACTGGTTAAGCTTCAATAAATTCTATAAGATATGCTTACACGTGTATCAAATTGAGGTATTACCGTACTTCCCGCCTTGGCAACATTAGGACTTGTAGATATATTTACTTTCAAATAACCCATAGATGAAGTCCATGTAAAAAATTGTCATCTCTTTGCTTCACATGTTATCACAACGTATGTATAGTTCACGACATTGTTTCTGTCTAAGTATTTGTTGCATCTATAGCTCTTAGCAGCTGCCTGTGCAGATATGGCTTTGAGCGTCAGAATTGCTCGTTGGGAATACTCGCGTACCAAATCGATGACCGTCGATCAGCTGGAGAGATTTGAGCAGAACCTCAGTATTTTGAAGGCCCTTTCCTGCCTGTATGCTCCTTTGATTAATAAGGTACTTATCTATGTTTCATTTCGAACTTCAGTACACGATCGTACGATTCCATTTTTTGATGCATTTTCAGGAAATGAATTATTTGTATATACTCTTATCCAATCGAAGGCCTTTTTGGTGCGCCATCTTTAGGCTTTTATCACTCCATAAAACTTAAATCTCTTAATTGACACCTTTTAGGTCAAGTATTTCAATGAAGCAATGAGAGTCATGGCTGGTGTTAACCCGGTTGGACTCACAAAGGGTTTGCTACGAAACAGAAGACAAGATCAATCTGACCTCGCTCTTGGTATGTATAAGACATTTGTTACTGGAATATACAGACTTACTTTCTATGAATTTTTTCCAGGGAATGATTTTTCAGCTAGGAATTATTTTTCAAATGCCCTTTTACTAAAGCCTGCCCCCTTGCCCCTTGGTCGTTCCGGCGTCCCTGAATATGGATATACTGTTGGTTACTCATAAAGTGTTAATGATATGATCCCGATAATTTTAGGTAGTTTATCTCCAAAAAATATATTTTGTGGCGTTAGCAGTTCCCTCAGACCCCGAACTAAGCGGCCTTGAAAATATGTTGGTGAATTCGTAATTCAATAACATTTTGCTTCGTATTTTCGATTGCTATAGACACCTTAAGCCCCATCTTTGTTGTCCAGTCATTGCTTCATACAATCCGTTGGACAACCTGATCAAGTAGCGTACATTTTTTCTCATTTACCTTTCTTCTCATCTTCTCAGATACCAAGACGAGCATTCAGAATGAGGAATTCCAAAACACGAAAATCATGTTGTTTGTCATCAAGCATTTGCCTTCAATTGTCGCAAAATGTTATCCAACAAGCTGCATCGCGTATCTTCAACGTGTCGGCCTTATATTGGAGAAGTCAGGCCTAACAGAAATGACTGAAGATTGTAAAAAGGTATTAGCAACCCTCAAAACATCATGAAGAGTGCACTTTTTTTAGAAGATATGACAAGACTTTCAAGTAAACCTTTTACCAACTTCGCTAGCACAGTTACAAGGAGACAGAATTTTACCAGTAGATATAAAAGCCTTTACATTCTTTGAAATTGATTATTGTAATTCCCTTTTGTAGAATCGGCCTGGTCAACTTTTGGTGACTTTTAATCTGATGGTCGGATAGTCCGTAGCGGATGACGAAGGTCCACTTCCTAAGCTAGTATACTGACAAGATAATTATGGGACATTTGCCCCCAGCCTTCTCCCACAATGCCTCTGTATCTTTCCTCTTGTTTTCAGTGTAGATACTGATATTTCAGCCTCTCCACTCCGACATTAACTACCCTTTTTCCCATAACCTTTGTTTCCTCAAAATCTGGGGCTCACATTCCCCCACCCCTCTCTGTTGACATAGACTTTCTTTCATTTTTTGCAAATTTCGCACGCCAGAATCCATTACGGTTTATTAAAATTTATGTTAACAAGTCATCTACTGCACTTCTGCAATATTTTTTTAACACACGATATTATTTCAAGATCCGCCCGATAAAGTGCCTACGGCATTGAATAAACCCTAAAATCGCGGCCTTTCTCTTAAAACTGAGGTGTTAGATAGTTAAATGTAATAGGTGTTAAATTAAGAATAGTATCATTTGTTGTTTATTTGTTATTATAAATAGCCGACTTAGGTACTACCAATTACATTTGTATCTTATTCCTATTTAATACCTTTGCCTATTTCTCAGCTGAATTTTCTTGGGGACTGTATCACAATAGGTCTACCACTTATGAAGAATTATCACCTCAAGGATGATTTTAATTGTCACTGAGGTTGGCATCGTTCACTTTCTTTAGCAACAGGAAGCGGTATTTTTATCAACAAACCATGTACAGAATACGTCTAAGAAGCATGAACAGTAGTTGGGCCGTGGCTGTCACAATCTTATCCTCGACTAAACGAGACGGTAGTGATTGTTTCTTGTGTGATCGAATATGTAAATTTCGAATCCTAAACGGGATCTTCGAAACTCTTCTAAGTATTTCATGATCGATGGCATAATCAGATGAAAATTGGAAAGAAATCGGTCACTGTTGAAAATAATCGTAATATTTTTCAGAGCATCTCAGTTTAGATTTTTTGTCCTCTTAACGCTGAGCGTTAGTTTTTCCCTAACTTACTGTAACCAGTGAGAGGGTCGGCACTAGATCATAGTCAGCTAACGTACATGACGTCATACATCTTTGAAACCGAGGACTAAGTGAAATAAGACGGATGCTGCAAGCATAAGGTTGCCATAGTTTGTATGACGTCATGTACGTTAGCTGACTATGATCTAGTGCTGACCCAGTGAGAGCTAGCCTGAGTTCCAGACCCCTGGGGCGCAGTCTAGTCAGTGCATGAGCTTAGAACCTTGCTTATTTTGCAAGAGCACCAGTTGTTGTCAAATGCGTGTTAAAATTTTCGCAGTATAGTCTGGGCTGTTAGAACATGAATCGTGCAAATTGTGATACCAGCATGGAAATGGGTACACTGGGATAATTTCACACGCTGATGACGATGCCGAACAGACCCAAGCCGAAAAATGCCCCCAAGTGCTATTTTTAGACTGGGGTACTTGGCCCCAGTCCTTGAAATGGGCCAATCTCCATATGTCTTTATTGATTTATAAAAAAAGTGAGAAAGGAAAGATTTAGGTGCATTATCATATATTAAAATATATTAAGAGAAAAGGAAATGAAAAATTGCCCCTTTATGCTATTTTTAGAATATGAAATTGGTGCCCATGTCTCTATTTAAGCATTCTTCTCTAAATAATTACTCTCTATTATATGAATATGAAATGTAGCTTTCTCCATTCTTTCAACAAACTGAGAAGTAATACGAAAAGATGTAATTGACAATCTTACCCCTTGATGCTATTTTTAGAATGGGGTACTGGAACCCAGTTCTCGAAATTGGGTTTTACCTTCATAGTCTAGGCTCTAAGCACAGTATTTGACATGAATTGTGCAAACTGTGGTACCAGCATGAAAATGAGTACACTGGGGCAATTTGACACGTTGATAATGATGCTGAACAGACACAAGCTGAAAAGTGTCGCCAAGTGTTATTTTTAGACAGTCCTCAATTTTGGATTTCATCCATACGTAGTTAACTAAAGTTTATAATGAGCACGAATGTATAGGTTTAAACACAATTCTACACGATAAAGGTATAACACAGAAACAATTAAAATATTACCCTTGAGGCTATATTTAGAATGGACTACTGGAGCCCAGGCCTCTATAAGCCTTCTTTTATAAATCATTACTATTTTTGGTATGAATACAAAATAAAGTGAATATTAAATCTCTGGATTGCTACTTCTCCTCTTAGAGGCCTTCAAGAAAAGCATAGAAGAACTACCTATTGAAGTTTGGAAAACACAACAGGCTAGAAGAATCAGTGCAATTCCATTATTGGTTTACTGTTAGAGTCAATGCTATTGTTGCTAGTTAAAGCAATAAGGGAGTGAAATTTCCACATGTTTCTAAGTGCTCTTTATTAGATTGCACCTTGGATGTTTAGCCTTGGTCATATAAACTACTCGCGTTGGCTGCCAATATAACATCAATCCTATTTGAAAGTAGCTTATAATTATAACGATTTTCGCCCCTCCGAATATGTTCGAGTTCGAAAGTTCAGTAAGGGTACTTAACATTTCTGCTACTTTGGATAGTCAGCATTTTATACAAATTATCGTAACAGTCCGAACAAATCAACAAAGTGTGTTGCAGTAAGGCAATCAACAATCAATACAACATTTTGTATTTTATCATTTTATAAGTAAAAATATGTGGTATACATTACACGCTCATTTCAAACACACACTGACTCCATTAAACCATAAGCAATTAGTTTTTAGTTATCGGTCCCTTCAGAAAATATAATTACAAAAGATATGTGTAAATGTTCCATGTCAATTAACCAAGCGGCAAATACAAAAGATATTACCAACAATAAATGTGTTAACGATTAAACCTATGTAGATCTATTACGAGACAAAAGAAATAGTAAGAATACTGAAAACACGACCTTGATTAATAACACGCTGGTTAATTACGCAAGTAAACCGTGGGAAAGGCGTTTGCGCGGCAAACTCCCTGCTTTCCGCGACACAAATTGTATGAGACTTTCAGAAGTAGCGAAATGTGAAAGTCACATTTTCCTGTACATGTGATAAATTGCATTGACCTTCAGAGGCAGGAAACGCGTACATATTTAAACATATCGCTTTATGCATATATAAACTGCGTTTTTTTATAATATATTTCGGTGATTGAAAAGTTGTATGAAGCTACACTTTAGTATTTACATCAAAATTAACGATATTTAACAGTAGATAAAAAAGTCGAATGAGCTTGGATCTAAGTATCCCATTCAGAAAAGAGAAACTAGGCGGAATTTTATCTCTCCGTTATATTTTAGTGTGTCACTAAGTATAGAATGCTAGACTTTTTACGTTAAAAGCAGTAATGACTAATAACTTACAATAGAAACAAGTCCAAAAAGTGGGTCTATCATTTGTAGCATCTAGAGGTATTATTCTACTTTTTTCTAAAATACTGTTTGGTTAACCAAAAAGGTAGACAGCCATACTATCATGTTTACGTCAAAAGCAAGTAATGGCCTGTAGAAGAGTGTTTACATAGAGGCTTAGAGGCAACAGCCCTGATCTAAAAATAGAATCAAAGGATACTATTGTTTCTTTGTTATTCCTTTATCGTGTAGAATTGTGTTTAAACCTATACATTCGTGCTCATTATAAACTTTAGTTAACTAAGTATGGCTGAAATCCAAAATTGAGGACTGGGGTCAAGTACCCCAGTCTAAAAATAGCACTTGTGGCACTTTTCAGCTTGTGTCTGTTAAGCATCATTATCAACGTGTCAAATTGCCCCAGTGTACTCATTTTCATGCTGGTACCACAGTTTGCACAATTCATGTCAAATACTGTGCTTAGAGCCTAGACTATGAAGGTAAAACCCAATTTCGAGAACTGGGTTCCAGTACCCCATTCTAAAAATAGCACCAGGGGGTAAGATTGTCAATTACATCTTTTCGTATTACTTTCAGTTTGTTGAAAGAATGGAGAAAGCTACATTTCATATTCATATAAAAGAGAGTAATTATTTAAAGAAAAATGCCTAAATAGAGACATAGGCACCAATTTCATATTCTAAAAATAGCATAATAGGGGAAATTTTTCATTTCCTTTTCTCTTAATATATTTTAATATATGATAATGCACCTAAATCTTTCCTTTCCCACTTTTTTCATAAATCAGTAATGACATATGGAGATTGGCCCATTTCAAGGACTGGGGCCAAGTACCCCAGTCTAAAAATAGCACTTGGGGCATTTTTCGGCTTGGGACTGTTCGGCATCGTCATCAGCGTGTGAAATTACCCCAGTGTACCCATTTTCATGCTGGTATCACAATTTGCACAATTCAAGTCAAATACTGTGCTAAGAGCCCAGACTAGTAGTTTTAGTTGCTCGTTGTCCGGACATCACTCCTTGTAATTAGCTTCTCCTTGAAATCTCCTCCTTCCAACATACGCCCCCTTGTAGTTAATACTTCTTTCTGATTAACCTCGCCTCTAACATACACCTCCAAGTAAACGCCTCGTTCTAATGAGCGCCTTTCGAATTTAATGGAAACCAGATTCTGCTCTTTAAACCTTACTCCCTGAAAATTTTATTTTCAGAAGAAAGATCTTTTAATGTTATACCAATGAGGTTATACCGACAGGGCTCCACGTCACAAGTAAATGATTTTTATGTACTAACTAGCTAATGTGCCTATTTCATATATTTTTAGTCATGAGCCCTTTGATCAGTTGAACCTGAAAAAATGTCCAATCTTTTTGTTGGGTTTCTCGTGTAAATAGGCAAAACGATTTCCAAACTGAGACAAACGGACGGAAGATGGCCTGGAAGCTTTTTAAAACATATTTAATTTCCTCTTTGCTTAACAGCTTATCCAGGTTGCCAGAGCCACTAAAATTCGAGCGCCTAAACAGAAAGTCAAGCGGAGAAGCGGGGGAGCTTATGCTTCTCAGATCGATAGATGCTCCACTGTTCCTATCTTCTATTTTCTCGCTCGAAATTAACTGCTAAGGAAAGCTGAGGTTACATGCATTGTTTCCGAGAAAAAGTAGTGCTGAATAGCAGTACCTTAAATTTTGTAAAATGGCTTAAAGGAGCAGTGCCCTATTCGGTTTTATTTCTCCAACTGCACACCATGTTGGTGAGGTGCGCCAGTGAACACCAAATTTTGTTTTGGCGGCCATAAATTTGGCGAAAGTATGGGCTGATTTCGTTCACTTGTCTTTCTATTCTAGTTGTGAAATCTGGTGAATCGACTCACATTGTAATTAAATTTGTTAATTCAGGCCGATATTGGAAATATAAGCCAACATTCTAAACCTCCTGGAACTCGTAGTCGCGTTGCTTGGTGTGGTGCTTTCTGTCTCATCCAAATTCACTTATCAAAATTCCACAAAATAGTAATTTGTCTGTTTTGGAATGAATTTAGCGACCACTTTTAGCAATTCCCAGTATTATATTCCAAATCTTAATGTACAATAAAGAGATTAACTAACCTTGTATTTTCTTGCTTTACTGGGCCAGCTGTGAAATGCGTAAGCCTAAAGCCCTGGTCAAAAGAATCCAACATATCACCCAACATTTCATTAAAGTCGACCAATCAATTAAAATCAAATTCCAGTCGACTAATCAAATATGAAAAATCGCACTTTTCTACCCATTCACTTTTCTTTCTTTCTACCCATTCACTTAAACGTGCAAAAGAAAATTCTAGAATATGGAATTAAAACTAGGCTATATCATTTAATCACCTTTTTGGTTATGGTTTATTTTTATATTCGTCAATGCGATGCATCTTTCCCTTGTTTACTTTAGGCCATAAAAGTCCTTTAGGGTAGATTATCGCGAAAAGAAACAATATTTTTCCTTCATCAAGAAAGATATTTTTTATTTTATATAAAATATCTGTCCTACTTAAATTTAAGTCGACTAATCAAATATGAAAAATCGCACTTTTCTTTCTAAACGAGCAACACAAAGCTAGACTATGGAATTTAAGAATCTCATTTAAGAATCACCTTTAAAATGTTTTTTGATTATTTATCAGGGATAAAATATGTTAACACCTAATTTTATCAACTAGACATAAAATTGGCAGGCAACTGCTAGATCGTAAAGAAAAGGGACACATTTTGAAAATTTTGTTAAAAACCACAAAAAATTGTTACATGTTGCACTGAAATTGTTGTGAGCCATAACAGACGCCCAGTCCTTAAAGCAAGCGATTTTTTGTACTGGACCAAATTGCAATGTGCTTTCTGTCGCCATTCAAAATGGCGAAAATAAACAAATATGCCTCACTCGCAAGTGCCTGGCATCGGTGGTAACTAACGTCTTCGGAGCAGCAACGTACGCATTTTTACTCAAATTCTCGTTTACAGTCCTTATCAAGCTTTATCTGCTACACCTCGTGTATAACATGTGGCTATTATCAAAGAACCTACACGCCAATTTGATATCAAATCTGACTGGCCTTGACCTGACCTTACGTCTATAAATGCAAGTTGGAACAATGAAACCAGGTTACCAGGCTGGCCTTTTTCAGGCCTAATTTTCCAGTTTCAGGCCTTATTTTCCAGTTTTCATAGTTGGATTGCCTGGAAAATTTTTCTTTGGCCTACTACCTAAAACTTTGGCCTACGTTTTTCTTTTCGCTTGCTTGAAATCTTACAAATCATTACTCTCGAGAATATAACACTCAAAGCATTTAGTTCAAACCAAAAGTCCGGTATTCTTACATCTTGCAACAATCACAACAAAGGTAGCATTCAAGTTCTTTCAGACACGTTTGCATAGCTTAGTGAAAGTTTTTAACTCCTGTTACTCTTTCAAAGTCACTAAGGGTCTCGGCGATCGCCAAATTGGACAAAAAGTATTTATACAAGCTACACCTTTTACTTTTTAATTTGAACAATCCCTGGTTTGCAAATTTAATCTATTATACTTAATGTTGCGGGCCATCAGCGATCCTTTAATGCAAACAATTTACTTGGTTTAGTACTTCAGGGATGATTCTTTCAAAAGCGCTATTTCTTCAGCAATCAAATTGATTTAACCTTTAAAAACAGCTGAAATTACGCAACAGAAATGTCAACAATGCAGCTATATTGGGATCTAGTCAAAAGAAAACTGAGTTTTTAACAGCTGGTTTAAGAATTTTGTGCTTCGAAGAAATATGTAAATAGAATGATCGCATTTCTGTTTTCCAACAGGAAAGACAGAATGCAAAGAAAAAATCTCTTCTTTAGCTAAATAAGCATCCTGGCCGTCCTCTACCCGCTTGTATTAAAAATAAGCTAGAAAGTATTAAACAACTTTACCAAAATTTTTCATGTTTGTTTAATAGTCAAAGCAGTCATCAAACGTGTTTGCCCAATAGCTTTGACGCGGAAGCTTCACGCTGCGGCATTGCGCATGGCATTTCAGTCCGCAGCTGCCTGATCTAGATTAAAATGTGTGAAATCGTGTCATCTGCCTAAAAGTTCTAAAAGCTTTTAGGAATATGTGTTTTCTAAATTTTCGCTACGTGTTTCATCTTCAATGGACTGCCCTTGCCATCATTTTTCATATTTTATGTAAAAGGAACACTGAGCTAGTCGAGTCGTGTAATGTAACGACGAATGTGGCTGTTGACCTAAATGGAACTTAAGAAATTAACATACTTATATACAATTATGTTTTTATAAAATTAACAAAGTAAGAGCGAGTTACAGTGATGAACACAATGAAAGGCGAGGCAAAGAGAAAGTAAACAAGAGAGATTGGAAGCGCGTGATATAGAGGACTCCTGTGCTGTGGTGTGAGAATGTGAAGGAATGGACGAGAAGGAAGGAAAAATGAAGTGAACGTGCCTTAGCAGAGTCACTACACACTGTTGCAAGCATTTTGGCCATTCTTAACTTTAGCACAACACTAACTGCACCTAAGGCTAATAAGAGCCACCTGAAGTACTTTTATAGAACTCTAACAAAGTTTCAAACCTCACCATTGATACGCATGTAGTCAATGTTGTCTATGCTGTATCAAATTACAGCATAGGAAATGGGCTGTATCAATAAATAGACAATTTGCATTACATATATTTCTTATTAAGAGATTATCTTATACAGGAAGCAAAACATCATTTTGACTTCACAATGTTTACTAACTGAAGGTTTGTCGACGTGTAAAGTGAATTATCATTTGAATATTTACATGTGTTTATAATAATTCTCACTGCGTGTTTTGCTATCTTTTTCAAGACTTTGAAGAATCTTTTTCATACAAAAAGTATTCCCCTTTTTCCTGCATATGTTTGATTTGAGGAAAAGAGGAAGCAAATTATACATATGCATGTTTCCTTGTTCTTATAAGCTAAGATTCTTCATTATCTCTATGTAGTAAGTTTAAAAACTAAGTGTTAATTGTTTAAAAAAAGAGTTTGCAAAGGGTGATATTTTCAACTCCTTGTGAAAGAGATACGAAACGAAGAAGATATTTTCAGATAAACAGCCTTAATCGAATGGAAAGTGCTAAAAAACGAACCACCTATCATAAGATACTTTGTCGTTGTAATCAGGAAGCTAAGATATGATTATGAAAAATCTCATTCTTCTTTGGTTCCATATCAGATTCAAGGTGAGTCAGCTGAGAAAATGATTACACATTCCAGCTCCACATTGTGACTTGTCGGTGAGCCGTGAGCTTGTATGTTATTAAACCTACTTTATAATAAACTGCCTCCTATAATCAACTCTTTTGACCAAGAACAACAACAACAATCGAAATAATATAATTCCAAATGAAAAAGTCCCATTGGCCTTAAGAACAATGCAAGTATTTCTAAAGGTTGTGAGAGATGAGAAATTCAAAAAAGTTCATTAATGGGTGTAACGAAATCTAGACGCTTAGAGGGGGGAGGGAGGGGGGGTTGTATGGATCTTGCCTGAGTATTATGGTGCGATAGAGCTGCCCAGGCTAATTTAGAGATAAGATAGGCAGGCCGGTTATTTCTTGTTAGATTCTATATTATAAAATCTATGTAGTGCGCTTATTTTCCTTAAATAAGTTTTGAAATGGTGAATTAGAAGAGAGAAAATAGGGAGGGCGATGTGAGGAATTGGCTCAATGTGCAGCAATCTCGACGGATTTTCAAGCCCAAGGCCAGAGATAACTTTCTGGGGGAGGGGGACTAAAAGCTTCAAACTGTAACAAAATATATAAAGCCAAAAAATGATTTACACAAAAGTTTTCAGCATGCGTTTCTTTTACCAGGTTGAATCAGAAGACAGTTGTGTTATTTTTAGGTGACGTCGGATCCAGGGACGGCGAAACGTATTTCAAAGTAGGGCCAGAATTTAATGATTGTGTTTGTAATAAAAAAGGCCGCCACCATGGTTGGGGGCAAGAAAAATTTTGGATCATAATAATCTAGGGATGGCCAGAAACTGCATCTAAAATAGAATTTGACGGGAGAAAAGCTAACTGTTCCATGGTTTTATCTATTTAAATGTTGACATGAAAAGAAAGGGTCTTTCAAAGTTTTAGAACTATATTAGCATAACAGCGAATAATCAACTTTTTTACAAATGAATGAAACCAAGATAAGATGGAGAGAAAAAAATCAATAAAACACAGTTTGGCAATAAAGCATTAGCCAGTGCCCTAATCCACACAATAAGCATGAATTTCATGAACTTAAGATTAAATCTGGCCTTGGTAAAATATTTTGCTATAAAACGTTTAAATGATTAAAAAAAGCATTTCCTATTTTCGTACTCCCTTTCAGACTGATTACTGGTCAACGAGACGCACATTATTATTCACTGCAGAGAAAAGGAAAATATCAGGGCAGTCCAAAAACAAAACTAAATCGAATTCAAAATTTTCGAAGTGTTAGCCAAAAAAAATTTTTGAGATGAATTGCTCGGCGGGCTGGATAAAAACTTGCTGCGGGCCGGAGTTGCCCCGCGGGCCGGAGCTTGAGAATGGCTGCCATAGACCTAAACTATCGAGGTTTTAGGAAGAGAGGAAATTTAGTTGGTTTCGCGCCGAGCAAAGGTTACAATCCAATGGCTTGCAGCCTACCATCTATCAGCATTGTAGCCTACTTTAAATTTCAGTGTTATTTTTTTCCATGATTCCATTCCGACATTTCGTGTTTGATGTTTCTAAAATTCTGCGATCAATGTTTAAAAACAATCTTTACTGTACAATAGCGGCTTTTGAATTGGTGGACGCCAAAACATAGAAACTACGGAGCATGGTTGTTGAAATAATTACCTCTTTGAAATCGACGTCTAGTTATTTTCTCCGTGGCAACATGCTACAATGGGCATGCTATTTCAGATAACACAGCCTCATAATGATTTATGTTTTATTAATGTGATCAGGTTGTATTCAACCTTAGTCAACAGAAACTGGTTGCGAGGAGTTGACTCGTTCTAATCGCAGCTAAGTGGAATACCTTGACCATCATAGAATGGCTACAACTTTACTGAAACAAGATTCGGTATTGGGAATCGATCAGATCCTTGTCCACATAGGAGAGTTTGGTCGCTTTCAGATTATCTTGGAGATAATCGCTTGCTTGCTTCAGATTCCTTATACTCTCATGATCTTACTACCGTACTTTACACAAGACAGCCCATCGTGGAAATGTGTTTCGAACAGTACAGTATGCAATGTTACGGGAGAGCTAGCAAGCTCGGATAAGTTGCGATGCCAGATCCCGAGATCAGAGTGGGAGTACTCCATGCCAAAAGATTACTCCATTGTCACAGAGGTAGGTCATTGGTCTGTGGGATAAGTAAAACAACTTTATTTAATTCAGGAATTATGCATAGATTATACTTTTGCGAGAAGGCTAGATATTATGTGCTAAGGATCTGTATGAACTGGTCTTTCAAGATGCACGTGGTCATATTTCAAAACAAGTCATAACAACACAATAAGCAATTTGATTTCTTGCCTCACAGTACAATTGAAAACACCAGTTATGGGAAATCCATGTCTTGCCCACTGGATATAGTGACTGATAACATTTGTAGGTTTTTGCAGCGTGCATGTTTTTAAATCCCAGCTAAAAATCGAAGTTTCTTCGCAACAACAATGCTTCTTTGAATTAAGTCAGCATGTGTTACATTGCATAAACATTTCATTGAATTTTAACAATCGTCAAAACAACATATGGAAAATTAGACTGCATGCAGGCGCGACTGGTTTTCCCCAGAGATCAATTTAGTTGATTGCAAAATTCAGTGTGTCTCTCCCACCTCATTGGTCTCTTCCAATCGGAGAGAAAGACTAGATTTTCCATTCAGCTAAATTCATCTCTGGGAAAGCCAGCTGAGTATCGGCTCAGAACAGTTCTACGCATAAGTTCAAAAGGTTGTGTTTTCATGTTGGAATGTGATTCTTTGGGTACGATGGAATGCAGGGAGAATACTCAGTAAACAGTTTTTAAGTAATTCCATTTGTTTTAAATGGCAATTATATTTTGAAAATTTACGCTAGCTATACTTTAATTTTTTACGCTAGCTATATTTTAATTTTGGGCACCCGGTAAAACAGATCTCGACTCAAAGGTCTGTACTATATGCTCACTTTACTTGTCATCTTCAACTAATCCAGTTAGACTTTCAAAACGGCGGTTCAATGTAGCATTTATTTGAGAATGTCAGGTTTAAAGATATTTAATCATTGAACCTTATTTCAAATCTTCTGCCTGAGAGGTCAAACAGCATCTGGCTTCCTCGTAAATTGGCTTCAATCAAACATACCCATAGACGAATCGTTTTAGCTTTACCCCTTCCCGCCGTCCGTCTCCTTCGCAGAAGTCCACAGGTCTAACATACCCACAGCTGCATTTCTGAGTAGCCCCCTCCCCTCTCTTGTATTGAGGGAAAAATACTGGTTCCATACTTAATGCTTGCAAGAAAACAAGACACATCGCATTTTTTTATTTACAAGCATGGAGAAGCAGTGGCTTGAAGCTTGTGTGAAAAAGTCATTCCTTGTCCAGCTGCTCTCCCTTTGTGTTAAACAAAAAAACAAAGACAAAACTTACAAAGGATATCAAAATTTCATCCACTATCTACATAAACACGACTGCTTATGAAAATAATACGTGGAGTGTCTTAGTCTTCCTTAAGAAACGAATTTTTCTCCGAATCAGTTAGAGGGTGAAAGTATTATTTATGGGTTCCAGCTACTTGCCTTGACTACATTCGTAAAAAGTAACATACAGATAGGATATTTGCATAGCTCTCAACTTTTTAGAAGTCATTAGAGGGTCAACAGTGCCAAGGGCACAAAATGTTGTGAATAAAGTAGAAATCTTCAAGTTTTCGGTATCAAACATAGGGTCTCAACTTTCTGGCGCTCTCAGCGGACGCAAAATCGAGACCACTTGACGCTACACTCGCGCGCACAAAAAATGTCAAATGGAAATCGGCCTTAACGCCGCAGCCCAAAACTTTTGGGAGGTTACTCCTCCACTACACCTTTGAAAACAACCTTACACCTTCATCTGGATGTGAAATCACAATACAACGCTTTTGACAAAGCAAGGTTCTTTAAAGTGCCACTGAATTGAAAATAATGAAATTTTTTTTATTGTTGATTCTGGTAAACTAATCATCGCTAATTTCGGAAAAAAGTTTAGTTTTTTAATTTGGGGTCCACAAATAGGGGTTTCTGGGGTTCTTTCGCGAGTAGGTCGTGCGAAAAGAGGCTGGGGCGAGTGACGCATTAAGATATATATAGTCAATTCAGCCATAGTGGGGGCTGTAAGAAGAAACAAAGTTACAAATTGTGTATAACATGATACAAGCATGAAACCTGATAGAGATAGACAGTTTGATACGCCAAAAAAGATAGACTGTGAATAGACGCTTAAAAATATCCCACCGTGCTACTTATAGACTGGAGAACAAGGTTCCAGATAAAGCAAGTTATTTTCATAATTTTCATTTTGGATCACGATACCATGACAATGATGCTAACAATGATGCTACTGCTATAACCAGGGACGCTAAGACGTTCTGGAAGCCAAAACAGATAGGTGAAAAGATAATTGCAACCACGAATTCTAGATTAGATTGATTCTTTTTCTTGCAAACGTTTAAAAAGTTTTACTTTTTAAGGCATAATTTTGTTACTTTTAATCAATTCCATTTAAAATGAAATTCTTTACTTTTTGAGGCCCCCTGACCACGAGGCCCTGGGGCAATTTATCCCATCTTGACGGCCCTGGCGATAACTGATGCTTTGACAGTGGCAACGCAACTTGGAAAGTGGAAAAAGCGCCAAAAAGGGGAAATTTGTGTGGTTCTATAATAGATCAACTTTATCCCTTGATCAATTTGCTCACTTTTATTCATAATTTGTAAAGCTGTTCGTAAAAGCATTCTTATTCGACACGCTCAAGTCAATAATTCACAAAAGGTAAATGATCGGCATGAAGAATTGCTACAAACTGCACGCAAAAAGTTTGCTTATTTCGTATGGGCTCGAAATTTTCGCAAGAAAATACATTGCACGGTCTTGTAGTTAGATAGCTAGTGATGTTTAGAGCACAAGTATCACACTATTTCCATCCACTTCACGTTTTTTTGGTTGTTTATCGCACTCGAAATACAGTCTTCAGTACTGAAGCCCGCATCACTTCCGCGACTTGTAAACGTTAGTGCGTCACACAGTCCTAAAATTCCTCACAGACCGCGCACAGATGTTCGCACAAAAAGTCTTGAAAATCGCAACTTCGAAGCGTTGTAGCTTCAAAGCACTTCTCAATTTCAAAAACGAACTTCACCATCAGATTCAGGAGCACTGACTTGACTTAGCACTTAGAACATCAATAACAAAATTTTGATTTTTTCAATTCAGTGGCACTTTAAGAATACGAAATATTTCACAAGATCCAAGTGACATCAATGGGACAAAGTTATCAATATCTAAGATGATATCAAATTTTCCTTTTATTTAATTGTTTAGTTGATATCAGGGTTCAAAAATTTTCTGAATTACGCAATCTAGCGTGAAGATTCACACCTCAGGCCAATCTCTGATGAAGGCATTTCGGAAAATGCCATAATTTAATTTAAAGATAATCACAAGCTATATATCTGGCTTGGTAGTGTGAAAATACTTACAAACACATGGATTATAGAATCTAGATAATCTAGACAGTTGTCACATGGAAGGCGCAGCTATTCTTCAACAGCAGATGCCTCCAGATGGTACCATTTTAGAATAGTTTACGTAAACAGCTATCGTGATACTTCATCAGCCTCAAATTATTTAAAGTTCTTCATGAAGATAATTTCCAGCTGCAGATATTTCTTACCTACAATATCCAAATATTGTTAATAAAACACAACAATTAAGTTTTCGTTACCAAAGCTATCGAATTTACTCACCCTTGGCAAAATGAAAGCTATTGCTCTCGAGATGACTAAAGCAAGTTCGAGGGATTCAAATTCATTTCTAGAAGAATAGTCTGGTTACTAATTCTGCAAATCAATATGGGCTGGGGACGTGAGTTTGAATATTGTTTTAAATGTACTCTTTCATAAATCAAGTGCAATTTTTTTTAAGCTGTTGACCTTGTCTCTTGCTCTCTTAGTTTGATTTGTACTGTGGCACTGAAACCTACGCATACCTAGCAACGTCAATGATCTTTGTGGCATGGGCCATCGGTTCTGTCATTCTTGGATGGCTCGCTGACAGGTACGAGAATACTATCCTTAATCATGCTACGAGTATCGCCCGAACTCTGACGAGAATGAACGAGAAACGACGATATATTTTCGAACTCAGAACGAGAATGTATTCTCTGCCTCTCAGGATTTTTTGAGTGTATTTAATACGCTTTTCATACAAAATGTCTGCAACGTTGAAGCACTGATCATAGGTCATAAGCTCCACCTGGTACAAATTTTGTAAAAAATTACTTTTGTTCTGTATGGTACTGTCAGAATTTGCAGCACTTTTTCACTGTTTTAGAAATTCAATAATTCCGGCCTTTTAAAAATGATAGACAACTCATCTCGGTTACATCAAGTACAATGGCGTCGCCATGGGATGGGCTCGAGTAAACATGTCCACTCCAGTTTTCCCAGTGGTCAATTTTCTAACCTGTTAAAAACATTGGGTAGGGATCGGGGTTGGGGTTGGGGTTGAGATTTTTAATCAAGTAGATTAAATTCCTTAAATAAATTAAAAAAGATTGGAAAACATAGCTTAGAATGAATGGTAACAATTTTGCAGATTTCAGTTTGCAGAAATTATCCAGAAGAAATACAATCCTTGCCAAAAATAGTTGGAACGCCTTCCCGATGCAGCATGCAAATAAACAAAGCAAGTCTAAAACTACTTTACCAAAATAGCAACGCTGCTTCCAAAATCTCGACCCTCTTCCCCCGTACAATGTTGATTTATTTTCTCAATATTTTTATGCAGCTTCCAGTGAAAACAATTTTATCTTCAGCGTCAAAACAGCCAAATTGAACAGGGGCGTAACTTGGCCAGTAGGTTTGGGGGGGTGAAAAGGGTTTCTGCCCTGCAAAACTGAGTGGTGCCCTGCAGACCTCGTAGCAAAGGTTTGTCTATACTCTATAGGTTTCTAGTGAAAGCTTCACCAGTGTACACTGGTCTTTACCAAGGAAAAGCAATAAAAACAAACTTGAAACTTCATTGCCTATGAAATATCTATTTCTCTACGTGAGCGTAAATTATGTGTCAAATTTGGTTTTCCTTGATAATAAAGCTTCTATCTTCGTAGCATATTATTTTTTGGTGCATTATATGGGCGGAGCAACGAAATTGAGCCCGGGGGGACTAAGAATCACGTTTAGTGATAAAGGAGGACCCACCATGGTTGGGTCCGACGTGAAGAAAATTTTTGAAATTATACCTTGTAATAGGGCTAAAAAGCATCTTTCAGACTGAAATTTAACAAAATACTATTGTGCTAAAAACTTATTATTGTTTATTGGGAAAAATAGGGAGGGGCATGTCATGCTAAAACTCTAGTGATAGACGTTGTGGAAAGAAAGAAACGGCACATAGTTGTGAATGACAGAGGAAAATGTTGTTTTGATTGGGGGAATTTTATTTCCTGAACAGAAATGTGCAGTTTCTTGTATCGAGAAGGCCATCCAAAATTAAGCATTGCAATGATACAGAAAGTGATTTACTGAATTAATGCAAATAAAAGAAAAAAAAGAAAAAAATATGTGAAAAAGTTAGTAATTAGATAAAAAAATCGGCATCTTAACAGTTTACTCTCTTTTTATTTCATGCACTGTTAACAATTAATAGAAAAAATGATAAAAAAGTTCTTATCCTGACCAAAGTGAGGGCTTTCAGCCCCCTATTCCCCTCAGTGACGCCGTGCCTGTCATGAAAATAATTTACAACTTAAATAAATTTATATGGACTCAACCTTGCCCTCAAAAACATATGCATCAATCATTGCATCCATTGGCTATGACTTTCGGTAAGAAATGCTTTCGCTTTGCAAATAACGGAGCTTTTCCTTACATACCTGTTCCGTTCTCTAAAAATGCAATATCAGAAAAGTTGGTTCATAACAAATATGATATTTCCATTTCAAAATTCCTAAACGACCCTTTACGAACTTCAGAGGTGACATTTCTGCGTGGCAACAAAGCTCTTCTTGGCGCCCTGCGAAATCTTCGATTGCCCTGCGAAATCGACTATTTTTTTAGATTGGGGGGGTGTCACACCCCCCCACACCCTCCCGGTATTTTCGCCCCTGAAATTGAACAACATTGTAATGGGGGGTAGAGGGGATTTTTCAAAAAAGCTTCAGCTTTGCACAAGTGTTCCAACAAATTTGCAAAATGTTGAAAAATATGACGAAATAGGCCAATCAGAAAAACGCAAGCACAAGACCTGTATAGTTGACCAATCAGTGCTGCGTGCCTATAGAAAAATTACCACTGGAGTCCAAGAGAGTAAAAACTTTCAAAGCCCAGTACTTTGCAGTCCAGTACTCTGGCTTTACCGGTCTTGTGCGTGCGTTTTTCTAATTGGCCTATTTCGATCCACAACTGGGTCTTATATAGTCTTTTATAGACTACTAGACTACCTCTGTTCTCAATGATAGTTTAATCTAACATAATGTCTTACATTTAATGATCTTGCAGGTTTGGAAGATGGAAGGTTCTCATTCCTGCTCATGTTTGCTTGGTAACTGTGGGCCTACTCAACGCATTTTCACCAAACTTTACAGTTTACATCATCACAAGATTTTTAGTTGGATTTTCCATTCCCGGGATTATGGTTCCTACATTTGTGCTTGTTTCAGAGTTTGTTGGGCCTAAACATAGACCACTAGCTGGCATTTTATTATGGGGATTTTTCGCTCTTGGGTTAATCATACTTGGTCTTCAGGCATATTTCATCCGAAAATGGAAGTTGCTGACGATTATCTGCACTGCACCTTATATCATCACTTTTCCTTTATTAAAGTGAGTATGAAAGATCTATCTTCTATTTGTCACCTTAGGTTAAGCAATTCAATAACATACATATTTAATAACCGTTTGTTTTTAAATCTTTTCAATGGCGTGGTAAAGCATCCATTCCTTCACCCCTAGCTTTATCTCAGTCATTTGGTAGCTGATTCAGCTTATTTATCTCAGTCCTTTTGTAGCTGATTGTCACATTCTAATGATAATTTCACAGTGGTATTTCAAACTATGTGGTTTTAATTAAAAAGTTATACAATTATATATTGTTGATGTCATTCTTCGGTGCTTTAAAGAAACAGGCTTCACATTTGCTAGTTTGGGGTGTGGGGTTCTGTTTTTTGTCATTCTTTGAATAATCATTACAAACTGAGATGGTTTGAAATAAGCGATGGTCGTTCCCTATTGATAACTTATTGAAGAATATCTGATAAAATCTTCCAAAGTAGGATTGAGAATGGCCGCTGTTGTAGTGTGGGTTTGTGGAGTTGAAGCCACTTTTGTGATGCCACTAGAGGTCAATTTTTTCTTAAGAACCAATCGAGCAAAACTTTGTACATTTTATCTTTTTTGAAAGTATGAAATGTTATCTTTAAGTGGACAGCCTTCAAGCTTCGCAGCCTTTGTTAGACTTTCTAAAATTTAATCAAAAGTTTGTGGACTTGGGTCTTTCGTGCAATGAGGAGATGAGATGTTGTTTTAAGCAATTTACAGTATAATTTGCTTTCTAAATAACATCGCAATGCAAAGAGAAACTATTTATTGCAAATATTTTACTGGTAATCATTATAGCTCCTTTCTTTATGTTTTTCCAATCATCGATATTGTTTGGAAATAGGTGAAAGTCAAAAGTTTTCTTTAATTTGATATTTCAATTTGACATCAAAACTTGATAACTTGTCTGCTGTTTTTTAACTAAAAAGAAATCTTAGAATATTCATAAAACTGGCAGCAGCCATTTGAAATTTGGTTAGCTAAAACTTTCTGCAGCAGTTCCACCATTTATGCTTCAAGCTGTACAGTACTGTGCTTGCTATATGTGTTTGTAGTGTAACGCCGAAATTACCAAGTATGCAAATATTTCAGGTAGTTTTGTATACATGTGGCGATATAGCACTGTAAATCACAGCGAAAATCTTCTAAATCAAATCTAGAAGTATTCTGCAAATGTTTTTAAACAAACATCTGTTGACAGTTATTATGATAAGGAATTTTAAAAGTTTTCATTTGGTTTTTAAAACCTTATAAATATATTTATTTAGGTTTATACCAGAATCCATCAGATGGCTTAGAATATCTGGACAGTCGGAAAAGGCTATGGAGATATTAGAGAAAATTGCTAGAGTCAACAAGAAGGAGTTTCCAAATGCAGTTTTAGAACCATTAGCTCCCACCATTAAAGAAAAGCGTGGTTCTCTATTAGATATTTTCAGACCTTGTAAAATGGCAATTAAGACATTCATCCAGGGATACGCATGGTAAGATTTTTGCCTAGGCCACTTTTCCGCCATTTAAGTGTAAAGTATGATCGCTCGCATTCTTGTTAGAGAGAGATTTAAATTGATAATCATTATTATTGCAATTCCTATTTAGTCTCTTACATATGAGATAGAAACCGTACATGGAGCATATGATTGTTGTGGTCGCAAAGAATGAGTCCTTAAAGACATGGTAGGGGGACATGGTAGGGGGTGTAGGGGGTGCAATATCTCCCAATATTTCTGTGTTCTTCAGGATAGTTTTCCTTCCATTCGGTAAAAATCATTTTGGTAGTAAGTAGTAACAAAATAACGCCGAAATTTTACTTTATTCATCTTCTTATTTTCTTTACGAATTTTGAAAATGGGCGCTTCCATCATTTTCCAGTGACTTGAAGGGTGTGGCATCAAGATCCAATTAGTATCGAGTACCCCCCTCCCAATTATTTTTACTACTCTTGTGCCAAAGGGACACTAAGGTTGCTACCCTCAAAAATTATGACAATCCGTTGTTTCCGATGAACAATCTCTATCCCTGTTGTTTCCTCTTGTTTAAATGAGCAGTCTTATTCGTTTCTATTCTTCTCAAACAATGGTGCTCAACCAACAATTCCATCTCTCCTATTGTAATGCTGTTTATGTTAGTTTTCTATGTCTTTATTTTCGATTGTCTTTAGGATGGTGGAAGGAATGGTATATTACAGCGTCGCTCTTGCGGCTGATGACATTGGAGGTAGCAACAGATACGCGAATTACATATTGACCAGCTTGGTAGACCTTCCAGCTGTCCTCACTGGAATATATGCTTGTAGGAGGTAAAACCTTAGTAAAGTTTTATTTGGTCAAGAATATAACATGTTTCATTGCAACTGATACCTGCACTCTGGGTTTAACTAAATCAAATGCAAGGTTGAACTCGAACGAATCTCACATACAATTTTAGACGATTCATGCATGTCCTTTCTTCAGTATTCTTGCCCCCAGCAATGTAAGAATATGTATTGCACCGGTTTTTTGATAGAATAAATTTAAGCGGATTTCAACATCTAGAAATTTCAAATTGATTAGCCTGATTAGAAAATGCGATACTTCTTTCTGGAAGTTTAATCTTTTAAGTAAATTAGCAGTAATTCTCTCTCTTAGACTTTAGGTCGTTAGGTTCAGTTATTAGCTTTAAATTATATTCCACATAGAGCTTTGGCAACAGAAGCTTTACAGTAATAAGTAATTTTTAAATTATGATGGTTATACTTGAACAGACCATATAATAGTGGCTAATTTGAAATGTGTGTCAAAGGATTTAATACTGAACAAGTAGACAACTAATCCTAAACCTTCCTGCTGCCGGTTTTTTCACCCCTTGTTAATAGAAACATCAATTGACAGGTTTGGAAGGAAAAAGACAGTCATCATTCCACTGTTTATTGGTAGTATTGCCTGCATAGCAGCGGCTTTCATACCTGCAAAAGCTGTTGGAAGCATCCTCAAATGTAAGCTGAATATTTCGCTTTGCTTTCCTTTACAAATAATTGCAGCAGATGAAAACGAGCTCTTGCAGCTGAGTGACTATAATTGTAATTGAGTGATGAAAACTCTGCGCCCAAATATTCATGATTTTCGCACTCTTTTATGCTAAGATGTCACTTTCTGTCATTCACCATGTCATCGAAGTTTCAGATCGGAAACTATCTACTGTAAAGTTTTTTAATTATCTAATAATAAGGCTGAAAATATGAACATTTGTTTGTAGTCTGGCCAAAAATAAGAGTTGCTCTTGGTGTGCTTGGCAAGTTCTTTGTTGCAACATCTTTTGATTCGATTTACACCTGGTCCGTGGAACTGTATCCAACAGTCGTCAGGTAATTACTTATGTTTATTTTAAAAGCAGCAGCAACCATCTATGACCTGACCAGAAAAATCTCATATCATTACCTTACTTTTTATCTACTTCAAAAAATCCTGGCTTGTGTAGACAGAAAGAGTTCATTTGCTTTCTTGGATTCTTCAACTAAGTGAGAGGTAAGCAGTTGCAGATTTTGTTTGGGAGACTACTATAAATTCATATTGTTGATGGCCATTACTCTATCCATTTGTCTGAGCGAATGAGAAAGTGCATCATTAGGGCATGCGCATTAGGGCAAAGGCAAAATTGATATCTAATGGCGCTTCACAGCATTTAATTAAATTATTATTTACCATGGTTGCATGTATTAAGCAGAGTTTCGTTCTCACTCTTCCCTTGACCCCTTTTCCTCTAAATTGTTTTTGTCTTTCGATTCGATTCAGGTTAATTCCCATAAGTACCACATATGTTCCTACTACAGAATATATAATGCAGTGTGAAAGCGACATACAGCTGCGCATGTGCATATGATGCAAAGTTTTGAAAAGCTAATGCAGGCTTGTCTCCCCAACATGATTGGTCAAACAAGGAACAAATCAAACGCGTGATTTTTTTCTGTAACGTTTTCTCTCGGTCCACACCTGGAGAGGGTATAAACTTTCTGCTTATCTTTCATCGTTATCCGACGTTTATACTCCAAGGAGTTTCGAACGAAAAGTTACTTTTTTTAACGTTCCCGTTTTTCTTTTGTTTTTAAATTCTTACCTTGCTAGTCACTTCTTACAATTTCATATGTTTATCAAAAATGATATTTGTTTCATTAACAGTCATACCAGCTAATCATTTTGAAAAGTTCGAAATAAATATCATAATAAAAGTATATTTTCAAAAGTCTTGCCTCCACGACTACTATTGCTTTCTTTATACTGACCAGTCACAATTATCTTCTCGTTTATAGGGGTGAAGGAATGGGCTATCTGCAAGTCATGAGCAGAATAGGCGCAGCATTGGCCCCCTGGGTCACCAAATGGCTCATTGGCTACGCAGTAATTTACGGTTCTCATGGTTTTCTTCCGTTCTTGGTGCTTGGATCTTCATCCCTTGTTGCTTCCATATCGTTGCTATGGCTACCTGAAACCCGAGACAGCGCCACTGCGGAGACGTTTGAGCACTTTGAAAAGAAGAACGCAGAACTGGTCGATGGGAAACTTTTGGCAGATATGGGTGAAGATGACAAATTTGCTAATGGAGAAAAATGCTAAATCTCATGAAACAATTTTTTTATACAGCAACTGATTACGCATTACGTACCTCTATTTGATGAAACTAAATATATCTTAGAACAAACATAAGAAAGACAGAGCACATTAACTCCAACGAACAGTCATCATAAACGTGCCTTAGCGATATATGTAACATCTGGTTAGCAAAAACGCAATATTGTTATTATATTTATGTACGACGATCTGTCAACCTGCTTAGATTGTCTATGAGATTCATAAGGCATCCAGATATCATATAACCATTCTGCATCCCGTTTGCGTCGAAACAAATTAGAGAAGATCCCAAATCAATCTTGATTTTTTATCGCGGAAAGGAATGCAAGTTTTCTACAGAAAACGAGGTTGTTGAACTTTGGTTTGTGAGAAAATGTTTGAGTATGAATCCCTTGATAGCCAAGTGAGAAACACTACTGGGTCCTAAGAAGTAGTCAATTTTTTGTCCAGGCACTTTCCTGCAAATGAAATTCACAAAACTTCCAGCAACTCCAGCTCGAAGCTTACTGTCATATTTTGTCAGGGGTTTCTGGGGTTGGAGACTAACAGGGAAAAAACCGTTCTTACAAGAAACTTTTTATTAGTAAATTTATTGGGTTTGCCCACGATGATTTTGTGTCAAATTGAAGTTGACCACAAAGCAGAGACTCTCAGAGACGCATGTCAAAAATGTAGGCGCCATTTCACCTACCAATTAGGTTATTTTACCGTCGAACTAAAGATATTGTGGACTAACTGAAGGTTTACTGTGATGGTGAACAGAAATCTGGCTAATTTAGGGTGCTTTAATCATAAGAACAGAGAGAATCTTTGGAAAAATATAAATTGGTTTATAAGAAATTTGACAATACTTTTCACGTTTTAAAAAGGGAATTATCGCCAAATTTGAGAGTCAAAGATGGAATAAAAATTCTAGGCGTTTTTATGACCCTTTAATTTGGTTTCAATGCATAAGTTTGTCACTGTTTCATTTTTAATGTGGTTTCATTTCATTTTCGTTTCTTTTTAAAATTCCACTGCATGCAAGAGTCATTCACTGTGCAACAATTAACAAAGATTATAAGATTACAAAAGAAGAAGAACAGAAAATTGATAGAAATTTGTATAGAGGGGAATTTCTTAATAGATAAGCCAATCGGCTATTCTAATTTCTTAAGTAAAGTAGTTGAGCAAACTTTCTTTGCTTTCCTGCCCCAACCAGCAAAGTAGCTGAGCAAACTTTCTTTGCTCCCCTGCCTCAGTGAAACAGCTTTTGGGTCATGAATTTTCGAAAAATAAACTTTGGTGAAGACACTCTCGAGTATTTGTTGGAGTTTTTTAACTAATAAAGTTACATAGGTGGAGACCAGCTTCAATTACGAAAGTGGGTCTTGAACTGTTTAAACCTTGCTTTAATATCATCAAGCAAAACAGAGGTTTGCATGACAATAAGCATAGTGGATGCTTTTAACGTCATAGAGGTATAGTTTAAAATGGTTGCAATTTAGTCCCCAGTGTCTGCAAGAACATAATAAAATGGAAAAAATCGACGAATCCTTCCATTTGTGATTTGAGCATATGATACTCCCCTATCCAATCTGAAACTTTTTCTTCATTCAAAAAGTAGTAATTTGTGAACCTCGTAAAAATAACAGTATTCCTTTAGGAATCTTCATGTCTTTGACTGCTGGCCCTTCCTCTAATTTGCAAATTTGAATGACTTTGTGTAGCTAAAAATATTCCGTGATGTTCATTCAGAAGATTTTGCTCAAATGAAAAGAATGAATACATATCTTATGACGTCATTACACAACCCTTATATAAATTTAATGCCATGAGGCAGATAGAGTCATCAAGAAATAATCAAAGAGAAGTGTAGGTATTGTGAAGGACTACAGAGTTTTGAGAACTTTTTTAAGACTGGCGTTATATGTCACGAATAACTCCTGAGAATTGGCCTACTGGGAATATGTTATAAATCAAAAGAGCCACGGACAAGAGTCCCAGAATTCTTTTTGAATAGTCCTGAACATAATCTGTATTGATACTCACTACAACAATATAAAAAGGCCAATCGTATTTGATCATCTCAGTTCATATCTGAAAACCCGCTCGATAACTAGATCTTTTCGAATAATTCCTCCCCCTTGCTTTTCTCTGGGAGGTGGTGATTGCTCCCTCTTTCCGTAAGTTCATTGTTGCACCTAGGAAATTCAATGGCATGTCAAAAGATTATCATATGAAAATACCCTAAGTCTTTTGAAAAGCAAGAAACTCTATTATCGGCTAATTAGATTTATACACTTAACTACTTGCAAAATTGTTAATGTCTTATCTAACTATCTTTTCTTTAATCATTATTAATAACAATTAATAACTACCTTTTTTTCTCTTTCACGTATATGCTTTGCTATTTGCTTTAGGGAATTCAACTGATGAATTTTTACCGATTTTATCAACATGAATGTCAAATTTGAGATATTCGTTAATTTCAACACACCAAGTTAAGTTTCATGGTTATCTATTATCATCGTAAACTCGTGACAGTTAATTTAAAATTTTTCTTTATGATTACCACTATTTTCAATAGAAATAGCTTGAGATTGAGACAGGTTTGCAGTCATTTTGTTTAATATAAACCATTCCAGGCATTTATTAATGTTTGTTATTATCAGTTGTAACAGCAAGTGTGTTGTCATCTGCATTAGTTGCATTAACAGAAAGTGTGTTGTCGTCAGCAAAATTGCACAGTGATCCATTATCAAGGTAGTAAAAATATTATTTATGAAATTTTAAAGTATCTATTCTTGCAGTACTCCTTGTCCAAGCTTACTCCTTGTTTTTAAGAATATTCAGGCTCTGTATCATCTAACTTTGAAGAACATTACAAGAACATTGCTCAGCAATTCCCTTTTTCGGGATGTTCGTAACGGAGTACCGCTGAACTGGCATGTCTCGTTTTTCAAAAAGCGTGGCTTTTAGTCAAGAGCGGGTGATGTTCTCCTGAAACAAAGAATTAGAATACTTAAGTTTTATTTCCAGGCTCAAAACTAATACTTTTCATAAACATCGAGGCTAGAAAATTTGATAGCATTCTTATAAAAAGAAGGTATGGTTGAGACGGGGAGGGGGTGGTTCTTCCACAGTTTAAGTGCCGTGGGGGTGTGCCGCAAGCAGGGGTATACTTTTTGGGCTTCTTCTCTAGCTGAAGGTATACTTTTTGCAATTTTGTCAAGCAAAGACCTAGCCAAAGGTATCATATTTGACAATTTTTGTCTAGGGAATGGCCTTTGAAAGTAAGAATTTCCCCCTGAAGAACCCATTTTTGTTGATAATGAACTAGTAAATGAAACTAATCGATCTTTCACATTTTGAGATAACTGCTAATTTGAACGGCTTAGAAGTTAATCTAGCCAAGGGTACTTTTTATCAATAATAGACCATACAGGGTAATTTGCTGGTCTGAGATAGCGGGGCAGTGGCGTGCAGTTGTAAGCAGTGGTGTATTTTAATCTCGCAAACTGGGTAGCTTCAAAACCTTGAAAAATTGATCATTTATCACAGTTGAATTGTTACAACTCTGTAGGCAGCATAAAGTTTTATTTTTGTCCCATCACTAGATGTGGATTGTAAATAAATAAATAGTAAATAGACTAACTTTCACGGGCCTATTGTATGTTTGCGGCTTCACGGCCTCGACCCTATTTCCAAGTGCGGCCAACTGATTTGGCAATAGGTTGTCTGTGGATTGCGGCTTTAGCCTAAGATGCGTCTTGCATCCAACGGTTTACAGCTTTTAGGATTTGGATGCGTTTTCACAAAAAGCATGCAATCAAAAGATGTTGAATCAGGTTTGGTCCAACGCAAGGCGAAACATCATGAAAAGACCTGTCATAAAGTTACTTCTAGCATCTTTTTTCCTCTTCCTTTATGCGAGTAATTCGTTTTTTGTGCCAGGGCACGTTTTGCAATTGCAGCTGTGTCTTCACGCATTTTTTCCATGCAAATAACGGATTGGGCTGATTTTTACACGGTTTTGCGGCTTTTAAAGCCCCCCCCCCCCTCCAAAGAAAATAGGCCCCAACTTTCTGTTTATATAAATCGATTGTCTACTGATACAATGACTGTTGTCATTGAATTCTTAGGCCTTTGTTGGTTAAGTTTTTCGTTGAAGAAAGCGGTTAAATCTAAATCCTCAATTGAAACCAAAAAGTAAAAAGCTAGACAAGTCTTGACACATTTTCTCTAGGCACATTTTTGATAGATTTCATATTTCTTAAAAATCACTGACAACAGAGAAGAAAAAAAACACTAATGGCCTTGTAAACAAAGATAAACCCATTTTTAAAGACCTCAAGGAAACTATGAGCTAAAAAGTAGCTTTTTGGCATTTGATTTTTAAGAAATCTTCAAGTAACTTTTTGCCCTGGAAAAAACAACAAAATTAAAGGAAAACTGAGTTATATATCTGAGCGTATTTTTGTATAAAAATGATTGTATTATGCTTTTAATTAGTCGGTGATCTAAATATAAGATTGATCTTTGATTTTCAAGAAAGAGAAGCATTTATGTTGGATTTAATGACCTCTTAAAGGCTACATTCAGTGATAGTTCCAAATGGAGTTTAAAGCAAATAATTTGCTCACAGGTCTCACGATTATAGTCAGAAACCGCGCATCAGTCTAAAAATGGAGGGGCTGAAAAGGGCGCGACCAAAAAAAATTCTGGAAAACGTATAACGCCGAAAAAAAGCCCCTTTTAAAGAATACTTGCTTTTTTCTATAAATTTTTTATAAACCGTCTGATTCTGAGAAGATGTCAATAACTATAAACATAGATAAAATTAGTTCGGGGATAATAAAATGCCAAGCTAACCAAGTTAGAAAATACATCATATCGCTAAACAAGATAAAACACCTAGAAAAATAACAAATAAGGTTCTTATGCCTGTCGAGACCAACATGCCACTTAGGAAGCGAATTGCTACTACAAAGTTGTGTTAGAGTAAACCTTCCAAAAAATTTTCTTACCTTTTGTTGCAAAAAATAAGGGAACATAGCCCCTTATGCCCGATAGCTGCGCGGTGCCTGATCATAGTATCGTGTCTCATAGATGGTATGTTCTAAAAGATCCAGTTCTCTGTAAACGTCATTATTTCCAGTCTACTTTTGTTCCTGGTTAAAGCAAGGCTACAAATTCTAGAATTCTACCTTTTTGCTTTAATTTGCCATTGCAAATGTATATTTTGCGTTTTACAACAATTTTTTTTGAATGATTTAGTTTTTCTGGGAAAAGATTCGTGGAAGGAAGTATGGCGTCATATTTCAAATGCTCACATGATGCAGTCACGTCGAAACAGGGATTGGATTCCCGTTATGAGGAAAGGTCCTTTTCATCACTAAATGTAATAGTTGTCATTTAGAGGGTAAGGAACTGAAATTTTGATATATTTTGTACGGGAGGAGAGAGCTTTTTTTGCATAGCAATCAACATGCCACATGATGCACAGATAGAGCAATCGCCTACACTGGAACACGATATTCCTGTTTCAAAATGTTGTTCGGCGATGTTTGCAATCCAAATGTGTTTCTCAGCTGTTAATGCCCTCCTCATTGTGATAGTGGATAAATCTCTAGATGTTTTCATTTTGGCAGTTGTGTCCGCCGTAAGTGCGCTTTTGTTTTTCATTAGATTTTTCTCACCAATTGTTTTTATCACGGATATAATCCTACTGCCTTTTTCCTATGCAGTGCAGGGCTTTATAATGCTTGTAGGTAGTTTGGAGAGAAAGGGGCAAAACTCTCTGAAGCCACGCCAATTTTTTCCAGGAACGCTAATTTTTCTGTACAGTTTATCTTTATATTGTAATATCGATACTTATTTCATGCTAGGTCAGTCTCGCGTTTATGCTTATATTTGTTGTTTATGCTTCTCTTTTTCAATATGTTTATGCTTCTCTTTTTCAATATATACTTGGTCGCACTTTAGTTTTTCATATTTTCCGGCAGCGTTAAATGTCACATGCCCTTCTACCCGAGGGGCATTTCTAGCGTACGAGATTTTTGGGATTTCTAAAATCCCAAAATCCTGATTGGGATAATCGGATTTTTGATCAGATTTGACAGGGATTTCTGAATTTCTTTGGGATTTCTAAAGATTTCCAGAGATTTTTCTTGGACTTTAAACATTCTTAATACCATTAAAAAATGTAAATGATCGTCAACTAATCTTTTTAATTAAATGTATAAAGCCGAGATGACTCATTGCTAATTCCTTAGTGTGACGTCATAAAAGTTTATTATCTAGAATTTTTGGATTCTAGCTGCATAACCTTTACCCTGGGAACCAGACTCACTATATATAAAATAAAATATTCATTATTATATTATTTTATAAAGTCAGTCTGGTATCCAGCGTACATAACCTTAAGAACACCATGAAATACTTCAAAAAAGCAAAATCTATAGAATCTATTGGCTATCTATAGAATGTGGGTTGTATATGGCAAATGAAATATTTGAATTTTGCTAATAATTGTAATGCTATGAACAGAGACAAAATATCAAGATTACAGAGGTCTCTGCAAATAATGAAGGTCTAGCCTAATACAAGACAAATTGTTGGGACAAAAGACAATTTTTGTAATTTTCTACTTTATGTTGCCCCTGTAGATTCGAAACCCCCCCTTCCCCCTACCCGACCAACGTTGGACTTATATTTCTATCACTTTTGCTTCAAAATCATGCATTCAACATTGAGTCGGGGGAGGGCGAAAGCATTTTTTCAAAGAAAAGCGAAAATATCAACTTTTTTCAAAAGTCTCAAATAATTTTTTTCTCATCGAATTTAGAAAAATACAAGGTCCTGCCGAGGCGCCGCTACTGATCCTGCCGAGAACTGTGGGGGAGGGAGTATCCTGGCGGCACATGTAGTAAAAATAAGGGCACCTATGTTTTTGGGGGCACCTCTGTAATCTGCAAGTAGTTGCTTTACCGCATTCTGAAAAACGGGGACCCCTTTTGCCCCCCTCCTTGGTTTCTGTCTATGGTTTCACTTCCATGCATCTCTATTACTGCTCTTAGGGTACTGAAGGTACTAAGCATGTGCTGATGGTAGTTATGGTAACCAGAAAGCTCCAGTGCAGCAACCTCAATATTAGCATCCAGTCTGTCATCTTCTTCATCTCTGCTGTATTTACTGAGCATTGCTGAAATTTTTGGCACTATTTAGCCGATTTTTAGCACACTTTCCAAACATTAATAATAAACTAATTTATAGGGTAATAGGGTAATTTTTAGACTTGTCTGCAAATAAAGAATGGCTCACCCACTTTATCGGCAAATAGGATGGGAGCCAACCCTACCCCTCTCTTTGAGCATGATAGCTAGTGACGGGCTGACGGCCACGGCCCTGTGAGCATTCAGACAATGTTTATGACTGCGGAAAATGTCCTGTTTGTGAACGTGTAAAGCATTGAAAGTCAACCGCCTTGTGCATACATTTTCTATTGCTTCTCTACTCTCATTCGTTATCATAGCACCCTTTTACTGTATCTTTTTTCTAGATTTTTGTTCAAGGAGCACTTGGTATCATTGCAAATGAAAGAAGGTTGCGTTCACTTGTAAGCTGTTTCATTTTCTAATTGTTTGATATTACAGCTTCTTTTACCAACAATCTGCATATTTTTTTCCTCTACGATTTATAATCGTAATTTTCATTTATGCAGTACTAACATTAAACACTATTATATAGCTTGTTATGTTGTGTAGGCTTTAATGGTCTGATGATTATAATAGTATCATTGACATGACTAATCATTCGTAGTATACACTTATCGAGCAAACGTTTTGCATAACCTAAGGTGGACTTGCTACAAGTCTCTCTCTTTAAAGAAAGGGAAAAAGGAAAAAAAAGAAAGGGAAGGAGCTCTCATTCCCTCCAATTTTTTCTTTTTTCCCTTTCTTTAAAAAGAGAGACTTGTAGCAAGTCCAAACCTAAGGTAGAAATGACGGAACTTCTGCAAAATAATTTAGCTAAAATAGAAACTAGAAAATAGAAACTGAAATACCTACAGCTAGTTAAATAAAGCTTGTGAGATGACTTTTTAGTTGGAAAATAGAGGACAATTTATCAAGGTTTGGTATAAAAAATACCAAATTCAAGATTATTCTCGATTTTTGCCTATTTTAAAACAATATCGACACTTGCAAAAACGCAAAAGTTGAGCTATGATGAAAAGAGTGTTTGCATAAAAAATGTTTTATGTGTATAAACATACGAGACCACATTATGATGAACTCAGAATTACTTACTTTATGCTTCGGTGTCTAAAACTATCTGTTTTCCTCACCTTTGTAAGATAATTTCTTTGGCGGATATTTTTGGTGCTGCGACGTGCCTAACGGTGGAGCACATTTTGTGATTTGTTGCAATAGAATTCATGTCTCCAACGCCGTCGTTTCCAATCAATTGCAATGTTGTTTAAGGAATAAAAAATACTACAAAATTTCTCAAAACAAGGTTCCATCTCCTTACTTTCTATTTTCTTTTAGGGTATCATCAATTCAATTTTTGGCTGTCTGTGCCTTGCAGCATTAATCGTCAGTTGCACACTACATGTATACAGAATAACAGCTTATAATTCTTATTATAAACAAAGTAATAGATGGATGATAACAACTGGCTTCATACTGGCAATCTGGAACGCTCTAACGCTGTTTAGATACTTTCAAAAGTGGCCCAAATCAAACATCATATGTGGATGCATTTGTTGTGGAACAGAATATCTTTGCCCTGGAACACCATTAGGCCCTTCAGACTCAGTGAGTTCCTGACTTAAGAAAGTAACGAAAATTTTCCGAATTGGAAATAAGATTGCTCGATAGAATATTTGTAAGTCTTATTCAAAACATAAGGTAAGCAGTTAAAAGAAAATGCCATTGTTGGATGGCTGAGCAGAACAGCTTCGCAGTTAAAGGCCCCCTCAATTTTTTCCCACGTGTGTGTTACTGTTGTTTCAGATTTGTTTTTCAATGTTTTTCGTAGACAAATATGCTTTGTTAAAAAATATTACACATGTTGAGTTTGCTTGCTTGCACTTTTTTCTGTAAGAATATCAAAAATTTTGTCGACCCTAGATATTTTCAAGAAGTTTATTCTTAAAGTAGTTCTTTATTTTCAAAGCTGAGTGATACAGTTTTAGGGGAACATCGCCCGCCCTCGAACAGAAATAAGCTTTTTTGAAAAAATGAATTATGTCAGTCACGCAAATCGCTGTTATGAATACATGCTTATATTTCTTGTTCTTATTATCTATAGAATGAATGGTCTACTGTTTAAGGCAGCCAAATTCCCTGAAATGAGCTAATCTTTTCAAAGAGGGTGGTCCATTTTTGGCCTTCGCCTAGGTTTTTACGCTCTCCATAGTTGTGATTGGCTATACAGCGAGAGAGGTCACGTGATTTATTACAAGCTCTCAGCTAATCATGATTTGATCCCCATGCTCCAAAATGTCTAAATACTGCTAACCATAAACAAATGGCTGAACGGTTTCTTTATTCTCAACCAAACTAACAGCAATGTTTCTACTTTTTCAGCCAAGAAGAAGAAGAAGGCGTGAGTATGAAGAAATCAGGAATTCAGAAGAATGGGGTTATCAAGACATGCATGGCAATTGTGGACGAACTTCTTCTGCAAACAGCAACCAGGGGACAGTAGGATTTGTGAGTCAGTTAAAGTCGATTGATTGCCTCGCGCATTGCACCAATGAAAAACTACAATAAAAATTGTATGTGTTTGTTAAAAATCAGTTTGAGGTAAAGACCCCGTTTAGACTACGAAAAAAGAACAGAATTCCATGGTTGCATGTCTGCAAGAGCGACGATCGGCCTTGCGTTTACACAAGGTATCTTGGTTCTGTGCTAGCTTGAAAACGGTCTCGTTTTTCTTTGGCTTCATCTTAAAATGAAACTATATTGTTCTATTTCCAAACCGTGCTTGTTTTATTCTACTGTAAACTGTCAGGAACGTCTCACTTATTCGTGGTCCCATTTTGGCGAAGTTTTCTCAGTGAAACTTGAAAGGATTGTAAACGGGACTGTGAATATCTGGTCCACTTAACAGAAGTCTCACGCATCCCTATTCAAAGCCCCAACTATCGAAAGTATGCTATCTTAAATTGCCACCTGAACACCGGGGTTTGCTTTTAAGTTTAAATCCCAACAATTTATCAATTCTGTCTTTTAATTGCAAAAATTAAACTTGATCTGTAAATTAGTGGCTGTTGTGATCAGTGTGACTTATATTTCAAAATTTTTTTGAGAGAAAATCTTAATCAAAAGCTGTTTTGACAGGTTAACAGACCAAGTCCAGCAACCTTTGCAAAAAATCCTCTAGTACACCCAGAGACGTCAAACAATGAAGCACAGAGGAATGAAATCACTGGAAGAACACGAGCTTATCCCGATATAGAGCCTCGCTCCCCAATACGAAACGATGTAAAACCTCAAAAGGAAGTTCCGCAACCAGTGAGTTCCAGATTACAATGAATCCTTGATTTAGCCTCCTTTTTATGGGAACATACCTATGGGGAAGGTTTTTAAATGAGAGGGGTGCTTTTAAAAATTATTTCTATTTTTGAAGTTCATTTTTTTCAAGTAAGGAGGCCATTTGCAAATTGATATTTACAAAAAACGTTTTGCAAAATTCCCTGGTTTTCCAGTTCATAATTTTTCGTTGAATATGGAACACCGTGGATTAAAATTGATTGATTTTAATTAGCCTCCTTGGCATACTCGATTAGGCCTCAATAGAAGGTGATATTGCTAAATTAAAAACATATTTTGGTTGTTTTATTATAAACAAGTACCAGATCAAAATAATGATTTTTTTCTTACCTTTTTCTATGTCCCTTGCAGGAAGATATCTATGTTTTTCCGACAGACCCAAAGGTAAAAGCTGAAATTTTCCAATATGTAAGTTAATCCTTATGCCTTAAAAGTCGTTTACCTTTTCTTTGATAAATCTGAGATTTCATTTAGAAAGTACAATGTAACATTAATAGTGAAAATGACTCAAAGTGTTGGCTAAATTGAAGCGGAATTGCAATGCCTGTACTCCTATGGACATATTGCAGGCAAATTGTAACAAATCTACCTAATGTAAGACATTCAGAGGTCTGTTATGGTGTCTTTTTAGGTTATTTGTTCAGTGTCCAATATTCACAAAACCAATAAAACAGATTTTTATGACGTCATCACTTTTTCACTCTAAAGCATTTGTTTATTAACGCTTTTAACCCCGGCGATATTCAAGATTTTTAAAAGACACTAGCAACACAAGGCTGCCAAAATCTAGTCCACCTATAAGATTCTTTTGACATTTCTATGTAGTTGAGCAGAAGTAATTTTGGAAAAACAACCTCGAGCAGATTTTCAAAAATTGCGTCACACTTAATTACGTCAATGCTTTTCATGTCCCCTAATTGTCACGTTTCGTCATGAATCAGTTCTTTCCGATATATTATTTCCTGTATTGTTAGTTCCAAAAAATACTAAGAGTATAGAAAAGTCTGGGATGTTGAAAAGAACTATAATAATACATGTAATGCTAAAATAGAACAACATGAAAGCATGGAATGAAGAAAAATATTTCTCGCTAATTTGACACCGCACCTGATTACTTGTGATAAAGTCGTGCTTTCCATGTCCATTTTGGAATTCCCGTTTGAAAATATGTAAAAGACATCGCTCTATTGCAACCCTCTCCCAATATGAGACGACCTTTCTGAAAGTCGCATTTCTTGATCTAAACTTGTTGAATAATTGCAGCAGTAATCCTGCCCAGACCTTGAATAGTTGATAAATAACTCCTTTTTTTTCATGAGAGTGAATTTTTGTAAAAAACATTCCCTTCTTTCTTCTAATTTTTTAATCTGATTTAATTTTTAATCCCGGACGGAATTTTTAGGCCTCGAGTTTTCTACCAATCCAGGTTGACCTGTTGAGATAGAAAATGAACCCACCCCTTTCAAATCTCTGTGAATTTCAACAAGGGGGCTCAGCCCCCCTTCACGGCACGAATGTATACAGTTTAATGTGAACTACAATTGCAACTGACTTCCTTGTATGGAAATAAAGTTAACCCTTTTAGATTTCTATTATATTCCAAATCTCTCTAAATATTTTGTTTTAATTCTATTTTGTTAATGTGGTTTTCATCAAATGTTGCTTTGACAGCCTGATAAACCAAATTCACCAAACAGGCAGATCGACCAAGCCGGTCGCAAACAAAGCCCAAATTGGCAAACACGTTACGTACCAGCAGCTGCAGCAACTAAATATGAAAACTTTGATATCCTGGCCTATTCACCAAGGGACGTGCCCTTAGACCCACATCCAGTAAGCTAAATATTATCTAGATCTAAACTGCTGCTTGATGTTCAGTCTTGACTTGGTTTCAGTTTTTCCACTGACTCTCTGGGACCAATTTTGGACCCCGAGTTTTTCACTAATTCAGGGTTTTTACCTGATAAAATAGAAATTTGGTTCGGATCCGGTCATTTCTCATTATATGGGTCCTCAAGCTTATAAAGAGAAGATTTTACGAGGGACGGTGTTGTTTTATTCAGAATTCTATTTTATTATTTTAGAAGTCTCTCGATCGAAGTTTGCTGCAAAATTGTTGAGAAAATCCTTACTCTATAATGCTCTATATCGCTTCCATTTTGTTTATTATATGCACCGTATCATGGAGTGCACATTTTCTTATTGAGCTCAAATATCTATTTTTGAGCTTGTTATAAACGGTTAGGTCAGTGATTAAATAGAGAATGTTCTCAGGCCAAAATTGTAAAAGTTACACGGTATAGATGTTATAATGTATGTTACAATGTAAGAAAGTCTCTAAAATAGTTATACAGTTCAATGTGAACTACAATTACAACTGATTTCCTTCAATATAGATAAAGCTAAACCTTAAGTTTCCACCGTATTCCCAATCTATCTTAATTGTTTTTGCTTCAATTCTATCTTAATTGTTTTGCTTCAATTCTATTTTATTTATAAAGTGTAATAATGTATTAGGCATAAGCCATTTTATATTAGCCTCGGATTGGAGTTGATAGAGGAGATTAGATCAGGGTCGGAGTGAAAACATGGCGTCTTGTCTCGTGTGCTCTCTAGGTCTAGCGTTAGGTCGCAGCGGATCTTAGGCATCGCGCGCGCATACACAACATATTATGGCGACGAGTTATCTAAAGAACCCAAAGAAGGATTAGAAAGTAACAATTTCGACAAGAGAATACGAAATATGGAAGAAAACGATAATCAAATAGGCCAGGCGCAGCAACCTCAACCAGTATCGATTCAATTACCTCCAGTTAAGGAATTTGATCCAAAAGGAGATCCTTCCACGGTAAGTCAAAGATGGCAAAAATGGAAGAAATCGTTCGTTTATTTTCTGAATGCAACAGGTATTCAAAATGATAGCCAAAAGAGGGCAGCACTTTTGCATCTTGTAGGAGATGAAGTGCAAGACATATTTGAAACATTAGGTGAGGTAGGCACAACATATGACCAGGCAGTAAATAAGTTAGATAGTCATTTTGATATCAAGAAGAATATTCCATTTGAAAGATGTGTATTTCATGAAACAGGTCAAGAAACAGGAGAGAACATAGATTCATATGTCACTAGGTTGAAAAAGTTAATCATTCATTGTGAATATGGTGATGCAACACAAGATGAGATAAGAGATCAAGTAATAGCAAAATGCAAATCAAGTAAGCTTAGAAAAAGATTGCTACAAGAGCCAGATCTCACATTAGATAAAGTTCTAAGAATAGGAAAGCTCATGGAACAATCAGACCTTCAGACAAAGAAGATAGAACAACAAAATGGTGCAGGCTCATCAGCTGACACAATGAAAGAATCTTTCTCAGACCTGAATAAAATAAGGCAAAATAAATACCAGCACAAAGGTAGGCAAGCAAACAGAAATCAAAAATACACTCAACAAAGGGAACAATGTGGAAGATGTGGAATGAAGAATCACAACAGTAAAGACTGTAGAGTGACAAAAGGAAGAAAGTGCATGAAATGTGGAATTATGGGACACTTTGCAAAATGCTGCAAGACCAAAAATCCAAAGAAACCAGAAAATCATCAAGTGAGAGCAAGTAAAGTCACAACAGAAAGTTCAAGTGATGATGAAACATCAGTATTCAAAATTGGAAGCAAGGAAAGACCAGTATATCCAGTCTATATAGATGGCACACCAATAAATATGCTCATTGACAGTGGATCAACATTGAACATCATTGATGAGATATCATTTCAGAAATTGCCAAAAAAACCACAACTTGAAAGCAGCAAGACTAAGATATTCACTTATCTAGGCAAAGAACCATTGAAACTAAAAGGAACATTCAGAGCAAAAGCTGAAGCATTTGGGAAAGAAACCCAAGCAAAATTCTATGTCACAAAAGGTTCAGGAGGAGCATTGCTAGGACAAAAGACAGCAGAAAAGCTTGATATATTAAGAGTAGGCCCAGTTCTAGGTTCTAAAGCAGATCCAACAAATTCACTTCACAAATCAGTAAATGAAATCAGTCAAGAAAAGCCAACTGAACACAAAATAGATCCTAAGATTCAGAAAGTTCTGGACAACAACAGAGAAGTATTTGAAGGCATGGGTAAATTCAAAGACTACAAGTTAAAACTACATATTGATGAAAATGTCATTCCGGTTCAGCAGCCAATCAGAAGATTACCATATCATACAAGAAAGAAAGTTTCTGCAGAACTAGAAAGATTGTTGAAAAATGACTGCATAGAGAAAGTTAAAGGCCCAAGTACCTGGATAAACCCAATAGTAGTAGTACCAAAGCCAAATGGAACCATAAGATTATGTTTAGATATGAGAAGAGCCAATGAAGCCATAGTAAGAGAAAGACACCAGATTCCAAAAGTTGAAGAAATCCTCCCAGAGTTGCATAATGCAAAATACTTTTCAAAGATTGATTTAAAAGAAGGGTACCACCAACTAGAGTTAGCAGAGGAATCAAGGCACATAACAACATTTCTAACACATGAAGGTTGTTTTCAATCAAAACGTCTTGTGTATGGAGTCAGTTCAGCCTTTGAGCAGTTTCAGAAGGTTATTGAGCAAAGCATTGCAGGTTGCCCAGGCACAAGGTCAATATCAGATGACATTCTGATATGGTCATCGAGTAGAGATGAAATGGCAGAGCGTCTTGACACGCTATTCAAAGCATTGCATGCCAGAAACTTAAAGATCAATCCAAAGAAATGTGTATTTGGAACAACAAAGCTCACATTTGCAGGATATTGTCTAACAGACAAAGGAATTCATCCAGATAAATCCAAAGTGGATGCAGTCAACAATGCCAAAGTCCCAACAAATGCAACAGAAGTAAGAAGTTTCCTAGGTCTAGTCAACTTTTGTTCACACTTCATCAAAGACTATGCTACACTTACGGAACCTCTGAGGAAACTCACCAGAAAGGAAACTACATTTGCATGGAACAAGGAACAACAAGCAAGTTTCACAAAGTTAAAGGAAAGCCTTACAAATGCAAGCACAATGGCTTATTACCAGCCTCATGCAGACACAAAAGTTATTGTAGATGCTTCACCAGTAGGACTAGGGGCAATCCTTACTCAAAAACAACAAGATGGACAATTCAAGCCAGTTGCTTATGCATCACATGCATTAATCCCAACAGAACAAAGATATTCTCAGACAGAAAGAGAAGGCTTAGCCGCATTTTGGTCAACACAGAAGTTTCATTACTATTTGTATGACAGAGAATTTACAATAGTAACTGACCACAAACCACTTGAAAAACTATTATCAGCAAGAGGAAGCCCTACACCAAGATTGCAAAGATGGTTACTAAAAATGCAACCATACAAGTTCACTGTTCAATTTGAACCAGGACACACAAATGCATCTGATGTACTATCTCGTTCACCTTTACCAGCTACAGGAGAAAAGTTAAGTGATGATACAGAACATTTCATCAACTCAATTGTTTATGATGCTATTCCTAAATCAGTCACAATAGAGGAAATTCAAGAAATATCAAGAAATGATGAAATATTGAAAAACATCAAAGAACAGATCAAATCAGAGAAATGGTCAAAAAGTCCACAATACAAACCATATTTTCTGAACCGGAGAGACCTCTGGATCAAAGATGATATTATTTTAAAAGGCACAAAGCTAATAATTCCCACAGATCTAAGACAAAGAATACTTGCCACAGCACACCAACATCACTTAGGCATCGTGAAAACTAAAGGATTACTTAGAGAAAAAGTATGGTGGCCAGGAATAGATCAAGAAGTGGAAAACTTGATAAAACATTGCCATGCATGTCAAGTAACAGGATCCAATAAAGTCAATTTTGAACCACTTGAGGTAACAAAGATACCCTCAACAAATTGGCACACAGTAGCTTTGGACATTCAAGGACCATATCCAACAAAGGATTACTTAATAGCACTCATAGACTACAGATCAAGATATCCAGTAGTTGCACAAGTCAAAACTATCAACACAAAGACGGTAATCAAAGCATTGGATAAGATATTTTCTATGTTTGGTTACGTGCACAAATTAGTTGCTGACAATGGAAAACAGTTCATTTCAGACGAATTCAAACAGTACCTCAAACAACATGGGATAAAGCTAAGGAATGTGACACCGTATTCACCATGGGTCAACGGTGAAGTTGAAAGATTCAACAGATCACTCAAAAAGGCAAATCAATGTGCACACGCAGAAGGAAAAGATTGGAGAGAAGAGCTGAACAAGTTTCTACTTCTCTACAGAACAACCCCACATGCAACAACAGGACAGTGCCCAGCTACAGTATTTTTTGGACGTGGTATCAAGAATGACATACCAGAATATGCAAAGGATGAACCACAAGACACAGAATTAGATAGGAAAGACAGAGAAAAGAAAGGAAAAATGAAAAATTACACAGACATCAAAAGGAATGCAAAAGACAGTGAATTTCAGGAACAAGACACAGTGCTAGTAAAGAATCTCTGGAAAAATGACAAATTATCTCCAAATTGGTTAAATGAGAAATTCAAAGTCATCAAGATCTACAGGAAAAGTGCTTTACTAGAGAATGAAAGAGGAAACAAATTTTACAGGAACAAAGCTCATCTCAAGAAATACAATGAGAGTGAATCAAACAGACAAGCAGTACCTCAAAAGGAGAACACACACAACACAGATGAAGAGGAAGACATCTTAGCAGAGGAACTCTTAATTGACAATGCGCAAAATGTCGCAAGGCCAACGCGTTCCGAGCGCAGACCGAATAGAGCAATCACTAATGCTAATGACGCCAATAACACTCTACACTTAAATGAAAACAATAATTCTAGTTTGCATGAAAGTGATAATGCTGACATGCATCAAAATAGTGAAAATAGGTTTAAGGAAGGAATTGTTGAGGATCATTGGAATAAACAAAGCAATGAAGACATACAAGAAGATATTGGCAACAGAACACCAGTTTTTGTACCAGATTCTGTTCCAACAGCCATTCAAGAACAAGTACAAGTGAAGAAATTTCCAATAAGAAGGAGTTGTAAGAAGAAAAACTGAATAAAAAGGACAGACAGGAGGTTGTATATATTTATATTGATTGACTTTGCACAAGTTGATTGAGCAACACATTGGAGTTCTACTAGTTATGTTCATTATAATCAAGAAGCTGGAACTTTGAAGATTATATATTTGTTTTGTTGATGGATGAATATCACATATACTTTTGCTGACACTGAAGAACAATCATCTACGCTGAAGGACTAAAGCTGAAGAACATTGTTTATATTAATTGTTTGTTTGGTTACGTTTACAAAACTCATATAGAAACCCTAGAGGACAATTTCAAGAAAAGGGAGAATGTAATGTATTAGGCATAAGCCATTTTATATTAGCCTCGGATTGGAGTTGATAGAGGAGATTAGATCAGGGTCGGAGTGAAAACATGGCGTCTTGTCTCGTGTGCTCTCTAGGTCTAGCGTTAGGTCGCAGCGGATCTTAGGCATCGCGCGCGCATACACAACATATAGTTTTAATCAAATGTTGCTTTGACAGCCTGATAGACCAAGTTCAGCAAACAGGCAGATCGACCAAGCCGGTCGCAAACAAAGCCCAAATTGCCAAACTCGTGACGTACCAGCAGCTGCAGCAGCTGCAGCAACTAAATATGATAATTATGATATCGTGGCTTTTTCACCAAGGGACGTGCCCTTAGACCCACATCCAGTAAGTGAAATATTACCTAGATCTAAACTGCTGCTTGATGTTCAGTCTTGACTTGGTTTCAAGGTTATGAGAGTTTTTCCATTGACTCTCTGGGACCAATTTTGGACACATTGTCTTTTACTAATTCAGGATTTTTACCTGATAAAATAGAAATTGGGTTCGGACCCGGTCATTCTAAAATTCTAAAAGTTACACTGTATAACCGTTATAATGTATGTTACAATGTAAGAAAGTCTCAAATACAGTTATACAGTTCAATGTGAACTACAATTACAACTGATTTCCTTCTATATAAATAAAGCTAAACCTTAAGTTTCAATCGTTTTCCCAATCTATCTTAATTGTTTTTGCTTCGATTCTATTTTATTTATATAGTTTTAATCAAATGTTGCTTTGACAGCCTGATAGACCAAGTTCAGCAAACAGGCAGATCGACAAAGCCAGTCGCAAACAAAGCCTAAATTGCCAAACACGTGACGTACCAGCAGCTGCAGCAACTAAATATGAAAATTTTGATATCCTGGCTTATTCACCAAAGAACGTGCCCTTAGACCCACATCCAGTAAGCTTAATATTACCTAGATCTAAACTGCTGCTTGACGTTCATTCTTACATCGTTTCAAGGGTATGGGATTTTTCCATTGACTCTCTTGTTTTTCAGTGATTCAGGTTTTTACCTTTTAAAATAGAAAATGGGATTTGGATCCGGTCACCTCTCATGTTATAAATGCTCAAGCTTATAAAAAGAAGATTTGGTAATATCCAGTGTTATCTTATTTAGACTTTTCTATAACTCCTTTCTGACTTTTGCCAAACCTGCGTATCTAAAGAATTTGAGCTTGGCCCTTTAAAGTTGTGTTTGAATCCCTGTTTCTTTGATATATAAAGTGTGAGGCATCGTCTAGAATAACATTCTAATTCACGAGCGAAAAGATGTTGGAATTTTAATGTAAACCATTTATCTGTTAGTTTAAATGAATAAGATGCTTTTGATTCTTGCACTTATTTTGAGTTGATTTTTTGTTATTCAGACCAGCCGTCAACAACGACAACAACAAGACGTTGCGTCCATCGTTTCAGAATAAAATTGTCAAAAAATTGCAAAGGTAATTTTGTCTGTCCGTCGCAAAATATTTTGAGACAATTTTCACTGATGTAGTTGTAGTTTCCGATGACTTCTTTGAAAAGACTTCGTATCACAATAAAACGATATTAATTGTAATGCCTTTTCCTCACAAAGCGATTTTGATTTTAAACCATTCATAAACATACAAAAGTCACATCAACAATATTGCTTTGTTGTGGGTTGAGCGTAAAATCAATGAATTTTTGCGAACGATTGTTGTTTGTGTCAGAGGCGGCGCCAGAAATCTTCCGACAGGAGGGCTGGAGCTTCCGAGAGGGGGGCTAAAATGACTAAAATAAGCAGTTTTCGTACGTTATTTTGTCAAATTTGCTCCGACAATAACCTAAAATTTCCTCCGATGGGGGGGGGGCTAGATGCTTCCGACGGAGGGGCTGTAGCCCCCCTAGCCCTCCCCTGGCGCCACCGCTGGTTTGTGGGCGTTTTGCTTTATATTTCCTATACAAGAATATTCGATGTCAGAGGTAAATTTTTCCATTCGTGTAGATTTGGGGTTTGGGGACAGTTGCCCTCTAGGCCACCACTCCATCCCCAAAATTTCCGCTATGGACACATATAAATGCCTTTTACTAAAGCCTTTATAAATGCTTTTGAGTTTTTCACGGCTTTCTTTTCTTGTCAGGATTCAGACGATGTTCAGAATAAAGCGAATGCTTGTTTGCTTTTGCGAACGAATGCTTAATAATTATCTGACTAGTAATTGGAGTCATTTCATAATTGTTTGCAATTGGCATTAGTTCTATTTAGTTATATAATTGGAAATATTATATCTTAATTATTTAATTTATTTAATTATATGAAATTTTATTATGGGTCAACATAGTTGGTTAACCTTTTCTACTAATTGTGATCAAAACTGTTCGATGTGACACGTGTTCGATACAGCAAAACATTTTATCAGCAAATTGAGACAAAATTTGCCTGTTCTTAATTAATCTCGAAACTTTGATTATTGATAATTTGTTTCTAAAATTGTTTGTGAAAGCAATTTGATAGGAGACCAACAATGGCTAGTTCTGTACAATGCAGACACTTGTATAATAACATCGGCAAAATAGCTATGTGCACTGTCATGAACTGATTTATCCTTAAAAAATTTTTATAGCTATGATATCCCTATGTTGAGTTGTTTTTAATAAAAATGTTCTTAATGACAATGCTTTGATAGTCTATGCCAACATCACAAAGAGATTGTAAACACAAAGGTTATGCCTCGTCGATAGCTTTTGGAAGTCCTTCGTGAAAATAAGATCTTGATTGTTGAGAATTTTATATACGTGAAGTGCCCATTTTTTTAATTGACCCAGTATGGAGAGTAGATTCTTTCCAGTAGGTAAGTAGATCAGTTGTAATTTTGTCTCGATTACTTTTTCTAGTTTTTCCTGACTTCCTTTGCCATATAACAGTTATCGGTAAAATGACATCATGTAAAATAATGATAATTATATTTCTCCTTTTTTATCCTCCGTATTTCTTGCAATTCGCTTTAGGGAGTTTAACTGCTTGGCTGCTTTTTACAGATTCTATCGATTTGAATGTCAAACATAAGACCTCGATCTCTTAGAAAAGTAAGATGGCTATATACCATAATCGTAAGCTCATTGTTAATTTAACATTATATGTTTACCTATATCCCAAATGGCAATAAGGCACGTCTAGAGCCAGCTCTGGCCTTGGGGCTAAAGGCAACACGTGCCCTTGTGCAGGAGTAGTGGCGCAGGGGCAAAAGGGGGCTTCAGCATTATGAACACTTTTCGCGGGCTCTCCTTGAGACCTATCCCGGCTACCTACCCCCTTATCGCTCTCGACGGTACTGATTGCAAAAGCTAGGAATTTAGAGGGATTCACAATCATTTGGTTAAATTGAAGCCTGTCCAAGGTTGTAGGCATGTAGTTTGCCATTTCAGTCCTCGATGGGCCTAAAAAGACCAAACTGGGAAGTATTTTCTATATGAAGTATTTCCAAACCCCTTTGACCTAAAACCATGATTTTAGTTTTTGGCTAATTTCAAAACAATGTGCCCGGGTACAGGGCCGTTGGCCAATGTGATTGTGTACAAGGGGGTACCCCGATCCCATTGGCTGACAAAGAGGTTGTTCCATCCTCTATATGCCAACAAATCCGAAAAGTTGTTGACGAAGCACCGCTAAATGAGAAAAACCTCTTGTTTTTTTACAAATAATTGTTCTTTAACCCACCACCCCATCCCACCACCACCCCCCAAACGAACCCTTTAGCGACGGCCCTGCCTGGGCATAGATCGCATAAACACCTACACAGGGTTCCCATTCATTGCAGGACATCACATGACAATTGCATCATTGGGCTGCAATTGCATCAGCTTCTGTAAATTGTATTATTCTTAGGGTATATAAGGGGTGGCTTTATAGTTAGGTTGAGTCTTGCCGTAAGCTTTGTCGAACTCAGTGTACCTTGTCGCTAGCTTGCAGAATTGTGTTTGCCGTTACATTTTCGCCGTTAGATATTTTAGATATTTAAGATATTTTTAGTCGTTTGCCGTGAACTGATGAATTAGAAGAAGTGTATAGAGAATTGGATAACAGTTTTTGCCGTATTTATCGTGTACGTTTCTGCGGTCGATCTACGAACTCACATTTGTAAAACCCCCTTTTTAAGAGGTTTTACAGTATCGTCTTTCCTTGTCAAACATTTTTCAGTTATGTCTATTTCAGCTTGTAATTTCACGGTGCCTTTTAAGCTTGATTAAATGAAATTTAATCACGTTTAATATGTGACAGGGTACGCCTTTTAGGTGCCCCTTGGGCTTTTGTTTTTGGGCACAGATTCCGAGGGGGGCACTCTGCACATAGACATACGGGGTGAGGGTAAGTCCAAGAAATTTAAAGGCCACCCAAAAATATCAGCTCATTTTCAATAGGACCCAAAAATATCAGTTTTACTTATATCTTGTACCCAAAAATATCAGAAATTGGAATTTTGGGTGAGATAATATGACATTGCCCGAGTGCTGCAGGTGTCCTTGATGTTTTCAGTCCCTTGGTAAGACATCGTTTGACTTCTCCAGCATATTTCGTGCCATATAAAGTTTACAGTGAGTACAAAAAGTAGCATTAAAACTTCCAAAGAGTATGGTAACATGACTCCCGACGTGACTTGAAGTGGGTAAAATAAACCTCAGCGAATTAGATCCATGAACAATACATTTGATACGGATATGGAAATCTCACGAATACCTAAAAATATCAGTGTTTCTAAATTTGATACCTAGAAATATCAGAATTGTATCTACTATTTTCACAGGACCCAAAAATATCATTTCTGACAAATACTTAACCCAAAAATATCACTTTTGGCAAACATTTGACCCAAAAATATCGGACTGACCCCCCCGTATGTCTGTGTGCCAAGTGCCCCCCCCCCCTGGGCACAGATTGCACAATTGTGGAGTTTGTGTTTATTGTAGCATACCCTGGGTACCAGACTCACTATATAATATAGTGAGTCTGGTTCCCAGGGTAATTGTAGCAGTGCTCGAGTAAGCTTTACATTGTGTCTTTTATATGGCTATAGCAACAAGCGTGCAAATGTGCATTGGCCTTGGGTATATAAACTTTGTCTTAGCACAGTTTCATTCTCACACGTTGCACGACAACTCGAAGTTGGACTTTGGAGAGGAAGGTTTTTACTTTGCGACCCTGCCCACCCAACCCATGTCTAGATATCTTCAGGGGTTTTTCTTTACATGCATTTTGATTTTTTTTTCTTCGTGCATTAGTTAAAGGCCGTATGACTTGCGACTTTTTGCATGAACAAGGTGCTGCTAGTCGGCGGAAGAAGGCCATTGTTCTTCTTCTCAACCCCCTCAAAAACGGTAGGGGTTTTATTTATGGCCGTCTTTGCCGTCGGCGCATCGACTGCCCAAAAATAAATGGTTCAAATGATGAGAGAGCACCACCTTCAGTCTTATGATTGACAATGGTAAAACATTCTGAGAACAATCTTACCCTTATATATGCTAATGGTTTTTGTTTAGTAACCTGAAACAAATATTAAAAAACACCATAGAAATTTGAGCAAACATTCTACTTTTCCTAATGTTTCTCTTAGTGGGGGCTCTTATAACATTTATCATGCAAATCGTGATACCAGCATGAAATTTCGCAAACCTATCCAGTTTGATGCGCTGAAAAAGATAGGGGTCAGACCCTAACTCAAATTTGCCCCCGAATGCTATTTTTAGACTGGGGTACTTGGACACGGTCCATTTTGAGCATTCATCATAACTCCACTGCAAATAAAGATAAATGACTGAATTTTGGCAAACCTTAGTAATTTGATGTGCTGAAAAAGATAGGGGTCAGACCCTAACTCAAATTTGCCCCTAAATGCTATTTTTAGACTGGGGTACTTGGACCCGGTCCATTTTGAGCATTCATCATAACTCCACTGCAAATAAAGATAAATGACTGAATTTTGGCAAACCTTAGTAATTTGATGTGCTGAAAAAGATGGGGGTCAGACCCTAACTCAAATTTGCCCCCGAATGCTATTTTTAGACTGGGGTACTTGGATCCAGTCCATTTGGAGCATTCCACTATCTTCTTTGTCTCGAATTACAGAGCAGACAATCACATGAGCTTGCTGTTAAAAAGGGGATTCCCGTTAGCTCTCAATGGCAAGTAGAAACATGAAATTCTCCCGCTTGCTTTGCAAACAGGCGCGCAAAGAACTTTATCGATCCAATATGAGTTCATGCGAAGAGCGGCAAATACTCCTAGCAGAGAGTGGACGGAAAAAATTCCACAAAAAAGCGATAAAATGCTTTGCAATCTTGCAGCTTACCTTAGGTATTACCTTCATTTGTCTTGCGTGGTATTATCCTGGCACAACAACTGTGGAAAATAATCTTTGCAGGATTGGAGATAACTCAAGTGAATTGTTCATTTTTGAGAAAATGTTGGTGCAGGATGGCAAAAATATATCAATATTTTCCTACATAATAATTGGTAATGGAGCAACAGTGAGTATAAAGTACTCCTAAACTCTATAATGTTACTTCTTTTTTTCAGTTTAATTATTTCAGCCAAATTATTATGGTTCTGCCCACAAAATTACTTTAGAATCTGTACAATATCCAATATTCTTTCAAGCCACAAGATGGAAATGATGCAAAGTACTAGTTTCTCAAAAAAGATATTATCCCTGGCAATCTACTCTAGTGTCTCTAATACACGGGCTCCCCCAGTGGCGGATCCAGACTACCGCCATTACCGCTCGAGCGGTAGTCAGATTATTCAAAAAATTATAGAAACAAGGATCATTTTCATGTTTATCCTACTACTTCAATTAAACCATATTTAATTATTGAAAATATTTGATCGCGCTGCAAACCAAGCCTTTCTTCCTAGAAACATGCCTGAAATTTCCACAGAGACAGAAATATTTTTTAATCCTTATCGCTATGGAAATTGCGTGCCAATTGCCGAGCCACATGTTTGTAAATAGAAGGCTAGCATGGGGGGATGATGAAATCATGGCTTGCTAGCTAGGGGGGTTGAGTCGGTGTAGAGCGGATTCGAGCTGCACTGAGCGGTAGTCAGCCTGCCTAAACCAATCAAATCGTCAGAAATCACTGTCAACCTGGGGGGATGCATACAAATTTTGTTGACAACCAATGAACAACCGAGTTGACTACCGCTCAGATGGGGGGTTGAGTAGTACTGCCGCTCAACGCGGCTCAAACGTTACAGAAAGATGGGGGGATGCCTACATATTCTGCAAGTGGGCAAACTGTAACTTCAAAGCCGATGTGACCCATTAATCTGTACAATACACAACTATTCGTAGGAATATATTTTAAAAGAATATTAAATTAAAAGTCAGGCCCACAATATTCGCCAAAAGTATGATTCTTTGTTTAACAAAAATTGCTCTCAATAATTGCAAATTTTATCTAGCTTTTTAAACTTGTAATTTCCAACAGGTCTGATTTTCATAAGTAATTGTCCGACTAAATGCGAGTTTTAGGCGACACTTCAAAATTCTGCCAAATGTATCTTTTTTTAATTCTATGGTGTTCCTCGTCTAAATGCCGTAAATTTTTTTTAGAATATCCATCCTCAGAATATTGAATAAGATTATTTATTTCTTCTCAAGCTTGTTGTAAGGATATATGAAATATCAGTAAAGCACCGCTTGTCTCTTGAAAATGGTCTACAATAGAAATTAAAGAAAGCAATAATCATTTTAGAAAACCGGGTGTGACCAAGAAATGGGTGTGGTCTAAAGGGTGTGGTCAACCCTCTATCTCATTTCGGCGGTAGTCAGATTTTTGGCTGGATCCGCCACTGTCCCCCGTGTATTATTTTCAGAAGAATTTGCCCCCCGGCCCGTCGCTTATTAGCACCCCCTTTATGTTAAATTTCGCAAATCCGTCATGACCATAACACGCAGAAAATTGAAAAGCGATGTGATTTATAAAAAAAACACGCAGAAGATTGAAAAGCGATGTGATATTTAAAAAAGAGTAGACTCCCGTCTATGAGAACAAAACGCGTAAATTGAAGGGAATCCTCCTAAGACACTGCCTTTTAATAAAAAGATTTACTAACATCCACCTATTAGCTCCCCTTTGCTATTGAAATTTGTTTACATTTTATTGAAAATTGGCCAACTTGAACACCCCCTTCTATTAGCACCCCCTTCTATTGAAAACTGGTCGACATGAACAGCCCCCTTCTATTAGCACCCCCTTCTATTGAAAATTGGTCGGAATAAACAGCCCCCCTTCTATTAGAGACACCAGACTACCTTTCACTTAATAGTTCGGTGGGCCATAGATAAAATTCTTACTGCACCGGCGGGCCAGATGAATAGTTATGTAAATCACAGGCAAATATTGTATTGAACTGAAAATGGATTGACATTTGCAGTTACATGAAAATTACATGAAAACTTAAACAAACAGTTACAGGAAACGTGCCAAAAATAGACCCAATTTCGAACGAGTTGAACCTCAATGGAATTAACTGTTTGACAAACCAACTATTTGCAATGCAACCAAATAACAGTATATTTTATAAATCTATAAATGTCCAGTATGATGAAAGTCCTCAATAAAGTCCACATACATATTATGGCAATAAAAAATAATCCATTCACGACAAAGTCGCACATAAACAGCGTTCCAGTTACAATAAACATATGTATATTTCCACCCCATTAAAGATATTTTCTTGTGACAGGGCCCTCGCCACTGATCTGAAACTAGAGGGGCCAGCAATGTAAAGAAAGTTTCCTCTCCCTACTTAAGCCCCAATTGTCGCAATAATTTTGCTGGCCTGCTTTACCTAGGGACTACGGTTCAATGTATTTGTTGTAATCTAAAGGTTTGTCGTCATAAATACTTCAAGCTGGTTTTGATCAATCATTTAGCGAAAAAGTGGGGAGGCCATGGCCCCGTGACCCTCTGTGGCGCGGTGTGGTATGTTAGTTTGCCATCATTATATTTGTTGCCATAACTTTGATAATATACTTCAAGAAGGAAAGTGGAGGGGCTACAGCATGGATTAAAATTGAATTCTAGCATTTTCTCCCTAAATTCTTCCTCAATACTAACTGGAGGCCCTGGGGCAAACACGAAGACACGAGAGAACATTTTTGCGACCACCCTCCAGAATAGCTCAAAATGCGTTTCAGGGTTTTTCCTGCACGCATTTCTTGCAATCGTTTTAAATCTTTGTTCTTCTTTTAGACATGCTTTTGCAACGTTTGATTAATACTATTTTTTAAATAGATATTGTTACTCTATAACATCGTTACGCAATTTGCCCCTTTGTCCCCCCTCTCGGCGGCCCTGTTTCATTTATAAAAAAAGCTGAGAAGAGACAATGCTGATATTTACTGCATTTTGCTGCACTCTCCATTGTTGCTTTCAATTGATCTATTTTGATGGCACCAAAGCAGACACTGTCAGTGTGAAAAGTGTCTGCTGCCTCTGTCTATAAAGGGGGTGGGTCACATGCTTAGCTGCGGGACAATGTTGTTGTGTTGATACGTGCGAATGAGATGAATCCACTACAAGAACTGAAGTGAAATTTGGTAGGACAGAGAATAGGCAGTACATTGAGAAGATTGTAAAGTTATTTTTTACTAAAAAAATCATTTTGTTTTTGCCAAGTACATTTCAAAATCATTCCACGAGTAAGCCGTTTGTACTGCAGTGAAAACACAAGAATGGAACATTAGGATGGGCTGTTTGGCCTAAAGGGACAGCACAGAGACATTGGTCTGTAGAAGTCCAGGTCCACAAAAGTAAACAATGCTGATAGCGATGGTTTAAGAATGATCCAGACTTGGCAGCATTGCATCAAGATTTCACTACCTGCCATTTTGGCAGACACTCTGCTTTGTGAAACATTTTTTCAACAGACCTCCTCATAGCATGGTATCACTGCCAAAGATATATAGCAAACAGTATATCATATTATCATATTCACTTAACTAAAATTTGCTAACATCGACGTCAATTAAAAAAATATGATAGAAAAGCAAAGAATATTGTCTATCCATAATTTTAGCAAACGACTGCTTGGAGTGGTGGCACCAACCACTAGGCCGTACCTATTTTGTGACCAAGCACAATATTCAATTTTAGAAAACTTTAATTTTTTTAGCATTGCATGGCAAATATATTCCTTTCACAAATGCTGAGCTATCTATAAGCTGTTCAATTCGTAAGTTATTAGAATACGAGCTTCACCTCCAAAATTGTCTTTACCTCTCCCAATCACCAACCTTAATAATATGTATTAATACATAGAATTTTGTTGGTTACTTACTTCTTGGTCGATTACTTGTTTGTTAACTCAGCAACTGCCTTTTTAGGCTAAACGTGAAGTTGTTTTCTTTCCAGATGAGGTTTTTATTGAATTTATACATCATGTAACTTTAATAGCCAGGGGGCCGCCAAGAGGACAGACTAGGCGAGGTGATTTAAGGATTTTTAGGAGTTTTGGTCGATTGTAGAAGCAACTAATCCTGGTCTGTTACTCTTCTTCTACTTTCTTCCTTCGATTATGTGATGGTTGGCTTAATGCCTAAAAATGATATTTCAATTGAATTTCAGATGATCATCAATGGCTTTGTTGGGATATCCTCAGCGTTGAAACCCAAAAGCCACTTTCTGGTAAGCAGAAAAGCCTATAAAGTGGTTGAAATATGAAGAGCTACAGTACATATACAGTAGACGCTGAAATACTTGTGCTGAAATACTGACAAACGGATGCCCATGTTTATACGCACCGCACCTTGACTGCACCATTAGAATGAGTATCCTCCTCTCACCTTGATAACGAGTTTGGAAATTATAGAGCAATTAATGTTGAGTATTGCAGATGCTTCTGATACAGGTTTTCCTTTCAATGCTTTTAGCCATCAAACTTAAAGGGTATTTCCCAGGCACAGGTCCGTAAATCCCAGCGGATAAAAGTCACTTTTTATTCTTGCACGAACCAATAGATCCCGGAGGTTTTTAGGTCTACGATAGCTGAGTATTGGATTCCTTTACTTGTTGTATTCAAACAGCCTTCTTCCCCTTTTATTGAAAAAAGAAACATGAACACGATCTTTGAATCCAGATAATTTTTTTTAACTATTTTGATATCATTTTTGGATAGTAAATTTTAGTTTCCCGTTGAAATAGTTGCTTCGTGGAGTAGACATATCTGATAAGCGATCCGTGCATTTTTTAAAGCGAATCAAGTTTTCAAGGTGGCATTTTGTATATATTCAACGTCAATTTTTCTTTTTAGAATGCTGCTAACTTTTGTGTTGGAACCTTGTGCTTTTTGTACGCACTGTTTGGGTTATGCCTTTGCAACCTTACTACATATATTGAGGCAGCGGTATACGAAAGAAATGGTAAGAGTGGTGATGGCATGTGGTTTGTTGCTTCGTTAGAATCCTTGGCCTATCTTGAGTCCCTGCTTGCACTAGGAATTCTACTTGTTTGCTGGATGCAGAGAAGATGTCACTGGTGTTCGTGCATGAACTGTCATTGTGGGGAAAATTGTCAATATGAACGCCTGCCTGAGGTGGGTCTCAATCTTTGAAAAGATATACTGCTTGAAGCAGGGGTTAATCCGGACCAAACTGGAAAGTGGAAACAGTTGATAAAGGGGGCGCTAAGATATTTTCAAAAATTACTAACGAGAGTAAGTTGTATACAACAGTTTCCTGCCCTTGCTACTGACAGAAGGCCCACTTATCATGATATATTAAAAATAATTTTAATACAATAGCATCAAGGCAGTGATATTCAGTCTCAGTCAAGCAAGTCAGTCCATTCAATCGTTCTTTTGTATAGCCACGCCCAATCTTTACCACCCCTAATTTAACCATCTAGATTCCTACCCAGCACCCTCCTTTATTCAAACCTTTGGGCCAATTCCTTCTATAGCGACCCAGGGCTTTGTCAATCCTGGTTCAATCAATCTTGGTGAGTCCTTATTCTTTACAATACTTCAATGAGTACCTTCTATCGGTAACTTCTATCGCGGAAGCACCGTTGCAACCAATCCATTCGGCTTATCTCCCTCAAGAATATATTTTTATAACGCCGTTGTTGCTGTAAGTGGATCAAAAGTTATCTCGCTGTCTTTCATATAAGGGGCTGTATTGAGTGTGACTGAAAAGAAGGAGACAGGTACCCCCAGTGCCCCGGAGCCCTAGCCCACAGCCCAATTTGTTGATCCCTAAATGTGAATCTCTCTCTGCAAATTATTTAGAATCTATCTATAGAATCTATGCGTATAGTCAGTAATTTGGAGAAATGTGTATTGATCAACGTGTTTTTAATTTTAGGATGCAATCAATCAAACTCAAAATGACGTCCTCTATGAAACAATGACTGGCGCTCCTGCTCTCCAAAAAGTAAGTCATTTCAGAGTAGCAAATCCTTCATTATGCAATCATTATGAATCTGTATTGAAAGCATACATGTTTCTAGGAACCCTTTCAACTAATTGCTAGGAACCAAAAGCACAGAATAGAAATAGGCAGAAGGCTAACTCCCGCACATGAGCTGAAGCCTGAAAATTATGGCGCAGGCGTTAACTGAGAAGGAGACTTGGCATGCATCTGCAAAAGAATTGTTCTCTTGTAATCGAGGCTGTTAAGTATCAGGGAAAATTTTAACACCGCCTCTCGCTCCAAAAAAACCGCCTCTCATTTCACACAGAATGAAAATAAACGCTAAAGGTGTAATTTGAAGAGGGTTTATACAATTATCATATTAAAAAGAAAAGTTTAATAGTAATTTTGGGTAATTTTGGCTCCAATATTTTAATCGTTTACATGTTTTACCTAAAATACTTTCGTGTAAAGCCATTCCCCTAGTTGTAAATAATTTCCGGGGCAACATCTCAAGTATACTTGGCATTTTATGATAAATGCTACCCTCTATTTTATTCTTGTCTTCGATAAGCGCCGTATCGAATCCATTAAAAATTTGATTATTTCTATGTCCCTTAATAGAGTACCAAAGTGATGACGTCCCAGAAATACATTTTTAGAATTTTTGGATTTTGATCTCATAATCTGTAAGAGAATCATGAAATACATCTAAATATGCAAAATCTATTAAATTCATTATAAATTGGCTGCCAGAATAACAGTAATTCGTTAGTAAACTTGAAATCTTTTATTGGCCAAATCTTATTTTGGACATATCTAATTGAGTTCTTCATGTAGTCGAATATAAGAAATTTAAAAAAAAGATTTTTGATGACGTCACACTTTGGTGCTCTATATCAGGAAATGTGCTTTTTGATATTTACAGGAAATTGAAGACCAATATGTCGTTATAGACAGAACTGCACGCCCTGTATCCTACCAGGGAGTCGTGAGTATATCAGTTTGGTAATAACATTCTAAAACTTTTAATTAAGTAAAGCTCCTTTCCCAAAGACAAATCATATCTGAAGACTCTTAAACGGGAACTGGAACAATTATTCTGCAAGGACGTTCATCTCATAAAATCAGTTTCAAGCCAAAGCTTTAATTCTTCTGCTTCCTGGGAGACAAATGAGCTCAAAGTTGTAACATCTATGAAGTATGTAAAAAGGATACATTCTGATGTAAGAGGGTTAAAACTTCCAATTTTAGATGAATGAAAAAGTGAATAAAATTGCATTTGATGTATTACTAAACAATCTAACTATTATCAGATCAATAAAATGTTGTTACTCACAGGGACAGATCAAGAACAAAATTGAATGAGGGGCAGTTGGTGGTGGGGGCGCTGAAAAATTTTCAGAAATTTGTGATGAGAGTACGCTGTGTACAACAATTTCAGACTTTAACTACTGACAGAAGGCTCTATATTCACCTTCTAAAGGAAATTTTCACAATTATTGTGCCAAACAATTTCCAAAAAGAGGCACCAGACTTGGTTCAACTCGGTGAGGGAGGGGCAACTGCCCCTAGTTGCCCCCCTTAAATCCGCCACTGGTAACTCACAAGTATTATAATGCAATGCAATTAATGGAATTCCTGTGCTCCAAAAGTCTCAGAATTTTTAAAAACTCAGATCCCAAAACAATATGCATAAATGTGTATAAATTCTTTTGTAATATTTTCCGCCCGAGTTTACATACCAAAATATAGAATTAGCAGATTTCTCCGATGTATCCTCTTACGAATTAAATGCATTAGGTAGGGAATACAAATGCACACAATTGTTGTGTTTGCTGTGAAGTGAAGATCTATCAATGTCATCGTTTGAGGGAATTCACTAGAAATAGCAAATAATTTGAAAGTTAGGGTTACGAATCAGTGAAATGAAGCTTATGCGTCATGACAAAAGCAGTTGAAGCCAAATCTCTTTCTTTTCAGGATGAGCATCTGTATGAAAACATAAAGGAGGTAAAGAAATATTTATATGTTTTCTGTTTCTTCTTTGATGATGCTTTTTCGAGTTGCGATTAAGAAATACATGAACCAATGAACCAAAAGCATTTACAGATCTGCCTATACGTCATCGAGCAATATATGACAGACCGGCAAACAGTCGTTTTCAGTAAATTCAACATTGAATGAAAACTTTTGAGCTTTTGGCAACTTTATATTTGGAACTCCTGGAAATATCTGGCTTGATATGAAAATAGCGTAAAGCCCTTGTATGAGTCCTCCTTGAAATAGCATCTTCCCTGAAAAAACAGCTAATAAGCCCCACCCAAAGAAAATGTGAACCTCTTGCATTTTCATTGCCTTTTTCTCAGAGATGATACCAAAACTTAGAAAAGGGGGTGCTCTCTCCTCGATTAGTTTATCCATTGAGAGAGCTCCTCCTCAAGAAATTCCTCTCCACACAAATTCTATCAATTTTCTGTATTTATCCATTGTGATTTTCTGTTTTTTCATCGTTTGTTGTCTTGTTATATAATATTTGTTAATTACTGCATACTGAATCATTTTTTGTATGTAGTGGGAACTTAAAATTGAAGGATTGGTTATTTACAAATGGTCACAATAAGGCAGTTGATCGATCTACTTTTTTAAACAGAATAAAACACGGTTTTTGTTTATGAAAATTTATAGGCTAAACTAAAAACGAAAAGCCACAATAAGTTAGCAAACTCGCAAAAGTTTTGCAATTGACGTTTGAAGAACAAAGACATCAATATTTCATCTAATTATTTGCTGATGAATTGAACGATAAACTAAGTCGATGGTACTTTGATGCTTCAATGCTTCAGTGCAATGCTTCAATGCAAACTTTGAAATTACTTTCATTTGTTGCGTCTTTCAGGTGAGAAAAGCAAATTGAGAAAATCAGTTCCCGGAAAGAAGAATAATACAGAGGCCACAAAATGGAAAAGTTTGGGAAAAAGCCCTGATCTCCGACAAAATGATGCAGTATTGCAGAGTAAAAGTAATATTTTTATGAAATAAACGCCTTGATTTAATATCTCGAGAATGCTGTCAAAGCTACATTCTTAATTCAAATAGGTGGCACAAATTTATGATTCTCATGGCCCTTGATGATGCAGCTAGCTCGTTCTTCAAAAATCTTAAAAACAGAACCGAATCAAGTTGATGTCATTACAAAGAGACGTTCATTTCATTCGACTTTTCTTTCTTGAGCAATTCCCAAGTATTTTATATCAAGCTTCGAAATTAATTCCTGTTGCAATTTATCTTCATCTACTTCTTAGCAATAAAAAGGCAATTTATTCAACGATTACTTAAGAAAATCACATGAAAGTCGTTGCATGCCTTTAAAAATTCTTCGATTTGATTTTCATCCTTAGATAGCAAAAACGTCAGTTCTGGCCTGTGTATATTTTTTATGTGAATAGTGTAATTAGTTCGATTTTGTAAATTTTATTATGATTGTGACATTTTAATTGCTAATTCTGTAATTATATTGTAATTATATTATATTGAATCTAGTTCCTCTGTCTTTTGTCTTTACTCTGTCTTTTGGCTTGGTTCATAAACTCTACGTTACCAAGACCAGATGACAGCTATTTTTTAAGAAAAATCCTTTATTATCTATGATTGGCTTCGTCACAGCTCGTCTTGGATAGACTTGACTTTTTATCTTTTTGGAAATAGACGAGGCCCGCCTCGTTTTGACCTACAATTCCTGCCAAAAGTCCTTGGAACACCCTGAGATTTATGTGAATTCGCGTGTTCCCTTCTATTTCCATGTCAACAAGGAGGGTGTTGCCCCCCTTCCCCTCATACAACATTGTACAAGGGGGAAGGGGATGTTGCAGCTCGTGCACAACGTAAATTATAGCAAGTGTTCCAAGACTTTTGGCAGGCATTGTAGATATATCTTTTCATCTGACTCTTTGAATGGAATAGAAGGGACGTCCAGGTAAAATTGGAAGAATTGGGTTTGGAATTATAATTGGAATCGTATCTAAGGATTGAATCGTTTTGTATATATTAAATGAAATTCGGATTATATCGTTCATAAAATTTGAATTTTTGGAAATTATAGTTATAACGTCATATTTACTGTATTTTGGTATTGTACAATCATAATGGTATTTTGTTCAGAAATTTCAAATTTTCAGAAAATGCCCCATGGCTTATGATCTAATTATTTTATTTGCTGCGATGGGGATATCTGAAATCCCTAACAGTTCTCGAATAGAACTCCTTTCAATATTTTTCTCTAAATTGGTTCAAAATTTATGGAACTTTTGGTGGTCTTTTACCTATGTAACAACAAATGTTATTCCATAAAAAGCCCAGTCTAAAGCCCACAGCATATATTCTTTTTTGAAAGATTTTTGTTTTTACAGAATCTGCTCGTGACATTTATTTGTCTGTGAAACACAGACAAGGAATTTCTTGGCGGAAAAATACAAGACAACCTCATCATGTGATCAAAACATAGTCGTTAATTGGCCACTTAGTCTGACTTCCAAAGATATTTGTCTTTACGACCCACACACGGCAGAAAGCTAAGCCACACAAATTCCTGTCTTTGACAACCGAACACGGAAGATTTCTGTTTTTGGCTGGCAAAAGGCAAAAATCTTTGTCTATCAAAGACGTAAATCTAAGGTATGGTGGGCTTTATGTTACCAAGGAATTGCCAAAGGTGTTTATGAATTTCATATTATGGCCCATTGAGTAAAGAAAGCAACTGATATTAGTGTATTCACGCAAGTGCTAAAGTAAAGTACAGTGAGGAATAACGAAATATGTTTCTAAGGATTACCTGGCCTGGGGACATGGTTGCTAGATTTGTTTCAGAAATACAGTAGAAATACAGTGATGTGGGAATGGATCAGAAGTTGCTTTTCAAATAAATTGAAACTTTTGTAAATCCAGTATCTAGACAAAGTTCCATTCATACAACAAAGCATTTATATATCGAGATGTTGTGATACAAACATGATATCTCTAATTATATTGAAGAATGCAATAGTTTGAAATTCTAAATATAACAAAGATAAAATGCAATCTGTCTATTTTTTAGCCGAAGACCGAACTTAGGCATTTCAAGCAAATTGCATTTTTGGGAATTTCACAGATTTAACAACCCTCTCTTTAAGTTGCGATTAGATTAACAGATTTCTGGCCACGAAAATTGAATTTGCTTTCGCTTAATGTTGGTTTGCAGCTGCTTGTTAATTGAGAAATGAATACTTTCTTTAAGAAGGGTCGAATAAAATATTAATGATTCGACTTTTTCTGAGGAAGTGCCTACACTGCAATTAGATTGAAATGAATATATGTGCAAACATCTTTTTCAAATACACACTTCTTTGGATGGATTGAAATTGGGCTATAGGAAATGTATATCTGGTGTTAATTGAGTTTTATTTATAACACCATGTGACAAAAGTCATCCACACCTTGAGTGAACTGGTGGCTTTTTGAAATTTACAAGGCTTAACTAAACGTAACATCATTTCAGCAAGTCCTAGATGCATATAATTGTATCTTATCAGACGTTCTTGTCTCAAGATCAAAAAACAATTGAGACGAATTTCGTATGACATTTTCAATGCCAATAATTTAAATAAGGATAATTATCTAAATCATTCCCAAATTTTTGACCTGGTAATTCGAGTTTAAGGCATGGATATCCCCAGAGAATCACACTATGACAGTAAAATATTGTATTAGAATATAAAATCATAATTATAGACTTGGTATGGGATCAAGCTGGATTCATGATAACCATCATATAAGATGGCCCTTTGAGGTGGACTTTGAGTTAGCAATAAACAAAAGAACGTCAGTATTTGTACTGAAAATTTTTGTATCCCTTTTCTGGCTATGTATGAGATTTTGTGAGCGCATTGGCTATTTATTTTTGATACGATACAAAATACAAAGAATTTTTTAATAGATGTTAAGGCAGTTTATGAATCTAAATTTTGATCGAAATGTTTGCCTCACTATGCCCTGTATGATAAACTTGTTAGATTGATATTCGGTTGAAAAACGGAAATAATGGTTTATTGAAAGATTTCTGCAATTTTGAATCACAATTTGCCTCACTGAGACCTTGTATGATAAACTTGTTAGATTGATATTCGGTTGAAAAACAGAAATAATTGTCTATTGAAAGATTTCTGCAATTTTGAATCACAAAAAATTATTTTTGCAATGGAACTGAAAATTAAACTTAATAAAATATAACAAAGAATAAAAAGATGCTAAAACAGAGAAAATTAATTTTGGGAAATAGTCATTAGAAATACGCGTTGATGATATTAAAATTCTTCATTCATGTATTTAAGCATTTTGCTTGTAAAGAGCAGAATAACATTGATTTTTTAATGTTTCTGTTGGGCAGTGCTGGGAATTTCCTGATATCGTTATTGTCCGAATGCTCTCTTTCTCGCAGTTTATTCCTGCAAACATGTTTAACGATGAGCAAAGTCATTGGAATATGCAAGAAATACGTAGTTGATTTTGCTTACTGCACAGATGCAAAGAGCATTATTGGCAGCTGACAAAACCTTTTGCGTCAGAACCACAATGTAACAGATGCGAACTAACTTCAAAACAAACTGTTATTCACTTCCATTGTCACAGGAGAAGCGTTTTTTGTTCTTTTTGATAATAAGCGTGAAAAACTGTGGCTATTTTCTCTTGCAAAATAATTTAGGTGCGCTGTACCTTATTTTCAAAGGTACTAAGCTCCACCTTCGCTCTCATTTGCAATAGAAAGTAAAATCTGCAGGTAACCTAATAAGGTATGCAAGTCAAATGCTGCAATCATATGACATATCGAAAAGGGACTGCAAGACGAATGTTGCAATCATATGAGATCAAAAAAAATTTTCACTAGCATTCAGCACTCTATTTCACATTATTGTTTTGTGTTGATATAATTTGTAAGATCAATAGCTAAAAAGGCAAGCAAGGCCAAATGTTTTTTTTATGCACTTACAATCTGCAAGTTAAGTAAATATGATTTCAGAAAAATTCGAAAGCCAATATTTTGAAAGCTTCAGCTGTGAACTGGTGGATGTCTTTATAATAAACAAAATGCTTGCTTTTTGTAGTTTAAGCAGCTTTGAAAGAAATGCTGTGTATCGGTCTAGCTTTCCTGTCTACTCCTGTTTCATGTACTCGCTTGATTTTGTTGTTATTCTTGCGAGTGCAGCAGATTCAAATACATGGACCCTAATCGAAGCTTTTCAAGATGAGAGTTCTTCTCAAGAGCTTTATTTTCGCTTTGTTTATCATTGTTTGCTGCTCCTGGCAAAACTTTTATCCTTTTCAAGACATTTTATTTTTCCCCAAATAACGCAGGTTGCTACAAAAAGGAATGTAAGTATTTAATATTTTATGTAATTACGGAAATGGAAATATACAATAAAAATATCTATAAAGGACAACTGTATATAAGTGACATGACGATAAAACCATACTCCGATTTTAATTTTCAGTAAGCATTTTCTTCAAGTTTCTCGCTAGCTCCTTCGATAGGTTACAGAAGTATCTTCGAAAACCAATTAACTTGAAAAAATTTTGGGATGTCCCTGGTTCAGCAACTTCCCACTCCTCTCACACAAAAATTTTTAAAAATAGCTGAACGTTAAGTTCCAAAAAGACGTTTTGTGAAAATTCTACTTTCTATATAGGTACCAAACGTTGCTTAACGAGTCCATCTTTGTACGACTCGCATAAAAGCATTACACAAATATTTTTGATACAGGATAGTTATTTCTCATTTGCTTAAAGTACGAGATGTGCTGGCGCGATTCGATGCTATAGGCCTTCTTCTCGCCATCAAATCTAACGACCTATCACTAACAGATCGCATGATTTGATGCGCTAAGAGACATTTACGATGTTGATATAAGCCGTCTGTTACGAACAATTTCCTGCAGTATGCCTTGATATTCGAAATCATCAGTATAAATAACAGATAACTCTGGCAGGTAGCCTCTGAATACGTGGCGTGATGAACAGCTAATTTCCACGTTGATAATAAATCTTTATTGTTATCATTAACAATAAAAACAGCTGTCCTCAGATTGGTAAGACACTGCTCTGGGCAGAGTTAGGGTCTATTTGCAAACAGAACTGTCAAGGCCATTATCTAACATGGATGCAAAGTGAAAAGCTTGCTGCATTTTTTGAGCAAATCGATCTGAAGATAAGCCAGCAAATCATTAGGTTTAGACTGTTTCTGCGCTGTATTTATAATTCTAACACTGAAGTTCTTATTTGAAGACTGAAGACTGAAGTCTATGATCACAATAGTAACACCTGATAGAAACTATGACTAACAAATACCTGCTTTGAATTATCCTTGAACATCTTTGGTAATTCATTCATGAACTGAATCCTTGTTGCAAGCGCAAAGTTTATCTGTGATGATCTCTGCCCTTGATTTTGAGAACGAATATGTCCATACAGCTTATGAAGTGCTGGCGCGAATTCTGGAAGCCGGAGCACCAAAAATTTGGCCTTTCGTTAACGACTTCATCGAACAGTTTCAAAGTGGTTCAATCATAGCTGATGTCGGTAAGTTTGTCACTATTTTCCTTTAAATCGTGTTTCTATGCTGCACAGAAAATATGCTTAGGCCCCTTGCTGCTTCTAAAACATTTCCTGAGAGAAATTACTTACTACTTGCAAGTTTTGTGTTTGTTACCTGCTGAAATCATTCCTGGCTGCAAGTATCTTATTTCAAGATATGTTAAATAATATCAACAAACGGAGTTGAGTTTAATATTCCTGTACATTGGATTTTGTTAGACTACTCATAATTTGAGGCAAGTTCTTTTACAGACTTTAAAAGCCTGCAGAGACCAAAGACTTAGACTTAACCTACAGCTTACCAGATCACATTTTACAGAATATTTTGTTTATTCTTTGTTTTTTGCAATTATGTTACTCAAAACACCTGTTTTGTGATTCAACATTGCGTTAGTGCCTGTTGAAAGCATAAAAAGGTAGCATTTCAATAAAACAAAAATGTTTTCGGTTTGCAGTATTAATCCATTTATCAAAATCAGCTCAGGTTTTCATGAGAACTTCCTTTTTTATTTCATTTCAACCTCTTGTAGCAAGGTACAACTATCAATAAATCGCCTTGAAAGAGCAAATATTAATACCTTGCCAAACACTGAACATCATAGACTCTTCGTTCTTCATACAGATATTATCCTGCAACATCTTTGTTCGCCACACCATCTCCTAATAATATAAGTCTAGTACATTCTAAACCTCCCTTGGAAGACCTCTTTTGATACTAACTAAATTTACCAGCGAAGTTCTCTAACCGTTCAATCTAGCTTGTATCTTAAATGGACTCACTTCCTATGGAGAAACTAAAACTCGCGCAAAAAAAATCAATTCGATTGAGGTTTTTCTTTCAATTGAGGTTTTTAATTGATTGATTATCATTGAAGTTATATATTTGATTCCGCAAATAATTTACTTCAAATCACTTAAGTTTTTCTCTTTTAAAGCTTTTATTTTAGCTCTTCTTTTGTGCTTATTTCTAATAAGCTTAGTAAGTTAAATTTGAATTACATGCTGACAAGAAGAGCCTATCACAAAACACATATGATTCTTATTAAGAATAGATAAATGTCTTAAAAGATAATTCAATTAAAGGCAGTAAACAAACATTAAAGGTAAAATTTTTCCAAACTTTAACTTTTCTATAAAATATGAAGAAGTAATGCAATGCTCCTGTAAATTAAACATATTAATTAATTATTAAACGTATTAAAAATCATGGCTAAGGTTTTTTTACATTTTTCATACTGTAGCCTTTTATGCTTCAGAATTTAAACAACATTTTATACTTAAAATTACAATCTTTGTATTCACATTGCCATGGCAAACTTTAAACATATTTGAAAATGGCCTTGAAAAAAGCAAACATTTTACAACATACTACTGAAAGCTTTTTCGTCTGACACTCCTCAAAGCATAAAACGTCAGAATAAGGGTCAGAAGGAACTCGATGGAAAATATATAACAAGTTGTGGATCGAAATAGGAAATCAGAAAAACGCAAGCACATGACCGGCATAGTTGTTCAATCAGTGCTGTGTGCCTAAAGAAATATATCTAAACATATTCAATGTTATATTCTTGCATCCTGATAGAAACTCTGTAAAGCAAGATCATCATTACAAATCAATCTCTAGGTTGTGGTGAAGGGAAGTATCTACAGTCAAGTTCACGAAGCTGGATGATTGGAACTGATCGGAGTTTCTCACTGTCTGCGATTAGCCGTTCGAATGGACACGAGATATCAACATGTGACATAACTAAAATGCCTTTTCGATGTAATGTATTTGATGGCATTGTCTGCATCTCTGTTATCCATCACCTTGCAACCGAAACAAGACGAATCAAAGCTTTGAAAGAGCTGACAAGGCTTCTTAAACCTGGCGGGAAGATGCTAATAACGGCATGGGCACTGGAAAATGAATACAGGAAGGTAAATGATTTCGTCTAGTATATCTTGACTATTGCCTAATATGAAATTAGATAAGAAGCTTATCGCGTCTTCCTCCACCATTATCTCCATTTCCTCCCTCTGGGCTCTATTATCAGCACTGCCGTAATCATTTTTTATCAACCCTGTTATAAAATCTTTGATATGCAACAGATAACTTGCTCAACTCACAGAAAGCTCATTACGAGGCAAGGTGGACTGGGGAGAATGGCGAGAGAAATGCCGAAGATAGTTAGATGCTACGCTCATATTGCATTAAGACATGTTTGTGATTATATTTCAGTTCATATGCCAAGACGTACTGGTTCCAGCTGACATAGTCAAAACTGAAGGTAAATCTTGTAAGTTTTCTGTAGCCACGAATGCTATCTTTTTCTGAAAATTATTTTGATTCGAAAATCAAGCAACATAATCTTGATCCTGATAAAGTTTTGCGAAAAAAATGAACGATATAGTTCACGTTAATTGAAATATTTCGATAAAAAACAGGATAAAGTGCCTCGTCGGAGACTGTGAATATCTCACTTGCAATAAATAATTCTGGCTTAAGTGCAGTGGTGGCTGTGAACTATCAAACTAAGCAACAATTGTAGAACTAGATATAGCCTTGTTCTTCAATTTAGTTGACATTTCGAAACAAAACAATACTTTTATGCTATGTTTACTTCAAGGTTCGACAACTGTTAATGTTGTCCTGACTTCGCGTTCACGGTAAATCCTTTTATTCCATATTCTTTCTACTTGTTCAGTAGTTCTTGTCCAAAATTAGTGTCTGATATAGATGTTGGAAAAACGTGCTGCGCTGAGTGTTTCGATAGTTCATTGGAGGTACCACGCCTTTGACCAGGACCAAATGCACATGCGCTGGAAGAGGGCTGAGATTACGAAAACCTCTGCAGGTTTAAAAGGGGATTTAACCCCTTTTTCTCGGCAAATTTGGCCTAATAAAAACAAACTGTGCCTACGACCCTAGTTTCTGCACCTAATCCTGTTTTCTAGTTTCTGCAGCTAATAATTGACTTTCCATTTTAGGTATACAAACTGATACTCTCAGCCCATCATCGTTTAGCAATTTATCATTTGACTTTATCAAGAACCACGCAACTCGCATTACAGCTAAACTTGGCGGGATCCAGGAATTTGTTCGCCAGGAAGTCGAGTCGTTCAAGTCAAGACTTAGGACGGCAAGCAATGTGACGGAAACTATACAGAATTATTTTGTTAATAGAAAACGATCAATATGGCTATGGGTTGAGGATAGGACACTGCTGAATAAATTAGGATATATCTTTCGTAGCAACCTGCGTAAAACGCATAGTAGCAACGATCTTACATCTGTGCAAAGGGAAGAAAATCTCAACACATCATACGGAGGGAACAATGAGAGATGTGGGCTAGAGAGCGCCGCAATGGAAAACCCAGCCTCAGATGGGATACATAGGTACTACCACGTGTTTCAGAAGGGGGAGCTGTCACGTTTGGTAAAGGAAAATGTCCCAGATCTCGAACTGAGTGATGAGTGGTTCGAGCAAGGAAATTGGGTAATTGTCGCGCGAAAAAAGATGACAGCTGAGGCAGTTTCTTTCGGATAAACAGGCATACCACAATCACTTGAAAATGCTGTTGGGGAAAGTGAAGAGACTACTGCTGGTTTTAAAAGCAAAAATCTATTCACGTTGGACATTTTTAGGGTTTTTCAATTAAAAGCTGTCTTCTAGTTCAGGTTTATCATTTTGCAGTCATCCATGCATAGGTAGTCATCTTTACAAATTGAATAAAATCTTTGCCGTATCTTTGGTAAGCTTATCACAAAAGAAAAATATAGAAGATTGGAGTCCTTCCTTTATAAAGGTTTTTTTTAAAGCTATTATTCATTTTAACAGTTGTCGCTTTCATCCGATTTTGTATGAGGTTTGAATTATAGGATTTGTTTAGAATAAAGTTTTTCTTGACTAAAAATGTTTTAGCAGCTCTTCCTTTTGCATCACAATCTTGATTCTGACCAGAGACTTTAGCATTAACTGATATGATATTTTCTGGCTTAATAAAAATTTCAATAATAAGACGCAAAAAGACAATCAATACGTTCTTTTAAAAATTCAGTCTGAAATATTTGAACCCGTAAACGTACCAGCCGAATCATACGAAGTGACGTCATTGGAAAGTAGTTAAAGAGAGGCTAAAACAACAGGATGCAGGAGCCTTCAGAAGAGGCTGAAATAGATTAATAGCCAATGGTGCCGGCCTTCTCCAAAAAACTTAGGCGAAGCCCCGGTATTGTTGCTTAGCAGAATACAAAAAAGAGACTCAAGGATTTTTTTAGAATGCTGCAAACTCGGTGCTTTAAAACTTTGTATTTATTTACTAGATGTGAATGTTGGTTTAAAATATAACATTCTTTAAGTATACCTTTCAAATATGCAATAAAGTAAGCGCTAAGCCTATTTACATATTTACATTTGCATGATAAATGCACTTTCTGGATATCAACATCAACACTGCTTTGACAATGAACCTGACATAACTTTAAAATTTTCTCAAAAAACAAAATTAGAGTTTTGGTTTTGAGTTTGCTCAAAAACATCTTGGGTAGGGAAGCACCATGAGTGGTGATTATCTACAATAATTGATATTGTGGACTTTTTTGAGGCCAATTCATTTGAAAATTACATTTTGACATTCTCTCAATATGGCAACTGGCTTTCAGGTGATAGCTTTATCTTACCACTGTTATGTCGTCATTCATACCTAAGGCTCACCTTAGGTAGTTATTCAAAAAGACTACTAATTTGAAAATACCAAAAAGCTATAATGCAAAATTCTGAAGGTAACAGGGGGTCCTAGAAAATACAAAGATAATTTTAGCAGCACGTAAAGAAGTAAGACAATTTTGGACATAAAAATAAATTCTGCATAACTAATTGATGGCAATGTTCTCCTATGGAGTTGAAAAATAGATTTGAGTTCAATATATCTTCAGTTGGCAGGCACAGTGAAAGTGAAAACAAAGCTTTTAGTGGACGAAACAACACAAACTATCTACATAAGACAATAATAAATAGAAAAAAACCAAATGTCCTTTAATACAGCTTTATTGGAAATATTGATAATGGATGAAAATCCAATTCTTTTAAAAACATAATCCAATTCAAAAGGTCCTGTAGACTGAGTAAAATTGGGTTGAAACTTTGTGCAAGGTATTGGGGATACCAGAACTGAAGGTGACAACAAAATTCTGACCTGATAAGAGCCTGTGCATAGAAATACAAAATTAAATAAAATAGCATTCTGACCAAGCATTTTAGGCCCAATAAAAATTGAAAGTTTTCTGGTATATGGTGCAGGTTCAAATAGAGGAAAAGATAATTGGGCAAGTGGGAAAGCACATTGGTACTAACATGATTAATTAAGAGGCAGCTGACCAAATTTCTTGACATCCAACGCAGTGTTGATGATGAAATCCTGACAATAAAATACTCTTGATAAATAATATACCTGAAAGATATATGGTCAAGTATTTGTACAGAGCTGTCAATGGTTATGCATTTTCTGAGCTGGAAGAATCACCGTCATCATTGTCCTCATTATCATCATCATCGTCACTGCTACTGTCACTTGAACTTCCATCAGATGACGAATCATTCTCTTCTTCTGGCTCAGGGTAATATTGCTTTAGTCTGATGTGCCATGCAATGCTGGTACAAGCAGAAATTGTCTTGAACTGGTGACAGACATTTCTTGGAATGAAGTATATGTCATCATCTCTTAGAGTGATTCTGGCATAGCGGACCCCTTCTCTTCTCAACTGGTTCAGCTTACCCTCATCAATCCACTGAACACACTAGAAAAAACAATCACAAACTAACTAGCATATCTTAAAATAGACAAACTACTCTGACTTTGGTGAAGTCAAACTTACACCTTAAAATGGAAATGAAGCACCAAAGAATGAAAAATATAATTTGACATTGACAACCATATTAACCATATTAACAACAAACCATATTAACAACACAGAGTAAAAAGATGAAGCATATATAGTATAGATATCCTGACATAAACAGTGTTATAATCATATCATAAACTCCTTTACAATATTTAGAAAAAACACAGATATATGTGGCTCATGAGATGGCCATTGAGATGTGGATTTGTAACAATCTCTTTTTTTTGTGATGTTGTGATGTACCGTAAATCCTCAAATTGGCTCCCCTTGAAAAAGAGCCCCCTCCCCTCAAATAAGCCTCCACCCTAGAACTACAAATTGTCAATAAGCCCCCCCCCCCTTGAACAAGTCCCCACTGCTACCATATATTTTCGAATTGTGCCCCTCAATTTGACGGTTTTTGCCATCTGAGGTTGCCTATGGCGTTTTATTGAATTACTATGACAAATTCGTACTTATGGTAGTAATTAATTAAATGCTCTTAAAGAAATTCCTACTAAAATAAACAAGGTCTTTTAATAATGTCTTCTTATTGTCTACAATAATTTTAAGCCAAATCCCCCCACCCCTCGAATAAGCCTCCGTCCAAAAATATAAAAAATAAATAAGCCCCCAAGGGGCTAATTTGAGGATTTATGGTTATGTTATTATCATAAGCAACATTAAAAACATAAACACCCAATAAAGTTATGCGGGATCAGGCCATTTTTCAATAAGTTTAAAAACTATATGACAAAGCATGTGCCCAAATCCATATTCCTACTACATTGCTTATATTGTTGCTTCCTTTCAATTCTCCTCTTTATTTTATTCTCTAGTCTCCTTCCTCCCCCCCCCCCCCTTTTTATCTTCTTATCTTAAAATCATATTTTGTGGCAGGTGTGTTGGTTCAAATTTACACCAGAAAATACCCTGAGGCAGTTTTTTCCTAGAAAGATGTGCCGTAGCTTCAGCAATACTGAGAATGACAAACCAAAAAACAAAGATTTATCCTGAGATAAGGGCTACGTTTGGCCTCATGTAGGGGTCACCATAAGGATATAAAGAGACGTTTAAGGTTAAAATGACTATTTCTGATAATTTTTAATTGTTACATAAATTTTTCAACAGGTACCTGTGAAACAGGTGGCTCATGAAGATCAAGTTGCATCTTCTCTGAAACACCAAAAAAGTCACCAGAGTGAAATGCAATCACATCTTTCACCTCACGGAAATTTGCTGACCTAAAAAACAAATAGTTCATAAATATAGCACATTGCCTAATAGTAATTCATAACTTCCAGTTTAAAACACATGTAAAAGCAGTGAAATGAGGCACGGGCATGCAATCATGCACCTCAAACAAGGTGATCATGTTTAAAAATATTTAAAATCAGAATTCATGACAGAATGGTGTCTGGATATGGAGCAAATGCTTGAAAAGATATGGAGTAAGGAAGCTTTATACAGACTTCTAATTATCTTTAATACTGAGTCAAAGGTTTCTTCAAATTTTAACTGGGTAATCTCCTGTCACCCACCTTTCTCCAACATGAACAGCCTTCAAAATACCAACAGCTGCAGTTGTTTGTCTGTCAATACCATGCCCGACATGGTCTGCATGACATTTGGTTCTATCTTCAGCCAAAAACTCTCTAGGTTCAGATACACGTGGTAGGTAGTGGAGATTGTGAAGTTCATTGACAGCTGTCCTGTGGAAATAAGAAGACAGACGGGTTGTTAACATGTTAAACACCAAGACATAAAGAGATTCTTCAGAAACGAACTTATAAATGTAAAGTATATAAATTCAAATTATCTAAAGGTTTACTGTACAATCCAAAGTGCCCTGTAGGCAGGGCTGTCTGCTACATACACAAGAATTGTTAGCAGATGCAAATTTTCATGGAAAGAGGACAACTAAGAAAGAAAAAATTTGACAGCTATCTAGATTAGAAAGCAAACTTGAATTATAGAAGTTAATTAAAATTTTCACTAGAAAACAAACCTTCTTCGTTTTGCAAGAGGTGACCTGGCAACTTCTCCCATTGGAACCATTTGTTCCCCAGGCCTAACCCACATGATTGGCCCATCATTACTCAAACTTCTATCAAGCATATGCAAAACAGACAGCTTGCCCCATGGTACGGTTCTGTAAAGGAATGGATCAGCTTCTAATTGGTCAAGTATGTCAGGAAACATTCCTCCTGACTCTCCATCCACAGTCCCAACCAAGCTGAACTGATTCAGTGGACCAGCTCTGTATGTTCCATTATGAAAGGTATTCTCAACCCTTTGATGGAAATCTTTTATAGTGATTGTCTCAAGATCTGACTTCTTTCCAAGCACTTCAGTTATTACCATATGATTTGGACAATTGTTGGCAAGATACTCCATTGGCTCCGGAATTTTAGCTGCTGCCCCATGAACAATACCCATAACAACATTTGAAACCCCTTCTTTTTCTTCTTGAAAAACAAGTCGCAAAAAATCATCAACAAACTCATCAACATAGGCTTCTTTGACTTTTGCAACCTCATCTATGTATGCATGAATGACTGATGCCCCACCATTGGGATCTGTATCAATATGGATGAACTTCCCAAACTTTGACTGGCTATGTGCAGTTTTCCGAATCTTAAAGTCCTTGTCTCTGAAGAACCTGTCCAACAAACTTTTATAATATTTTTTTCTATGCTTCTGCTTACTTCTTTTTTGTTTATGGTCTGGTTGAACAGAACCTGTCAAGATAAACAGCACCTTATCAATAACAAGTTGATCCCAAGCTTGAAACAAATTTGTCTACTTTACATTTTGCTTTTAATTTCCTAATCCCTCCTCCCCTCCATTAGTTATATTTTGCTGTTGTTGACTACCAGATTTTATTCCATTTAAGCAAAAAATCCACCTTTGCTTCAGAACTAATAAATAACTAAACAGGTACTAATTAGCACTTCCTGTAGGGGCTTTTACATTGAAACAAAATGAAAAAACATAAGCATTTTAAATTCTTTTACATATAATTAAGGCAGTATGTCATGCAATGGGAAGGCTACAGAACACCAATAATGTTGGAGGCCCTGGCCATGCTTTTGCGCAGGTAAGAACTTTCACATCTGTCTTTTCTCAAGAAGCCAAGAAAAATCTCACCTGCTAAAATTCTTACAACAAGGCCTGATTAAATTTATACAGGTGAGCAATGTTTCTGGCTTCGATCCTTAACTTATTGTAAACAAAGCCTTTAGAAACCTACAGAGGAACATACAGCTTTTCATTTCATGGTTGAGATAAACAATGGCCAATCAAACGACAAGTTCTTGTTTGAGCCTATCACAAATGAAATAGCATTTATATTTTGTAGCACAAATCATCACATTCTACAGGTAGTGACTTCAAACTTTCCCAATGTAATAAGGGTGGTAATTCTCAACATAAACATAAATTTGGATCAACTCATTATAACTATGCATTTAGATATAAGAAACCAGTTAGAAACAACCTTGTGTACTTTGTGTTTTACTGCCAACTTTACTTTGCATAAATTTGACCTGCCCAACTCTAGTAGGAAATCACCCTGAACAACCACATACACCCTTGACAAATAAGCAGAAACAACACAACATCTCAATAGAATAGTATTTTTGTGCATCATTGCTTCCCCTGTCATAATCTTCTTTATGAAGGGCAGACAGTAATTGGTAGATGTAGATGTAGAGATGTAGATAAAATAAGTATAACTATTGTGCTCAAAACATTTAGTTTTTTAATGTGCTGAGTTGATTTTGGACTTTAACATTCTCATATTTATCAATTTTTTGGTTTTTCGTGGCTCAAGTTGTTCAAAATCTATCATCAAATAATTGTCACAAAATTAAAACACATAAGAAGGCTCCCAATCAACAAAACAGGGCTGTTTATGAAGAATTAGTTTGGCAGGAATTTGTTTGAATTGAACATTTGAAAAAATCTATATTGGAAAAACAATTTTCGCATTTTACTTATATTTTATTTTGTTGTATCATTATTTTTTGATGTTACCATGTCTTGTGTTCTACACCTGGAAAAACAGAGAGCTGTGAGCTCTCCTCAATCTTTGCGGAAGTTTGGAAATGTCAGGAGGCTGTCAGAACTTTAAGAATGTCAGAACTTTAAGAATAAGAGGCGTATCTTTTAGAAAGTACATTTTTAAAATGAGGCGTATCTTTTTGCGTTGGCTTTGGCGAATCGCATAAAATGTTTAATTTAAAACGCTACCAATATATACTCTCTTCGAAGAGTCAATATCAAATAAAGCACTTACATAATACCCTTCGTTTGCGAACACAAATATTTAACAAATTTCCTTAATTATAATTATTGCTGCTTTCAAATTGTTCAACAAGTGTTTGATGGCCTGCCAACTTCCTGGCAACCTTTTTAAGGTTTAAGAATAAAAAGTTGAAGTATTAACTTTTACCGTTAAGGGGTTTTCTCTCGTAGCCATCTTTGCTTTGGTTTTCCTCGCCATCCATGTCCTCTTTGTAGCTATCTACCGGTTCATTGCCATCTCCCTCTCCATAATGCCGATTTGACAATCGCTCTTTCATCTTCTTTGCTTCTTCCTGCTCAATCTTCAGCCTGCACCTTGGGAATTTTAAAGCTGCACCAGGAAATGCAGCCATGCGATTTTGGTGCTTATTATTTTCTTTGGCTTTTTTTCGCCATTCTATCGTTTGCTTTCCATCTTTGTTTGGCGCCGATTCTTTAAGCCGAGACTCCATTACTTCCCAACAACAACGTTGGTCTGCTTTGCTTCTGTTTGCAGCATGCCCTAACTCTTCCCCAGGCTCCTGACGTCATGTTTTTCATTCAAAAAGATTTTTGTAAAGCCCTCAAAATGTCGTTGAAGAAAGTGCTCAAAAGGTTTCCCTGAATTCCTCTATGCTTGAAATCGACGAAAGTAAGATCCAAAAAGCTGTGAGACACATTTAGATGGGTTTAGGGCTGGCGCTCCAAGAAAATTTCTCGAATTGTGACCGCTTATATCATCGGCAGCAGTCAGGTATTTTCCGTAAATTCTCGAGTTAGCCCCGGCGGCTTCTATAGCAAAATATATTTTGGGGTAGGGGCTTAATCGAGGAAAGGGCTTACTGGAAGGCGGGAGCCTATTTAGCAGCAGCCAAAAATATTACCCGTAGATCTTTTTTATTGATTCGTGGCTGGTCAGTTTGCTTAAAAATGCAGATATTGGAATAAACCTATTGCTGTCGAGGAAACCTCAGCCCATGGGGGTTTATACGAGACTGGGGACTAATAAAGAATTACTTTAGAGAGTTGGGGCTTATTCGAGGAATTTTGGTAAAACATGTGTTACATGTTTGTAGTTTTACAAGACATGAGTTAAAAGACTTTATGGCGACAACATTTTGTTCGAAATTTCCCTTGTGCAGCAACACTGGTTTGAGTAGGGGCGGACAGACCCTAACATGAGAAATAAAGCTTAAGAATGGATGGAATGGTTTGTATTTTCTTGCTGCTAAGACCTTTACTGCACTACACATGGGCTCCGACGCATGTTGGAAAGTGGGGAAGGTGGACAGGGGAACATTTGTCCCCTACAGCAAAAGATTTTGAGAAAAAGCTCTGTTGTTTTGCAAAAAAGTGGGGTCATGGCTCTCCGGTCTCCCTTTGCCGGAGCATAAAATATAAAACTGTTATTGGGAAGGCATCGAGAGGTCATGGTATATAGGCATAAACTATATTTTGATGAATTTATTGCTTTGCAAGATTTAACTTTTCATTTAATTTTTGGAACGGAGCCCTAGTGATAGCAATGCATTTTTGCACTGATAGAAAATCCTGTATAAATTTCGATTGATTGCTATTGTTATTTTATTGTTTTTTCTTGCACCAATACAAGGAATATTAATTGAAGACAGATGACATATAAAATTTGCATCAGCCAAGGGCCAGGGCTGTTCATTCATAAGATTTAACATATTACGATTTCACATTCTTTGTTTTGTTGTTTTGTGGCGAGCAATGCAACAGTTCCTATCTTGAACATGGGTAGACATTTGATGGAAGGTACTTTTTATAGCTTGGCTTCCTTGTTAAAAAGTGTTTTAAAGAACCCAAAACAACTGGAGTATGAATGTTTGATAACTTATGATTTCATGTGAGCAATTGTCCTAGAACGCTTCAATAATTGAGACGCTCTCAAACAGCTTAGTTCTACACCCGTCGTGTGCCTTGAAGTAACTGTGAATAAATGTAAAAGTTGGAAATGCAATCTTTCTGATATATCACTTTTTTGGCATATAAATGTTCTTCAAGCATTTGTTGATGGCCAATTGGCTTTTGGCTTTTGCGTGAGGAAATTGTTGGTAAAAAGCAGAGAAAAAGCATTATGTTTTTACACGGGATCGATCCCAGATCGGCCCTTAGGGAGGAACGCACATGACAAAGAAGATGGCGTTGATAGCGCCAAGTTTGTAGGAAGATGGACAACAAAATGGCTTCGAATTCGAAAAGTAGCAACAAAATGTTTATTTGGAGCGACAAATAAATGGCCCTACTCCTTAAGTTCACGCTAGAGTACAAAACTTCGAAGTTAGCCGATGGACAGGACTGGGAGACTATGCGTTCTAAGTATGAGGACATTGATAAAAACTTTAGAGCGGCCTACCCAAATGAGGAGGAAGAGGGTGAAGCGTTTCCAACAGGCGACGCTGCCTCAATCTATGTCGAGAATAAATCATTCCCATAAGTTGAAGCCTGTTCGCTAAATTTGTCAATAAAGTTGTAAAAAATTCCTCCATATTGTTTTGTTTTTCTCTTCTGGTGGGCGAGAAACGAGAATGCGTGCAAGATCTGATAGAAAAAAGCTCGAAGCACCATGTTCAAAGCACCTCCAACTGGATAATTTATTAGCCTCGTTTCCTATCCGTGCCAGTTTGGGATCAATCCCACCTTTTCGAACGTTTACACGAGACGGGATCGATCCCAAACTGGAACGCTTTCTTTCCAAAGCGAACCCAAATAAGCACGGATAGCGGATCGATCCCGAGCGTTCCCGTGTAAACAAACGGTAGGCCGATCCGTACCAGTTTGGGATCAATCCCGGCCTGGATCGATCCCGTGCGAAGGGGGTCATAATGATCTCTCGATTGAAGTAAAAAGATACCCCGCCTGAACACTTTCAAATTTTGGCAACAAAATGTGAAAAGGTGTTCATATTTCTTTCAGATTTTACCTATACTGTAGTAAACGTATTTTTAGTAAGGATCTTTACAAACCTGCTTACATTGATTGGGCTGCTCTCCTTTAATCATTTTAAATTAAACCTCATATTACCCGTCGTTTGTCAAAAAACCATACTATTTCTCTCATCGTCACACTCTCATCTACACAAAGCCTAAATTTAGGTCCTTTTTCATCAACGTTTTTAAAAGTCAACGTTCAGGGATCTTAAAATAAAAAATAGCCGAATTTGTATAAGCAATGCATAAGCAAGCTCTTATAAGTAAGCACTTCAAAGTAATAGAAACTTATACCTTTTACAAATGCGTATATATTTTTTGCAACGACCAGGAAAAAGATCGCCGTAAGCGAGGCCCAAAAGCTCATGACATAACCACAGAGGGGATCCTGTGGCGTAACTAGAGAGCCTCAAAGACTTGAATTGCGAAAGTCTCTACGTTGAATTGCTGGTCCCGTTTCATTCCAGTTCTCCGTAATGTCCTGTATTGTAGTAAGCGTTACCTGTTAGAAGTGATCGTCGATCAAAGAGCATAGAACGAACCTGTTAGTCATAAGATTACTTAACGAAAACAAGTTGCGTTTTTTTCTCAAACAGCAAGATGTATGGCATTTTCAAAATTCCTCAGCTTGGTTTCATTGGTGCAGGAAAGATAGTTGAAGTTTTAACCAAAGGGTTTGTGGCTGCTGGGATTGTACAAAACAATAACATTTGGGCAAGCTCGCCTGTCGACAGAGACTTGCACTGGATTCGGCATCTCGGATGTAATGTATCTTCAAATAATAAAGATATTCTTGATCGAAACCAGGTAGTGGTTCTTGCCGTGAAGCCACAAATACTGCCAAATGTGCTCAAAGAGATTGCCCCTTCAGTAACCGAAGACCACCTCGTGATTTCAGTGGCAGCTGGGATGACTCTGTCGAAAATCGAGAGCGTCTTGCCACAAAAATCTAGGGTTGTACGAATAATGACGAACACACCTGTGATGTTTAGAAATGGTGTCAGTGCATTTAGTATGGGGAAAAATATTAAAAATGGAGATCATGAGACCATATACAAGTTGCTATCTTCCATTGGGTATTGTGTTGAGGTGAAAGAAGATTTAATGGACACTGTTACTGGCTTTGCTGGGGGCGGCCCAGCTTACATATACACTGTGATAGAGGCACTGGCTGATGGCGCTGTCCGTGGGGGGATTAACAGAGCAGATGCAGTGAAAATGGCAACTCAGATTACGATTGGAGCGGCACGTATGGTACAGGAGACCGGGCTCCATACAGGCGAATTAAAGGACGCTGTATGTTCACCGGGGGGAACTACCATTGTAGGTGTACAAGCTCTCGAGAAAGGGGGTATCAGAGCGACATTGATGGACGCAGTACATGAAGCTGGTTGTAGAGCAAAAGAACTGGGCAAGTCATTTAACGGTGGTCCTAAAAATTGAATGCTGCAACAAATGCTATCTTTTTGAAAAAATTCCAGATCAATAGTTGGCGAGGGGCAAATTGTCGCTTGTTTTAAACATGTAATTAGTACCAATCAGAGCTTATGTTGAAAACTGGGTTATTGAAACAAGATGCAACAAATTGTACAAGCACTACAAGGAGGTAATGAAAGGTAATGATTTGGCAGTATCACGGAAAGATGTCAAACTGACATAAGATCTCGCTTCATCCAAAGCAGCATTCAAAAATAATTTACAAAGAGGTGGCTAGAACAATAATATGGCTTGGGAAAAAGCTTTATCATGGTCACGTTTTTGTGACGAATGGATCAAAATACAGATTGCGACTGTACATACTTTGTAGCACCATTTACTGTCAATACCCATAAATAAAGCCACGTCAGCGATACAAAATCAAGTTTTGCTCTCCAAATATAGATCACCATTTTGGATATAGAATTAAAGTTGAATTTGTGTAAAAAGCTTGCTTTATAATAAAAGATATGCTGAAAATTGGTTAGTTTTTCGTTTTTCTATGAAGTTTTTGTAGAAAATTGGTTTCTTGTGTTGGAATTCTATATCATTTCACCAATATTCTGAATTGTTTAAGCACTGAAACAAGTTAATAGTTTAAAAAGTCCGAAATATCATGAAAAAGAGTTGTGATGGTCATGCTTTAAAAAATGATCTAGTCAAGAATAGGTAATTGATTTAGTCAAGCTTCTAAATAAGAGCTGAACTTTCAAACATAAATGAAAATTTTGATATAAAGTAAGCAATGTATTTTTAAAAGTATTTTATCATATATTAAGGTATTAATTATTCATAAATTTATATATGTTATATATCTATCAATATTTAAAGACATTAAGCCACAGCCAGACATCAAACCAATAAGATTTTATGCTCAAAATTTTTCAGATTCCCAGAAAGAAATGTTTAACCTTTTGAAATAGATACTTCTCCATCAAGAATATCTAAAGATAAGAATTGAAGTCTACAAATATTTTATCTATGCAGGTAGCAAAGTAAGAACATGTGGAATTGATGAGACAACTGAACTGACAGATGCCTAGTAGAAACTTTGTTTCAAGAACACTGGCTAAGAAATGAAAATAAAAAAATGCAAAGGATAACTTTTTCAAACAAGCTTTCTTAGCTATAAATGAGCTGATAAAAGTTCTTAATAAGAATCAATATCTACTATCATATACAAATTTCATTTTTCAGTCAGATCTACTTTGTTCAAAATTTAAAAAGCAATTATCATAACCAATATTTAATTATTGACCAAACTACACCATTGTTAAGAAACAGGCCTAAAAGATGTCCTATTAAAAGCATAATTGCCTGCCAGCATAATTTGAAAACACTTGTATCTACTTCATTAAATAACCTGATCTGTGCTTAAATAATTGGTGCCATAAAAGCCATTTGTACTACAAACTGCTATTTAATTCTGCATTGATTGGTAACTTTAATATGAGCTAAAAAACCACTTATCATTTAGGCTCTTTTCTACATAATTCAGTTGAATAATGTGGACAAATTTTCTAACTGCTATTTAAATATGGCTATGTCCTATAGTGAATCTGAACTTTGCCAAACTCCGCATTAAAATGTATACATGTAATGTTTGATGTGGAAATAGAACTATATTGACGGGAACACACATAGAAGAGTGGAAGGTACTTAGAACACCTTAACTTAAAAAATTTGGTGAAATTTTAAACCCAAGTTTAATCAGGCCAATAGCTAACATGTGGTTACAAACACTCCAGTTGTGGGAACAGATTTGTCGTTGCTATGTTACATACAATAAATCAACAATCAAAATTGAGAAAACTTTAAAAGGTTTAGCCCAAACCAGTCAGCATAAAATGTTTGCACTTTTAGATAGGAAGAATTTTGATGCTTGTTAGTTTGGGGCTTGTCAGATAGGGGGCTGACTGGGCCCATTTGAAAAATACTTGAAGCAAAACATTTTTTGCTCTTTTATTATTTGTTGGTAGCCATGGTCAATTTCTAACATGTTCTAAACATCAAATCTAGAGCTGACTCTAAAACTTATCTCTTTTGGTTAAATTCTGAGAAGCATTGACTCGGAATTTCATTTTTTTATATCGTTACCACCTTAAAAAATCAATTATGCTGCACCATTCCTGTTACTCAAGCTAGTCTCATTTATAGCATCTCCTAGATCTTTTGATCTCTCTGTTGCTGACATTATAGCGTCTATGATTGCAGGCCTCAGCCCACCCTTTTCAAGTGCGTGTATACCAAATATGGTGCTGCCCCCTCCTGAGCACACGGCATCCCTTAGTTCTCCAGGGTGTTGTTTCGTCTCTTGTACCATTCTGGCTGCGCCAAGCACAACTTTTGCCGCCATCTGTAAGGCCTCATCACGGTTCATACCACCCTGCACCGCTCCGTTTGCCAACGCATCAATGACGGTGTAAATATAGGCCGGTCCGCCACCAGCAAAACCTGTTATCAAATCTACCAGGTCTTCCTTGACTTTTACACAGTAGCCAACTGAGTTCAGCAGTTTGTTTATCAAATCAACATCTTGTTGTGTACAGTAAGAACCTGGAGTGTATGAGCTAACTCCTTCTCTAAACTGGACGGGTGTATTCGTCATAAGCCTTGCAACTCTCGTCTTCGGTGGCAACAAATACTGGATGGTCCTAAGCTTCATACCAGCAGCAAATGATAACAGCAAATGATCTTTCGTGATTTCTGGAGCGATTTCTCTCAGTACTTTCGGCATGATCTGCGGCTTCACGGCCAGCACTATTACGTTGTGGTCCTTTACTAGTTCTTTATTACTGTGAGTAACATTACAGCCGAGATGCCTTATCCAGTAGGTATCTTTTTCAGTTGGCGCGCTTGCCCAGACTTGGTTTATTTCAAGCACCCCGGCAGCTATGAACCCTTTCGTCAGAACTTCAGCCAGTTTACCGGCTCCTATGAAGCCGATCTTTGGCAACTTGAAATAGGAGTACATCGTTTCAGGTTTCAACAGAAAATGTAGTAAAACTGGTTGATAGAGCACTTAAAACTCTAACCATCCTTGCAGCTCTAGGCAACGGAAGCAATCTCGCCACGTGTTTCTTTGTGTACAACAACATGTTGCATCACTTCCTTCCAACACGTCACGAACTCGCTATTCCTTCGCAGCTACAAATGATTGATATTAAACTCTTATATGGCAGTTACAAAAAAAATTATATGTGAATATGTAATAAAGTTAAAGTTACTTCAGAATAAGTTTTTCCCAGCTTTTTTTATACAAAATCTATTTTTCATGAAAACATTTCTTTTTGAAAGCACCTCTGGAGGGACCATTATGGAAACAAGGTACCTTTTCAATGCTATCCCTGCCATTTTTAATATAGGAGTTTTCTTAGACTACGTTTATAGCTTTTACCTGTACAATTTTTGTATCTGTTACTAGATCACTTTCCTTTTCTTAATTTAAAATTGTAATTTATTTTGGTGGTAAAATTATACATTTACATACATACATGCTTAACCAGAGATGTAGTCCTAAATATTCACCAAGAGGGGGGAATCTCTATAATTTTCCCACAACCTGTACTCTTGCATATTTATGATATGGAAAATCAGGAAATTTCCACACGATCAGAAATTGGGCAGAAAGTACCTTTCAGCTGTGAAGGGGGTGATCCACTTGTTCAAATACATTACAATGTTCATCAACAGTTGGTCCTAAATTATCAAAAAATTAAAAAGAGAGAACGAAAAATGAAATTTGATCAGAAAGCAACAAATTTTGTGACATCCACCAGCAGAATTGGGTAAATAAATTACGGCATAAACGTGATTACTTTTGGTTTTAGAATTCAAAACCCAATTTGGTTCTCCGATTCTAAGTATACCAGAATAACTCCCTCCTCTTGAACATTTCAAAGTCCAAATTGGCATCATTCCCAATTACAATTTGATGCCGACAGAGGGTAAGAGATAAACAAATTTCACACTATAGTAACGAGTTTCCTAGTATTTTTCATTTCGTTTGGGCTTTCAATAACATAGACGCCGGGACCAGCAAAGTGCAAGGAGGCAGGATTGAGTAAAAGGGAATTTGAAAAATAATTTCCAGTTACATACAATTCTTTGGTAACTATCATTCAATTTTGATCTATTGTGGGTATCTTGAAAAACGGTTAATTTTTGGCATAAGAAATTTCATAAGAAAGTTTTAGATATTTTGATAATTAAAATCTTTTGATAATTAAAAAAATGACCGGTGTCAAAAGCACTTCTATGAAAAAAAGCACTTTGGCCCCCCTTGCCCCCCTATCAAAAGGCAACAGGTGCGGTTGACCGCCCGCACCCCCTCTCCGGCATCCCTGTTCAATTATACCATTACATCCTTGGAAACATTCCCTATATCTTAATGATGTTATTTGAGAAGAGTGCGAAGTCACTCTGAACATAAAGTTGTGATTATCAATATTCATTACCATCAAAATAGGAAACCTTGCTTTAAATTTGTCCAATAATTAAACAAAGCTTTAGAATTCCCATGATCTTTATATTTCTCGGGAACGACACAATTATAGAAAAATCGCACTGATGACCACGTGCAATAGTGCAGCAATTTATGTAAAAGCTTTTTATTGAAAACAGCTAAGATTTCCACTTTATTCAGATAGAGAGTACAAAATTCTTTACAGTTTTTAAAAGCACTTCTGAATATCTGTGCTCTAGATTCTAACGTGTAACTAAAAAAGATTAATTTTCAAACAGAAATGGTGCGTTCATAGGTATGAATTTCTCTTGCTTTCATATTGCAAAAACAACATAACCAGAAGAAATCTGCAATGTCATTAACTAGTGTTTTAATTTCAAAATTTAATTTGTAAGCATTGCCTTTATGATTTCTTGTTACCCAAGATTGTCATCATTAATCCCATTCAAATAAAAATAGCGAGTCTTTGTTTTACGCTGATGAGCAAGAGCTAATTAGAAACAATTAATATATGCAAATATTAATATAATGAGAAATTGTCGAGGACATTAAACATGGTTACTATTATCTTATTTGAGACAAATTTGTGCTAGAAAGATAAATATAAACTGATATGTGATAGATACGATAAAGACCTATGTTTGTGCAACTTAAGAGCGTTTTGTCGTATTTTGATTTATCTATTCCTGTTATTTTTAAAAAAGGAAAAACTATTTATAGTAATGTAAGTGGGTGTCAGTTTGGCCGAGACACCAACTTATGATTAAAAAAAGAAAGAATGTAGTGCATGAAAGATCTGCAGGAAGAGAGGCTGTTAAATGTATTTTCGACATACTGATGTTAAAAGAGCTTTGTCGTTTGGTGATTATAATTCTTGTGGATCTCTGATGAAGATCTGTCTACACTTAGATGAAATTTTAGCTAAGCCATGTATCATTGTATTTGATTTTTTCATTAGAAATAACCCAGTCCTTAGATAGCATAAAATTTGAGAAAGTTTGTGGAGTGCCCATTTTAAGCCAGTTTGGAGTTGCAAGGGCAGGCAATGTAAGCTTGCAAAGGGTCCTTTAAAAAAACAAAGGGGAACTCTTTATGGACCTTTTTCTTTTTACCGTAAATATTTGAATTATCCCCCTTTGGAGTTCTTAATTTAGGTTAGTTTCAGATGGTAGCTTTGTTCTACTGAAGTCTACTGAATAAAAGTTTCACATGGGATTTTCAGTAGCATTGTTCATTAGCTGTTAAAATCTCCTCTCTTTTGTTAACACGAAAGAAAATGTGTTAATTCAAAATCCAATTTATGGGCCATTTTTATTAAAAAAAGTTCTTCTTTATCGATGCTGTAAACATTTTAGATGCAATTCTTGCCATTCTTAAAATATCATTTCCCAAAATTTTTCTCTGATCCCCTGAGCAATTTGAATATTTTGCCCCCTCAGATTGTATCAATGTTCCGTTCTCAGCTGTCACTCAAACCGTCAATGTACTGCATGCTCAACGCTTAACCAATGAACGGAAAAACATCAACCCTTGTCATGTTACAATTGCAATGATTACAAAACAAGAAAAACTTAAATATTTCTAGAGCCCCTTGTTAAAATTCTAAGACTAAGCGCTCATAATTTAGAAGTAGAAACTGGCCGTTTTGGAAAAAACCCCATCCCTAGCGAAGAACAACATTGCAGTTTCTGCTTAGCAACAGGTTTAAGGGTTTTAGGAGATGAATTTCATTTACTTATGGTGTGTCCAGAATTCGCTGATAAAAGGTGCTATCTCTTAAATGAACTCCAACGAACAGCCCCTAATTTAAAGCAGCTAACAAGTTGGAATCAATTTATTTGGATATTATTAAGCCAAGAAGACTTAAAATGTCTCAATTTAGTTGCTACATTTCTATATAAATGCTTTGAAGCAAGATTGAAAGAACAGTAGAACACAGGCACCGCGGAGCAGGGGGGCTGGGGGGGCTTTAGCCAAATATTAAGTATCAAACTACCAGAAAAGCGTCTTTTTATGCGGTTTTAGACCCCCCCACTTTTTTTAGACCCCCCACTTTTCTCAACGCTCCGCGGTGCCTGGAACAATACTAATTCCCAGGATGCTCAAACCCCGGATTTTAATTATTAGTTGATTAGATAGATTTTTCGCTGTAGAATAGGTTTTTGATATTGTGTATGTTTAATTTTCTCGTGCTTTCGTAATTAAAAATTGTATTATTTAAAATTGAGTTGATATCAACGTTTGACAAGTTGTTTTTGTAGTAATTCTATTAACTTTTATTGTTATTTTTATGTTGTAACTAAGTTGGAGGCCATCTTGGCCTAGCTACCTTTTTAATAAATAAAAAAAGAAAAAAAAATTTAACGACTACACCTCTATATTAGAAAGGGCTTATGCAAAGGGGGGGGGGGAATTCGAGGATTTACATTTTTGTTTCTAGGGACATGGGAACAATGCCAAGTGAGAAATTCGGTCTCAGTCCCCATTTCTCAATATGGAAAAAAATTGCTTCTGTGATTGGTCAGTTTTGGCGCGTTTACTGAAATAAGTAATATTTTGCGCGCGAAGCAACTCACTCACGGTCAAGGCAGAGAAGTCGTTGTTCGTCGATAGAAAAGTGCTAAGAAATTGCAATCATGGCGGGCCCGCTCTATGTCATCAAAAGAGGTTTGTATATGAAGCAATTTATGAAAAAATGATGCTTGTAATTTTTGCTTTTGAGAGTCAAGTTTGCAATATTTCTCCATTGCCAAGTCATTTTTTGTGCTTGATATGGCCTAGCTCTGGAATGACAGGCCTAATCTTGCTCGAGTTTCAAAGCTTTGTGGCGGACCCAAACATTACTAACTTAAGCATTGCTATTGCCTTGAATAGGCTTTAAACTAAATGAAAGTTGCTAGTAAACGAACTCGCTTGTATGCTTTCTTTGGGAAATTACGAAATCGATCAAAAAAAGAATCCGTTTGTGAATTTTAGGAACTCTCTGTAGTGTCCTCAAAAATCGCCTTCAATTTAAACAAAATTGTACTTCAACATATTCACAATTATTACAATGAAAGTAGGTTCTCATTTTATTTACTTTACAGCGTCGTTTCATCCATCACAAAGTCATTCTGAAAACGCTCCTCCTTTTTTCTTGCGTGAATTTTTTTCTCGAAATCGTAAGCATTGAGGTTTCTTTTGCAGGCGGCGAACGAACCGAGAGTGTCATGTTTGATAAAATTACTTCTCGAGTTTGCAAGTTGTGTTATGGATTGGACATGACATACATTGATCCCGTGAGTTTTTCATTTCGCGCCAAAATTTTCTTTTTGAAATCAAATCCGTTTTGGCGCCATACATTTTTGTGAAACTATTGTTTCTTGAACCACCTGTCTCTTTTGTATAAAGTATTTGGAGTTACTTCCGTTGGTTCTAAGGTTCCTTTGAAAATTTCATTCAGCAGGAACCAAAATCAGGAAGTTTTATTGTTTCCTCAAGCAAATAAGGATCACTGAACAATATGAAATATCGTTATTAAACAGTGAAAGCTTTCACGAATTTACATAATAGTCTATTGCTAATCACATATTAACTCTTTAATTTCATTTATTAAATAAATATTTGATGCATAAGATGACATTTTATATTTCTTGATGTTTGGCCCAATTTCCAAGCTTTAAATCAGAAATGTATATAATTGGTATACAGATAAGAAACATATAAAATTGGTATAAACATATGCCTGATGATCACATTAACTTCAGAGTAGCAACTTAGAACCGCCCTGTTCTTCTACACAGCAAAAGCATACATGGCAGTGGCTTCTAGCCACTAGGATGTGGGGGACAAAATAAATTAGTTTAGGTCATGCCTGTTATACTGTAAGAAAATACCTCAGACTACCATGGAATGCCAATGTGTATGACCAACTTTTGGTTAGGTAAAGAGAATCTGAAAGCTATACCATCAATTCACAAATAATTTTGTTTTGATATATTCCCCCTTCCCCAATATTTTCTCATCCAATTTAGGTGAAATACAAATCATTCCTGCTGAGAATTGGGGGATATGTCCCCCAGCCCCCCACTGCCAATGGTAATTGCCAATGGTAATTGATATAGATATCTGTCATGAAAATCTAAATTGTTTAGAAATATATATATATATATTTATGCAAATATTTGTTTATCAAAATGTAAATGTTTTGTTTGTTTCAGGTAAGCATTACTTTGAAGGTAATCAGTGGTATATACCCTGGGGTTTCAACAGTTGAACTTGATACACTGGCTGCGGAGACAGCAGCAGCCATGACAACAAAGCATCCTGATTATGCCATTTTAGCTGCCAGGATAGCTGTTTCCAATCTGCATAAAGAAACAAGAAAAGCATTCAGTGGTAATTTGATATTTTGTTTCTACAAACATTTGAAATCATCCTCACAAATGAATAATGTCTAGATGGGTTTGGTTTTGCCAACCCTAGGCTTATGAGATGAGACATAGGGGCTAGGTGGGCTCCCCCCCTTCCAATCAAAAAGGATTTTTTGAACCAGCAATGTTCAAGCTAAACTCATACCAAGCCCTCTAAACTGTAGCCTCCGCTATGCAAATCTTGTCAATGACATTATGTTAAATAAATCAATATAATTTCCAAAACTAGAATTTTTTCTGAGTTGCAAGTAAAAGTAAATGGAGAAGGATGAAAAGTCGGTTGTCTCAACATTGTTAAGAATTGATTTGAATAAAATAATGTGATACATTGTCATTCCCCATTCTCATTTATTGTTTAAACCCCATTTAGGTGTTTGTGCGCTTACAGGGACCAAGATACAGGGGGCCTAAAAAACTCAAGTACCATAAGTAAAATACTTTTATTTTGAAAAATGTGGCTGTTGTTGCACTTATTCATCAGGGCTGACCCCTAAACAGATTGTTGTATCTCGGTCTTTGTGTGCTAACCATACCAATTTGCAACATACTCTTTGCTAACCATACCGATTTGCAACATACTCTTGTTGACTAAACAAAATCTTTCACAGTTATTGTTAGCAAGGCAAGATCTGTCTGAATCCCTCATGAAAACCAGTGATATCTCCCAATTAAAGCTATATTTTATATTGCTGTGTTACCACATGTATTTCCCAATTCTTTGAAATGCCCTTTATAATTCAACATAACTGAGAAACTTTTTACATTCCGTTTAGATGTTATTCATGACCTGTACCATTATGTGAATAAAGAAACTGGTAAATCATGTCCAATGATATCAGACGAGGTCTATGATATTGTTATGAAAAACTCTGAGGTATGTTGTGTGGTTTCACATTTTTCCACTTGATATATTAAATGTTTAATACTTTCTGTATGTTCTGATTATTATACTGTTGTACAAAATAGACATGGACACTGTAGCATAAATTTTTTTTACTATTTCATTTTTTGCAGAAATTGAACTCAGCAATAGTTTATGACAGAGACTTTCAGTATCAGTATTTTGGCTTCAAGGTAAGGTATCTTTTGTTGATAGAATGTGATCTTATTTCAGAGACAGCTTGTCCAACAGGTTTCTAGTATTGTACCTGTATTGTAAAATTTCTTAAAAACTGACAATGGTAGTATATATACGTAGCTACTATAACAGGAAATGAGTAGAAATGACTAGGAAACAAGTAGAAACTACTAGAAAACAAGTAGAAACAAGCAGAAACAACTCTCTGACAGCAATACTTTAGGGAGGGACGTGTAACTAATTGGCTTCTGCTTCTTTACAACTGGTTTACAAGGTGCAAAAATTATTGTCTCATGATACCCTTTTTGGAAACTGCCCTCGGGAAATAGGCGGTAATCAGTATTCGAGATTATAAAAAAAAGTATATAATTTGATTGCTTGGCTGCAAATTAAAAGAAATCCCTACAATTCAAAAAGCTTTATTTTACCTACTTTTTTATATAATCCTGTAGGTTTTCCCTACAAACTTCTGAAAATCCCTAAAGTAGGTAGAAATCCCTATTTTAGATTTTTGGATATATTTATGGTTATCTTAAACCAGACTATTTCACTCTTTTATGATAGAATAAATTTTACTTTGCAGACATTGGAAAGATCCTACTTATTGAAAATACATGGGAAAGTTGCTGAGAGGCCACAGCACATGCTCATGCGAGTTTCTGTAGGCATTCATAAAGAAGACATTGATGCTGCCATTGAAACATACAATTTGATGTCTGAAAGATGGTTCACCCATGCATCTCCAACACTTTTTAATTCTGGAACACCTCGTCCACAGCTATCAAGTTGTTTCTTACTTGCCATGAAAGGAGACAGTATTGAAGGGATTTTTGACACATTAAAGAACTGTTCTGTCATTTCAAAATATGCTGGTGGAATTGGTCTTCATGTGCATTGTATAAGAGCTACTGGTACCTATATCAGTGGCACAAATGGTAAATCAAATGGCTTGGTTCCGATGCTCAGAGTTTTTAATAACTGTGCCAGGTATGTTGACCAGGGTGGCAATAAAAGGCCAGGAGCTTTTGCCATCTATCTGGAGACTTGGCATGCGGATATATTTGAATTTTTGGACCTGAAAAAGAATACAGGAAAAGAAGAACAGAGAGCAAGGGACCTTTTCTATGCACTGTGGATTTCTGATTTGTTCATGAAACGGGTGGAGAGTGATGGAATGTGGTCTCTCATGTGTCCACATGAATCTCCAGGATTAGCTGATACATGGGGAGATGCATTTGAAGAACTCTATACCAAGTGAGATATTGCATTCTATTTTAAATCTATAATAACATCTATAGAGAGAATTTCAATCGTCGTTTCTGAAAGACTGAACACTCCAAGAACAGGCTGAACACCCCATAAAGTGTTAAACTTCAAACCTCCCTGTTCTAAACACGAAATAGTATGTATAGCAAAGAATGCTCACCTAAATTGCCCTTAAAACAAACTTGCTCTCCTTGAAATCAATTTTTCCTTTGTTTCCCTTTTATATTTTCAAAATTTCTCACCTGGAAATTTCTAGGTGAGCTGTTAACTGTTCTGTGTGGAAATTCTTAAATTCAGGCCTGAATGCCTAAAATATTGTTGTGTTTATCTCCAATAGGTCTCAATGGTTAACCATTTTATGTTTGGGTAAAGTACCACACTCAACTGATATTTTAATCATTGTAGATATGAAAGGGAAGGAAAGTACAAAGTGCAAGTAAAAGCCCAAAAGTTGTGGTTTGCCATCATGGAGTCACAGATAGAGACTGGAACACCGTATATGTTATATAAAGATTCTTGCAACAGAAAAAGCAATCAACAGGTGATTAACTTTGAAATTTAAATCTTCATCCTTAAAGGTACTGTGCAATTCGCAACTTATTCGCAATTCGCAATGCTGCTTATTTCTGGAACTATAAATCTTAAAGGTGCACTTTTTATTAGTTTACATATAACTTTGATCATTTCTAATCATAGAATCTGGGCACCATAAAGTGCAGCAATCTATGCACTGAAGTTATAGAATACACAAGTCCTGACGAGGTGAATTTTTTGTCATTTTTTCCTCTTTGTCATTATTTTCTTCTTTTCAAAAATCTTGAAGATTTATCACGTGTCAATAGCCTGCTTCATCAATTTGTAATGGGTATTAGTAAAACTAAAATGCGTCACTTCCCTTTTTATTTTACCTGTTCTTTTCTCCTGTCATTGTGTGAAAATTAATTTTCAAGGTGTTGTAAAAGTCTTTCTTTCATTCCCTCAGGTTGCTGTTTGCAATCTTGCTTCCATTGCATTGAATATGTTTGTACGGTCTGAAAATCCAAATAGCCCAAAAATGGAGCTCAAGAAATGGTTTGATTTTGAAAAATTGAAAGAAGTGACTAAGGTGGGTAACTTATTTGCTTGTGAGTTATTTAAAGATGAAATTTTGTTCAAAACGTAACCTTTTTCAGTGTTGCAAAAGTTATTGATTTTTTGAAAAACAAGCAGAGAATACATCAACCATGATTTTTTGTTTATATTTCCTAAGTATTTTTTTCATTTTTGTCTTAGGTTATCACAAGGAATTTGAATAAAGTGATTGACCTAAACTATTACCCAATTCCAGAGGTAAGTCCCGCATAATCCACATCACTGTGAATCTTGAAATATTACGTCCTGCAACTCAGAAATAATTTTGTCAATCTTATGCATTCATCTTTTGTATTGTATTTGTATTGTATTTGTATCATCCATCAACTTTTATGAAGAATGGGCACAGAAGAGCCTTGAAAATTTAGCAGTATTTGCAATATGTTAAGTTGATTAATTTATGTTATCACTTTTTAGGCAAGGAAGTCTAATTTCAGGCACAGGCCAATTGGCATTGGGGTTCAGGTAAATATATATCTTTAAACATATATTGATATATATATCATAGATCGAAGAATGTAAAACTACATGGTTTATCTCTACAAGCCTGTTTCGTGAGTAACTCACTCTTCAGGAGATGTTGATATATATATATATATTGATACATATAAACATATATTGATATATATATATATATAACATATGCCTAATATATAGCATATATTTATATATAGGTGAATCAGATCTAAAAACAATAACAACACTCACGAAAGAACTTTGCAAAATCAAGTTTTATATTGGGACAAAAAAATACATCAACATAAACACACCTTCTTGTGGATCAGGGGTGGGCAATTAATTTTAATAAGGGGGCAGATTAGGGTCCTGAACTGAAGTAAAGGGCTAAAACAACAATTACTTTTTCTGCGCAATTCATTTTCTCCCAATATAAAAGCAAAAATCATACTATATTTTATCTGCTACTGCTTGTCAAAAAGATTTAGGTATCATGTAAATGTTTATATAAATATATAGTTGTGGTGTAGATCAAGTGGGAAAGTACTCCTACTAAAGTTATGTTCTAATTGACCACCACATGCAGAAAGATGGAAAGGGCTGGATGTGGTCTGAGGGCTGTAAAATGCCCAGAGCCACTATTGAGCTACCAAACAAAGCTGAAGAAATATTTCTGCCATAAAGGTTATACCTTGCTGGATTCTAACCCAAAATATAAGATGAACTCAGGGAGAAGATAAGATTATTAACATTTATGTAATAAACTTTACAGGGCTTTGCAGATTGCCTGATCATGATGAGATATCCTTTTGAAAGTGCCGAAGCAGCACTTCTGAACAAGCAGATCTTTGAGACAATTTACTATGCTGCCCTAGAGGTAAGTCACAGTTCACTTTGCTTTTGAGCTTCACTTAATTTCCCCATAGGTTTATCTCATAGATTTAGTTTGTTTATCTATTGATTTTATGATTAATATAAAAGTAATATTTTTATACTATGTTTATATAATTATTTTGTTTCTACCTTTCTGTTGTCATATTCTTAGAACTGCAAGATTTTTCTATCTCTTGCCTTTGCAGCTGTATAAAGATCAAGTTACCCCCTTTTGTATATATACCTAAGGTCATGCTTCGGTGTTTTTTTACTCTTCTAGGCTTCATGTGAACTTGCCGAGAAATGTGGTACTTATGAGACATATCCAGGCTGTCCTGCAAGCAAAGGACAACTTCAGTATGATTTGTGGAATATTACACCAACGGATCTTCTTGCAAAGCCTGGAGAGGAGACACTAACAAAACTGGATTGGCCTGGACTAAAGAAACGTATTGCACAGTAAGTTATTAATTGTATTCAAAAATCTATTTATTACACTAAAAATTCAGTAAAGCAAAGAATACTCTATATCTAGAGAGTTCATTCATTTAAAATGTTTGTTGAAAAAAGACAAATTCAAGTTGCTAAGAAAACTGTTTCTTTCTTAGTCTGAGATTAGCATAGAAAATTATTCTTTCTCTTATTTTACCATTTTCCTGTTTTAGGCATGGTATCCGCAACAGCCTTTTGTTGGCTCCAATGCCTACTGCTTCAACTGCACAAATTCTGGGCAACAACGAATCTTTTGAACCTTACACCAGCAACATTTACAGCAGACGAGTTCTATCGGGAGAATTCCAGGTTTGTGTTCTCAAAGCTACTTTGAATGGTGACCATTACACAAGAGAAGTACTTCAGGTTTCGTGGCCACAAAATCTAATTTATGAAACCTTTTTTGCATACTGTATTTTAATTTTCCGGATCCCTCACAATGCTTCAGCAATAGAAAAAAACAATTGGAGTAACTTCAGCATCTTTTGATGTGCTCATCTTCTTCAAATGTCTTCATTTCAAAATGTCTGCTTTTTTCATCCTTTTAGTGTTAACGCAATGCAAGAAAGTTTAGATTCCGAAGAAAACTTTCTAAGTTATTCATCCAACTTTGATGTGAATAATAGTAAGGAATGTGCTATAATTCTTTTAGATTGTAAACAAGCATCTTCTTCGCGACCTGACGGAGCGAGGGATATGGAACGATGAGATGAGGAACCAGCTTATTGCCCATAATGGATCAGTACAGGTCTGAATTTTTGAATGTGCCTTCAAATTATTATGTAATGTCATTTAATAATGTATCAGAAAAGATCTTTTAAAGAATTTTCTTCATTGGTTCTTCTTCAATGATCCTGGGTTCATATCACGTTGATTCAAACCGCTATGGGATCTTCCTCTCACCAACATTTACGTGTATATAAAACTTGTCTTCATTTCTTTCTTTTGTAGAAGCTTTTCATTTCAAAGTTTTATTGTTAGGTATATATATATATATATACGTTTTAAGTATAAGAGTTAGTGTTAATGAATGAAACATTTGTATCAAGGCTTTGAAATTCAAATATCAAGTGTTTTATATGAAATTTAAATCTTTTTTCAGCTTATCGATGCCATTCCTACTGACATAAAACAGCTTTATAAAACTGCCTGGGAAATATCACAGAAGACCCTTATCAACATGGCTGCTGACAGGGGAGCTTTCATTGACCAAAGTCAATCATTCAACGTGTTCATTGGTGAACCAAACTTCGGAAAGTTGACTAGCATGCATTTCTATGGTTGGAAAAAGGTAAGGACAATGCATTTGTACGGTCAGGTCTGATTTCTACGTTAAGAGCTATCTCATCTCTGCATGCAATTACGGCACTTCTTCCTACACACAATCTACATATCTGCTAAAACTTCTTTTAAAAGCAACGTACACACGCAAGAGGTTTTTTATCTCCGTTGCATCTGGATCATGGGTGTGGAACATCTGCCCAGTTTCTATTGAATGGTACGCCAGGCTGCGTCTTAAGATTAAGAAATGTAGATCCTTCATCAAAACCTCCCTCCAAGTACCTTGATTTTTCTTGTTCAAAGCAAATTGTCACATTAGGTATCTGGCTGATGGTATCTCATTTTTATCTACGAACAGAGTTTTCAAATATGACATTGATGTCGATTAAAATATGTTGGTTGTTATATATACCATCAGTTTTAAGTGTAGAATGAAAATATAATACAAGTATACGTAGAGTTTTCTTAAAATAAACTAAGTTGGACAATGCATTGTAATTCCAGCTGTTTTCTGCTTGTTTTGTGTTCTAAGTTTTCTGTCCTTCAAATTTTACAGGGTTTGAAAACAGGCATGTATTACTTGAGAACGAAGCCAGCCGCCAACGCGATCCAGTTCACTGTTGACAAAACTAAGTTAAAAGCAACCCAACCAACTAAAGAGCAACAAGATAAAAACATGGAAGCAATGGTGTGTTCGTTGGAGAACCCAGATAACTGCACTTCTTGCAGCGGATGAGAACTGATTGGTTGATTAATTAAGGGAAGTCTTGTTAAATCATGGGACTGTCCTTAGTTTTGCCTTGTTGGCAAGCCCAAGTTTGTAAGCAGGGCTGAATGTTTTTAAAGCACTCATAAGGGGGCAACAGTGGCTGCTTTAACGTTGCTAACGAATGTAAATTTTGGGTTATGCAATAATAGTTGTTAGCATTTTGTATCATATATAGTGGTCCTTGTAAACTATGTACGCTTGAAAGACCGGATAATCTAAACCCCTTGTCTTGCTGTAAAGGGTCGTACCTTTGGCTGTCAGATCACTTACCACCCCCACCCCCTCCCTTGAATGAGCATTCTCCACGTTTATCGCATTTTAATGGAATGATGACGTAATAAAACGAAGCTGCTGGACTTCTCTACAGAAAAATTGGGGGAATTCCTTGCAGTAACAAAATGATGATGAATGACATATTAATTTATTTTCCAAAAACATAGGCACCGTACCGTGGCACCAACTCCTTCCATCCCCTATTAATGTACTTTCTGTATGGATGTCCCCTATTTGAAAATTTTGTGTAGCGAAGCAGCAACAGGGTGCAACGAATTTCAATGTTAACGACATTTGTATGGCCAGAACTTTTTCACGTACTGTTTATTATCAGCATATCCAGTATGGATCTCATCCAACATGCACCCAACACTGCTGCATGTGACACTTGGATTTTAATCTATCCTTGAGTGATTCGATAATAATTACCTGTTTTGGTAATTGCTATTTTTATTAACAATAAAACTAATTGTTCGTATTAATGTCTGTACATTTTATAATTGTGAAAACCAATGAATTTTCTAAGTTCTATATGACTATTTCATTTTCTTCAATTTTGACTGCAATTGTCTTCAGAAGGTTTACAAATGCTATGTATTTTGAAGGGAATACTCTCTTTTATTTAAAAGAACCAGACGACTTGCCGAGGCTGTTCTTCTTTTTTTGGGGGTAATTTGAGGCTCGTATTTTCTTCATGTTTCCCTTGTTTTAACATTGATTTTTTCTTTTTTTCTCAATATAAGTTGTTTCTAAGAGGGCTAGATAGCAGTTTTGCACGACAGTTTTGATAGCACAATTTTTAGATGATAAAATCTGCCCTCTTTTGTTAGCATGAGAGAAAACTGTCGTTTGGGCTTGCTTTTACGCTGTTCTTATTTTTTGGCAAATTGACCCACGGGAGTTTTTAATAGTTGTTCATATAATAAAGATTGTAGTCGCTGTAAACAACGAAAATTGAAATTACAATCTTTCTCTAAAGTTTTTACTATTTTTCCATTGAAAGTTTGGTCGTCTTCTGGTACAACGAACCTGACCCAAATCTACGTCTAAAAGCGACTAAATTATGTAACACAAGGGAATATCTGGCAATCTTGGACTTACGCATCAGTGACTTACTGTAATGTTTCTTAAGACTAAATTCCAAAAATGGAGTCAGTTTCATGGCGTGTTCGGGCAAAAGTAATGTGTTTACGTCAAAAAGAGCCAAATTTTTGAAATTCAAGTTAATGCAATGGCCTAGTTGATAAGGATTAGCTACATCGACCTGTTTGTCATTTGCCTGCTTGCCTTCGAATAAGGACTGCTGTTCCAACATTTTTGTTTCTTATCTTTTTCACTGTAACTTCATTAACAGTCCTATCTTGATATGAATGACCTTAGCATTTAGGATATCAGGGTAAGGACATATTTTGAAGTGATAAAATTCCTTCACAACATACATCGCAGAAACTAATTCGATCTTAATGTGTTCCTCCCTCATAAACAACTTTTTGCTTCTGCCAAGCATCTTTTAAATAATGAGTGACAACCTGAACTGACGTCAATACAATACGGCTTAAACATATCTAAGATCTTACTCTAAAGTTGATATATTTTTAAATGAAATGCCTAGATCTTTTCGCGAAATAACATATGATAAAACTTCAGTGACGTAAATCTCTTCCTGTAAATGTCTTCAGTACCAAGCTTATAATTTTTTTCATTTTTTGCTCCTATGTGTTTGTCAATATCCGTTTGTTTACTACATTTTCAAGTACTTTGAAGGAAAAACTCAACCCAATAATATTTTTGATAGCAACGGCTTAAGCGGGTAGAAAAATGAATTGGAGAAGCAAGGGCTTTTTCAACATACTAACTAGGGGGCAATCGCCCCTCCTGCACCAGTGACTCCATTGTTTTAAACAATAGGCCATTTTCATCACTTTATATGAAAAAAGGCTTGCCCCCGCCGCTAATTTCCCTACAAATAAGCTGTGTGGAGAAGGTGCGTTTGAGTTTCATTTTGAAAAAGGAGAGGGGATTGATGCAACGAAATTATTATTGGCCTATAACTTTCCGAAGGTAAGGACTTCACATAATTACTGTTACTGACATCATTTGAAATGCTTTTTATAGCTTTCTTACTAATGGAAAAGTAATGAAATCTGGTTTAGCAATCTTACATATTCCTATATTGTGTAAAGAGGATAGAGGAGATGAGCAAGCTAAGCATATCATATGGAACGTGCATTTTCAAGGCTACTTCGATTCACTATTTTCGTAGAGTAGAGCTGCAGGTGTAGTCTGTCGTTGTATGGAACAAAACCTTGGTACAAACAGACGTGGGCTGATTATATCACGATGTTACAGAATAGAACGAAGTACCTTGTGAATTTTATAACAAACTATATATCGTCTTTCAACCGGGCAAGTTTTGTGATCGAAAAAAGCAGAAAAAGTTTTAATGGGTCAATAGACGAAATGTTCTAGGGGACAGTTTCACTGAGTTTGAAGGCAACTTTCATAGTGTGTTTAATAACAAAAGACTTTTGCTGGTTGAAAGTGGATCTCTTTGGAAAAGCAGTGAAGATAGTTGAATTTTGGTTTAGCTATGTGATATGCTAAGTATCATTGAAAAAGAGAATGAGTAAAAAATATATCGCTGATGACGCTGGAAAGTTAATGTGTGAAAATATATATTCGGAGTATTTAACCATCGTTTCTTCAATTTGCAACATATTCTTTCCCGAGAACTAACATTAAAAGTATCTTTGCCAATCACAGTTCACTATGCCCGTTCAATCAAAGCATGCATGTTATCCCTTGTTTTGGTTAATCAAATGCATACCGTTCTACAATTTCATGAAACCACTGTTTGATACCCACACTGGTCACCAATATTAATTAGAAATGCTGAAGATTCAATGCAAGCTTGATCAGTTTATAGAATCTCCACTGTGACCGCATCAATGATCGTATTAAGCGTAAAACCCTGAGTAACAACTTAAAATCATCCTAGAAACAAAATCAACGATGATCCAGTTTGCATCACTTTCTCGAATACCTGCTATCTCGAACATTCACTATCTCTGTTACCTGGAATATTTGTTGTCACAAGCCCCTTTCTATTTCCCTCTAACCAGTATGAAAATTGGGTTTCTGTGCACCAGATGCCACAATTCTCCATTGCAGTTGTGTACCAGGTACCAATTTTTGCATGCATGAACAATATATCAATACAACAAAAAAGACAAGAAAACAGATACATACAATGCAAATCATTTTATAAACCTCCAGACGTACGTCTAATTAGAAGCAAAGTTACAAGCAAAAATGCTTTAATAAGACAAGCCAATGAAAATGTGTTAGAAAAAGCAACAGTCAAGGCCACAGAAAGGTTTTCGTCGTCCTGGGTGCAAAATTGAGGGATCAAAGAAAGTAACTTTCTGCGAACGAAGCGAGCAAAAATATTTTAAAGACATGTCCTTTAGATTGGCTTAAAATACATTTCAAAATATTTCTTGCAGTTATTTCTTTCAATTATTAAATATGTTTTATCAATTTTAGGCACAATTTTGTTAAGTGTGATTATTTCCATTCTTCATGTGGATTTCATTTCATTAAGACGGCCTTTTTGACCTCAAGGCTCTTGGCTGGGGCCATTTGCCACGCTCTTGACAGCCCTGGCAACAGTAATTAAACTTAGTTATGGATAGCGTCCCTCCCATTCTTAATCCTTGTAAGGACCCTATTTGCTTAGTAAATTGTATCTGTTCTTTTCTTAACGTTTCCTGTTATGTGTCTTGGTAGGTGCAGGTTGCAATAATTCTTTCCATCTATGCAAATCCTTGCTGTCTGAGAGACAACATTGTCTAATCTTAAAGTATTTGATGCTGACTATTCAAGAATACTCCTGTTCCCTAAGGCGGAACTGTTTGCTGCCATTTCAAAGCCCAGTAATTTATTTAACTGGAATAGAATATTATATGAAGTCACTTGTGAAAAAGTCCAAAATTTTACCAGCGTTTCTTTTATGGTTGTCGTGTCGCCACACGGATTTTTTCACAGCTGGCCTAACCAAAATTAAACGATTTTCCAGCATAATGAGAAATTAGTGAAGGAGAATTTTCAAGTTTTTGAAACACTGATCCTCTTCTCATGCATTTCCTATTCACATGTCCGTCCCTTTTCAAAGTTATTTTTATTATAAATGATTCTCTAAATAGAACAAAAATCCACAAATACCTAATGTCGGATTTTTTTAAATACAACATAGAAAATTGAACCTTCTAAGAAGGGTCAAACCACAGACACGAAAGAGCACATTTTTCAAACATTTTATTGTATCGCGGATGGTTAAGGTTTTCGAAAGAATTTTGCGGACATCTCGTGAATGTGATGTGATTTTGCTTTATGACGTAAATTGTTACTGCGATGAAAACAGCAGCTTAATTCTTGATGCATTCGTTAGTCACCGTTCCATAACATCTCCTCTAGTTTCTGCCCGAAGCCCTCTGTGATCCAATGTAAAAAAGGCATGCGTTTCTGCAAAAAACAGGCTCAGCCATTACTATGTCTTCGATCAAGATTCTATCTATTATAAAGGACAATAGTTTTAGTGATAATCAAAAGAATAATTTATGCGGAAAAAAATTTATAGTTAATTTCAAAAAATTTTCTGCATTCTAGTTCAGGCACCTTAGAGGACCTTACTGCTATTGTGGTCTACAAATGCTTTGAATATGCCAATATATCATTCCACATCCTTCATATGTTTATAAGGCGTTCTATTTATAAAGGAGAATTCCATTAGCTCTTGTAACCAAACACTTTCTCAATGCAATCAATAACGTTTTACTGAACTCATAGCATTTACTTTTTGTCTCTCCTAGATTTAATGGTACTAAGGTAACATTCTGTTTATCATTTTCTTATATGCTAACTGAAGTAATCCACGGTTGTAATCAATACCATTACATAGATCAAACAATTTACAAATACTAATAAAAAGCATTCCCTAAAAATATCCCGGCAAATTACTGGAAGTACAGAAAAGTAAAAAATACCAGAAAACATACTAGCATATTGATTAAGCCTCTATCTCACTGAGCACTTCTGTACGAAATTGAACATATACAACTTTATACAAAAACTGAGCCCTCAGTTTTCCTGGATTTTCTCCAAAATTCCAGTTTTTTGACAGGAAATGATGGAAACCTCTAAGTTTGATTTTTTAACACCTTTTGCTTTTTCGACATCAATATATATAAACCTTCTTTGTCAAATAAAAATATTAATGTTAAGATGACTATTAATCGCGAAATTGTGGAGTTTGATTTAAGCCCCAGACGGGGGTCTATAGCTAAGACTACAATAGAGTTCTAAAGTGGGGACGTCACAAAAATCTTTTTTAGAATTTTTTAATTTGGATCCCATAACCTGAAAAAGCATCATGAAATACCTCTAAATTTGCAAAATCAGGCAAGTGTATTACGAAATGGCAGAGATATGGCCACATGTTTATTGGTTCTCTCCCCATCAAACCTCTATATTTTGGTCTCTGTTCATAACTTTATGAACAGAGCCAAAATAACAGTGATTCGTTAGCAAACTTCAAATCTTTTATTAGCCATATCTCAACCGATTTTAGACATATTTGGCCAATTTTGCGTATTTGAAAGTATTTCATAGTGATCTTTTACGCTATGTGGTTAAAATTCAAAAATTTTATAAAAAGGTTTTTGATGACGTCACACTTTAGAACTCTATGGCATAGGCTCAGGGAATGCTGCGTTGTCACCACCCCCTCCAACTAGTCAATGCTTTCAATTTGTTTGAAAGGTCATACAACACATGGACAAAACATGGACAAGTTTTTGCAGATCTAAGTCAAAAACTGAAATGTTAAATTCCGGAGAGTGGTGACAGAGCTTGCTAGGGGAGGGGTTCGGTCAAAAAAGGCTTGGCTGGACATCAACAAGAGAGGGCGCCATAGAATGCAACTCCCTAGAAAATTGCGAGTTAACAAGTCAAGTATAAATGAATCGTTTGTGGCAGAGCAATACCGACTGGTTCTTAGATAGCAAATCAATTCTGACTGCATTTACGTCATTCTTAAAGGCTTTTTTGTGATACTGTTTATTCTTGCATCGAGCTGTAGCCAGGGCTTTTATCTAAAGAGATGCAACTTTGTTTTAGATATTGACGAAAGACGTCAGAACCCCTGATTGATTTACATGGTTAGGTCACTTCAATTGGTATTGGGGTATCGAATCCAAGAAAATTTTATGTTGTAAGGCTTTACAGTTTCCAGGAGAACTAGGGAGCCGCCTCTTGTAGGAAACAATTCTTTTTCAAGGCCGTGAAAAGCATCTGATTCATGGATCAAGACAATTTTCTCCGACATTAAACTTACAGACATTGCTTCCATATGTGGAAGCAGCAGTTTCTAGTGTAAAGAGATAGTGTAACTATTCGATAGTGATATGATACAACAGTGTTGCTGGTCTCATCGGGGCCCGGACCCCGAATCTTTCGCCCCTTCAGTGATCTTGGATGTGATTCACTTTTCTCTTAAAGTGAGTTATAAGGAAGATGGCGGGGCGTCCGAATGTCATTATTTAAGTCAAAGAAGCCTTTAAATTAGCCTTTATAAAATTAGGCTTTTACAAAACCTTTTCTTATTAGAGCCCCTCCACAGGGTTTCAAGTCATAATTTTAAAACTTTATTAGAGAGCATATCTACCAATGACAACGCAAATGGGATTTGGAAACATTTTTAGATGATTGCTTTTTGGTTGTGCTTCTGTTCTATAAGCTGGAAACAGCGATCAAGAGTGTCTTTGTTGACCCCCTTACCCCTTGATCTATACCGTTACCCCTTATCCGTGCTTAACAAGAAGCATGTGACAGGCTAGGGGAAACAACGCCTGCAATGCATCCCCTAAGCAGGAGACCGCCCCTGATCTCGCACGCTGTAAACAAACTTGAAATACTGAAATCCGTTGTTTGCAAGACATAGATCGAATTATGTCTCAATATAATGCCTGAATTCATGCGCGAATGCCATTAGGCATTTTCTGCTAATTCCTCTTAAGATTTTTTTAAAAGCTCCCTGTATATTTGTAAAAATTCTTGAACAGCGCCCCGTCGAGTAATGAACCATAATAGTTTTTATTCGCCATGAAACCCAGCTATTTCATAATGCATTGCATTTAGCCGCAATTTCAAAGCTATATCATAAAGTTTTAGTCAACCATATCCGCAATCAAAGGCATTTCTGTTGTGTTTTATTTCCTTCTCGAATTCAACTGCAATCGTGTACAGAGCCGCTGGAGGACCCGCAAGCCTGTTCCCTCATAGGCAATACTGCTGCTGTTAGAGTACATTTCGTTGGCAGCTTTTGCGTGTTCGAGCGACCAGAAGGGGTAAGGTCTTGTTTCTTGATGGACCAATTCGGATTTAAAGCATGAGAAATCTATGAACGCAGAAATTCCACAGGAGAATGTGAGCGGGGAGGTGTGTAGAAGCTGGAATCCTTCAGTTTCCGATTACTTAATGTAAGTACAAGCTTTGATCTTTTGGCCGTTAGTGAAATGTCTCCAAGGCCTTTGTCTTAGTTCTAATTCCTATTTGAAACTTATATCAATCTCATGTTTTCTTTGATAACGAGAAAAAGATTAGCCCTTAAAGATTTCTTGTTTCACTGTTATTGGACATGCTTCACAAACTTGCTAAGGAAATTAGTCTTATTTTCGCGCTCGTAAACACAAATGCCGTTTGTGAAGTTTAGTGCTTCGGCTTGAATGAGATTTGAAGTTTCTGTGTAGATTCACTGTGCTCTTTACAAAAGCCGATAAATAAAGACGAAACGCCCCATTAATGCTTCTCATTCCGAGAGTGTTGTCGTTTCCGCCCGGCCCTAAAGTTTCCAAACTTCTTTTCCCATAATAAAGCAACTGTTTTTGCAAAGTTTTCTGTTGTCGCCAAACACCACATTAGGAAAGAATACCAAACCAAATGCGTTTGTACTTAATGGAGTGGGAATTCTATGCATAGGAAGGTTTTCGCTTGATTTACCTATCGGAAGTTATTGGGTCGAATTTTTCTGACGTCGACTTAGCCACTTAAAATGCTGCAGATCCTAAAATAAAACTTATTCTGAAATAGAGCCATTGCTATGCCTTGTTGGTACCGATGCTTTAAAGGTCTTTGCTGGGCAATTATTCTGAGGTGAACTGTCAACTAATATTTAATGCAACCACATTAAGCCTTCAACATAGGGATGGCTGAAAAGGAAACTAGGCTTTTGAAAATAATAGCACCAGACTCAGCCTTACTTTGGTAAGGCTATTCTCGATTTTTGCAAATCAGGTCATAAAAATATGTGCTAGGTTGCCAATCCCACATTGAAATTTGAGCTGCGTGGTAAAGCAAAAGGGGGCTTGGATAAAACAGGAATTACACGATCATTTTTCTAACGGCTGTGCGATTATTCAGGCAGTTTTCCAGTGTACAAGCACCAGGGGAATGTCATGCTTAGGACAATATTTGCCAACTTCACTCCCAAATACAGTTATGTTAAATTGTCTTTATATTCATAGAGACTATAATTAGATAATGGAATTTCCATGCATGAAACCACAAGTGTAACTATCTGGCGTCGCTTTAGTAACTATAAACTTCCAACTTGTTGATCTCGGCTAAACAAACGTCCATTTTCTACATAAAGCCTTATCTATAAATGTAATCTTTAGCACGAAATTCCCGCATGATTGAGTATTGTGCCATCTTTTGAATATCCAATACTCACAAAAGCTATCTCGTGATAGTCTAATAAGTTCATTGAAAATGAAAAGTCCCCTTTTCTTCTTGCATTGCTAGTTTGGTAGCTAGATGTGTATGATGGGAGATGAGGATTGGGGTGTTGCACGATGACGTAGAATAGAAGGCGTGGCCATCTACAAACGACAGGCCATGCATAGTCTCTCACACATCAAATTAGTAGAGGGGGCATGAAAGTCTTAGTCCCTAAAAATCACGGGACCAATGGGGGCTGGAGTATTTTGCCCCTCGCACTAACTGTGTTAATTGCAGTACTAATGAACGAAGGGTACAGTGCCCCAAGGGTACAGTACTATGAACAGTGCAGAGAGACTTCGAAAAACCCTCTTTTGAGCGTTCGGTCTCTTAACGAAGCAGCAAGTTTGAAAATGTAGCAAATTTCAGTGCACATGACTCTCTCAAGAACAGGCTAGTCCTCGATGAATTTCAGGCCTTTAAGAATTGCTGAGTTGTATGAGAATGGAATGCTTCATCACAAAGGATCTCAGTCAACGAGGCTCAACTACACTTAAACTCTCATTGTGTCCCCTTATCCACCAACATCACTCAAATATCAATGGGCATTGAATTTCTCAGACACAACCTATTCAATGGAAAATTGTCCAATTTCTTCGTGCCTGTTTACCATACAGTGGTGAAAATATAGTGTTACTTTCTCTATGCAGTATATTCCGTACTGGTTAGCAAAATGCAGCTAACTTGACTTCTCGTTTTCTACTTTTGCATATCCAGTTTTACACAACACAGCTGTATAATAGAAGAATGTGATCTTTAAGCTCTTTGGGGACACCCCGTTAGAGCTTTTCAATGTTTCTTCAATTATTTGCTCTTTGCTTTATTATTTATGCAAATGTAGGAACAGGATAAACGAGAAACGTCCTGGTTGAATACTGCTTTGAGTTTTATAAAATTGAACAATGAAGATTATCAAAATCGAATCATTTCAATAGTTAAGCATAACGTTGCTAGTAAAAATGAAGACTATTTAAGAACGTTTCCTTAAATTGGCTGCTGAATGAAATTACAATAAAATTTTCCGTCACGGAAACCATAAATTAAATTACCTGCACCAATGCAATGATTAAATATGTCATCGACCTGCTACTGTATCCAGATTTTTTTACCCAAATTGTTTGTCGAAAGGTAAACGAAATGAAGAAATAGCTTTAGCTCTAACAAAAACATCTAAAAATCAGACTATACAGTCGTCTTATCTCAGGGCGGATCCAGAGCAAATTTGGAGGGGGTGGGGGGCAGTTGATAGAAGGGGCGCTGAAAAATTGTCAAAAATTGGTGACGAGAGTACGCTACAACAATTTGAGACCCTAGCTAATGACAAAAGGCCTTTATTCACGTTTTAAAGGTATTTTTCACAATAATTGTGCCAAACTGCTTCCATAAAGGTGCTTGATTTAACTCGGCGAGGAAGGGGCGTACCCCTAGTTGCCCCCTATATATCCGCCACTGTCTTGTCTGACCATTCATAATGATTTAAATACTTGACCAAGAACTGCAAAAATATCCGCAAACTATTCAGTGACCACTTGGGTCACGCAGGTATTTTATGAATTACGTCATTGGTAAAGAAAGAGTTAGGCTAATTTTTACTAAATCCTGGCTCCATTTTTCTTAAACCTTTACTTAAAATTCAAAACCCTTTTGTCTATAACCAAGAAAACATTACAATAACATGTTGCTCAATATTCTTTTCACTTATTGAAACTCCAAAAATGTGTGTTTATTAAGTGTTTGGTCTTGTATAGAAACTATTTTGTCGCCATACTTTCTTCTCTTCAATATCAGGTTTTTTGTTAGAATAAATTACAGCCTCCAAGTTTGGAAACGTTTTACTGTCATTTCGAAGCTTCTTAATCATTCGAATCTGCTTCGCAAAAGATACGTACACCATGATGCAATTTTCTCTAACAAAGTCCAGGTTTCAATTTTTTCAATTTTCAATGAATTTTTCCTCTATTACACCTTCTCCATCTCAATTTTGGTTTTGGCACGCCCATGTCACTTTTCTTCCTTTAGAGAATAAATTCTTTATTTCTCGATGATTTGTTGAAAAGAAAGTGAAAATATCTGAGCAAGTCAGGCTTTCCCAATTTTCTGAAATTTTTATGGGCAGTTTTTTGCAAATAAATGCAGAGCAGTATTCTGTGTGTCAAATTTTTTCAAAAGTCGTGTATAATTATTGCAAAATATAAGGTGGCAACTGCAAAATATAAGGACTGCAGAAATCCCCCCTAGAGTTGCAAATTTGTCAAAATTAAAAACCAGAAAAATAATAAAAAATAATTGGGCAAGGTATTGAAGAAACTCGTAAGCCTGGAATGGAACGCCAGTTTGTTGTCTTGAAATGTCTAAAAGAGGAAGTTAAAGTAACTTTTTGGCAAATGCTCTATTGATCTTTAAACAATTTTTGTCCCTTCCTATCATCCTGTGCCAAAATTCAAAATCCTGAAATATCTCAGTTCAGCGTTCACCAACGAGGTAGCCATGACAAATAAAGAGAAAAAAGGAAAAGAATCTGGTGACAAGGCTTCTAGGATTTGCAGGCACACGCCTTGGCTTGGGAACGACTACCAAAGATATGCTTGGCATTGTACTCATGCAATTATGCCAATTTTGTGGTAGTTACTCTGGAAACTAGGAGAGCATAACCCTTATATTTTTGCTTAAAAAAGAACTTGAGTACCTAATTTTTTGCTAAACAAGTTAAACATGTGTTGGCGTCTTTTAAATTTTTTGCAGGAATTGGAACGAACGGGAAAGGGAGATGAAGGCCTCGTTTGCCATATCACCTGCGTTTACAATTTTCAAGAATAATTTTTCATTGAAATAACTTTAATCGAGAAAACAGTTGTAATCTTTGCAAGTATAAAAGTATATAAACATAATCAGCCAGAAAGACTCCTCGTCGTTTGAATTGCTATCCACAGCAAAGTAACTACACAATTGATTGGATCATAATACTTTTCTGAAAATTGCCTTTATATGATGCTAAGAAAATCCGGACTAGTGCACTTTTAATCTCCACCTTTCATACCCTGAAACTTTTTATAATGTTGCTTTTCTCCTATTTCCCCGAATCTATCCCGTCCCGGTATCCCTAAAATTTTAATTGATTCTTTCCTTGTTGCCCATCAGTTTTTCACTAAACGAAATATTTGGTTCGTCATGGCTTGTTTCTACAGTCAGCAACACCGTTATGTTTGCATTTCCATTGCTATAGATTTAGAAGAAAGCTAGCTGTTTTAACAGACGACTAAATATTGATTCTACTTATTCTTCATTTAGCTTTCATGAATAGAAAATGTACCTAGAAAGCAAAAAATTGAAAGACAAACATCTCATATCCATGCAAAATCAACATATGCTACAATACAGCATCGCTGACTTATAGTCATTAAAGTTGTGTTTATCATGAGTTCCAAGGCGGCCTTTTGAATCTTATGCGAACAATATTTGATTCGAAATTCTTGTCATAATGGGAGGCATCTTCTGCTTTTAGCAAATTGAACATCCTTGACTGAAACATGCAGTCTACGATAAGCAGGGCAACTACACGCTTTTTCTGCCGAAGTTCTTATGTTTTGAGGCTATCGTGTACTTAATGTTGTACTTATCACAGCATTTTATAACATTTCATACTATAAATTGTTTCTAAGACTACTAAAACAGTTTTGCATGGTATGTTCAGTACTCGTTTGATTACCAGATAAAATATACTTTGTATTGTTAACAAGAGGAAACTTTAAAAATAAATTGTTTTTACTTCTAATTTTCCATCGGAGGCTGGACATGTTCTCACATTGCTTTTTTTAAAAACTTGAGCCTCAGTGTTTTTATCAAGCGCGTTATATTAAAAGAGAGTGTACTGTTGATAGCGCATATGATTATGATGATTATGATGAATCAGATCCGTAGGCTCAATTCTTTTAACAGCTAGCACAACAAATAACACTTATCATAGACACTTTGTTATTTGTGCTGTGTGGCTAAGGTATGATACGCACATGAAAAATAGTGAAAGTCTGATCATGGGTTTGTTAATAAAGCAAAAACAATTTTGAAAGAGAGGATCAGCAAAATACTTGATTCAGCAACAAAGTCATCATAGTAATAGTCACCTTTATCAAAATGATTATTTTTAGGTTTGATATTATAGTCAAGAAGCTAAAGTTTCGTTACTTTCATGTCTTGTATGAACATTTCTACTGCGGTTTTGTTATTGAATTCATCAACGCCAAAACACTTTTATAAAAATGCGATAAATATTTATTCCAGCCTCCATATTCTTGAGAAATCTTCGTTTTGAACCTAACTACATATTCTAAAAGTATTTACATTTTTTTCAAATCTGATGTGGTTTGCAGTGAGTCTCTTGAGCGAATCGCCCGCTCTTGAATAAAAACCACATTTCTTGAAAAATGAGGTTTGTCAGTACTGCGATTCTCTGGAACATCGCAAAACAGGCAACTGCTGAAAAATGAGGCAAAAATAAGGCACAGCGTTATTATTACAATATTTTTAATGATGGGATTATTCTGTATTTGAATATTCTTATAAAGAATATTCTAAAAAAGAGTGCATTCGTTTGGGTTCCCCTTGCCCTTATGTTTTCAATGTAGCTAGTTTTTGAGCTACATCTTAAAATGCATTTTTCTTTTTCAAGGTTGCAAATGACTGACTCCGATTTGAGCGAGTTCGAGCCTTATGACTGCTATGACGACCTCGAAGCAGACCTAGAAAGGTACACTCAGTCACAAACTCAAGACCCAAAAATCCCAGGATGGAAGGGAAATAATGATCCCAGTTTAAAGAGAGAGGAGTTACAGAAGATGGTGGCATTTGACCAACGGGATCCGAGGGGTAAAATCGCTATCCAGATACTGCCCAAGACTGCCTTGGAAAACACTAGTTCGAAAGAGAAAAATGAATTACGTAAATTATCTCGCCGTGCTCCAAGTATCGAAGAAAGGATGGCAAAATTCGCAGTTAATTTACCCCGAGAATTGAAAACCACATCTAAATCCCTTACCAAAAAGTCGCCGCCGCCAGCTCATGGGTTGCCCCCTTGTAACGAAGATGATAAGCCCATACTGGAATTGAATAGGAAACAAAGATTCAGGCTGGTATCTGATACCCTCAAACCGAATCATAGCACAGAGGAAATCTCAACTAATGCGGCTAGAAAATCAAATTTTATTTCAGATAATTTTGGATTAAGCGTAGTTGAGCATAGTCGATCAGGTGTACACAAAAACCACGAGTCAAGCCTGAATGACCACATAAAGGAGGACAGGAGCGATTCGAGTCCAGAGAATGCGAAATCAACACACCACAGGCTGAAAATGCAACCGGTGGATGGAGCGGAGTTTCCATTTCGTCGAAAAACGAGCCAAGGAAGAAAAGGCTTATGTCCTGCTGATGAATATCAACAGCAACTCAGCAGGTTTGGAACGAAGGAGAGACTAGAGGGAGGAAAACAAACGCAAGATTGGATAGAACAGGACGGTGATCATTCTGGTCACCAAAAGATCACTGACCAGATTACCGATAGGTCTAAAAATTTGTCTTATTATGGTTATAATAAAAAAGCTGACATCAGATTATCCAGCTCAGCGAAAGTTGCTGCTGTTATCAAGGAAGGCATCCGTGAGCAGGGAACTCGCAGCTTAACACAACAGTTGACTGGAGCGAGCACACAACTATCAAGGGAGCATATCAGAACTGCCAAGGGAGGAATTTATTTTCCACCACAACTTCAGCGATCGAAATCTTTCGAAGTCGATCCAGGTAAACGAAGCATCTTGAAATCGGGTTTCGTACAGAAGGATATTGATAAAATTACAGCGGATGCTGCTGGGAAAAGCCCAATAAAAGACTTGTCGAGTCAGACGGAGCGGGCGAGCATCGGAATTTACTCAGGGCAACACAAAGTGCGATCACAGGCCAGTGATGATGGCCGCAACCTTAAGGGCACATCTAACACAGGATTTTCGTCAAGGAAAAGTGAAAAGGTTTTCGGAGATGTTGTTAAAAGCGAAAACAGTAAATTATCTGAGCTGCTGAGATCAGATCGTAGTACGCATAGTTTACAGAGGCCTGGCAATCCGGGGGTAGTTTATAGTCCTACGAAAATTCATGGCAATACTTTTCAAAACATTGACAATAGTTCGATAAAATCGCAAGCATTTGTGGCCCGTGCAAGGAAAAACAGCTCGGGATTTGTGGAGCCACGAAAAATCATATCAGCTGGTGGAACTGATCGCGGTAAATTAGTTGAAAAAAATAACAATACTGTCTGGAACACTGATTCAGGTTCGGGAAGTAGCGAAGAAGAAAGGACTATTGAAACCGACAGTAGTACAACTTCCAGTGTAATCGACGAACGTAGGAGAAGGAGACTCGTGAAAAGGACAAGAAGACGCGGTTTGAACAGCAGAAAATCACAGCTAAGTCAATTTATAGGCCGCGAGGTTTCAGCCATCGAGAGTCAAACCTCAGATGATGGGACAAGTAGGCCGTCTGTTAGCGATACTTTGAATGATGCTCTCTCGCCGGATGAAAGCATCGGGAAAATAAACAGTCGCGAGAGTTACAAACGTGCCAAGCAGATATTTGAGAAACACAGGTCAAATCAAGACCCACAACGAGCCACCCCTAAAGGTGCTTTTACGAATAGAACTGTTGAGCAGCAGGTTCAAGCACAGGAAAATGCTACGAAGTACTCTGATTTAAATGGACAGAGCCCTCCGTTTTCGCACACTGAAGATCATACCGCTATGTCAACAATACACAGCAATCGTGGCCCTTTTACTAATTCTAGCAACGAAGCAAGAAATGGCCATGAACCATTTAAAAACCACAGAAAACATAGTGGTGGAACATTCAGTGCAGTGGCAAAGGTGTCAAAAATTACAATTCCTTCGCTCCAGCTTAGAAACCTGAACACCCCTAACCGGCCCAGGTATACAAGTGACACCGAATCATATGCTGGCCATGCAAAAATTTTGTCAGATCCATTTAGTCTTGGTCGAAGGAGTTTTAGAGATAATAACCTTGGTTTCTCAGATGGTGAACACGAGCTTACTGCCAGATTGGAAAGGAATGAGGAATTTTATGAAGAGCAATCATTCGATGACAGTTCTTTTGATAGACGTTGTTACACTCTGCCAAGGAATATGGGTAGGAAAACTATGAAAGCAAGTCCATTCAAATTAAATCTTCCCGGAAGAAGTTTACAAGAACCACTGGATGTGCAGTGTAATAGTCAAAGTAGCATTGAGGATGTCAGTGTACGATCATTTCCATTGACACAGAAAGACTTCTCCCCCAACAGAATCCAAAGCAGATCTGCGGGTTATATAGGTATTGACCCACTTTTTTCATCAGAACATGTCCTTGCAAATGCTGCAAATCAGCAAACAACTACCAGCCCTACTGGGATGAAAAATCACTTTAATATTGCCAGTACTCACTCCAAACCAATTGAAAGTGAGATTTTTGCAAAAGAAGAATCCATAGTTAACTCAAATGCTGAAAGAATATTTTATCCAGAGACTAAAAGTGAAACACGTACTGTCAATTCATCTATTGCTAACTCAATACCTAGTCCATTTTATGCTGAACTACTTGCCCCTCCTGATAATTTCAAGGATTCTCCAGATGAGAGGGTACTTGAAGACCTATCTGTAGAAAAACCTGTTGAGAAAATGAATAGTCCAACTCACAGTAAGGAAGAGAGAACAACTAACTCTGTACTCAGTTCTAGTCCTGTCAATGAAAGTAGTAAATCAACTGAGAGGACCAGAGGCAGGCCACCTGTTATTGAAAGTGCAGTGACTGATAAATCACACGAAAGGGCTGGTAGCCCAAGAAGGAGACCATCATATGTGAAAGCCCAATTTTCAGATTCAATGTTCTGGTCAGAAACAAAAAGTGACTCAGAGAATCACGAGAAAAGAGAGACTGTTCCAGCCTCTACAGAGAGTGTTCCTGAAATGTTTAAAGCAGTTGAGCCACAACCTGTAGAATTAGCAAGTACAGCAAAGGATTCAGTTGATCAAAAGAAAAAAAGGGCCAGGCCAAGAATTCCACCAACTCTAGGCCCCCTGAAGCCTTCATTTGACGACCTTATAGCAATCCCGATTCCAGACCAAGACTTTCCCTCACCAGGTTAGTCACTTATGTTTTTTTGTGATTTACAATTGTAAAGATGACTTTCCTTTTCCTAATTCAGCACTTGGTGCCAATAGAAAAGTCATTGAATTTGACATGTTTTTATTTGAGCGTTCAGTTTCATATTTTCACATGAAATCCATTGTTTGCTTTGTACAAACAGTTAATTCTCAGTGCATGACCCTCTCAGGTTTGATTTTGAATTTCTTAACCAATTAAAGGCTGTTATGATTTGCAAATGAAGGTGTATATTTTCATTTGGCATCAGCTTGATCTTCCCATTCATATACTTTCATATACAATCTTTTCATAACATTTCATGTTTCTGTAAGCATGATTTCAGTAGCTTTTAATGCATATCTGCTATGTTTATTAACCAAGTTTCAAAAAAAATAATCGTTCAAAACATTCTTGCATGCTTGGTTTTTAAGATTATGCAAGTGGTATTATTGGCCCAGGTGGCTTTCCTGGAAGAATGCTTAGAAAATATTGCACCCAGGGATATCAGAGTAGGGGCAGAGGGGGCAAGTGTCCCTCTTGCCCTTTGAAAGGAGGGAAGGGGATTAAAGTGTATTTGGCATTGACCTTCATGATAGTACTGGAAATTCATGAAGTGCCTTTAAATTTGTTAGGTGACAATACCACAAAGAACACTTAAACACCTGTTTTGAGATATAATTTGGTTTATTTAAAACAGGGATGTCCAGGTTATGTTTTGGGCTTGTAGTTTATGTAAAAAATACTTGTTTTGGGGTATTCCACTTGTGTAAATACATTTTTGGTTGATGAAATGCTGGAATATTTTCTGGATCCAAAATACTAGCAAGTATCAAGCAAAAAGAAAAAATTGATGTACCGTCTTTAGTGTAGAACAGCAAGATTCTCTATGTCTCCCAGATTCTTGATGCCTCAGTATGTAAGTGAAAGGAAATTTTTTTTGGTTTATATTGTTTTTATGGAAAATGTTTTTTGGGTGTAAATGCTTATCTAAACCTGGATACCTCTATCCTATATATACCCCTCCCTGAGAATAAACCCTTTCTATGGGTCAGTATTGAGTCCATTTTTAACATGCCAGTAGCAGGGGTGTCTATTTTGTTTTTAGAAAAGGTATTTATTTGAATAAGATGTTAGTTAACACCAGCACCAGTAATCCCTATATATGAACTAATTATCTTCAAGAAACAAAGCTACTAGAGGCTAAACTACTAATTTGCTAGTTTTTAACTCATGCAGTGTAATTTGTAGACCAACCCAGCAAAAGATCACGATTCCTTTTCTTCTTTGTAATCATTATCAAGGGACCTTACATGCGTTGTCCGAAGACAAAGACTAGATGCTAATGCACACCGTTGACACTGAAATAAAATTAAAATTTCCCAAAATTTATAGTTCAAGTCGAAACCTAATGTAAAGCCACCAAAATCACAATAATTAAAGTTTTTTTTTAATTTATAAAACCATAGTGCTTTAGGAATTTATAGGTTCTATTTAGTATAAATTTTGGAATCCTTTTTTACGCCATGAAAACATCTACTGTAAGTCACCGAGCTAAGACCAAACAACAAGTCATATCAGCGAGCCACAAATTACCGTACAAACAAAGTTATTTTTCTTTCCTTGAGCCGCTTTGTCTTGAATAATGGATTTTTACGAATATTTTTTATACGGTTTGATGTTCTCAAAAATCCGATAAGCAAGGCAAAGAACGAAATGAAAGAATGAAATAACCGTTATTGTTATATAAGCAGGCTTTTGATGTAGTTGGTTATATATTTAGTGTTTTGTTTAAAGTTGGTTTTTGTTGAAATGAAGATTTCACGCCTTTATGATCTTGTTTGTAGTCTACAAGTTATTATTTTCCCATTTATTGGATTTTCTTTGTCGCAGTATGCCAGAAATGTTTTAGCATGTATTTTGCAAAGACTTGTTGTGATTGAAGCTGATATCCGTAACTATCAAAGATTTTCAGATGTTGTAAACAAGGGCATCGCAAGAAACTTTATTTGCATTCCCCCCCTCCCTGGATGATGCCCTTGGTCAGTTACTGCAGCCAGAACCTTATGATAGTATTAAAAACTTGAACTGGCTACTGGCACAACTTAAATAATCATCCAGGGGGTATATAAGTATTCATCCTGTTAAATATTTTGTGACCCATCTTGGATAGTCTGCAGTGCCGTCGGAACCGCGCGGGGGGGGGGGGAGGGGGTCTGGAGCCCCAATAATTGTCAAACTGTAGTATGTTTCCTTTATAACAGTGTACTGAATGAGAAAGAATACAATGGGCAGCCCCCCAATATGAATTTCGTTCCGACAGCACTGGTCTGTCAGTCTGGTTTATCATATATTGGTTAAAAGGTATTCAAACACTGTATATGTAGTGCCAAAAATATGAGGAGCAAGTTAACATTAGAGGTTAAACAAGGGAAAGAAATAGAAGACAATATGGTGCATGTGCTATCCCAGCTGCGTATTTTTATCGCAACTGAGATCATCAGAGGTTTGACTTGTGCTACTGCTGTTTCCTTTTACACAAAATTTATAGTTATCGTTATTCACGAGATGCAATCAATTATTGAATTAGAAATACATTATTGTTAAGTTGAGCAATTAGATGTTTCACTTATTCTAGGCGTGGATTGTTATAGAAATAAGAAACATTGATGTAAACGAGATGCATCAGACTTCTATGTTTGCACATATTTATCAAGGCTAAAGCTGAATGTTACGTATGATTCAAGCGTACACTCTTTTTTTATAAGAACCAGTAAATTTAAGTTCAGGCTAACTCTTTTTAATTTTTTCGAAAACCTGAGGCTGGATAGAGTGTAAACAGTGTGATTGCTAGCTTTTTTGCTCTATGGAAGTGCTTCAGGCCTCATTTGCCAACAACGTGAGTGGGACAACTTTCATTTGCCGACAAATTTGAATATTCGCCGAAGAAACACCCACACATGGCTAAAAATCCTTGTTTTTGAGATAAAACGTTGTTCAGAATTTCATCTTACAGTAGCTCAGCCTCAGCTTGTTCTTAATTTATTTTTAATTTTTGCCCAATTTTGAGGCTCGTGTTCTTATAAAATTGTTCTTATAAAAAAGAGTGTGATTGTCTTTAAGGATACTTTCCCAGGTCAAAGCATCATACTTATTCAGGCAGATAACTTTATTAAGTAGTGAATAACTGTTCATTACCTCAAATGGGCTGGGCATGAACAGCGTTTTAATCAATTGTTGATGTACATGGTTCCAACTATTTCATGACTTATAGCTGGATAGGCGTTTCTTGCACTTTGATAATTATTACAACATGTCATCAATGTCATCAAACGTTTTGTGAAACAGCAGCAGCATAAAAAGTTAAGTGGAAATTTATTCACACTGAAAATCCGAAAATAAGATTAGTCGCGTGTCACTTGGATTTGCAAGGGTGTTAAGTTGACTCTCGGCTGTCTCATTGTCAGCTGATTATGGTGATCATAGTATTTGATCATGATTATTATGATGATCAACATCAGAACCATCATCATGATTATGATTATCACCTTTATCATCGATAATTCCCATACTCTATTTCTAGGTCATTCTCCTGTTTTTTGCACTTTTATTTATGTAGCTTTAGTACCTACAAACCAAATTTGTTGTTTTTAGAAAAAGAGGAAATTGATAAACTGAACTGCGATGATAATCACAATTTGAGAGAAACAAGCCTTATAGATGACAAGCTAATTGCCTCTGTTGTGGACAAAAAGCAGGAGAAATCAGACATTGCAAAGCGCAGGCCAAGAACTACCCTTGCAGCCACTCCTATGCTAGAGGAGATTCCAGAAGAAAAAGGACACGGTTCTGGCAGTGACACAAACATTGCTATTGTTTCAGATGAGACAAGGATCACAAGCAAACGAACCAGAAAACAGGTATTATTTCTTTCCTTTTTTGGTAAAGCATGGTATTTGTTATTGGTAGGTTTTAGGATATCGAGAAGCGATGCGACTGGTGTCCTGGTCCTTCTTCTCGACCTGGCTTGTTTCCTATGCTTGGAATTTCCCTCGGAATTACCAAACTTTCGAAGGAACTAAATTGCCTTATTTTACAATTTAATACCCAGGTAAACTGTTTGAAGTAGCTGCGAAGTGTGAATCAGTAGAATTTGATAAAACTGTTTCACAAGTATGGAGGGCAGGGCCGCCGAGAGGTTTTGGAGGCTCTAACTCAGAGTCTGAGGTAAAACAGGAAGACGAGGCCACCAATGAAAATTTGTGCGACCACGCCCATTAGATCAGCTTACATACATTTATATTCTTGCAATTATTTTACTATTTTTAGACATAATTTCGTTACTTTTAATTATTTCCATTTTAAAATGGAATTCATTACTTTATGAGGCCCCCTAGACCTCGAGGCCCTGGGACAATTTACCCCCGTGCCCCCCTTATTAGCTGCTCTGATTGAGAGTTAAATGGTATAGTATGCCCAGTTATCATCAACGAAAAAAATGAAAATTGAACCACAGTGGTCTCCGCAATTAGAATGTGGCACTTCATTTTCTTTTTTTTAATTTGTTTTATTCACAGTCGTTGACCGCGTGACTCCCACTTTTACTGGGCTCTGGATTGGCCCCCTTCCCCGATACGAAACAATTTCCCCAACAATTTTTTCATTGCCTTGCTACAATTTTTTTCGATTCATGCTGTTTTTATCTAGAAAAAGTTTACCGAAAGGCCACGAAATGGTTAAAAAGACAGCATTAAGGGACCTACTCTGTTTTCGCTCACTTGTTGTATGTTATGTGTCACTGTGTATTAAATTTGTGTGTACAGTTTTCGTTGAAATGCCAAACACATTTTGCAAAGGTGTTCTCTGTTATCGTACTGTTAATACAATTGACAAAGAAGGAATTCAAAGGTTTCCATTACTATGGTCATTACATTGTACTGTATTTTCTGTTTAACTGTTTTCTTTGCATGTGATCTAGCAGTTTGTAATTGGCCTTTTCTTTCCCCTTTGTGCGCCATATTTGCTATGCATTGAATGTATGTCAAAAAGCACCGTTGAAAGTATGCAGCTCAACAATAAATGACAAGATCTCAATTACTTCTTATCTAAACATTGTTTTTAATATTGTATGAATATTTTACAATTAAAAATGTTCAGCAAGGCCAATTTAAAGTTTGAAAGAAGCTACAAAACTTATCCATGCCCGTAAGAAACATTTCTTCTAAGATTAACCTTGTTTATCCATTGTCAGCGCTTTTAGGCCTATAAAGGCAAAGTCTGCGGGGCCTAATGAAAGACCATAAACCTTTCGTTATTTCGCCCCGTTTAACAATGGCATACGTAGGTAAGTGTCACCTTACAGGCCCTTTTTGACGTCATGTAAAACGATAGGTTCTCCTATAGATTAAACTTCGTGGTCTATTTGTCAAAGGGAAGCAAACGTATGTTTGTAAACATTTGACCTGCAAGATTCGTGGTCCTTAGAATATATTTCCTAAAATATTCCTAGTACAGATGGTCAATAAAAATGCTATACTGGGAAACCTGTTTTCAGGTATTCTAAATGACAGGCCACTTTTGGATAGTTCAAAACCAAAACAAATCATGTTGTGCTGAAACAGCCACAGAAAACATAGCCTACAAACTTTCAGGGTTTTCCGTGGGTTTCTCTGGTGTCAGCACTGTTTTGCTTACGCCAAAATGTGTACAAATTTCATGGTTAGTATCGTCTTTCTGTAGTTCATGTCTTTTGAAACGAATGTCTATCAAACCTTTGGTATAATTTAGCAATGATAGATAGTAGCAATGCAAAGTGTTGTGGATAGTTCTTGTACATCAACTATATTTATATTATCGCATTTCTGAGTCAAATTTCAGTTTCCTTTAAAACTTTCAGGCTTTAGACCTTTGCTTGACACAGTTACGGATAGGTCTTTTGGAATCAGTAATAGTTGAAAGTGTTTACTTGTTCCAATCAGTTAGACTACCAGTTGAATAACCTTTTTATCTTGCTGCGTAATTGTTCGTATCTATATCTTGTATGCGGGGTCATGACATTTATGTTTTTCCTATTTGTAGGCTATTGGAGAGTTGAAAGAATCAGTTGAAGGAAACGAGAGTCCGAAGACGGAGAGATCAGAAAAAGCCGAAACCGGTTACTTTAGCAGCTCCTCAACCCTCAATAGGCTTGGCAGTTTGGACGAAGTGAGTGAAAGCCCGACATTCAATGTCGTTAATTTCGCTGAAACAGAAACCTTCAATGAGAACCGTGTTCTAGAGTTAATAGGAGATGCCAATGGCACCGGTCCTATTCGGTCTCATAGTGAGCCGGTACCAGGTACTTTGTCACCCGAACCTACCACGCCGTCTGCTATTGATCAAGGAATTGAGCCTAAATGGTCGAGTAGCAGTGTGCCAAACCTTGCTAGTGCCACTCTGACCCCCCTGCAAGAGTCAAAGAGGGCCGTGAGTACTAATGAAGTCCAAGCTGAGCCAAAGGAAGAAGCAAAGGTCCGAAAGGGCAGTACGGACTCGGACGTTCGAAGTCCGGTTGATTCTCCATTTGAACCGTCCGTATTCCCGGATCAAAGATCTGATTCCCAGAAGTCCTTCTCTTCAACTTCATCTGTGCCACAAAGTCCTGTCACTTTATCTGTACCAAAGGCGGAACAAAAACATGTAAGTCTATTTTTTTCTAGGTTTGTTTTTTCATCGATACATACCGCACTTTATTTCATCAAACATCAACAAATAATAATCAAACAATGTGAGGTATGATAATGATTATTCTGATCTTATCATGGCACAAAAAGGTCAACATTTATTTAGCAATTACATTTACCTTGGATTTGCACAAATTATCCCCTGTGTCTGAAGAAAGTCCACTCTTTTTGATTGGCATGTCGTTAGTTTAATATCATTTCCAGTATTTTATTTTTCGATTCTTTTGCAAAACTAAATCATTTAGGTCCACGTCCCACGTAAATCCCCATAAAACTATTTTAGGCAAATCCAACATTTAATTACTCAATCCATGCCCCCCAGATTGTCGTCGTTTGTACGAGATTAAAACAATATTTTTTCTTCCTATATTAACAAGAAATATCGTAGAGCGATAACTTTTGAGTTGCGTTATTGGGGTACTCTTCTAAACATCCATCTTTTCCCATACATGTTGTGTGATTTTCATGACCATATAACAAATACTGAAGTGTTGTATGTTAGAAAACTGGAAACTTTGATGTTGATTTTGGGAAAACAGTGATGGATATATAGGAAAATATTTGATTAGCTTTGAAAGTTACCCGCTTCATAGTGTGGGTGAACTTTGGTCATTCGTGTACCTCCCAAAAGATGTGGGGCAAATTAGGGTTCATATCAAACAACAGAAACGTATTGTGTTTATTACTTGTAGCGGAGCGTGAAATTTATTTTGTTATGCTATACCAACATCCACTCCTCCGCGTTTACCTCTGGCTATTCCGAAGCTCTTTACAGTCCCAACTCACTCGTTTGCAGCCGTGTTATGGGCCAGTTTGTATTGCCCAGTATGTTTAAGCCATTTTGTTTCCATGAAAACGGTAAAGTTTGACTTTTTGTTGGGAATATCCGTTAAATTTGATTATTCATAAGTCGCTGATACTCGCACGGTTTACTGAGAGTTTGGTATGCGCTCATTTCAGCCCCTAAGAGAATTCAGCCTCGAAACAAAAGATATTTTAATCTCCGTGGTCTTCTGTAACGATAACTCAACTTATGATTTTGTCAACAATAAATTGTAGGTTTTTGTTATATCCCTACTGAAAATACCCGTTGATTATTTTTTGTTTTTTGTCTTGGGATATATTTCTGCTCACGTTAACTTAAAATCATGATTACATAGCTTGATGGCTAGATCTTCATTTCTCACCAAATCATTCTTATAGCGCCGATTTTCATATTTGTTTATACATTATTTGATTCAAAAAACAGACACAAGACGTTCACTTTGCTCTTTCCCAAAACTTGGTACAGAATGACCTGGATTTTGGGGTTTTTAAATTGTTAGATTTGTGCTTTGTTGAAGCATAGTTTAAGACCAATTGAAAAAAGACCTTTTCATATTACCACCTCAGGCCCTTAGAAACCTCTCTCTAGATGGAACCGAGACGGAACTACTTGCTGTTACGAAACAGTGCTAAATCTAGTTAGGTTCTTAATTACACCATGACTTCTCTCGCTCAAGTTACTTTTTGAAACACTAAAGGCCAAAAAATAGAACCCTTTTTATGCATTGCTAGCTGAACAAGCAATTGTACAAAAAACACTCTCTCCAATTGATATCCCTATTTTAGTTTCCTATAATTTGCTAATAGCACAATTTATTGATCTGTCGCTTTTTTACCATATCGAAGATTTGCCTGAGGCCTACACCTCTTGAAGAGTTGATTAATAATTCATTTTGGTGTTAGCTTTGGAAATTCTGACGACAAAACACTTCAGTTTAGAAATTCAGTTTGGAACAGTTTTCAGTACTGGGTAGGTCATCGTGCAGGTTTTACATGGTTGAAATCTAAATATATTTTAAGTTAAATCTGAAAAATTATGATTAACGAAATGTGAAGACACGCGGAAGCAGAAAGGGCTTTTAATATCATTTGACAAGAATCCCCAGTGTCTGGATGCAAACAGTTTCCCCTTTTTCGATTATTCCTTGGTTTTTGTTCTAAAAACTGGAGATAATTCGGAGTAAATTAAATTTTATAGATTAAACTTAAACTTTCAAGATGAAACAAGAGTTCCTTCTGTCTCTATACCCTATAAGTTTTATGTCTGCTTTTCATCACTAATGACAATGTTTGTGCAAAAGACGCCAACTTATTTCCCAGAGCAGTGGTCTTTAACTTCTCTTCACATCAAACTCCGCAAAGATTAAATGTCCAGACAGCTCGTGTTGCTAATTTGTATTATCTTTCCTGTCATCTTGATAGTCGTCTTAGTTTTTATGTCTTTTTGACAACGAGCTGTCTTCTTGTTTTCTTGGTTTATCTTCAGGCATATCTTGTACACTAAGCCACCACGAACATTGTTGTTCTTTATGCAATATACTTGGGAAGCTTTTCTCTCTGGATAGAACGAGCAAATGGCAAAACCGCAGTGAATCGGGTTGTATTGCATTGCGACTTCCAAAAACTCATCGTCATGCATAAGCTCATTTTCCAGCACTGTTGGCTTAGGTCTAAGCCAATATCTTATGTCACAAATAACTTGATCATACCAATTCATGGCCACCCATTAAAGAAATAACTTTTACGGGGGTTAAGGTAATTGAAAAAATCGTCACTTATTTTGTTATTGTCAAATTAACTCTACAATTATAAAGACTATAACATAGTAAAAACAGTGTTACAACAACAACAGTATAGCAACAACATCATGACTACAGCAAGACAACAGCAGCAACAGAAATGGCAAAATGTATGACTCAAACATATTTTTTTTCTCAAACAATTCTTACCACCACTTAAGAAAATGTTACTATCAATTTTTAACAATTCAAGCATAAAGACAAAGAAGCTGTACGGATTAAACTGAGTGTAAGAGCAACTTCTCAGTCAATGTACATTGCTGGCCCTTCCCATTTGTGTTTGGCTGCTATTACCAGCTTGCATCGCTATTATTTTTTGTATATTTGGAGCTGTTTAATTGTTAAACTGTTATTTTAGTATATTTAAGAGCTGTTCAATTTGGTTACTCTTTATTTGTAGTCATATTCCTATCAAAACCCAAGCCTTAAATTTTCTCGAAACTTCCATTTTTCTTTGTATTCCTGGCGGCTCTGTACTCTTTGTACTTTATCCTTGCACTTGATCTGTTGTTATGTACTTTTTTTACTTCTGAGTTATATACATTTTTTATCGCTTATATGGTATTTTTGTTATACACGCTTTTTTATAAGAAATTTACCTCAAGGCATAGTTTCTTTTTCGTAGACCTCAAATCACCAAATTGTAGTACCGAAAGTTCCTTAATTTGTACTGATTAAATAAGCCTTTACACTTAATAGAGAGAGGGGCGAGACAGCATATGCGGAAACTACTCAATGAAGCACTTGACACATCAATAGCAAACAATCTATGGGAGTATTGGCTGTAAATGAATAGAACCAGCTTTTTAGTTCTTGATGCTTGCAGTTAAAAAAAATTTTCAAATCGAAAAGTTAGGGATTTCGTTTTAGTAGTAGAAGTTCTTTAAATATTTCGGCCTTCTACATGTAGGTTCTTTATAAAGCGTTTATCATCTGTTATTTTTATGTGTGAGACCCTCTGTTGTTACAAACGGGTTATTTCTCAAGAATCGCATTTCCTTTACTCGAGACACAAGATCCAGGCTTGGGCGTTATTTGCAAATTGGAGCAGCCTGGATTCTGCCGTAATTCGTCAAGAATGATTCAACTTGTTTTGCAATAAGCCCATGAACCTTGATCTTCGAATTCAATTAAAATTTCCAGGAATAACCGCCGTCCGTTTTTAATTTCCTTTCAACCAGGTTGGTCACTGGAGCTCCGTTGTACTCTTTGTAATCCATCGTCCATGTTAGCCATGTTTTCACAATGTTTTGATCTATGTTATCTGCACAAGCAATTATCTGTCGCCTTATAGAAAGAAACTTTTACTACATTCCCAAAAAATTTTATCTTTCTAATCTGACCAGCCTTCAAAGTCAATGTCACATCACTTGACCTTTCCCTTGTTTAAAAGACAGGAAGGACTTGTTTGTGGCCTAGGCTTTTGCTCGCCGCACACTCCTTCAGGACTGTTTACGTGTTTGTCTGATTTTGAACGGTGCGAAGGATGTGAATGGAGTAGGTGAGAAATTAGTTCCTATTGTCATTAAATTTGATAGAAGAATGAAGAGCGACTCTGTGACGTCATATGAAGAATTCTTTCTGTAAACTTGAATGGTTTGCGCATATTATGGGTCACGAATGAACTGACTTGACTTGAAGAAACGTTGGGAGAAATTGCTGTAGATTAATCTAAAATTAACCTTCGACGATGTACGAAGTACTGAGGAGGCCAAGTGTTACGGATATTATGAAAGATTTTACAAAATTTGGACTCAAGCGCCTTAGCTGGGATGGAAATCGAACAAGTCTTTATGGAGCTGCTGATATACTAAAGGATGGCTCAGAACCCGCTCCAGCTAAAAAACCGCTCGAGAAAAGTGTACGTTTCATGAAGATAGAGTAATATTTAAAAAGCTTGATTCCAGAAATGATAGGTAGTGTTGGGTGTTTGAAGATGAGCATATCTTTAATCGATGTTTATATCTTCAGTTGGGAAAATTCGAACAGGAGGACCAAAGCAAAGTCCATCTGCCTATGTCTTGGAGTTCACTGACACCTGCAGTTTCAGTACTTACCCTAGCCTTGGTGATCTTTCTCTTGTAGACACATAAAAATATTTTGATCAAGGCAATTCGTTTTTATCGGAATATGAATTTTTGTTTTAGGACATGCGAAGGCATGTACTTCAAAATTTGCTGGATACAGAGAACTCATATGTTCAAAATCTAAATTTCCTGGTATCGGTAAGTTTCAAGTTATTTTCTTCAGTCATTTTGAGCAGTGCAATTGTTTTGTATTCGCAAACAGGTTTGATACGAAAATTCTTACTGCTTTAGCACATAACATAGAGGAATATTTTTTTAATTTGAGTTTGCCTCTTCGCAAATATTTTTGGAGCAATCAATGGTTTATTTTCAGTACCGCATTCATCTCTAAGAAGCTTGAAAATCACACAGCTTTTATAGACAATATTTTAGAAGCTCCTTAGAGAAATATCTAAACGAGAAAATTTTCGTTCTTTGTCATAACTTTTTTTATAGCTTATTAACATTGGGATTATTAAATGCAATAATGGATTCTAGAACGCACTATTAAAATTTTTTCGATTTTGTGTTGTTTTTTAACATGTAGTTTTTCAAACTGGACAACACCGGCACAATTCTCTGAGAAGTTTAAATGCATTAGCATATCCGAGAAGACAGAAATGTGGCTCTCTTTGCGGCCCAGTAGCCACAAAAACGAGTTTCTTGTAAATAATTCTTATAAAATTGAATATGGACATGTAACAAAGCATTTGAGCATTTCGACCCAGTAACAGCTACCTCCTTTCCGTACCTATGTGCTCTGAAGATTACTGTTGTCCGTTTTAGCGATGAAACTGTTGTCGAACGGGTTTTAAGACGTTTTATACGCGTTCAGTAAAATACCCTGTTACTAAACGAGACTGGGTGGGGGTATGCCAGCCTTTAAAAACATGATGTGCTCAAAAATCCGGAAACAACTGATTTTGAATTTGGGGTCAAAGCAATTGGTGTAAATATTGTCAGTTTTGAATGGAGCATTAGTCATTAATGAACAATGACGCCTCTTGCAGTTTGCAACGCCCCAGCTGCATGAAACGCCCCCAGCTGCATGCAACGCCCCCTGCTACTTGCAACGCCCCACCTACTTGCCACCCCCCCTTATATACCCACTGTCTTCTTCAGGCGTTGATGCTGGGGCTTCATAATTTTCTAGAACCATTTTCTTCCATAACCTCTTCATTCCTTGTGTTTTCCATTTTAGTGATATTCAACTTCTTTTTCAACCTTACAAAACAAATTAAAACATTTTCAATGCAATAAACGAAACAGGCTTATTCATACCTCGCAGTTGTATGAACTTACCACAAAACTAAGCGTACTTCCCTACAGAGTAAGCAAAAGCCTCCGATGTGTACACAAGGGATAAAAAGAAAATACCTTTCTGTCAATGATTTTGCAATAGAAAGTCGAATTCAACGGCTTTCTAATAGTCGAGAGGATTGACCATGTTATTTTCATAAGCATTCTTTTCTGTATCGAGACTTGCCACATTCCTTTTAATGGGAGGTAATGCTTTTCTTAGATTTATGGATTACTATATACACAATGAGGTTTCCATTATAGCGAACGAACGATTTATGCATGAACTAAACTCATAGTCTACGCATGCGCTTGGATGTATCATTGTTTAAACAAGTCAATAGCAGCCAGGGAAAAAGTTCTTCCGCATGGCTGTATCACAATAGATCCCCAAATTACCTTTTAACTACATAATTTATTCTTTTCAGCAATCTAAGTCTTTGAAATTAACCTTTTAGAAATAAACTATTTGAATAATAGAACACTTGAATGCAATAGACCAATTAAACTTGCGGCCTCGTTTTGGAAGTAGCTCCAATTAAACTAGCGGCCTCGTTTTGGAAGTAACTCCTAACGGTAATTCTGTAATTAGATAAAGATTTACTGACATTCTTATAGCGCAGATAAAATTTTCGAAGTATTGTAGGTTCAATGACGATGTAAGGATTGAAATCGTACAAGGGATTCGATCGCAAAAATCATATCGGGTGAAACTTTTCACATTGGGTCCCTTATCATGGTCAAAACCCTTATGACATTTTTTTATTTAAATTTATTTGGGAATTATGATAACTTTATTGCAAGGCATGATCATCAGCAGATTTTAAGCTGATCCTATCCTTTCATTTATTCCCTTACAAATACAATTTTTACGACAACATCAACAACAACAACAACAACCGTGTAGCTTAGATCTAGCTACTGATACCCCAGACTAGATTTGTCTCAAGCTTTTCTTTGAAGTAATTGGACATTTTTATTACATTAATACCATACTTCTTGCCATGGTCGTCTATTGAGCCACCAACAAGGCTCCTTTAGTGACACCTAAAGTATCAAAGTATCAAGTATTCTCCAAGGCTCAGCTTCATTTCTGATTATCTAGTTTCAAATATTGATCCAACAGCTAAGCCTCTGTTCGTCCCTGTTCAAATTTCTTTCTTTATGGAATAAACTGTATTAGTTAAAATTTATTTTCAGGTTTACTACCGACCTTTGAAGAAGGTTGAAGGTGGGCCTATAATCGAAGCTGGCCAAGTTGACGAGATCTTTTTTCAAATTCCCGAAATCCTGTTAAATCACGAGTTCTTTTTGGAACAATTGACGAGTAGGGCTAATAACTGGAGTGACAGGCAAATAGTCGGTGATATTTTTGTTTCTTCGGTGAGTGCGGGTTTTTTCTCATTTCTTTTTTTACTAGCATTCATATGTTTGGCAGTCGTTGGTAAACTATAATGAATTTGCTATAATGAATAAGTCGCTGGCTATAATGGATTGTATAAAAGAATAAAAGGGTTGCAAAGATGGGGGGGGAGTGCTATTTTTGCAAAAAGCTGTTATTTCTTATCTGACCTGAACTCTTATATTCTAAACCGGAATTCTGTTAATAACTTATTTGTTTACATTTCAGCAAGACTAGATCACCATGGTATGTCAAGTCTAACGTCAAATTTCGTTACATTGCTAATGCATTTTTCGCTTGGTTTTTTTCACAACTGTCTCTTCGTTTTTCAGTTCACGAAATGTTTGTTAATGGATGCATACAGTTCTTTTATCAATAATTTCCGACAAGCAAGAGTTACAGTTCGTATGGCTTCTTCTCGTCCCGCATTCCTCAAATTTGCCGAGGTGAGGAAATCTCCTAAATCAAACTTTTTAATCAACCAACTTCATTGTTGATATCAAGAGCGTTAAGATTGCTTTCCTACAAATAGTGCATTTTTAATGCCATTTTATGGACATGCTTGCTTTGTTTAACTGTCCGTTAAGTATAGATTGCTGAAGGGAATTTTAATGATACCATTTCTTTAGGCCATAGGCGGTATGATAATCATAGTAAACCATTTTGGAGAGGTTTCCTTGCCAGTTAGAGGATTAAGATCGCTATAAGAAAGCAAATCATTCAAATCTTCTAAAAAGCTAGTAAGAAGAGATTTCGCTCCGGACGCAGCGTTTCTTTGATTGTCCATACCACCAACGAATACTTAGGGATACCTCTTTTGGCATTGTTACCCAATGCTGCAGAAAAGCAAAAAGAATGCTTAAGAATTCCCACAAAAACGTAATTGCAAATCTGGCGAAAATTGATTAATAACTGCAGACGATACCCCGCATGTTATTTGGACTCTTTCACTGGCATTTTAGACGTCATGGTACTTCAGTGTAGGAGGCCGCGATCTTGGAATCAATGCCGATTTTTGTCCATTTGTTGGCATACAGTGAAATGCCTAAGCTTAATTCCAAGATTACCAAACAATGGTGATTCTTTCAGGATGTCATCCCTATTGGATTATTAATGCAGGGAAGGCATTAGAAAAATTCAATTTGAGTGTTTTCTTATATCAATTTGTACTTATTTCTGAAATACGTTAGTTAAATTTCCAAATATTTAAATGGGGGCAATACTACAAGCCAGACAATCTTTCTTTGGGTTTTGAATATTGGAGAGCCTCACTTTATTTGTAGTTAAATATTTCAGTTGCTAACATTTCATTTGATATGCAGTCCTTACTTTAGGCTGCTTTTAATTTGCAATTAATTGGATGGTTAATCTTACATTTTGTATTTTTTCTAGCAATGCCTCAAAGAACACAAAGAGAAGCTGACTTTGCAAGATCTTTTGATTCAACCTGTACAAAGAATACCTCGATATAGGCTAATTTTGAAGGTAATTACATAGAGAGAATCAGTCTTCATATAGTTACAGTTAATTACATTTAGGAGTCTTCATTTTCTTGTTGTTAAAGTTATATGTATATAGTTTAAGCTTTTTGTAAGCAAATCTCTGTTTCTCCTTTTTCAATCTCCTTTTGCCAAAAACAAATAATTTGATATGTCATCATTTGAATTTTTTGTCCTTCATTATCATTTAATATGGCTTTTATAAAACTTAACTGTATTTAGCTTAGACCTTCGTCTAGCGAATATTTTCCCTTAACGTAGGACCTGTTGAAACACACAAGCCCAGAGCATCCTGACCATGGCCTATGTCAGCTAGCTCTGGAGCAGATCAAAACGTTAGCGGATCGAATGAACAAGGGTGAGCTCGAGGCAGATCAAGCAGAGAAAGATGCAGAAAAACTTCGCGATGTTATTGCAACTATAGAGGGAATGACTGATGTGAGTATTTGTACTGTGTATTTGCAGGTTTTTAGAGCCAGCTAAAGCTAAGAGAAATTATTGAATGCAAGGTAGCTCTAGAATATTTATGAAAATGTATACAATTATGTTTTAAGTTACTGAATCATTGTTCAATTAATTCCTTTGGTTGTTTTTTACTGTGAAGGGAAGGAAAGTTATACCGTCTGACGTCTGACTGATAAGTTTAACATCGTTAGTAATCTCCACAAAAATAAAAAACAAAGGAAGACAAATTTTTCAATGTTCGCACACTTTTGGCTGTCCCACCATCTGACACTCATCTCCTGTGCACCAGCATTTACTGAAATGTGTCTTTACGCGTCTTCGTGATGCCCCCAGGCTAGATAGTGAAAACTTGCTTTTGTTGTCGTGCTTCAAATTTTATCATCGAATGCTTTATATTTTTCAGCTTGCAACGGCGAATAGGAAGTTCTTGAGACAGGACTTAGTTGCGGAGATTGTAAGTTTTGCAAGAAATTTTTGAAATTTTTTTCCATAATTTTCAATGAGATTACTTTACATAATAGTAATTGTGATATCTCGATGCAAGGTGTTAAGATATTTGCTATAAATTTGTTATGAGAAGGCCACATGTCCTTCAATCAGTCAGGGCCTGGCATAGAAGTCAGGGGGTTGCAGCTGTCAATAGAATATTGGTACCTCTTTGTACTTCCGGCTGGTACCTTCTTTCAGCGTACTTCCGGACAATACTCACTAACTTTGAAAACAATCCTCAAAAGACATAAAAATCAACGTAGGGGTTTCTGCGTGATGGTACTTCAATTTTTGTTTCACAATTTCATCGATCGTGCGAATGCGGAGTTGTCCTTGCTCTGAGTACTTATGAAATCCCTGGATCTTTCTGATAACTGGGTACCTTTTTTAGAATGAGACACGCAGAGAGACTCGTTTATCATTAAGCCTCTTTATCTTCATATCTTTGGCTCCATTAAACGTTCCTTTTTTCTGAGTAAAGAAAGACAAACATTTCAGGTTGATTGAGCGCAGGTGATTTAAAATATTTGCTTACGGCTAAATAGTGATCTCTTTCCAACAAAAATGAACTTTCTTATAAGCTAGCCGTCTAATTAGAGTTAGAACTCATTAGAGGCCACGCTTGTGATTTACCAAATGAACTTGCAGAAGAAACGTATTGAGACTGCTGTAGACCAAGTTGATTGTTCAAGCTTGAGAGTGAAACCAAATTTTATTCCTGCTTGGCATATCAACCTTTTTGTAATAAGATTTTGATTCGCATATTCACTTGTGGTAGGGACAGAGTACAGATTAATGTTAGGGATAGTAGTATTTGTTCCAGGGGAGGAGGGGTACTTGACAAGGGAGATGACGGGGGTGCGTAGAAAACCGCTTGAGCTGTACCCTGTCGCATAAAAGAATGACCCTAAAGTATACCCTGTCGCATGATAATTTTTGCACAATTAAGTAAACAATGAAAGTCTTTTCTGGCATGTCATAAAAACGGTTGTTCTAGTCGACAGTTGCCTTGTGATCTCATCGAGCGTTATATTTGGATTAGCAGCTAAAATCCGTCCTGCTCTTCACAATAAAAGCGTGATCAAGTTTACGTGTCCGCTAGGTGTCCTGTGGAAACACAGTGCTTGCTAGCTTGCTTACTTTGACCAAATACGACTTTCTTTTTTCTATGTTCAATTTTACTTGTAAGCTTGTGACACCATATCCCATTTTCCCTTCTTTCTATTACCCCGTCCTGTAATTTTTGCGCAAAAGTACACCCTGCTGAGCGGCACATCCTGGTAGGTCAAATATGGGTGTATCCCCTTACCCCGTCGCATATTTGAGATGTTGATGTAGAATGAACATTTCGACATAACCAGTTGTGCCTATATTAAGAAGCCCCCTAAATCTTTATATAAAAATAACAGAGGACACTGTATCGCTCCAAGGTATCAAGAAATATGACAAAAGATAAACTGTTCTTTCTCACTGATATACGGCTGGCGCAATGTTCTGAGCAGTCCTGTGACAATGGCCTTTCATTATTTGCATCTAAAATTTTTACCTGTTTTCATTAAAATTCCAAATCCCAGACGTTTGGTAGTTTTAACTTCCAAATTCCAAATCCCAGACGTTTGGTAGTTTTAACTGATTCAAAACTTATTTTTTGTTAAAAGCATTTGCGGTTTGTAGGCGAAATTACGAGTAGACGTCCAAATTAAGCTTGATGACTGTAGCACTGGGATAAAACTTAATACATGATTTTAATCGAAGTTGGGTCGATAAAACGTTTATTTTTGTCTGTTGCTCACCCCCGAGGCGTGCTGTATTCATTGACTCATCCCTGTTTAAACCAGGGAGGATATCTTTAATTAATGTTGATGTTGGACACTATTTTCGTTTGCCCTTGGAATTCCTTGTCTCATTTAAATCGTTTTTACAACTATTTTCATTTGCAGAAAGGCGTTATAACAAAGAAGGATCGCTGTCTATTTCTCTTCTCTGATCTTCTCGTGTGTGCCACCGTGCGAAGGAAAAACAATGCTCTTCGCAGAGGCTCACTCGGACTGTAAGTTTAAAGATTATTCGTAAAAGTTTTACACTTAAATTTTTTGCTATCTAATTCTGCTAAATAGTTGAGGCTTTTCCAGTTCTTTTTCAGTCCAAGGATTGGCCTACAGCATTTAATGCATACACTCTTTTTATAAGAATATTATTTATAAGAAGATTCAGGCTCAGAATTATCCAATTTTTGAGAATGTTTTAAGAAAATTTGGTTACGGCTCAGCTCGCCTATTTGTGTTTCATTTTTCAGCGGTTGCTCGTTTTGAGATGTTCATAACAGGGAATCGCAGAACTTACATACTGTATCTCATTTTTAAAAAAATGCGGCTTTTATTCAAGAGCGGGTGATCCGGACGGGAGAGCGGGTGAAGCGGGTTCTGATCAAGAGCGGGAGAGCGGGTGATGGGGGTTATTTTAACTATATCAGATTTGGAAAAATAAGAGTAATTGAGAAATATATTCCGGTTCAAAACGAAATTTTTTTTAAAATGTCGAAGCTGGAAAAATTTATAGCATTTTTTTCAAAAATTGTAATAAAGGTTTGGTTGTGCAGATATAAAACTGCTGTTTTTAATGTCCTAGTTTGATTGTCAATCTGGAAGGATATACATGTCTAATGTATAATTTATAATTGGACTAACACTATCTTCACGCCGTACGTTGTTCTTGTCAAATGTTAATGTGTATTCATTATTGTTTGGTCTTTATAAATATTATTTGGGTCCGCTGTAAAAATTTGTGTGCTTTGTAGGATATACTATCTTAAAGAAAAGGAGGCCAGAGAAAACTACTCCACGTCCAACTAAAATCGTGTATTTTTTTTGAATATTTCAGAAATATTTACTGCTGAAGTCGATTATAATAAATATTCAAAAAACTGTTTTTCAGGTTTTCAGGGCAATCGGCTACAGAATTCAACAGATATAAGCTATTATGGAAACTTCCTTTGGATTCAACAGATCTCGTAAAAGGTAACGTGACCTCCTTAAGGTGGTTTGTAGACCTTCTTTTCGTCTAGTGCAGTTGTGAAAGGGAAGAATCAACAGGCAACGTCGTATAAGGATTTGCTGCCATAGCTCAAGTATCCATCTGTATTATCACATAAAAAGACAAATAAGGCTGTTGTCAGAAAAATTAATTATCAGTCGTCCGCCAATTTTGTAGTTTCACGGTGAATGCGATTGCCAGGCAATTGCCGCAATGTGGACCCTGTTCTACACACTTAGGCAAATCCATCTCTACCTATATTGCATCAAGCACTTAATAACAGACAAATAAATATTAGTTTTCATCCTTATGCAACTTTCAGTCAGTTATTGCATGTTATTTTGCAGGCAACTTGATATTATTGCCATTGCTTCAATGGCGGAAGGTTTGTCTAGCGTGTATCTTAACGTGTAAAATCGTGTCCTCTCCAGCAATGGAACATCGCGAGCCTGCAGAGAAATGACAAAAATTAAGTGTTAATCAGAGGAGAACTTTGATCACTGAACAAATTATGTTGTCATTTTAGGCGGTTCCGTTCCTGCACTGAAAAGAGCACCCGGGGATAAGCAGGCAGAGAGATTGGAAGAGGATATTGCAATTCTTGGAAAAATAAGATCAATGGCAGACACTCTTATTACCCCTCACCAGGTAATGCATATGCTTGTTATCTTGTTATGTTGCGTTTATGAAAAATTGGATTTCAAAAAACATCGATTTCCTTTAAGCCCCTTCTCTAATTTCTCCGAGGCTCATTTCAAACCTGTTCGGTAAAAATTCAAAACCTGTTTGCCCAACTCAGCGTTGAATTTCTCTGGAACCTTTGCGCGGAAACGACGCAGAAGGTGTTAAGAGGGTGTCTCTGGTCGTGTGTCTGTGAAAACAGCCTTGTACACGTTTTATTGGCAAATTACCCAAAAGGATCTCCGTACAGTCTTAAAGTTCTAGATGATGACAAATGTCTTTATCAAAGTTTTGACAAATGATAACTCCTCTAAGAACTCCAGGACTTAAAAAACCCCGTGCTCAATAGAGCTTAAAAAGATAGGTATTCTTAAAGAACTTATCAAATTCTGGCTTAGGTACTTAATTTTTATCAAGGCTGCTTTTATCTTTTTGTATCTTATGCATCTATTTAAGAATTTGGACATGTGCATACGAGACCTGATCACCGAACTCAATCGTCAAGTTGCGGAACAAAATCAGTCTGCGCAGCCAATGCAAACATCACTGGCGAGAGTGGAAATTCAGGCCCAAACAGAGTAAGCAGTTGCCAGTTTCTTTGCTTTTTACTCGCATGGCTCCTTCCTTGTGACTCTAGCAGTGGATGATTAGGGTCCTGCGTATAATGATCAGCTAGACAAACATGTGTTATTTATTCTTAGGTTTTTGGCGTTTTAGCGTCTATATACAGTCAACTTCGAACTTTTACTAATATAAACAAAATTCTCTGTTCCCTTGAAAATTCGATAATTCAAATCTCTGTAATTCCAACATTTTTACAATCCCTTACAGAGTTCGTATTATACAAATTTGACTGTACGATGGTTAAAGCTGTGATATTCTTCATAACATCATTATATATTATCCAATTGTACCATGGTGCCATGGATAGCCGTTCGTTGTGCATTATTTGAGCGAATCTTTGAAAAATCCTTGCCTGATAAACTTTATTGTCTTTTCAGTGAGGGAACTGAAAATTTCATCTTCGTTTTCCTATCGACCGTGATAAAATCATCTTGGGAAGCGGCCTATGAAGATGCCAAACAGAGACTCGGTAAATTCAACTCAAATATTATTTGAAGAATTTCCGGTTTGATTAGTTTCCGGTCCGGATAGATAGTAACCACGCTTAATAGTTGCTTTGGTGTATCTTTTGGTGAAGTAGGCGGGATGCCTAGTATCTATAGAGAAAATGGAAGAACTGTTAGACACTCGATTAAAGAAGGCATTGGAGAATGACACAAATAATCAAGATATTTTCCACGATACTTTAATAGATTTCCAGCTCATTGAATACAGCGTTTCGTAGAAAAGGCGATCAAAAAAATTAGGCCTAGCCTAACAACAACAACGGTTTCAAACCGAGGTCAGTAAATGACGTAATCAATTAATGCCTCTTCTGGAGGGGCAAAACTCTATAAACAAAAGTTACGCGTACTTATGGTAAACGATAGAATTGTCCATACATTTCACACAACGTAGTGTTCACGTGAACAAGGTTTATGTGCTACACTTGGAATCGAGAGACCGGAAATTTAAAGCACCGATTGGATAATATAACAATAGCTTATTGTGTAACTCTATCGATGAAAGTTTAAATATTGCCCAAGAGTTCACGTAGGCGTTCTTGCTCTAACTCTAAAATTGCAAATAAATGGTCAACTGAAGATTAAGATGACTCAATTCAGGACCTGATTTGCTGTTTATGTTTGAAAGGTGTTACAAATGTGTTGGGAAAGTTATCAAGCTCCAGGCTCGGGCTTGAATACCCTTAGGCCATGTTCACCCCGTGTTCACTTTGCTGCGGATATTCACTAAACATTCCCTTTTAACAGCAATTCTATACGAAATAAAACGCGGGAATTTACACGTGCTTTTGTTTTTTTCCGTTCTCTATTTGCTTCATTCGCAACGATATTTTTGATGCATCTTTTTTTGTATTGGAGCAATATAAACAAAAGGCAGAAAGTATTTGTTTTCTTCCATTTTCATATGAAAGCGGAGGGAGCCTTGAACATTCATTAATTCATTCTTATACTGAAGTTAACAATTTTTGTTTATTTTAATACGAAAACGGAAATTTTTGAACTTATAATACTTTTTTCTCTGATTTTAACTCGGTTAGTTAAAAGTTTTCCATTTAATATTTTATAACGCATACTGCATTCTTACATAGCATACGCCAGGCATACCTTTCCTCCGGAGTTTCAATATCCTTTGCCTATCGACAAGACGAGAAGTGGCATGCAGGTAAAACTTTTTGGTTTAATCTCTCGATACAAAATTGATAATTAGTAACACAAGGAAGGACGTTAAATGGAACGAATTAATCATTATCTCTCAGTAAACGCGAATATTTATGTAGCAATTAAAATAACTCCATGCATAATTGGATACAATAAAATACTGTATATTATATTGTAGCTTTTCAGCTCACTAAAAATCAGCATTTTTCGCTGCAAATTTGCCTGTCTTTTTTCTGGCTTTTAGTGACGTCATTCGAATTTAATACAGGGCTGTTTTGATTTAAATAGTAACTAGCGCAAAAAGTTAAACATTCGATGTTTTAAAGTACCCACAGGTTTAGGTTTTTCATCAATTTTGACCAACTTTTATTTGAATGAAAAAGTCCAGGGCTTTCTTCAGTTGACGTCATTCTGATAGTAACCGTATAATGTTTATGCAGCTTTTGGTTTTGTTAACCTTTCTTATCGAGTTAGGTACATCTGGAATGTTTTTCAGAAAACGGATATTTTGCCTATTCGTTGCATTTTTTCAAAGATAAAATTGATTGATTTTATTAGGGACGGTTTTAAGAATGTTTCGGTTTTCTCAAAATCATTCACATTTTTGGTTTTCATTCGAAATTTTTACCTGATACATGATTGTTTTGCAGTTTGGTTTGTAGAAGTATCTTGTACATGCCCACCCTTTGCTTTGCTTTGCTTTTAAAAAACATGAGATATTTAAAGAACTTTGCTTTACATTTAAAGAAGCTAAAAGTTTTGCTGTGTCCTACTCTACTCACTTTATTGATAGCATGGTTTTAAGAAGCTATTTCTTTCTCTTCGCAGTTCACGTGTGCGGCTCCAAGTAGACTGACGTCACTTGGGGACGAGGCCGTCGAAGCTGGTGGTGAAATATGGGTCTGCAATAGTGATGGTTACGTAGGCCAAGTCTGCCTGGTGTCTATGGTTCCAGAAGCACAGGTATTGGTTTACTCCTCTTACTCCAGCGTGATGGTTCCCTTTTCTAGAAATATATAGAAATCAAATTACTTTTTATCTATCACTATATCTTTTAGACATTCGAGTCTGTCTGTTGTGTGCGCAAACATGATACTCTTAGTAACAGCGAACAGGTCTTTTCTTTGATTAAGCATGCAATGATTCTAATACTCTGTACCTATGTGCATTGAGCACTGTTATGTCAGAATAGACAACGGGACGATATATTCTTCATGCTTTGAATGATTTTTTGATATGATTCGGATTGAAATATCATAAGGGTGGCTGGTAAAATGTTTCGTTTCCTTGAAAATGTGACTTTGGTTCGTTTCCAAAAGAAGCCATTGGATTCAAGCTTAGTTTAAGTATTGTACTTTCGGGGTCCCTGCAACTTTCCAGAATGTACCCAAACTTATTTGCCAGTAAAAGGCTTTAACCTTTGTAAGTAGATGTCGATTTTAACACCAAAACATCATATCAACTGAAGGCCTCGTTCAAGGATATCTTCTATAAATATCCATGACCTGCTTAAAGCGAATAAGAATCTTAGATCGAAGCTAATGTCCTTTCACAGCATACTCCCCAGGCAAAACAAGCCTGCACTTCTTCATGTCTCTCTTTTTCACTAGTCGCATCCAAGTGCCAATGTTTGTTCGGCTCGCATTCAGTGCATAGCACCTGTGCCTGGTTCCAAGCTCATTGCAACGAACAAACCACCAAATAACGACCCACGGAAACTTGGTGGCCTCCGTGAGGTATGTATTTGATTCCTAATCCGTCCTACAATATTCACTCCCGCCTCCCAGACAGATGCTAAATGGCAGAGTGTAAATCATAGAAGACTGAAGATTTCCTTTACAATTTCAGATCGATTGTAATGTTCTTAGCAAAGATTTTGTACCACCCATCACTAATGAACGGTGCTTTGTTATAATTCAAGCCTCGATTCTTCTCTCTAATTACACATTTCCATTGAAACATATTCACTCTAGTAATACGGGTAACAATTAAGGAGAGTTAGTATAAATGAGTTTCTTTTTAAATGATTGTTGTCCCTTGAAGACAAACACATGTGTTAATTTTAATTGAGGAGAACTGTACTAGGCTAATCACATGAGACCTTAAGCGACCATTTAACTTCCTTTAATCTAGCATCAGAGTCACCAAACTGTATTGAAATCTTATTGAAGTCTTGTGCATTGTGGCTCTCCAAATTTAGAGACTCTCTCGATGCTTAAATTCAATATATTTCTCTTCAGACAAAAAGTAACAAAAAATCGACAAAATCATCAAAGGTCCCTTCGCACAATGGATTAAAATCGAAGAAGTCTTTTCCAACTGAATCAGATGATGACGACCAAACTGCCGGGCGCGAGACCATCATTGCATTTGACACTGATACCGACGAAGAAGATACCGGTGCCGGGTCTCCATTCATCGGTAAGTCGATCGTTTCACTTTTTATATATTATTCAACTTCAGATACATTGTAAAGATTTGACTATTTCTATAAGAGGGAACTACATCATTGTAAGAACCGTCTATTCACGGTCAAAACGATTATAAAATTTACTATAAGTACACCAACAAATTACTACAATACCTGAAATTTCTAAAGTACTAGGTTCTCTTCTCTGTTTCAATCGACAATAGGTTTGCAGTCTCTTTCTTTTTCTATGAAACGATCACTATGTCAACATCATACCTTTTTTACAACCCGATCTGTATCTATATGTGCTCAGTAAAAGATATTTTCCTTTTATCTTTTCACTTTTCACTAACCCTTGCCAGATGCAAGGAGTGATTTCAGCTTAGCGATTAAAGATTATGATTGACGAAACATAATGGGATAAACATTCCAAAATGCAATGCCTATCCGGTCTTATTTTCTATATTTGTTAATAAAATTGCTTGAATTATTATTATATCGGCCAAAAAATCTTTCTAAAGATTATGGCAAGTTGAAATGAAATGCTTCTGGTGTTATCTGATTTGTTATTCCACATCTTCATTTCTTTGCTTAGGCCTTATCACTTTTCCAATGAAGATTGACCATCAAACGTCTATCTTAAACCCTTTTGCATGTCCGCACCTGGATGACTTCTCCACTCTTTAAACACAAAATGTTACTATAAAAAAGAACTTAATTTAAAACCTACAGACTGTCTTACCGTATTAAAGACCTCGTGTTTCTATATTCTTTCTCCCCAACAAGGCTTTTTATGGGCTTGCTCTCTTTAAATCATCTATCGTCACCAGTTGGCCCTTTGTCAGGCATCACCTATCAAGATCATCATCAAAACAAACCTTTTAGATAAGATTTATTGTTAGAAATTTTTATCCTGCTATTCCCACATGGATTGTTAAGACAAGACCTAAGAAAAATTTGACTGCTGTGAAAGAAGTCTCTTTTTAGCGTGATTGAGTGTATATTTTTGTCAAAAGATTGCCTTTTCCTCTTTACAGGAAGATCAACTGTTTTTGATGGGCGGATGAGCCCAGACGGAAGCAGCCTAGGCAGTGTTGAAAGTGTTGAAGGTGTGGACGGGAGTAGCAGCGACAACCAGCAATATCAGTCTGGGTACGACTCAAGCGATGCAGAGGACCCTCAGCAAACAGAGAACCGGAGACTCGGTATTCTTGGCGATTCCGTTCGCAAAGGAAATCATGAATTTGATCTAAAAGAAATGGATGACCTTATCTCAGGCGATGGTAAAGAGCAACGAACTATGTGGCTTGGTACAGAAGATGGCTGGTACGTTCCTATCCATATTTCTTAAGGTTGAGTTCTTCTAATTTTCTCAAAATTTCTTTATAACATTCCTTTATTTGCATTTGTATAACACAAATATCAAGCGTAAAATAAATCTTTGTCAAATGTAAAGAGATTTATGCAATATGCTTGAAATTTGGTTGCCGTAGCATAAAAGTCTTTTCCCATATTTGGGCTTATACTGGCCATTTGCCATGGTTTAGCGTGACAGCATATATTAGAGTTTCTTTAACCGTGTTTTCCAGTATCCATGTGTACCAGTCGAGTGACGTCACTCAAGCGCGAAAAAGCAAGAAGAAGATGCAGCTTGGAGCTGTGGTCAATGCTATCCTGTATGTTTTATTCAATTTTACAAGTTTGATCCGCGTTCATCGTATCATCGAAAACCTTCTCTTGGTATTTTTCCGTCAGGCCATCTTCTTACTTTGTTTGTAGATTGTGCTTGATGAAGTAGAATCTAGGAAATCAAATTGAAATTTCCTGGTTAATAAATTGAAATTGAAAGTAAATTGAAATTGCGGTTTGCATTCATGTATTCTAGTCAAGGGAAATTCCTGCATTCCAAAGAACATTTTGGAGAATTTTTTAAGCATAATTACGTTTTCTCGCCAAAGGATTGCTCTTTTAATCTCTAGTGTATTATAGGCATATTTGTCTAGCATTACGGTCGCAAACTGGTTTTATCTCTGTTTTCCTGGCATTGATTCTATTTTTGCCGGTGAAATGAAAAGTTTACTCCATTCTAAGTTCTTACAAGCCAATATTTGTATTTTCCAAGGTACCATGACAATAAAGTGTTCGTCGCTCTTGCCAACGGAGAACTTTGTGTGTACAAAAGGGATCCAGGTAATCACGTTTTTCGCAGTAATTTTAATGCATGACATCACTTAGTCCCAGTCCCCTTCCAATATAAAAGTTCACCTGTAAGAGAAGAAGAAAGCAGACTCGTCTTGATTCGACCAATAGTGTAACGCGCAAGTTAAAGAGCACTAGAATAAGATTATAGAAATTGAAATTCTTCCCTCCTTTTTAAACCGGGAGTTCAGTATCAAACATTCTTGTTTGCAGCGAAATACCTCGAAGTGAATGTTGGTGTCTTTTTAGGGTTTGTCTTTTTTAGGGATTTTTCCGTTGTAGGGAGTTGCTAGTCGTAGGGAGGTGCCCGTTCTAGGGAGAGGACCGTTCTAGGTATGTGACCGTTCTAGGGATGTGACCGCTGTAGGGATGTGACCATTGTAGGGATGTGACCGTTGTAGGGAGGTGTCCTTTGTAAGGGGAGGTGCTCTTTGTAAGGGGAGGTTCCCTCTATAGGGAGGTACCTGTTGTAGAGAGACTACTTCTCAAAGCTTGAACACAGACAATCTAGCTTCAGCTTTAATATCTGTCATGCAGTTATTACTATGAACTAAGATAGGATTGATTTTTATTTTGGTTTTTCAGGGAATGGATGGGAAATCGCTGCCCCGCATTCAATACCTGTCGGCGCTAATGGAGCTTCAATTACTTGCATCACAGCGGTTGCCGGCCGTATATGGTGTGGCTGTCAGAATAATATTATTCTTGTGAATGCATCAACTCTAAAAATCGAGGTAATATAAAGATATCATTTCGCAATAATTTGTTGTTTTGCAATGCTATAGGTAAAACTAGTTTAGCCCCAACTTTTTATGTGAAAAGACCTTGTAAATCATTAGTTCTATTTGTACGTAAAGGTTGATTGAATCCTGGTTTCGTAGCAGGTTTGAAACGACAAAAGCATGCATCGATGAGAAACTTTTTGATAATACACCAACAACTTTCTGTCTTTCCGTCTTCAGGAATTTGTTATTGAACAGTGTAGGATGCTTCACGTTCTGTTAAACCGCTAAAATCTGTTTGAAGCAAGAGAATTTTGAATGTTATTTGCCTTTTAAGTTCTATTAAGGGGGGGAGGGGTATTAATTATTTTAGATTAAAAATATAAAAATGCCACAATGCTCTTGGATTTCAACATCATTAAGAATCTTATTATCATCACACCCGTCAAGAGACCAACTCAATACGCATGTTTTCTTTGTTTGACATCAGGGGCTAAAGAGGGGGGCTTATTTCAAATTTTTGTTTTGTAAGGGGGGCTTGATAGAGAGGGAGGCTTAATAGAGCTTTTACGGTACTTCCATGGCTGCCGGATTTTTCTTTTTTTAAGACTTTCACGCTATCAGTGCCATTATGAATCATAACATATCTAGATTGTTTGTTTCAACATTGCAGTCAACCATAGGAGTGAGCCAAGATTCGCACCGATCCGTTTATCGTATCGTCACTGCTGGGCTTGGTGTCTGGATTTCGTTACAGAGCAGTGCCATAGTGCGGCTATACCATGCAGTATCCTTTGAAAATTTAGCTGATATTGACGTTGCACCTGCAGTTCATAAAATGCTTTTAGGTAAGTGAACACTGCTTGGTTGTATTATTTTTGTAAACACGTGCATGGGTAGCTGTTCTAGCCAGTCTGATGGTTTGTTTAGATTTTGACCTTTTAACCAAACAGAGCTTACCAAATGGGGCTTTTGTATCGTAAGTAGATACCATTGTCTACCGAATGTTTAGTTGTTTTCCAGAGAACGGTATTATTCTCAATCAGCAGAGTTTCGCTACTGTCCTCTAGCAGATTTTTTCGATTATTCTTTGTCTCTTGGACATACATTTGACCACAACAAAACAACACTTTTTATCAATCTTACTATCTATCTTATTGTCTTTTTGCAGTTGCAGTAGTATAAATTGCCATTTCCATTTGCAATTTCTTTCTTAGTTGTAATTCCTTTGTTTTCTATGTTGATTGCCCCTTGAACATATATTTGACCACAAAAACCATAAATATATCTAGTTATCTAGCTTTTCTTAGGTTGAACAAATTAACCTTAGCGATTCTTCCTCCCTACGACAGAGGTTGTTATCTATAGGCTTTTGAAACCACTATTGCATTGCATGTTTAAAGACAACCGCAGTGTCATTTGTGCCTTTAAGCCCCAGAGCCTTACGGCCTTTGTTGTTTTTTCTAGTAGAAAGAAACTTTTAAAATACCATGCAATAAAGGAGCCTGTTCTTGTATTGATGCTATCAAATACTTGTAATATTAAAATTAATTTTATAAACGTATTATTGATATTTTTATTTTGATAATACGTTTATAAAACTTTTCACTTAATGTTATGATGAGGATATATATGTTTGATTTTAATCTGAAATAAGAGATGCCTGATTGGTACATGTTTGGCATTCGTCAGTTTGTGCTTAAAAAGATTGGTGCATTGGTTTAATAGTTTGTTCCCAAGTATGGCTTAGTACACGATTATCCAACAATGTAGCAACATATTCAAATAAAGTGTTGTCTTATCCTTCTTTTATCTTTTTAATCAGCTTGTATCCCACGTAACCTTGAGCCGTTATCCTTTCATAGGTGCTGATGCAATAATTCGACAACACAAAGCAGCTTGTCTGCGAATAACAGCATTATTAGCTTGCAAAGATCTTCTATGGATAGGAACAAGTGCGGGAGTTATACTGACTAATCCTTTACCGACTATAAAACTGAACACGCATTCGCTAAGGAATGCACCAGGGCCAACAGGCTCACCTCATGGACACACGGGCCATGTGCGGTTTTTGACTTCAGTTGAAGTGCCAAAGTCGCAATATAAAGAGAAGGCTCAGCTGTCACCTGAAATTAACATTAACAGGGCTACGTCACCCTCACCTACTAGCCCCACGAAAGTGGTCGAAAATCTACCTCGCAAAGACGATGCGTCGAAAACTGTTACGTTAGTTATAAGTGGCGGTGATGGTTACGAGGACTTTCGAACTAGCGCAACTTCGGAAACAGTTGGCCGAGAAGACAGTACGAACCATCTGTTGATTTGGCGGGTGTGACACAACGAGCACCCACTCGTAACATACTACCACTTTTAACGAAACACAAGCGAAAACCGAACGCCTGTTATAATAAAAATGCCAAATGCAGTTGCCCGGATCGTTTCGGTGTCGTTTCGGTGTCGTTTCGGTGTCGTTTCGGTGTCGTTTCGGTGTCGTTTCGGTGTCGTTTCGGTGTCGTTTCGGTGTCGTTTCGGTGCCGTTTCGGTGCCGTTTCGGTGCCGTATCGGTGATAACGGCCTGCAGACCAGCGATAAATACCTGTGTCACAGTCAGTCGCACTGCGGAGATATTTGCATTGTTGTTGCCAAAATCTCTAATCCACGAGCAACCAACAAGTAGACCATTTCACCCTTAAGGCAAATACAATCCATCATCTAAAGCAAGACACGGGAATCAAGGTTCAGTTCGCATTCTTTTAAACTCCTTTATCCTTAATTTGGGAAATGGTTTCAACAGAATCATAGTTTTCGTTTCCAATAGAAATATCTTCATAGCCCTTTTCTAATAACATAATCACCCATAATAATCCCAAATGCATATATGCTTTTCATTCGATGCAAACGAAACTGATATTTCCTCAACAAAATGGGAAGCATTCATTCTGAAACCTAAAGCTGTTTAAAGGGATTTCCCTAGCTTTTGGAATGTTTCTAAAACTTTCTCTAATGACTGTGATGTCTCTATTGAAGAGAAAACCGTTATGCATGAAAATGCCTTGAAATAACAGCAGTTTTTATTGATAGGACACCGCGATGGTTGAAAGTGATTTTATTCTGCTTGCTTATAGGGCAACACAGAGTAAATGTTATGAATCATCTAGGTTTTCCCTTTGTATTTGGCTTTGCTATTTAATTTCCTCTCGCTCTTATCCAACCTTGGTTAAAGCATCTTTTTAAAAAATAAAACTCATGCCAGAAAAAAATATGTTTAATTTTTGCACCTTAGGGGCTTTGGAATTTTTGTAGATAGATGTTAAGGGTGTTGAAACACGAATTCTCAGAAATCACCCGTCTTGCTAATTCTCAGAAATCAAACTGAACTGTTTTCTTGTGAGCTTAACTGGATTGCATTTGCCGCCAGGTGTTTTATCGTTGAAATGCTAATGATCGTATTCATTTTTCGAATAAATTTTACGAGTTAGTAATGCTGACCGTCAATTAACGTGTCATGAGACAATATCTATAGAAATCGTAGCTCAGAATATTTATTAATGCTTGTCTATTCGTGATATTTTTAGCAATAGCTTTTTTAATAGTGACTTGACGTAAAATGCATGCACAAGGTGACAAACAGCCCATAGTATAATATTATTTTTATTGATATTGGCATTGTAATTACTGGCGCAGTGACCAAATCAAGCCCTTACAGGTGGACACAAGGGTGACGAAGTCGGGAGAATGCGCTTTCGTATTTCAACAATACGTAAATCAATGTATTGGGAGCAACTGCATAACCTCAGCCATTCCCTAACCTTCCCCCCTCCCCCCTCCAAAGTGTCCACTGTTAATAAACTCTTAGGACGCTCTTTCAATTAAAGAAGGCCCCTTACAGCTCTGTCCGCCATCTTTATTCTAATATCTTATGTCTCCCGTTTTTTAATATCCTCTAATCTGTTGGTTGGGTTTTAGTTGAAAAACCATCATTTTTTTCGTGTAAGGAGGAATTTCCAACTAATTCTAAGGGGAGGCGTTGTTACGAAAAACATTTCATTCACTGCTTCCTTTCAAGCTATTGGTTCCAAACATCCGCCGTAATATCAGCAATGGACTAAAGTAAATGGGCCTCGTTTTCAAAAACATAAGATAAAACTTTATAGTTTTAGCGGAACAGGTTCATTCACTTTTAATTATATTTAGAATGAATTTATTATTTAGATTAGCATGAATGTGTATGGCAATTTTGTATTTTAACTCATTTTGTATGACTTTGTAATGAGTTTTTTATAGTATCTTCTTTATATTCTCAAATACCGGCAGTAAACGCAAATGTTTAGGGGGATTTTGTGACAACAGCTTTCCAATTTGCTATTTTTCACGACTTTTCTACCACAATATGTAAACACGTTTTTACCCATGCTATCAGGGATTTTTTCAGTTTTAATTCTGTGCCAATTTCACTCTTTTAAACCGACAAAGTAGCTAGATTTCAGATATAGAACAAAGGATACGTTTTGCTTTGTGTTTTCCCCGTTGCTTAGATATCATACATCCAATCTTTGCATTCTAAATAACATACACCGGTCCTCTATACTCTGAAGAGGGGTGCTTCTGTTTAATGTAAACTGACTTGGGTTTACTGCTGTGTTAGTACAAGCTTCTAATCAATATTTTCCTCTTTCTTGTACCACAAGCAGTGAATTTTTCACTTGGATTGTTAAATTTACAGTCCCTTATCTTGATATTTTTATACTATCGTTATTGTAAATATCTTAAAGGTATTTTCTACTTGAAAAATGTCATCAAAAGTCTTAATATCATATACACAGTTTATTTTCTTATATCGCTGCTTGCTCCTTAAACAGTGACGCGTATTGAAACAAGAATCCGCGCGGTATATCATAGAAGCAAGGGCCGTTTATCTTTTACATGCTGACTCTAGCTTTGTGCTTAGCACTAAATAAAATTGGAATAACAGAACTTAAGCCACGAGCTGTCCTTCGTGGGTACCGACCGCTTTTTTTTATCTTGTGGAAATATGCCTTGCTGCTAAGTGCATTCATTATATGGCGACCTTCGCCAAAATACGCCGTGCCTCGTCGACCAAAATACGTGCTTGCTGGTTTGAATGGCGTGCCTCGATTTTTCATGCAGCTCAAACACTAAATGTTCCGTGGTTATGATCGCTGATATATTGCAGAAACAGCCAAAAAACAACGGTAACATAGGAAGACAAATCTCAAATACACTCTCTTCTTTTTATAAGAAAAATTTTATAAGAACTGAGCCTCAAATTGGTCAAAATTCAAGAACAAATTAAGAACAAGCTGAGACCGCGCTTCTGAGAAATGCAATTTGGGCACAAGTACCAAAGTCTAAAAATAGCTTTTTGTTGGAGTTGCATCTTGTTCTATTCAGCACGTCAAATTACACCAGGTAACAATAATATTTTAGTATTTTTTACTCAGTTTTGATTTTTTTACTGATAAATTCATCCGATTTGGATAGTTCGAATGTAAAAATTTCGCTGACCGTGCATTTTCACGCTTTCTGAAATATTACTTCCAATCATTTGCCGGAATGTACACAAGACTTGAACTTAAAACTGTAAGACCATGACTTAAACTTTAAAAATTTCGGTTAGGCAGTTTGATAGATGCTATGCAAAATTCCCTGTCTATTATGTAGGGTTATAAATGAAATTATGGACTTGTCTTCACATTTAGCTTAGCCGTGCTCGTCCAAAAACCTTAAATTAATCTCCGACCTTCGCTGTTGAAGCACACACGATCATGTTTGTCTTTGACCTGACAACGATAATTCGAGCTGATTTTAATATTTCAATTGGCAAAAAGTGGGAGGCTCTGGCCCCCTAAGGTGCGGACCCTGCTAAAACATCCCAACAACATCTTTAGAAACTTTAAAGAAATGGGAACCATAAGAAGATAGTGAATACTTTGTGCTAAAAGCAATTACAGTTTCATGGACTGACGCTACAATTTGTAAAAATTCTTAATTTAAATGACACTAAAATGAATAAACAATCTATATAAATGCGTAATTTATATATAACATAAAAATCGAATCAAAGTGACTTGATGAGGCAACTCTGTGATGGGTGGAGGCTAAAAATTAGCATCTAATGATATATAAATGAAAATAATGCCTGATAATGCAGATATAATAAGTATGTATAAACATATTTAATATGACGTCTATTTAGCTGTATACAATGCAGCTAGCAGAAGTTTCATCAAAGGATAGATTTAAATGATTGAAAGTAGCAAGAAAATCAGTAAGTTTCTTTAAAACGTTTTATGACAAAGGTATCATGCAGTTGTGGCTTAGGAAATTCTATCATAAAATGTGTTCTTTATGACCCAAACAACTTTATATTAAATTATTGAGAGAATAATGTGCGGCTTTTTATTCAAGGGAGGCTAATGTTTTCCTGGGGGCTTCAATTTGTAAAGCTTACATTCGATGGCAGCTATTCAGCGAAGGCGGTGTACAATAAAAGAAATTCGGTATGCATTAAGTTATTTATAATTTATGCACGAGTGCTTACATTATTCAGGGCTTGACGAATTTATCAAAAACAACTCTAATTTTCATAATTAACAGAAAGCTACAAAATAATTAAACCTGAAAACGATCGTATTTGGGATGCTCATAACTTTGCGCGGATAAAATTTTTCAGGTTTTCAATTAATTGTTTGGTGGTTTTCAGGATAATTAAAAAAATTTACAAAATTTTTCGCAGATATGCTTATTGAAAGCTATCCTAGAATATACCGCAAAAAGCGGAAACATATACCAAGATTTCCAATTTTCTAGTGTGTCGGCTTCTTCACAAGATTCACTTACCAACATACCGCATAAGATGGTTTCTTCTAATTTATCATTCTTTCCGTGCACCTGCCTCCAGTTTGTAGCTGCTTTAATCTCGTTCTTCTATGTCATCAGCAGTCACCTAATGTTTTAGGATTACTGTATTTGGCAGAAAATCGTCTTCCTGAACTTTTAAGCTAGCAATCGCTTATGCACAACGAAAATCTTTTTAGATGTAAGATAGTTAATAACTGGCTGAATGTAGAGGTCTAGGTGATAGCAGAAATACATTTTAAGCTCGGCAGTTGTGCAACTAGCTTTCTGTGAAAACCCTTGCCAACAATATCCAGCATAAAACTCACTCTTTTGTAAGAATGAAAACGCAGATAGCGGTTGTGGACTCTGTTCTTACAAGACACGATTTTCCAGTATATAAATTGCCTATGTAAAACTTAGGAAAACATTTAACAGCACTGTTTTAGACTATTGATAGTTTTGATAAAAAATATTTTTTTGAAATCCAGCTCTCAATTCACAAATTCTAATACATTTGCTGACTAAGGCTACGTTCACATTGCTCCATTTTCGATTAGATTCGTTTTTGGCAGGAAAAACGGAGCTGTTTTTATCTCTGTTCACACTACTCCGTTTTCAGACAGAAACGGATATCTATTAATTGGTGTTCATACTAGTTCTCAAAAACGCATCTGTTTTTCTCTTTCTGAAAACGAGGCTTCTGATATTGGCGCGAAAACATTCAACGACCTGAGTTCCAAGTTCGCAAAGTGAAAGTGAAGGCACTGATATCAAATAAAAGAAGTGATGCCGCCTCGTCCTCGTAAATCAGCTTCAGGTGAAGAATACTTGAATTGGACTGATGATGAAGTTCTTCTGTTGCTTAATATAGCCGTAGAATACAAGACGCATAATTTATCACAGGGTAAAAATTGGGAGAGCGTGCAATCGAAATATGTCGACATTGCCGAGTTCTTCTTAACAAATAAAGTTGATTCACAAATGATAGAAGTCCACAAAGACTTTTTAACATGGCCAAAGTAAACATAAGTTTAACAAGAGCAACACTGGTATCCATATTCCTTGTAGGAGTCATGATTACCGACCGACCGATAAAATTGGCGCCACTACTTGAAAAGCTCGTTGCTGTTGTTGTTAGCGTTTTCAAATTGTTCCGTTTTTGGTGTTCACACTATAGCGTTGCGTTTTTGTTTAGCTCCGTTTTCATTTAGTTCCGTTTTTATCATCGTTTTCATTTAGCTCCGTTTTTGGGGTAGACTAATGTGAACGCAAAGCCAAAAGCGGAGCTAAACAGATGCGTTTTTGTTCAAAAACGGAATAGTGTGAACGGGGCCTAAGGCTAATTAATAAAACAAGCCGATCACCTGACCATTTAGAGAATTATCTCTATTCAAATGATTTTTTCATTGGCACTAACCTACTATTGATATTCGTTTTAAAGTATCAGCAGGGACTGATCTTCGAATTGAAGCCATGGGTAGCACCAAATACTAAATACATTCTCAAGAGCGTGAATTTGACAGCAAAAGGTGAAAAAGGGGGAAAAGATCGATAAAAATAAGGCTTTTGTGGTACAGTACTGAAAAACAAAATGTTTTCAATAAAAAATTGCTGGAGGAGTTTCTTTTCTCTCTTGGAATCCAGTGGAAATTTTTTTTAGGCAAACGACACTGATTGGACAACTAAACCGGTCTTGCGCTTGCGTTTTTTTGATTGGCCTAATTCGATCCACAACTGAGTATATATTCTCACGTTTTATGCTCTGAGAAGTGTCAGGCCAAAAAGCTTTTAGCCACTACCCTATAAAATGTATGCTTTTTCAAAGCCATTTTCAAGTTTTATACCGCCAAAAAACTGTTAAGTTTTTTTAGAAAGTTGAAACAAAGCCCCATCCATTCTTCTGATTTGTACATGCTTTAGTTCCTTGATTTTGTCGCATCAAGTTGACCTTAAAAAAGACGCTGGACTTAGTACGTAATAGGGGCTTTCCTGGTATTCATTGCGTGGCCTTATAGAGGGCCTAAATATCTAGAGATTCCTAATTCACTGTTACGTGAATATTGACTAAAAACACACTAAACACGCAATTCTTCTCAAAATATTCAACATACCTAGCTGCTAGAAAAGCCCGGCCTTAAGCCCTAGTGGGTTATAATCAACTTCTGTATATTTGTAGATAGGGGACGTTGTGCTCCTCCACAATGGCATGTCTGTTGATCTTGCAGTGTTTTGGTAACTTATTTCAGCCGTCTGCGAAGGAGCATATGCCCTAGAAAATAGGGTTAGGTGTGTTAAATTTGACAATGCTTCAAAATACATTAGTTTTTATCACCTTAGGTCTAAGAATTTCCACTCACAAAAAATTTTCCCCAGATTCTTGAATACTTCTGTTAATATCTCAGAAATGGACACAAACAAACAACGTTTTTATCCAATAAATGTGATTTTAAGATACTGTGGCCTTTATTACCAATATGAAAGATGGGTTATAAACAGGATTAATGTAAATTGTGTGGCGATTCATTATGTGGTGTCATGGATCCCCGGGGGAAAGGCGTGAAAATACACGTGTGGTATTGCATCGTCATTCAAAATTATGGAGGGTGTGTTTCATATCATCATTAAATCAGGTGGAAGAGCGCCTGTTCATTCAAATACCGGACAGTTGTTCATTTCAAAAGGGTAATGGTGAAGTGTAATTATCAAAATTATTTCTGGGGTTTCGAATGGGACTCTTAAAATACAAATTGAGATGACATAAGTAGACTAAAAGAAAAACCACTCTCCCATTATTATCAAAGTCGAAGCTACAAATTTTATTATTTTATCAAAGTCAATAATCTAAAAAATAAATAAATCAAAAATGTAAGCTTCATGAATAATAGATAGTTAATCAAAAATGATAGTAAAATGCTACAAAATATGGACCCTGGTTTCAGTAATTAGCTAAAATTTCTCTGCATGTTTCTACAAAACCGGCAACACGACAAGCATGGTTGCGGTGTGCATCTGTCAGCTAACTGTTGCTTTAAAAATCTAACAAATAAATAAGTAATAAATAACTAAGAACCTAACTGCGAAAATGAAAATTCAGAGGCAGAAATTCTTGTATTTTGCACAATAGTCGATCTGCAATCCAACAATTAACTGTGAAGACAAGGGTTATTTTACAAAAAGAATCTGCTCAATAAACGTTTCCCTCACAAGCTGAATTCTGACTTACAAAAAGAACCACGCTTTTGATATTGAGTCCTACCATCATGTGGGTGGGGATAACTATCGAAACATTGACTTCTAAAAAACAGACGGAAGCAGCTGTCCTTGAAAACATTTTAAAACAAAAAAGCTTAAAACTGTTGGCTGCATGAAACTAAATCAGCGCAAGGATCTTGGATTATTATGATACGATTAATTATGAATTTGACATTAGCCCCAGATATATTTGTTGTGAAAAACATAGCTTGTCTCGAGAAACATTCAAATTTGGAAGCACTCACGCTGTTTTTTGCCTATCATTTTCAGCTTTCTCTGCAATATTGATTTCGAAATCCGTCACAAATTCATAGCTCCCATAACGGGACATCGTTTTCCGTGATGTGACACTACAAAGGCTGTCCAAACTGCGGGACCGCCGCAGCACCACCTCGTCTTGTGCGGAAGGGTCAACCACAATGTAGCTACCAAAATCGAGCAATTTTCCGAAATCCACTCCTTCAAACGAATCACTCCTTTTAGAACGAAGTGATAGCGGTGAAGTGGGTCGCAAAGGCTCAATGACGTCATAACGCTCCTGCTCATTGTCATCATGTTTGTGAACGGGGCTATTTCCGCCATCCACGACATGAACAGGAACATCATTCACCACGCTGGTTTCTGTAACGGTACCGGTATTATGTCCTGCATTCTTCTTGTCTTCATCTCTTTTATGGCCTTCGTCCAACAAAACTTCATTTTCTGAACTTGAATGCTGTCCTGGGCTTTTTGGATCCATGACCACAGGATGAGGCTCAGGCTCAGGGAGAGCCTCTAGATCAAGTTTGGCCTCTGCTTCGACTTTGAGCTCTTCCTGACAAACTGGTGCCTCGTCGGCTACAAGGCTCAATAACGTACGGCTGCCAAATTCTTCAAGGCGCTAAAAGAAAAGGATGAAATCATATTCCCGTCTGAATTGTTGTATATATCTCTAAATTCTATTGAAGGAGGTTGGCAAGCTATTGATATATTTTTGTACTAATAAAGCCTAGAAAGGCATCAGTTTAAACATTTTGGAACTGAAAAGGAATTGCACCCTATCAGGCATTCACATAAACTTAAGACCAATAACAACACTAGATCTAGTTAGTGTTAGATTCAGTGCCCAATATCCCGAATTATAAATCAAGTCTTTTAAGAAACTGTGGATACTGTAAGGGACAGAAAACAGGACTGAATGGGCAAATAGGACCTCTACTAGTAAAAAAACACGTGTCCGTTGAAATTTCGATTCTGTACTTTCATTACAATAAAATGTTTATTGATACCAGTGAGAAGAAAATGTCCCTGAAATTTTGCCTGCATTGCTGATCTCAAATCCTTGATTTTTCTGCAGCTTTTGAAAAAAAACAAAGAGTTTTTCACCCTTTTCATCCATTAGTAATATTTTCTCTTAGTGAACGGCACTGATTGGGCAACCTTTACAGTCACGTGCTCTTTACAGTCACGTGCTCATGTTTCTGATTGGCTTGTTTCGATCCACAATTGGGTATACATGTATTCTAGCTTTAAATTTTTGATAATGATTCTGACGTTTGACTCTCTGAATAGTGTCAGATGAAAAGCTTGAGTATCTTTCACAATGTTTGCTTTGTTAAAAGCCATAGTTGGTTTTTTAATCACAATATACATGTAAATTAGCTATTATCCTCGTGCAATGATAATCATGCGACAGCCATTGGCTCCCTGTTGTAATGTTTCTGTTGCATGCACTTCAAGTTTCAGTGAAATACGTAGGCTACAAGGAAGTGCGATTTTTAATTTTTTTTCAAAGCGTAAAAAAAGGCTTAGAAAGAAAAAAACCTCTTCAAAGGGAGAATAGTTATTTAAATTAATTATGGCCTTAAAACCTGTATGTTTACGCGTTTTATTTGGGCTTCGAAATCAGAGGTGGCGGCAGAAATCTTCCGACAGACGGGCTGGAGCTTCCGACAGGGGGGCTAAAATGATTAAAATAAGCAGTTTTCGTACGTTATTTTGTCAAATTTGCTCCGACAATAACCTAGCCCCCCTAGCCCTCCCCTGGCGCCACCACTGTTAGAAATACGCCGAAAAACGTGAGAAAACTACTGTAAAATAGCTTTGAATAAATTTTGCACAAAATAACCTTTATATTTAAGACGATAAAGTCTGATCTTATTGATACTACGGGGAAACTACAGACATCTTGGTGGAGATACAAAAAGACTAAATTCGTAGTAAATATTTTGAACTGGAATAAAAATGCTGCTAATAAGATGTTCTCCATACTAAAATTATAATCCTCATTAAATGAACATTCTGAACACAGTAAACATAAATGGTACCAGCAAACCACGAACATCTTGGCAGGATTCCTAATGAAAATGTTTTCCTACGTTTTCAATACGTCGAAATAATAAAATTGCTTCAAGCTCCCCCGTTCGTAGACAGTTTCGAATGAAAATTTATTTCATTTTGTACATGGCGATCGAGCCTATTAAAATGAATAATAGGTTCACTCTTTAGGGTTTATCGTAACCCACTTTGTCAACAACACGAGGAATTATTGGCAGCCACAAAGGATTATAATCACCGACGAAACGGGAGTGAGAAAGGATTGCAGGGAAAATATAATGAACAGGCACCAAGGAGCGTTGCGAAAAATGGGAGTGGGGGCCAAAACCGAACTTACTGGTGGTTCATCTCTTAATATTCTGCATTTTTTCAAAAAATCTTCTTTGAACTTCGTTTTCCAAAATTCCTCTTGACAAGCAAGGGCTCAACTCCATGTTGGACGAGCATTAGATGAACCAGAGAGGAGCTTTGCATAAAAGTAAATTAAAAGACACTGCCAAAGTGTCTGTTGACTAGTAATGCTGAAGTCAACAAAGTAGCATTTGGCGTTATTGATTTACACTTGTCCCTTATAGCTCACCTCATAAGGCACCAAACTCTGGAAATCACATTTTGAAAAGTCAGATACAGCCTAATGCTAGGGACCATAGGAAAAACTGTTTTCATATTTTATATACAAGGGAATTTAGCAATTGCAAATTATGTGGGGAACTGGATGGTGAGACCAGGGATTTTTTACACTAGGGGTTTGGCATACATGAACTATTCCAAGAGAACAGATTTTTAGTGCACTCTGCTTTATCAAAGAAACAATATTTTATATATTTAACAGACCCTTTACGGGAAGATAAGGAGGCAGCCTCTGCCAAACCTGTCCCTATTGTAACATCACTGCTTATGGTGGATAAATACAAAAATAAAATGACCCAAACCTCTTGATATGCTGCCTCTTGGTCAAATTGATCTGCTTCAGTCGTATCTTTATGCTTTTCAATAGTCTTAACTATTGATTCAACCTCACAATATATCAAGTCCAACAATTTTCGATTTTCCCTTAGATGCTTCATATTTCTTCTGTATTTCCCAGGAGCTGAAAACTTTGAAAGTAGTCCTTTGTGGGCACCATCTTCTTCCTTTTCTTTTCCAGAATCTTTAACATTATGCGTACTAGCCTCTGCTAATTTCTCATCAATCTTTGGCCTTATTGATTCAATCATGTTTAAAAGTTGCTTGCTACTGTCTGCTATTGTCTTCAATTCTTTCATTGTTGGATCTAAGAAAATTGAATTGATAACTCTAAAACCCAAACCATTATATATTCTTCCTGATACTGAGTTTAGCTTTATAAGAAATATTATTCTGTAGACATAACATGTGATTTGAAACAGATAATCTTCTTTCAAAATTCAAAGATTTGAACAAAACTTTTCAGACTGTTTGAGAAACGAAAAACTGCCAAACAACTGGAAAGCAAGATTTCTGATCCACCTGAAAAGGTGCCAAGAGCAACTATGCCCCTGGAATTCCACAGTTGTTTTTCCCACGATTTTTTTTCAATTGCTGATTAGAAAGCATGTTGCATCAAAAGTATCTGGAATTAAAAATTGTCTGTTCAACATGAAAATATATATATATATATATAATATATCATTTGAATAAACAGAGAATTTAAAACTATATACATCCTGTTGCTGTGCTGGGGGGGGGGGGGGGGGGGGTTGAATTAAGGCAAAGGCATCAAAACATGTGCCCACATTTTTCAAATGATGCACAAAGAGATGTTTTTTACAAAAAATGTTTGAAAATGGGTCACACTCAGCTGGCAGCTGTTCTTGATGCTACCTTAATTTTTTTTAACACAACAGTTTGTAAATAGGTAAGGATACAGGTCCTTGAAGCTGTTAAAATATTAGTTATCATTGTTATTATTATTATTGCATTATTATTATTATCATTATTATTATGGTTCCTTATGGAGAAATACCAGCAGTAGCATAAATATACAGTATGATATATACAGGAACACCAAATAAGCATTTACGGCTGTCCAGTATGAGCATAAAGATCGTCTGCAAAACATCCTAACTTCCCAAGGATCTTTATTATCAAATCTTTTTAACCATGATCTTCCACAAATAAACAAACTTTGGTCCAAGGTGCAAAGTAGCATGCCTCAGAATATTTTCAATTTCACCATAAGGTACCTGAACAATACCCTTGCCACACAGAAAAACCTGAAAAAATGGAACTTGAGCCAGACCTCTGCTTGCTCATTCTGTTTTCTGCCAGAAACCCTCCTTTACGCTGTTGCTGGCTGCAAAACATATCTGGAACAAGGCCTATACACCTGGTGACATAACTCTATCCAAAACTTTCTAGCTACGTCACTAAAAGCTTTCAATAAATCTACCATCCACACTGATATACCTGGTTTTCTTTCACCATCAATCATAACTGGAGAAAACCTTCGCCCAGATCTTCTCTTGAGGACTAACAACAATTACCTCTACATTTTAGAGCTAACTGTTGGCTTCAAATCTAATCTTGAAACAAAAGCAACAAGAAAACACAACAAGTATGCTCCTCTCTTATCTGGTTTACAGCAGCAGTTCAAATGTGTCTCCTTTGTTAATCTTTCTATGAGCTCTCTTGGCATCTTCCGCAATTCCTGCAATTCATTCTTCAAAATGTGTGACTCGCTCTCCATCGATCAGCAACAAAAACGGTATCTCATTACTAAACTTTCCAACATTGCCATCCGTACTACATACTACATATTTTGTTGCAAAAATAAGCCATGGATAAATCCAGAATTACATCCTTTTTAATTTTGGTTGCTTAATTTTTTTCAGTTTTTCCTTTTACCTTACGATTTTTATAGTTTTTTCTTGTAAAACCAGGCTAGCCAATTGCAAATTACCCTGCAATAGTGAGATTTGTAATTGTAGTTTAAGTTGAACTGAAAACGAAATGTTTCCATTATTATTATTATTATTATAAAATAAAAACAATCTGTGTCAACTAACCTTCCAAATCCAATTCAGCTGTGTCAGCTGACCGAGATGTGATCATTTGACTTTCATTTTGATCATATGTACTCTTGTTTCTCACATAAACCTGATAGCATTTACGGAAATCTGGTTTTTTGTCACGGCTATATTGCCTGGCAAAACTCAGTAGAAGAGAAGAGAGGGTTTGACAATGTTTTATGAAAGGCTCTAAGATTTTCTTGGCATCCTGAAACACTTGATCTACCTGGTTAACTCCAAGGTTCTCTGGATTCCATTCAGACACATCATAAATGCAACTGACAGAGCAAGCTGCATCAATTACTTTCTGCTGGTGTCTTATACTAGGACTTTCATTGAGAGAGTCATAGCTAGATTTGGCCAAAGATAGATTTGAAAGTTGTGACCTTTCATTCTTACTGTCTATATTACTAGCGGTGATGGTTGGCTCTTCTTGCTGGTCCTTCGATGGTTCAACATCTTTTGGTTGGTCATATGGGCTTGCATCTTTATTTGCATCTGTTGCATTGCCCTGAAAAAAAATTACTTGTAAGAAGGCAGATTTCATGTAAATCTAAAGAACAAAACACTATCAAATAGAAATTCATGTCAACATAGCCATGATGGATATTCATTCAAAACATTTCTGTTTTTGCTGCATTACAGAATAATATATTATTTTAAACGTGAAGGAAAAAAAGAGGGCTGAATAACAATGGATATATTACCAAAACAGTTGGCAAATATAATCATTTAATACATAACTCAAGACACAATTACTTCTAAATGAATAATTCAAAGCTTGCAAAGCAGGTGACAGCAGGAAAAACAAGCTGAAGACAAAAAACCTGTTGAACTAGCTAACAATTCTAATAAACAGTGATAGCAACCCTCACTAAATGAGAAAATCAACTTTTACAATATGATGATCCAAGGTTGAAACTAGAGGGATATCTTCCAAAATAATTGGGTACTAGTTTGCAAGATGTTTAATTTACTGAACAACTTTTCATAATCTTATGCTTGTTATTCCTAGGATACTTCAAGGACTGCAGAGCATATTACAGATTTAATAGAATGTTTGGGGGGAGGGGGGTAAACATGCTAGAAACTAAAAGCAGGGCAATTTTTTGTATGGCTTTAAGTACATTTTGGAAATTATTTTGAGGAGGGCTAGCCCCCTGCTTTCACAGAATCTGGGCTACTTTAGATATGTCTTCTTGCAGCACCAAATAAAAAGCAAAATTGTTGTAGTAATGCTAAAAGGTTCTTCATAATTGGCGTGAAGTAGATTAGTGAAAAGGACGAGTGGGGACCCAACAGCTTATCTTTTCCACCACAAAAAACACATTTTAAGGTGCTTGCCTTTGTGTTTTATTGACATTTCAGATGACAAAATACTCAGCATTTTTCAACTTGTTAAAAACATGCTCTTTCTAAGGGTACATAACTTGAAGAGGCCATCAAAAACAATCCTTTCCTGACAGGCAAATGTACTTTTGCTTTATTAAGAATGTTTTAGTTCTAAAAAATGTCTTATATCCTAAGATTTATATATTCAACAAGTTGAAAATAAACCCAGTGATACTGAAACTTCATCCTTCAACACCAGACCTGGGCATCTTATGGCCCACTGGCCACATCTGGCCTTTTTTACACTTCTGTCCAGCCCACTTGAGTGGCTGTGTTCAATCAGGACAGGAATTTTTGTGAAGTTTTTTCCTACTTAACTTACACAACAATTTCATATAATCATATAAACATTTTTGTAAACCTATATCTTTCTGACAACCAGTAAGCTAAAAAATAATATACTTTATTGCTTTCTAAATTTAGAGAAAACAAATGTTATGAAGAATAAAGACTGGGTATATATATATTTCCTATCAAAGTTTTTGATCTATGTTCTGACGTTTTATACTCTGAAGGGTGTCCGATGAAAAACTTGAGTATACTCAATGTTTGCTTTTTTCAAAGCCATTTTTAATTTTTTTACCACTAAAAGATTGTTTAATAAAGTTCTTGTTGGTTCAGTCCTCCAATACAGTCCAGGTTTTTCATGTGACCCCTTGGAAAAATTGATTGACAACACCTGCCAAATATTTTATAACTGTATGAAACCAAACATAATTACCTTTGTAACCTGTCAAAAAGTAGGTCTATATCAAACATATATAGAATGGAAATGGGAGCTAGAGAAAGACAAGAAAGATCTGAGAATTAGAATGGTGAGAAAGCTCTGAGACCTTAACAAATCTTGTTGATTCAATAAACCATGAGCCATAGGTACACAGCATGCTTTGTCTGGAAATATGTTGATCCCTTTCTGAGGTTACATGACATTTCTAAACGAACTCAAGTCAACATGCAAATATTGTCCTCAGTCTAATGTATACAAGAGGTGAATGATGAAACTTCCCAATCAAACAATGAACCCCCTAATACATTTACGAAAAGAAGATTCAATGCCATGGTGTGGCCACAAAAGTGACCTTAAATTTCAAAATAATTTTCTTGGGATTTTAGGGGGTTGAGAAACATGAAACCTAAATATGACTTTTGTGATAATTTATTATTGTGTGTTGTAAATTATAATTTAACAACCTATAATTCGAATATTCTTGGAATGAATGAGAAATTCGCGCGATAAAAGTCTCTGTAACAATATTGGCTAGTCTATATTGTGCTTTTTGCTCGTTGTTGATATTGAATAACAAAGAACCTTTCAGGCCACGTGATGTCTAAAAAGCTGTACGAATGCCACTCCCCTCACTGAAATGCACAACTAAGGCTATTCACTATGAATGATCAGGTTGTCATGGTCTTATGAAATTGAATTTGAACATCGCTATAACTTGAAATTAGGGAGGTGCTAATTTATGACACCAGGGAAATATGTCCCTTTATCTAAGACTAAATCTGAGACCAGGCAGGCCCTCCAGGGTCCAAGAAAAACTGCAGATGTCATGTATTTCTGATCATTTCTCTTCAAAATGAATCTGTTACGGTTAATGGTTTGGGTAAATATTGGAAGTGAGCTGGGGTGGGATGGGAGAAACTGCTACATGAGCCTAACTTTCAACAGCAAGGAGATCGTGCACCCTAAGTGTTAAATCCTGAAAAGTTGCTTGATTCAGAGGCGTGAAACAATAATGATATTAGGAAAATATATTTAAGGTTTTGACCAGGATCAATAGGTGAAACGCTGCCAATCATCATTTGGCCTAAGGAGATAAACGAGAAGTGCCTAGACAAGAGGTTTACTTTCCGGTGAAGGAAGCAAAAATGACAAAAACAACATATGTATTGACTTACCGATCCCCCACACAGAGTTCCAAAGAATCTACGAACAGATTTCATCTGAAATCTTTCTTTGACGTGGACCAGCAAAACATGAATCCTTCATAAGTCTGGTTTCTACTAACACGTTTGGGTTGACCAAGTGTCAATGACGTTAATCACCAGTGTTTTTGTTCTTGTGCGCCAACCAAGCGCACCGCAAACGCATTTACGAAGCGCGCCTACAGAGTGTCTACCGAGCGTCTACCTAGCGCGCCTACCGAGTGTCTACCGAGCGCGCCTACCAAGTGCAATGGCCAAGTACGTTTGAGCTACCTGAGAAGAACGAATATCAGAACAGGGACAAAGTAGACTTCCGTGTGTACTGGTACGGAATGTGCCATTTTTAATGTCCCTTTTTACAGATTGAAAATACATATTGGGGTATTATTTTGGTAGAACCAATCATATCCACATATTTTGAGGTTGATTTTTAGCATAAACATAATTTTTTTCAAAAGAAAGGAAATATTTTTTTTATTCTAAGCATGATGTAAACAATTGACCACAGAATTCAAACATGAATATAAATCATAAAAATAATTAGTTAATTCATCATATACAGGAAATTTAATTTACTTGCTTGGGTTTTTTTTCGTTTTCAAATAAAAACGGAGTCAAACTAATTCGTTTTTGCCTTGCGTTCACACTACTCTGCTATGAAAACGGAGTCGTTTGAAAACGCTAATGAAAACGGATACTTTCGAATACGGTGCATATTGAATACGCTCCGCTTCCAGTGTGAACACCAAAAACGGAGACATTTGAATACGCTAGCAACGCCAACAAAATACGTGCTTTTTAGCACACCAAATCTAAAAAATTTTGGTGGGGGCATTTAAGACTTGGTGCTGTAAAGGATAAACGGACACAGTTTCTAGTTTTTCCATTGCCATTAGAGTATCAAGCTCTTCTTAGAAGATTATAGCTCAGAAACTTAGAAAGAAAGTATGCATACAGGGGAAACCCGCATAAAAGAACATAGGTTCTTTTCTTGCAGCCTGAAAAGGTTTATTAACAGGCTGCTATTCTAAATTCTAGCCTAGAAGGTTTTTGTATATGTATAGGATTTGCACACGTTAACAAGGTTTTCCACTTCAAGAATTCTAACGGGTACACTCAAACCAGCTTTCATGTTAACAAGGACCTCGCACCAGTTTATAAATGTAGAGGCTGAAATGGGTGTTGTAAAACCACTGAATTTACGAGGGTTTTACAGGCTTGTGTTCGCAGATTCGGCAGCAAAAGAAAGTACAAAATTTAATAAGCGTGTTTTGATTTCTTGGCTCGACGGTTCTTATAGTTTCATCTAATTCCACAACGACTAAACGGCTCACTTCGGCAAAACTGGTATGCTTCAAACCTATCGAAATAACAACGGCTATTCGAACATCTCAAATCATGTCTACACTCTACCGACTGAATTAAACGACAACTTCAACTTGACTGGACTTGCACTGAAAGAACATACGATTTTAACAACATGAGGGACGCACACAAAACCCTAATGACACAAATTAACGGCAAATGGACTAATAACAACTAAAATAGAGATGGCACGACGACAAACAAAATGACTGACACAAACATCGAAAGACATTCTCATTAACAATAACGAACCACAAACACGATGCACGACAGACAAAACTAGTTGTATAACAGTGTGCCCGAAAATTTTGTTAGGCCACGCCCTTTAGAACGCCGGAAAACGCCCCTTTTGGAAAATGCTTGCTTATTTCTATTCAATTTAAACAGACTGGTTCAGAGAAGATATAAATAACTTTAAAAATATATAAAATTAGCTTGAGGGTTAAAAAACACCAAGCTAACCAAGTCAGAAATTACATCATATCATTAAACAAGATAAAACACCTAAAAAATGAACAAAAAAGGTTTCCAGTCAAGAAGAGCTGCTACTACATAGGAGTAAATTATGCAAAGATGCGTTATAGTTAACCTTCCAAAAAATTTGTAGCCTTTTATTGCAAAAAAGTTGAGGGGCTATAGGCCCTGCTAGCCCGACGGCTGCGCGGTGCCTGCATGTTAATGTTAAATTTTCATGTTGAAATTTTTCTGTTTAACATATACCTCAATGATCTCTTCATGTCTGTGAATGATGTTCAAATATGTAGCTATGCAGATGATACAACTATCTATGCTTGTGACAACAGTATTGATAGTATCATTGAGACATTAGAGAGTGATGCCCTTAAAATTGCAGAAGGATTTCCGAACAACTGTATGAAGTTGAATGAGGACAAATGCCATCTAATGGTCTTTGGGAATAAAAGTAATATTTCTTTAAATATCAGAAGTGTCAGGAGAAAAGAGAGCACGGAAGAAAAGCTGCTTGGAGTGATTCTGGACAAAACATTATGCTTTAAAAAGCAATTGAGGTCCATTTGCAAAAAGGCTGGGCAAAAGCTACATGCTCTCTCGAGAATCTCTCACTTTTTTGATACTGAACTAAAGAGAATAATGAAGGCATATATCTTGTCCCAGTTCAACTACTGTCCTCTTGTTTGGATGTTCTGCAATAGAACACTTAATAGTAAAGTTAATCGTATTCACGAACGGGCATTGCGGATAACTTACAAAGATATGGAAGCAGATTTCGACACAATGTTACTCAGAGACAATGGGGTCTCAATCCACATCAGGAATTTACAACTGTTGATGATTGAAATCCATCAAACAAAATGGGAGCTCAATCCTACTATCATGAAGGATATCTTTATTGAAAAACACAGTACGTATGAATTTGAGAAGCTGCCTGCCACAAGCACGCACTACGTGCTATGATTTAGAGACAATATCGCTTCTAGGGAGTAGATTGTGGCAGGCATTTCCCAATGACATGAAACAATCAGATACCCTCTCCAGCTTTAAAAGGAGAATGAAATCTTGGAAAGGAGTGGAATGCAACTGTAGACTGTGTAGAGCTTTCGTGGCTCAGGTTTGGTTCTTGAACGGATAAATGTATTGTATTGTAAATGCCAAAATATGCTGAAAAAACATTGCAAAATATGTATATATGTTTGTCTACTAAAATATTTCTTATGTTAGATATATATTTTAAACAATTTTACTTTGTAGTAGGCTTGAATTGGCTTTTATTTTGTAGCTATTTTTATACGCCTACTTTAAATAAACAGATAAGAAGAAATAATAATAATAATAATAATAATAAATTTTCATATTTCTTGAACTTGTAATTTTTTATATCGGTGAAAGTTTCAGGAATGACAGTTTAATTTCCCAATTGAGACAAAACTTGCGAGGGCAAGGAACAGAGCACATGCATTTGTCTTAATGTCTTTCACAAGGTGTTCAACCACTGTTAACTGCTTTTTGATTCCAGGGTATTTGCATCTATGTTGCTAATGCTATTGTTCAGGAAAGATAGCTTTTTTGATGATTATTCAATTTCTTATGACAAAAGTAGCAGCCTACAGAACGAAAAACATGCATTTGCCTTAATGTCTTTTACAAGGTGCTCAACAACTGCTCCCTGTCTTTCATTCCAGGCTATTTGCTTCCATGTTGCTAATGCTAATGTTCAGGAAAGATAGCTCTTTTAAAGCAAATTCAAATTCTTATGACGAAAGTTGACGGCCCGCAGAAAAGAGCACACGCATTTGTCTTATGTCTCATTCAAAGTAATCAACAACTTTTTACTGTTTTTCACTTCAGGCTACTGTCACCAACCTATAATACTGATCTAAAATGTTTGCTTATGCTGCTGTTCAGAGAAGATATCTCTGTTCTTAGTTGTTAATGGTATTAAACCTTAGCACCTCTTTCGTTTGCAAATCTGCAACGGTGAAATTTTTTTCTGGATCCACCCCTGTGCTGAACTGCTAATTTTTCTTTTTCAGTTTCATATAGTATGTTGCAAAATCTTTGATGACGTTTATTGAGCATGAAATTATTTGAGAGCACTTTTGAATCTATGATGCAGTTTCTAAAAAAAAAAAGTTAATAAAAAAATTAATCACGTTAATCCTTAAAAATCAAATTAATCACACACACAAAATTGATTCAATCACAAATTAATCTCCAGTGATTATCAATCTCACAGACCATTTTCAAGAATGATTTACCCCTCGTGCAGAGTGACAAAATAATTCAAGTTCTGATGAGCAGGAAAATATACACCACATTAACAGTACAATGAAAAATACACAAAACGCACCATCTAATAATGCTGTGGATACAGTAAAAAAGTAAAACAAACGTAACTTAAAAACTAAAGAAATACTATGTTCAACAAATAGATAACAGATAAGCAAAGAAAGAATGAAGGTCATTGGACGTCAAAAGCTTGGTGATGGCTAGAGAAAATATTAGCTAGGATGGCACAAAAGCATACGAGAGACAATAATAACTACAGCTTCAATATTCTTTTTGCTCTAACAAAATTTTGCATTGAGTCCGATCCCCGGAAGGGTTGACGGAGTACAGACACATCCAATAGATTTTGCATGTGTGTTTGTTACTATCTAGTTTTCGAAGTTAGTTTTTAGGATACTGAGAAGCTGTGGTTATCGAGCAGTGTCCTGGTCCTTCCTCTCGATGTGATCACAAGTCCCGATTCTTACAACTGGAATTACAGAGACCTGGCAAGTCTTATCACTCTAGCTGAAATTTTGAGAATTGCAGGAAATCGAACCCTGGATTCCTGAATCTGTAGTTTGCGATTCTAAACACAGAGCCATCAGAAATAGATCTAGGCAAATGCCAAAAAACTGAACGTTTTTCATTCGTTTTCAAAACCTTCATACTTCCAAGTCCTTGAAAACGTTTTTGGGGATTATCTGTGTAATATATCATTTACAGGGGAACTCGAGGATGGTTGATGATCTAAATAGAATGTTCATTGGTTTGAGAACTATTAAGCCGCCAAACAGACATGGCAGTGTGAATCCATCATGTATAATAAAATTATGGTGGCTTCGCCTGGCAGTTAAATATCCAAAGGCATCTAATTTTCTAATCTCTTGCAAAATATTTGAAAACCGACAGTAAGAAAATTGGGAATATGTAAGGTTATAGTTGGCATGGCGGAATGAAATTAGTTTAGTTCAAAACTTAAGAAGAATCTGAGAACAGGTGTAGAAAAATCTTTGAGACATTTTTGATGGAACATTCTGTATCAAGATACCAGTACCAAGCGTGGCCCAATTTTCAAAATACATTACTGACGCTTGACCAAACAAAACGTACCAATTTCCAGGTCTAAAGAAGGGATTAGCCGACGTCTATCGCATTTTTTCAATTTAATCAATCAATTAATTGAGAATAAGCAAGCACTTATAATCTGTATTAACATTAAAAAGCGAATTTACTCCAAACGCAAAAACCATAACACATAACAAGGAGTAATTTTTCATTGAGTGTTTTAAGAACATCATAACTATATTCCGTATTTACAAGTCGCTTATAAACAATTTATTCAATTTACAATACAGTAGCGTTTATCAAATAGAATCATCATTTGTTATCAAATGACATGGTTGCAACATTCAGCACTGAATACCATCAGCGAATACCTACCTAAGTTCCTAGTATAGTAGCTTACCTATTACTGTAGCATTACTGTAGCCTTTTGACAATGCGACACTTCTGTAGCAAATTATTTCTCGAAATTATGCTTCATTTCTCGAATTTAGAATCGAAATTATTCTAACATCTTGCTTAACACTCGCTTAAAATGATCCCATAATGCACAGAAGCCGTCACTCTAGCCACGACTGCAAATCGCAGCTTGTGAATTTCAAAAGAGCAGGACTCTAAAATGATTTCGATATTGTTTACAAAAGGATCAACTGGCGAACAGATAAACACATAAGTAAAATAAAAAGTAACAGTAAATAAGGATTTTAAAGTTTCAAGGACATTATAAAAACATTATGATCCTACCCCAGGGCTGCCCCATAAAACTACACGAAAACTACGGGCAATTATTTATCTAACAAGGCAACATCCTTTAGCTTTTAGGATGCAGTTACACTGTATATAATGCCAACACCATACAAGAATACGATAGAAAAAATTTTCTATAATGAAAACATATCACCACCCTCCGCAATAAGTAAATCTAAAACTTGTTCGTCCGCTTCGGTCAAGGACATTGCAGCTTGCCCACTTAGAAGTTCGAAAAGATCCAAATCACTCATGGAACTGACCTGATCTGCCTGCAAATCTGTTAAGATAATAATCGCTAGTAAATGACATTGGACTTTAAAATGTAAATAGACTTGGAAGCTCAAATTTCTGGGTTTTTTTATTTCTTGAAAGTAGGATGCCTCTGACATAAAACAGTGACAGTTAGCCAATGACAGTTAGCCAACAGTTCGCCAATGACAATTCGCCAATGACAGTTCGCCAATGACAGATCGCCAATGACAGTTTGCCAATGACAGTTCGCCAATGGCAGTTCGCCAATGACAGTTCGCCAATGACAGATCGCCAATGACAGTTTGCCAATGACAGTTAGCCAACAGTTCGCCAATGACAGTTCGCCAATGACAGATCGCCAATGACAGTTTGCCAATGACAGTTCGCCAATGGCAGTTCGCCAATGACAGTTCGCCAATGACAGATCGCCAATGACAGTTCGCCAATGACAGTTTGCCAATGACAGATCGCCAATGACAGTTCGCCATTGACAGTTCGCCAATAACAGTTCGCCATTGACAATTCGCCAATGACATTTCGCCAATGACAGTTTGCCACTACATAAAACTATTTTTGCTTACAAGAATCAAGCGCCTGTGCAACTATGATATATTACTAATATGTAACACAGCTGAAATGTAACACAAAATAGAACTAATTAAAACTTAAATCCTATTGTCGGTACGTGAATAACCAATGGGTCATCGCATGAAAAAGCAATGGATTTGAATGGAAAAGCTGTCAGGTGGAATGTCTTGATTGAAAAGAAAAGTCTTCTTTCCTCTGGAAACGTCTCTTTTCGTCGTGTAGCGGGGTTTTTAAAAGTTAATCCTCTTAATCAGAGCAAAAAATTATAAAGCCTGCAGTTCCTCAAATCTATAAAATTTTAACGTTAAGATAAAAAATTATGCGACTTTAGTTGTGACCTACAACAACAAGTGAGTTAAAACAATGAAGGAGTGTTTCAAGAAAATGACAAAACTCATAAACAGGGATATGTCTAGGTCAAGTTTTGTGCAAGTTATTCTTACTGAACAACGAAATTACTGATAAATGTGATTGAGAGTCGTTTCAAAAACGTCGAAACGTTGCTTTTTGGAGAAAACTTGTGCACGTTACCAGATAGAACACAATATCACAACTGATAGTCAAACAAACAAACCTGTCTGCCATTGGTTTAAAGATGATGTTCCATTTGGTTCTAAATCACTGCTTGTGCCTGTTGCAGACAACTCTCGTGTGTAATTCAGCCGCATTGGCGAGGTATCCACTAAGCTAGAAGTCGATGCCTCACTAGCACGGGATTGTTTCATATTTTGGTGTTGCTGAAGTTGCTGTTGATGCTGTTGTTGTTGCATATGTTGTTTGGCCGCATGCTCCTCACGAAGCTGTTGTTGCTGCTGCTGATGTTGCTGTTGCTGCTGTTGTTGCTGCTGCTGTTGTTGCTGCTGCTGTTGTTGCTGCTGATGTTGTTGCTGCTGATGTTGTTCTTGTTGCTGTTGCAATGCCTGGAGCTGTTGATGCTGACACCTAACAATATGCATTCTTTGTGCCTGTGAAAGTCAATCAAACCATCTATTAAAGCAAATGGAATGACCAAAAAACAGTGTTTATTATCATTTTTAAGGAAACTTTTTGCGTCTTTTCCTTCATTTCAGAAATAAAACTGCTGGTTGCATTAGCAAAAATATCTACCTTGTGCACAGAACTTAACTGTTATTTAAAAATTCTTAACACAAAATCTAGGGGAAGCAAATGTTAAGTCTCTTTACCAGCTCCCTGGCCAATGAAGTTTCAATGTTAACTTATGCTCGGTTAATGCGAAACAATAAATTATTTACCCTTTCGCATCACTTTTCAAGACTAACAGACGCTTTTCAAGAGCACAGATTTCAAATTTAGTGGGAAAATTTTTTTGGGACCTAAATATTCCTCATGATAATAACAGTAACATGTCTGCGATGGCAGAATATTTACTAGCAAGAGTAGCTATTTGGAAAATGAACTCAAAAATATTGCTTCATATTGAATCTCAAAAAAAGATGGCATGCCAGCCTCACATGGCAAGTACATTACCTGATGTAGCTGCATAAGTTGCTGTGTTTGTCCAGGAAGGCTGTCAACGTATTGATACAAGCTATCATCGTCTGCCAACTTCTTCCCTTTCGCTTCGGAGGAATTTTCATTTCCATCTGAGTTTCCAAGCATCATATTCCTCACATTGTTGTTTGGTCTAGTGTCAATGACAGTTGGGCTTGGAAATGAGGCTAGGCTGTCTGGTGATGAAAACCTTGGGTACGATGGGTATTCTGGGAAGGGATGTCTTGGGGCTGCGTTTAACTGCTGACTGTCACGTGGCACGTTCGTGCTTAGCCTCTGCGGCGAAGCTTGACCTGCCGATGAAGTTGATTGAAATAGCCTCCGATTATCTCCCAGATGGCCTATGAAATGAAACTCGTTGGTAATTATTGAAACCATGTCAAATTGCTACTCAAGCGGTCACTGAAAATGTAGTGGTTTAGTCGACACTAGATGTGCCCATAAAGTGCTTGCTTTTTTTGTAAAATCGAGTCAAGAAATGTAACCGACCAGGAATATAAGTCCAAGAATAATTTATGAACAAACCTTGTGTTGATAGTAATTGACTCCTAGTGTTGGTATCAGGGGAAAAGCTTCTATTCCCATATGGTTGACTCAAAGAAATGGGCGGATATTGAGGACAAGTGACTGTTTCACTTGTTGATCCTGGCGCATAGCAGTCTGTGCCTGGTGACATTACGCCTTTGTCAGGAATGGCGTCTTGCAATAACCGTATTTGCATTTGCTGTAATTGCTGCAGAGCTGCAATAACCTTGGAAACCCCTTCCGACTGTTGAGCACCACCTTGCGATTCTTGACTGCCAAGCATTTGCATTTGCACCTGCAATTCTTGCTGGAGGTTTTGTAGCTGTGATAGCACTTGATACGGCAGGGAGTTTCCCGGCGTCTCTGAAGTCAGGTTATTTTGGAGCAGTTTGTTAATCGATAAAGCCCTGGACTGGTTGTAAAAATTTCTCTGCGAGTCACCTGTTTGTTGGCCTTGGAACTGAACAGAGTTCAAAATCTTCTGATTGTGTTGTTGCTGGTTTAAACGCTCAAATGCTACGGGAAAGGAAATTAGGTTAACGATAGTAATCTCTCGATAATTTCAAAAAAGCAAACAGAATTTCAAAACTTAGTGCACATTGCTATAGCTATAACCTCTTTACAATAGGCAAAGCCAAAGACAACAATACCTGGCAGTGGTAGTTCCCGCTTCAGAGAACAGGCAACATACTAAATTGTCCACATAAATATATAGGGTAAAGCGATTCAGTAGGAGGACAAATTTGGTATTTTACGTTTGAATTTATAAACATCGTTCTTGAAAAATAACTGAGTGACCTACAAACGGTATGGCTATGCTTCTGTTACAAATGGCGGACACCTGTGGGGAAGGGGGCGAGGGGGTGGTCGACCCCAAATACTTTTGAAGACAATGGACTTTTGTTCTAAAACGATCGAAACTTGTGACGTCATCTTATCAAAACAATAGGCTTGCCCCTCCAATTTTTGACAAAGTGTTCGCCCCTGTCTGCTACTAACCTGGACTCTGCATGCTATTGGGAACCGTAGCCGGGTCGCTTTGCACATGATTCGGTGACAGAGAGACCGCTCCCGGTAACAAGGACTTTTGCTGTTGCATCAAAGCTTGGACAAACTCCAGCTGACCTCTAGAGATAGTACCCTGAGCTGCCAGGGCCATGCCTTGAGCATTCAAAACATCTTGCTGATGCTGAAGCTGCTGCAGTTGTCTCTGAAGCGACTGCTGTTCCTGGTCGTCAAAATTCTCGTATGATTCGCTCCCCCTGTTAAGCAGCGCCGCTTCTTCTCTCAAGCTATTACCCATTTTCTTTTCTGCTAAAGGAGGTTGACTGCCCGAAAACATTTGTGGTGAAAGCTGGCTTTCAACACAGGAGGAGCCTTGGAAACTCTCTCCATCGGAACAGGACAGGACTGATCTTGGTCTCTGCTCTTTTCCTGAAAACGGGGACATGCTACCGAGAGATGGAGGCTGCCCAAAACTTGCAGATGAAGCTGAATGCAATTTTGCTTTGCCGCGGAGTTCAATTGCACGTCGTTTAGTTTCCGAAATCCGAATCTTCCCTTCTAAGGTTACTTTGAGCTTACTGCATTGATTTTTTTGTTCTGCCAACGTCGACGAAATGTAATCGAAAATTTGCTGTTCTTGTTCCTGTTGTTTTACCAGACCGTCGGATGAGAACATCTTAGGTCGAAGTTCCATCATCATACCGTGAATTTTCTCCAGCTGTGATTTCTGCTTTTTCATCGATAGCGACAACGATCCAATCTTATCATTAAGCTGGGCATGTAATTGTGCTTCAGACGCTTTATAGCCAATGTCACCCATTCCCTATTTGGATTAGAAATCGCTTCATAGAATTGAAAAATGTCATAACTGGAGAAATGGATTACCAATAAGGCAAAATACAGCGAAGAAATTGTTTGAAGAAATAGTACATGGACCGAAACATCGGTTTTACATTAGGTTTTTGAGAGGATGGAAGTGGTCATGGATCAACTTATTGCATTTTTGAAAATGGAGTATAGCTGGGTGACTGCAGCCGACATAAAGGAATACGTGAACACATACCGCTAGCAAATGTCCGGAGAACTAATGAACACGACCGAAAAGAAAAAAGTGAATATTAATTTGATGTAAACGAAGCCGTTCACATAATGCGGTTAAAATACTTAGGAAAGCTTCCGTAAATGTTGCTCTATTCCCGAGATTATTTCTGAATTAAAGTATTTGAAAAATTTGATAAAAAACCCCCTTAAGGTTCCTTGGTCAAATATTATGGAAATTGGGGGATTAGATTCTTTGGTATTTGAGAGGAAGGTTGAGTAGAAGGTGTACGAAGAGAAGGGGATGGAGATAAAGAGAAAATAGAGGAGGAAGAGGAAGGAGAGGAGAAAGAGAAAGAGGAGAAGGAAGAAGAAGATAGCGGGGAATAGAAGGAGAAGGAAGGAGGGAGTAGGATAAAGAGAAGAAGAAGGATCAGGAAAAAGAAGTGGTGGAGGAAGAAGAAAAGGCAGAGGAGGATGGGGAGGGTAGGAAGGAAGAGAAGAAGGAAGAGAAGAAGGAAGAGAAGAAGGGAGAGGAGAAGGAAGTGGAGAAGAAAGAGAAGAAGGAAGAGAAGAAGGAAGGGAAGAAGGAAGAGGAGAAGGAAGTGGAGAAGAAAGAGAAGAAGGAAGAGAAGAAGGGAGAGGAGAAGGAAGAGAAGAAGGAAGAGGAGAAGGAAGAGAAGAAGGAAGGGAAGAAGGAAGAGGAGAAGAAAGAGAAGAAGGAAGAGGAGAAGGAAGAGAAGAAGGAAGGGAAGAAGGAAGAGGAGAAGGAAGAGAAGAAGGAAGGGAAGAAGGAGGAGAAGGAGGAGAAGAAGGAAGAGGAGAAGGAGGAGGAGAAGGAAATTCAAACGAAGAAGTAATCAAAATTCATCCAAACCTTTTGGGTGATTTGACTGTCGTTAAACTGCGCCTCGCCAGGAAAAATCAGAGAAGCTGATGTTTCTAGAGTAAAGTGAAAAAATGTATTACCTTATTTTCAAATCATAAATATAACCATTTGTCGCATCACAAAAAGTTGATTTACAAAACAGTGCTTATGTAGCATTTATGTTAATGTTAATCAAATCTTGGAAATTACACATCAAACGTTTCTGAGGCTGTTTTTTCACACAATGCCTAGATAATATAGATACGATCTAAATATGGCGGATGTAGACGTTGTTGTTGTTGGATATCTGCCAATGATCTCTTGAGGCCTCGTGTGATTATGATAAAATTTGAAACAAAAGGTTTAGCCAAAATGTTTGCAGCCGTTTAAATGCAGAAAATTATAATAATCAAGAATATAACATAGGCAGTCATGTTACCGATAGCGAAACAGGCAAAGAAAGCAAAACGGACTAACGGCATCTGGCCGCTTGGATAGTTTAGCAAGCAAAGGATGATCCTTTGCAGCTAAAAAGACACTCACTTCTGTAATCAATTCAACACAAAGAAAGTTGTGCGTGATTAAGAAGAATTTTGGGTTTGCAAGCTGAGAGGTTTTCTAGAATCTACTGCACACTTAATCATCTGAAAATAGTTTATAAGAAACCAGAGTTAACAATGCTAAATTTTAAAAATAAATCAATAAAAAGAGCCGGGTCCATAATTAATCAAAAGTATATTTATTTTATCTGAGTTCTCTTTCACAGATTTCAAGCCTCAGTAATAATCAAACCTAAATTGAAATAATAAATCTTAACAATACTACACATTATTTTTATCAGACTTAGACTGGCACAAGACTTTCTTCCTGTTTTCCATTTCCTAAGATAATTTACACACGGCGTTGACTGGAAATAAACCAGTAGTTCAATTCAGGTAGAAAATTTAAAATTTTTGAAAACATCGAGGATCAACAAAATATTGAGGATGAAAAATGTGTACTCCGTTTAAGGGAATTTAAAAAAGATTTGATAGCAACACTTCCGAAGAGGTTTTACAACTGATAGCATTATCAAATAAGTTAAAATAAAGCTAGAAGGGTTGGTTGTGAAAACTTCAAATTCCTTAAGTCAATATTTATGTAAACTTGAAACAAAGTAAATAATTTTGGCATATACCCTTCTACAATGACAACATACAGAATGTTTCTCATTAAAGAAACTTTGTCCCGACTCATTTTGATAGCCATTTAAAATCTCATTGGTTGGGCTTGGTACCGCCGAAGGTTGAATGACGAGACGCGGTCACTTCCATATCACAATAACGCTGATTTGAGATCATAAAAAATGATTTGTTCGGAAAGTGTGTTCGTATTTCTTTTGCTTCAAGTCTCGGCTAAACAAGAAAACATTGTCGAACGACATTTTTCCGCATGTAAAAGTGAAGTTGCATGAAATCAGCTAAATCTGTTAACATTTGGGGTAAAACAAATGAGACTGTTCAACCGAAGATCCGTCTTTACTTTTTATCTGTTTTTGGATTTCATTTTGCTCCAAATACGTACGCCTCAGATCTTCTAACACATTTCTGCCTTTGTATATCTTGTTTTTCTGGGCAAAGCAAAAACAAGGAAAGTCCTCACACAGCGATTCGAATCGTTGTCGTAGAGTCATGTCTACATTTGCCTAGCTGCTCAACTCTCATTGAAAACTTATGGAACTTAAAACCATTTCAAGTCTCTACCTTCACTTTGACAACAAATTATCGTAGAGTACTTTTCAAAACATCTATAAAATCAAGAAGACGGCATAGGCAATAGACAATGACTGAAAGTTGCCATGACAAAGTATAGACTATGGATTCACTGGGATACGGCGGTGTAGTTGTTGAAAGTTAGTTCTACCAAGAGATGCAATCAGTGGCGCGAGCAACCTAACAGCATCTTGCATATTTGAAAATACGGCCTCTTAAGTCAGCAAAATGTCAAGGAAGCAAACATTACGATAAAAAGGCATGTACACCTGTAGTATGAGAAGTGCGCCTTATCAAAGAGCAACTTAAAGGTAGCTAGTACCGATAAATCCTCATTAACAATTCCCACAGAGAATGCGGAAATCACGAGAGAAACAGTCGCGCAAAAAATACCGTTTAACTTGCAGAGGTATTCAAACAGGCAATGTTTTATGACGATTTAAAAGATGTCAAGGGAATGTTTGATAAGAAAGCGAAGAACAGAAGAAAGAGACTAGTCAAAACCGACGGAATGCACACTATCTTGAACCGAACCGTTCTTTCTCCGCAAAAAATAATATTTCTGCTATACGCAGGTCACAGATGTTCTCTAATGAAAGTTGATAGGGTCTTTTATTATTTCCATTCACATCGATGACACCATTTCTGGCAAAATTAAAGATTCCATAAATTATAATATGCTGATCAGATGAGCAGAAGTTTCATAAGCACACGAAGTCAATTGAAACTCTGGAGTTAGAATAGAAAAGAGTAAGTAAAAAGGGAACGGAGAGCAGACGACTGACTCACCATCTGTAATATGATCATGGACCACTTGGTAGAATGCCGTCTAGTTGTGTTTCTTTCATTCTAAACAAAGAACAGTTCCGAGATGGGCCTACAGCCAAACCTATCTGAATCTGAATCTCTTATATAATGTTGCCACATAAGCACAGAAGCAACGCATACAAATGCACAGCTGCAGATTGTAGCAGCATTCTAACATATCATTTGGATTAAATGCGATCTAAAACATAATATTTTGGACCTTTATTTTGACCTTGAGCAAAAACATGGTATTTTTATCAACAATTGTGGATATAACGATACAGAGGAGTATATAAAGATTTAAAATAGGGTCAAAAGGCCCCCAAATTTTTTCATAGTTAAAAGAGCCACAAAACTGTCTCAATCATATCGTATGTTGATGACTAAATTGTGGAACACTTCCCTCCTATCTATCTAAATTAGATCTCTTCTATGTCAATACTGGAAAATTGTGACAGACTGTCTTGCTTGGTCAGTGCTTGCCATAATTAGTAAAATAGCTATTCTCGAACTATTCGTATGAAAATAATTAAAAAATCTTTGCTTTGACTACTCACCAAAATGCTTCTTATCAAATACTTAACTAAATACGCGTCCTCCCCCAAACTTCAACCAGATTATAATGCCGCTTTGTGATAAGCCGACCGGCAACAGCATTTGTGCCATTTGAGGCACCGAGCACGTTCAAAAACATAATTTAATATTACTACCTACATGCAGAAAAATAATATTAATTACAATTGATAATAGCTGGAACAAGCCAGATCTTTACCTTCGCCCACTGTGAAGTCATTGTTTCGCGTTACTTAGGTTCATTTCGAATGTTACGCGGTTGTACTCTCTACGCACCTCTATATTCCTATCTAGCTTTGACCTTTTGATCTTAATATATTCTGGGTTGAAAATGCAGTCACGTAGGCTATAGCCGAAACAGAAGAAAAAACTGTCCGGCTATGGTGAATTCGTCCGGGTTCGCGTTGAAACTTTTTGCTTATCTCATTGAGCTATTTGGCTCAGCGGAAAGAGCGCCGGTTTTTGAAGCAGCAAACATGAGCTCTATTCCAGCAAAGAGCAGTGCAATACAGTTGGTTAGCACCCTTGTGGAAACAACTTCTCTTCTGTCAGCTTTTGGCTTATGAAATACGGTATACAAGACCATTGCATATGTTTTTGTTTGGTTTTCATAATATTTTATCACGAATGCATCAATAAATACAACAAAGGTAGTTATTTAGCAAATACATGAAAAACAATTCTGTCCCGTCAACTAAGCTGTCAAATTTTTCAATTAGGGAAATTTATTCGTGGGAAAGACACTATTTTGGGGAATTTTGCTAATTCTTATAACTAACTTCTAAACGGCAACTTCACTGGGCAAAACAAAAATTTAGGCCACGCCCTTTCACTGTCAGAAAACGCCCCTTGTCGTAAAGGTACGGTAACTTTACAGATAGGGTATGCCTATTGTTTCCGTAGAGGCAATTTAAAATATAGAATTACATCGCAAATAATATGTTGCCAAAATATAACCCCTACTCCAACATTTTCTCATCGACTTCAGACGAAATACAAAAATTATCCTACCGAGAGCAGGAAAAAACAGCAGGCACATTTCCATATTTTAATTGTGATTTGCATGATAACAGGGGAAATGTGGATTGCATATTAAATAAGCAAGCAGGAGAAATCAACATGACGTAATTCCTTACACGAACCATGAATGTTTCTGGTGACACGAAAGTGTGATATCAAAACATTTGAAATGCCTTAGCACCTCAAAAAACTTTGTTTATAGTTTATAGAATTCTCTGTTTATAGAATACAGACAATCAAATAAATCAAACAATTCTTTGCAGCTCATTTCAATTAAATTTCAAACACAATTTCTGATAAACTAAAGCGTTTGAATGAAATTTCGCTAAGTGAAATATGAGCGTAAGAACAACGCACATGGAAATTCATGGAAATTTTGAACGGAACATTGACGAACAGAAGAAATTCATGGTTAGAAAAATGAACATCGGGAGTAAAGATTTATGAAAGAACACCAAACGTAATGCTTACAGTGTAGTTATCAAAATTCGATAATAGACAGAAACCTACCTGAAGAATGAACAGATTGCATTTGGAACTCATATGAACAAAAACAAGACGAATGAGGTTCAAGAAAGTGTCATGTATTCAAGGCAAAATCTTTCGGTTATTGACTTTCAGCAAGGTCATTTGCCATAACCATTTGAATTGAACCTAATTTAAGCATTTTCCTTCAGAGAAATCGATGTTTCTTTCAATGAGATGAGCATGTGCGTTGAACAAAGTACGTTTATGCGAAAGGTAAAACTTTGGACGTGTTGTGCGGAGTTTCTATATTGAGGAGCGCATCTGCAGCAGGTGTTGTGCCAAGGAAAATTGCGTTTGTAGGAAGGAATAGTTAAAATTTGACAACAATGTGCTCAAAATCACCAACAGTAGGACTCTTCGTTCAGATTCTGTTGCTGTAATTTTGTGAACAGTCCAAGATATTCATGTTATCAGTGTCCAAAGTAAAATTAAAAAACAAGATGGTCTATTTCATGTCACCACACATGTGGAGTTGATTTAGTCCAATCGCGAGCATAAATGGACGAAAACTATAAACATTTTAAATTATTGAAATCTGTTGCATCTAGAAAAGAAAATTATAATTTAGTTGCTTCATTGAAAGATTCAGCTGCTATCACAAAGCTGTTCTTTTCCTAATTGAGCTCCAATTTATAAAATAATATGGTTTCCCAAGTCTGCAAGATATGCTACGCTCATATCAGATTTTCTTACTATTGACAATCAACAGAGAAGCTGTTTCGTCTCCAAACTCAAGCATTTTCATTCGCATCACAAATTACATATTCTGCTTTAAGACTTACACTGAGCTACAACATATTAAATTTCTAACATTTGTAAATTTTATTTCCTGTTTGATCTGTTTTACTACGATGGTACTAATTTCATTTTATGAAAACAGGCAAGCCAAGGGTATCCTTTTTGTAGAAAGTCACATCGAAACAAATGGCTGATGATAATCATTTCAGCTTTCATATTTTGTTATTGACAATTTTTTTGCATTGTTTGAAAATAGCCAAAGTTGGTCATTGTGGAATAATTTAATTGTCCTTTTGCTTGACTAGTCACTTCAGCAAGAAGGCAACAACACTTTGAGTAAATAAATCTGCATCTAGAATATAGCAAATTGGGTTGTACAGCAGGCCACTAGACCTAGACCTGGCGAATGGGAGCTATGAAATAGATACGCATGCGTGGATATGTTCAATTTTACTAATTCAATAAATTGTGTTAAAATATTTACATGCTACATATTCAAATTAAAAGAAACCAGAATGATAACAAAATGCTTTTATTAGGCTTATCAACTTCGTCCTCTCTTATTTATCCTGGTACGAAATAAATGATAAGTTTTTCTTTTTTGCCAGTTTGCCCCAATACCAGTACCAGTTTGCCAAAAAATTTTAGTAAACAGATATGCCAGAAACAAAACAAACAAAGAAAAGTTGAACGACCTGAGATATAACTGACACTATTAAGCTTGAAGAAATTGCGAATGAAGAGAATCAATTAATTAGGACATCATAATTAGTTAAACGCCTCTTGTAAATGTTTAGAAACGGATAAAATCTTTTGAGGTAAAAAAAGCATTTCCTCAAAAAATCAGGTAGATTCATCCAAACAGCTCCCCCCCCCAAACTCAAAGACTTCGGGATTCCCCTGCATACATGTTTATGATTACATGCTTTGACCTTGCAACCTTTCAGTAAACGATTCAATCGATAGGCATTTTCTCAAGAACAGTGTCAAATGCTTTCTCTAAATCAACAAGTCAAGTTCAAGGAAAAATTTCAGCTTGTAGTATAAGATTAACTATCTACCAATAATCCTAACTGTTTTGTCAAGGTCACACTTTATATATACACTTGAGGCCCACTGTCAACCAACAGAGACGCCCCTATATGATTCGAGGTCTTCATTTTTTTATCAACATCTTCACGAATAGGCAAATTACACGGGGCCTGGCCAATTTCACGAGTTTCCGTGTCAAAAAATAAAAATGCGCAGTTACACCGGGAAGGTAAACAAAACGAAAAAACGAAAAAACGAAACAGGTGGTGTCAATTAGGCAGCCAATTTGTAGAATGCATGCTGACAAATAGAAAGTTGACAACTCCGCCACGTCAGATTAGGCTGAGAGAGACAAAATATAACCATTGGCAATGCTTGAAAGCAATTTTCATGATGGAAGCCATAAGGATATGTGAAACTTTTCTTTGTTATCAGACATTTTATACAATAATGTCCTTGGGAACAGCTTAATGCCTATGCAAATTTCATGGAATTTGAAATTAATTTAAAATAACAGCAGTCACTTCCAGAATCACACAATTGCGCGTTCTTAATTTTTTGACACAGAAAATCGTTAAATTGAGTAAGCGTAATGTTGATGAACAAGAAAAAACTCGGTTGAAAAACGAGGCTTTTTTGTTGGTTGATAATGGGTCATTAAAATTTCATCAACACCAGGGAAGCTAATGCTTCCAAGGTTGATAATAATAAAATTTGCATTTCAAAGCAGATACCACTGTTATTATTGACTTTTGTAAAGTTTTTTAGAGTGTTCGGAAGAAAGGGTTTAGTTTAATTTTATCAAATGATTCCATTCTGTATTTTCAGAAGGTTCTAAAATGATACTTTGGCTTTAATTATTTTGGCATTCGTATTGTCACTGTTAATAACTGTTATATTTTACTTCTCCTATTTCTCCATCTTACTCCTCTTTATCTTCGTAATTTCCCTCTTCTATTGTCTTTATTTCTTCTTATTTTTCTTCTTATTTTTCTTCTTATTTTCTTCTTATTTTTCTTCTTCTTCTTCTTCTCCTCTTCTTCTTCTTCTTCATCTCCATTTTCTTCTTCATCATCTCTATTTTCTTCTTCTTCCTCTTCACTTTATACTTCTTCTTTTTACACTTCTTCTTCCTTTTATCCTTTTCATCTTTCTTTGAATTCTTCTTCTTATTTTCTTCTTCGTTCATTTCTGTCCATTTTACTTCTTACTTCTATTCTCCTTTGTCTTTGCCTCAATTATCTTCCTTTACTTTTTTCTTCTTTATCTTTTTCTTATTCATTGTCATCATAATGAAAATCAGGACTTTATTCTTCCTTGACCCTTCTTTCTCCTTCTTGTTTCTCTCTTTCTCGTCTTTCTCATTTCTTGTGCTTCTTAAGTCCTTTCTTCTACTTAAGTTTTAGTATCAATAAAGGTCGGGTACTCACTTGTGAATGTCAGCAATGGATGTCAGGCAAACGAAGTGAGACGCGAATCAACTGCTTCAAATGGTGTAAAAAAGCTTTTTATTTACGTACATCACACTTCGGTTACTCTTTGTCTCTTCGTTCATTAAGCTTATGTGTCCTAAATGTCTGTTGATTTTGCATATTTGCTTGCTCATAAAACTGAAAAATGATTATCTTATCGTTCGTATTAAGTAACTTGGGCATAACAACACTGAATACTCCAGGCAATTGAAGATTTTATCCTTTATGATGTGCTCGAGACACTTCTTCATGTTTTGCAGCCAAATGCTGTTTGCAAGGAGTATCGAACTAATCAAATCCTTCCAAGTCCTTTTATTTGCTTCTTCAGTAGACTGATACCCCCCCTCTTTATTTTTTTCTCTACCAGGAAATTTACAACGTTATTGCAAAAAATATTCCAGAATGGCAGTGGTAGCATTGTCATCACCTAAAAACACTCTATTCGCTGACTTTTAAAATTATATCATTAGGGACTAGGTGTCGATTGACTACCTTAAAGTCAATTGACCAATACTTAAGTGTCAATCACCTACTGACCAATCAATAAACGTGTTAGTAGTAAAATGCTTGTTGATTGGTCAATTTTGATTGACAGATGGATTTTGCCATCTTAAAATCTGTGGACTGCTTTTAACAACCACTCAAGCAAAAATGACCCCAACACCCCAAAAGCTGGCTGAACAACAAATGCCATCGAATCGGCGGTTGCGTTGACAACTTCAAAATTATTGCTCTAATAATATACTGCACACTTTTGGCAATGTGAACATTTTCCCAATGATTGCGGAATAAGCAAAACTTGCTTGTTAAGAAACAACATGGGAACATTACTAGCATCAAGAGGAAGGCGAAACTGAAGAATCCGGTCAGGATAATCCGGTTAACCTCGTGTCATACACGTCGAGAAGTTTTTTGACTGCATAAACGAATCACAGGTCGCCTAGGGTCAGGGAACGGTCTCCTAAGAATATGCCATCCAGCAAAACATGATACCCATCCGAATTCTTGCAAAATATGATAACTATCCGAATTCTTCATGTCCGGCCACAGTCAATAGAAATGTACTGTCACGAGATCACGGTTCAACCCTCACAGCAAAGAAATGAATTGAAATCAGGTTGGGGGTCAGAAAGGCCTAGGTATCTGGAAGCCAAAAATATCCTTCCTGTGTCAGCTCCGGAATGTAGACTTGGCTAATAAATTACTACATTGGCTAATAATGTACTTTTATATATTACCGAGTTTTATACTAATATTTTATCAGGCCAAGGTAAAGAATCCGGTTCGGATAATACGATTAACCTCGTGTCATATACGTCGAGAAGTTTTTTGACTGCATCAACGAATCATAGGGTCGGGGAACGCTCTCCTAAGAATATGACATCAACCAAAACATGATACCTCTCCGGATTGTTCATGTCCGCCATTTTATCATCCATGTTTATCTGATATAGTATCATAAACCGATAGATTCATGGTGATAAGGAAATAGCTTTTTCTTTGGAATTAGAGATACGCACCCGTGACCGAATTCGGCAAAAGAGGGTCATTGAAAATCCCCCCATTTCAAACGAAAACATCCTCTTATCATGTCTAGAACAACAATAGGCTGAAATGCATGCCTTATGAGAAACCAAACCCCTGTTTTCCATTACTACTTCCCTGCAGCTGTAAACAACTGTTTTCAAAGACAGCCCCTTTTAACGTTCCGATGACATACCAGATAAAGCGAGGCATGCCAGGAAATTAGCCTGAATTAAAAATTATAATCATGTTAATCATAATTGCTTTGGTTTCTGGCCGGCACCTCAACTATAGATATTGTTCGGACAGGAGATCTTGCAATGAGTCTTTAAGCTGATTTGAGACAATTAGAGGTATTATCTCGATCTATCAGGTTATATGTTATATGTCCAACATTGTGTTTAAACGAACCAACATTTCACCCGATGTTGGTGAATGGTGGTTGTTCGTTTAGACGAGGCTTTATTTCTTGAGATGCACATTGCATAAACAGTCACCTATCGTTCCAAAATAAGGGTCGCGCAGTGGAGGTTGAAAAATTTGTGACCTTGCGTCAGAGGTGCATTCTCGCTTAGTGCCGACATTGAAATACTATGGAATGAGTTACCAATAGATCTTGGCTTGTCTGATTGGAATAACTGCATTGTTTTCAAGAAAGAAATAATTTGTTTAAGAATATAAAAGTACACACATACCACTACACGTGGAGACAGGTCCTTCACGTGGACTAAGCTGGCGTTCAGATTCCTTGGTACAACTCTCTGATGACGACGATACACTTGAGTTTGGCTCTTTCTGGGTGGAAACGGGCGTCCTTGATTTCCTTTGCTGTTGTTAAAGAAAAAGCACTAAGAAAAATGACTATCATTCTTTAGGCTAAAACAGCACCAATTCAATGGAATTAAAAAATCTTACTAAAACTTGGCTCCATGAAAATAAATGCACATGTTTCTTTGGCAGAAAATGAACTGCCTGAACAAATCAAATCGAATCGAATCGAATCAAATCAAATCAAATCAAATTAAAACAAAACAAGTCAATACACAACAAAACGAAACAATAGAGCACAAACAATACAATACAATACAATACAATACAATACAATACAATACAATACAATACAATACAATGTTAGTTGACCGCGGTAGACCAAAAACGCCCTAGATAAAATATAAATAGATTTAAATCTAAAATAATCTTCAAAACTTGTAGAATGTTTAAATACAAAATGACATGTGTTTCTGTGTGTAGAACCATCCCAATACAAAGTTGCTAATTGAAAAGGCCCCTAGAGACACCTGCTTGCTTGGCAATCATCCTTTATTGGATAATCTGATCGAATGGAACACTTTTATACTAAAATTTTCTTATGGACAGATCATTTTTTTATTTTTACCAAGTATAGACACTTTAATTTGAAAATTGCACGGAATTGCGCGAAAAAGGGATGTTTGTCTCGATAACATTGACATCAGAGTGTTGACTTGATAAACCGTCGCCATTGCAAGTAAAGTCGCGAACTAATTGGCTGAAGAGGCTTATTCGCACAATGTTATGTGCTTCGTGCGCAATATGAAGTGCGTTGTCACATGTTGTGTTGCTTTGCTAGTTAAGCAATAGCCAAACGAATGAACCATCGGCACAAAACATGATCTAACTTCGTTGAATGAACATGTTTGTTCATTTGATCACGTGCTTTTTATCAGTAACTTTCCATTCGCTTTGCCACCTCATAGCACATTTGCCTGAGGCAAGCGCAGTTAAAATTCGGTAAATAAAACGACATAAATGTATGAAAGTGAACCGCTCAGTCGCGCGACCAGAGCAAATAAAGTGGAAACCCGCCTTTACGCATGTCAGCATTTGATGTTTCCTTGATCTTTTCGCTAGGAATTTAGAATATCAAATATCCAATATCAAAACTTACTTTGGGATCAGTTCAAAAATCATTTTAACATAAAAATCCACGGGACCCTTTTTTATGACAATTGGAAACAGACTTCTAAGAAAATTTTGGCATTTATTCTTGAAAGTTTACGAACATTACCCTACACAGATGTATTTGGTACTTGCAATAAGAATTCTCCAAATTGGTTAAATACTACAATCGTATCTTGTAGAAACTTCAGCTGAATATGCAATGAGTCCTGATACACAAAACAGACAGCAAAAAGTCATAATTCACCTAAATGATTTACCTACCTGTTGATTACCTCGAACTATAGAGGAGAGCAAAACACTTGAATTGCTTGGTGTTAAAATGTCCGGCCTTCTTTTCGTATCTTCGGCATTGGATAGCTTCAGTTTCTTGTACTGCAAGATCTCATTTTGCCTAGAATTGAGATTTTATAATATGAATAAAACTTTACAAAGTGTTCGTAATGGAAGATTGCTTAAAACAGTGGCCTAGCTAGCAGTCACGTCTGTCATGCTGGACATGACCATCCATTTTCAGAGATATTATATTTTAAAAACATTTGTTTTAATTAAAAAAAACTTATAGTCCTTATTAGTTTATATGGTCCCGAAGTTTCTCCATTTCTACGGCCAAAATTCTTTGAAAAGGCACCCTCCGAAGGTGCTCTTCTTTTGTGAGGCATGCCCAAAACATGGGGTTTCCAATTTAGTCATGCCCATAACTATTAGCATGACCAAAACCTATGTTATAGGCATGCCCATAACGCTGCTTCCTTATGATTGGTCATGCCTAACAATAGGAGTAATGCAGGAGAGAACAAAGGCCAGTCATGCCATTTCGAGAGGGCATGACCATTATTATAATCATCAAAACCGTCCTGTGTTATTTCATTAACGAAAACGCAAGTCAGCATTTATCAATGATGGCGGTTGTGGCCAAACTGCATGGAGTATCCACGAGGTGGGAGGTAATCCTCTGCAAGTAAATGCAAGCAAAAGCTTATTGCCAAGCAGCCGCGACTCATGTTAATCTCCAGAAATTTTTAAGACAATGGCAGTATTTTTTAGCCTGAATGGTGGAGAAGTGGAAGGCACGAAAGGCCCTTTTTGAGATGCTTTATGTTGGGACATAAAATCAGTCAATCAGCAAAATTTGGAGATAATTTTCTTGATTTAATGAATGCCCACTGGAGATGAATGGAGAACATATTCAGAAACTGTTAAAACCCTTGTTTGCCAGGTTACGTAAGTTTTCTAATCCAGGTTTCTAGTTTCCTATATTTCATATCAAAATTGATATTGCATATTCATTGGCCCATTTGTTTTACTAATCTCTCAGGTTTGTTGTGTTTGTTAGTTAATCATGATGGCTTTACAATACCTTCAATAAATTGTTAATAAGACTATTTGTAGGAAAAGATGACCAAAAAGCTACCATTCGGTTTCATGTGATTTTTTATTTCATTTAAAAATTTGAGCTTGTCTCTAAACTTTACAACTGAATTTAAGCCTCCAAATTGAAAGAAATTAGGAGAACAACACAATTTTTATCTAAGCTAACTTTATCTACTCTACCGAACTAATGTTTTTGATGTCTTTTCTACAATTTTGTTTGGCAATTGTCAGAACTTTGTCAATAGTTATTACAAACAAACAAAAACAGTGTTATAGACACTAAGGTTTTCCATGGTGTAACAAGATAATTGCTAAGTAATAAGAAAAGCTCATTCCAAAGGTTCATCAGATTTTCTCATTAGTTACAAGTCTTGTTGGGCGTGGCAGAATTAAACCACACCCACATTTTTCAAAATTGGAGGGAGGGCATAACCATTGCTATTTGGCTGGCCACGCCACTGTCTCTAGAAGTAAATTGCTTTGACCCATGTGAAACCTTTAAGTCAATTGCAGAATTTTCAGCTTTTAATAGTGCTGCTCTGTGAGTGGAAGTGAAAGAACAGAGAGCCTTTAAGGCTTGGAATCAAAACACGCTGACAGCTGTGATACAAACTCATTTAATTTTGTATCAAGATAATAGCTCACCAACCTAGATAGCTCGAGGTTCATGAGGATATTTCTCATTCAAACATGTCAACTATTTCTGGTCTGTGATGTATCATAAATTATGAGCTTAAAATTTTTAATTTAAAAAGGAACTCCTCAGTTCAAAGGCTGTGCTTGGCAAAGCTTCAACCCACATATTCAACTTTTCATCAAAAAGGGGAGGGCATGAACACTGTTATTTGGATGGCTCCGCCACCGGTTTTAAATGATGGTTTAAGAGAATCTTGACAACTTGGACAAGAGTGAAGTGCATAAATTTTCAGCAAATACACGTATTTTCTTTATAAGAAACTAAGGTCCGGTGCTGGCAGGCAGTTTCTTAAATTTTGGCTATTATACTATCAAAAGTTTCTTACATGTTTCTTAAATTTCTTAGGTAATGAATTTTTTAAACGTGCTTTCAGGATAAAGTAAATAGTTCACTCACATTCAGAGATAAACTAACAAAGTGATCAAGGGATTTTGCTTTCCTAGAATGGCTAACTCTGTTGAGATCTGTAAACAGTTAAGCTCATTGAACTTCATCAATGTCAAGTTGAAGTCAAGGGAAACTTTTTGAGTGTGCAATTTACTGAGAATGAACGCAAACTGCATGTCGAAATTCCGAGTGTCAACTCGGAAAATTAAAACTGCAAATTATAAAAGTTTCTTAGCTATTTTTGATTTGGGAAGGGTTATTTCTTTACTTTCGAAAAATTGAGCCTACCGTTTCTTATAATCTGTTTTTTACAAAAAAATGAGTGTAGCTAACGTGAAATAAATTGCTTACGTTGCCAGAGATAAATTGGCATTGAAATATTCTGGTTTTGACGTCATTGGGTTGTACGTCACTCTCAGAATGACCTTCATAAGCAGCCATTGGTCACTCTTTGATCGAAATTGGAAGAAGACAAGAATTGAGCCAACATCAACAACAGTTGTCACTGTAACATAGATGTTAGATGATGTCAATCATTTTTTAAAAAAAATTTGCACACTTTTGAGTAAACAATGCTTGATATTTGCAATGAAAATATTCAGGCGACGTTTTGTCCCTGTGCGATATATTCAGAGCTGAAATTGGTTTTATCGTTTACAAAAAAACGTAGATAATCAAAAGGTATTCTACAAAATGCATGTGAACAATATAATCATCGTCGTCATGCCCAGGTGTGTCGACAATATGGCTTATTATACTCTGCGCTTTTATAACTATATCACTTGACTGTTTCTATGGCGTCTAAGTCTTTTAAGACCGTACTGTGTAGGGGGTTGCCGCCAATGAGTCTTCGACAGAAAGGCTAATCACACCGAAAGAGTGGATGTTGCTGCTAAACCAAGATATTCATTCGACAGGGAGCTTACATGCTTCAAAGATGAGGGCTGCATCCCCTGGCACCGACCCTGGCATCGACGCTGGCACCACCCCAGGTACCGTATCAACCTTTAAAAATCATACTTAAGATCACATGACTAAATAGACACAAATTTGTGTTTTCAACCGAAAAGGGCTTTTATCTTACATATAGTTTGCTAAAATCTTTAGGTGGTCGATCTTTGCATTTTATTTATTTCAAAAAATTACATTTTAACTATTGTAAAAAAGATAGGTTTGTAAGACTTACAGCTTGTGTGAGCATTGGTCAGCTCGTCTAAATCAGCTTCATGGACGTAGAAATAGAGTGAAGTGTTCAGCAGCTCGTATGGCAAATAGCCAGTGACTCTTGTGCAGCTGTAGGTTTTTAAAAAAATACAGTGGAACGCACACAAAGGTTAATTTTCATCATTCAAGAAGCTTGGTTGTCAGCTTAACAGTGGGAGATACAGTGTACTTGTGGACGGATTGCAATAAAAATTTAATCATTTACATCCTTTTAATGCTAAAAAGACAAAAAAACTGTGGCATATCTCAGTTTCAATGAGTATGCTTGAAATCTCTCGTACGAGAAACATTTTCATGGATGTTCCGGTCAATATACATAAAAAACTTCAAGCGATGTTAACGGCAAACGGCGTCGCTGTGAAGATATAAAGGGAAGGGGCTTTGCTCCAATGTAAAGAATGCACAAAGACTTTGCTTCTATGGGACGACGTTCGAACGAAATCACAGCCTTGTAGGCAAAATAATTTCCGACTACATTCATTTTTCGGAACGCCCCTTGATTGTTATACCACTTAAAAACATAAATACCGCAAGTTAGTACACAGGCAAACACGACCGTAACCTTTTTGTTCCTAAAATTCTCAAGCAATTGTGTCTTCCCAATAAATCAATCCCTTTGACAGTATTGCATAATGAAATGAATGTTTTGGTAGACTGGCCAAGTGAAAGTGTTTATTCCTTACACATGTAGATACCAGGGTGCATTCCATGTACTTAGGCCCGAAGACCTTCGGCGTACACCCAGGTTTTTTTTCGGCGTTCGGCGTGCAAACCAATAAACAATTTTTTGGCGTACTTAAAATTTTCGTTAGTTGGCATGCTAAACATGAATCAATGTACATAGTTAACGTAAAATAAAGACTGATACACCACAGTTTTCTCTAATAATCAGTTTTCTTTGTGTGGCGCAACTATGTTTACAGTTTTTCTAACTGCTTTTATATTTTCGGCGTACCTAAACAAATGCCCCGGTGGACCTTTTGTGTACAGTTGACATGGAATGCGCCCTGGTGTAGATAACACCTTCCGTAGATTTGTTGAAGGATTGACACATTGACCAACGCTATTGACACAAACAAGGAAAAATGCTTATATGAAAATTTGCTTCAAAAGTTTAACTCGAGGTACAGTGAACATCGGTAGTCGATCCTATAATGCTTTGCAAGCTTTCTTCTGATAAGAAATCAAAATGGCCACATTAAGCTTTAATTCTGACCAGGTGCAATTCAAAATTTCAAATAGATGCAAGGATTTTAGGGTCAAAAAATACACTCATTCTTTATAAGAAACAAATTTTTTCCTAAGAGTTTCTCAATTGTGATGTCATGAATGATGTTATAAAATGTTCGTGACCTTTTCTATCACATCAAAAGATTCGCTATAAGATAAGCGCCGTTTTGTAGAATGCATGCCAACGAATAGAAAGATGCTAACTCAGCCACATCAGATTCGACTGGGAGAGACAACATATTTTGCAATTTGCAAAGTTTGAAAACAATTTGCACGATGAAAGCTATGGGGATATGTGAAACTGGTTTTTGTTATCGGACATTCCATACAATCATGTCCTTGGATACAGCTTAAGGTTACGGTAAACGTTTTGAACACGAAAATTGGTTTTTTCCTTCCTAAAGGCCAAACGGCTCAAGGAATCTGGATATATCATTCGATGCACAAGATTATTGCGTATCTAGCCAGATAGAAATTATTGGCAAATAATGTTAAATGTTATTTTCCATGCGAATTTACTGGTCAAAAAGTGTACCACCTTCAAAAGCTATGATGTACCCTTGCGTTTGTGGTAACAAAATCTGACTTAGACCAGCAGGAAGTGCAGGTCCTAAGCTACCAAAACGTGTCTCAGATTTTTTAAATTCCTCCTCTTCTTGAAAATATACCCTGTCAAAAATTGGCAAATAATTTTTCCACCCTTCCGCAGCTTTATTTGGGTATAAAAGACGGACCAGAGAAAATAAAAAAATTTTGAGACAAACTTTGTTTGCCCAACGTCTGCCCTGGCTTTGTGCAAATTTTCGAGCCATTCGGTTGGTTCCTTGGGTACATAATAGCTTTAGGAATTTCGAGTCCGGAGAAAACGGGATTTTACTGATCGCACTTGCAAGATACACTCGTAAACCACAGTGTAATCCGGGTCAAGTCACTTGAAGATTTAAAGATCAATAAGCCTGTTTAAATAAACACGGCCGTACATTGGAAATATGGATGTGCCATGCGATATTGTAAATTAGACATGCGACCACAACCGCAAAGCAACGATAATCGGCTTAACAGGTCAAGAGATTTTCAGGCCTCAACTAAAAATTTTGATAAAGAAATTATGGAAACCTTCGTTTACATGGGATTTTTTCCACTTTCAAAATTTCTGTTTGTTTCAAATTTGGTATCATTGTGTGCCTTGCAAGTTCGGCTACTTGAATGTGAAAAAATCGAAAAAATGATGTTTTCATCCAGAAAACGTTTACCATAACCTTAATGCCTATGCTAATTGTATGGAATTTGAAATTAATTTGTGAATGCCAGCACTTCAAGAATCCCACAACTGCACATTCTTTATTTTCTTACACAGAAAATCGAGAAATTGAGCAGGCGCAATATTGATAAACAAGGGAAAACCCTGTAAAATATAGAGGCTTCTTGTTGGTTCATGTTCTTAGATTTTACAAAATTTCGTTTTTCTCTGTTTTATCACGTTTTAATAGTTTCTCAATTTTTTTGCTTCGAGTAATGAAGTTTTTTAATTTTTCTGACTGTCCAGTATTCGTTTCTTATAGCCAGTTTCGTATAAAAAAATGGGTTTATGCATGGAACGAGGATCCCCTCTCCTTACATTCAAATACAAAGAACGAGGATCCCCTCTCCTTCCCAACCTTTCTCATCGGATTCAGACGAGAAAAGGGGAAACGTTTCCCCATCAGAGTCTAGGGGTAACAATCGGTAAAAATTTCTTAAAAAAATAGACAATTAGCAATCAAAACTTTCTTCGTCATCCTTATACCTTAAAGAAGTTGACAACATTTTCAGAAAATTAAAAACGTCAAAATCCGGTTAGAATAACGAAATTCATTTTTCTATACACATGGCAAATTAAACTTAACATGAATAAACTAAATGCCTTGTTTTACTTGCTGCATTTTGCACAAGTTTCACTTGAATGGACCCAGAATTTTCACATTTAAGGTCATATGCACGTTTGGGTCAACATTCTCATTGAACCATGTGCAAACTAGCAATAGCAGCGCCACAGAAGAGGGAGGGGTTGGGGAAACCCCCTCTTCGGAAGGAACGATCTAAGAATTCGTCTAAATTCGATCAAAGACTGACTTGGTTAAATTAGGGATCCCTGTTGGTAAAAGGGCCTTTCCTGACAGTACAAAGGGCGTTGCCTAGATATCGAAATTCCCCCCCCCCCCAACTCCCACAAGCTGGGGTCACCACTGAAAAACGAGAAATCCACAGGATAATAAATGCATATGTTGATAATGGTGCGTACCTTGAGTCGACGAACAAAAATTTTCCATCCATTCCATGCCGAGATGAAAAGGTCAGAGGTCTGGGATAGGATAACTCCCTTAAATTGTCGTGGTCCTTTGACATAGCTAGTAACACCAGGAGATTCTCGGTTTGCTCACGATCGTGTTCTAGGCAAATAAAATGGAATCACGTTAGCGATGTAAATATTATACATGATTATCAAAGTAAAAATAGAACAGCAATACAACATTTGTAAGGGATGGCCTTTTGTTACTCAGAGCATTTTTCCACGAGTTCAGTTATTGCTTCTTTCTAAATATCTCATTGAAGTCCATACGCAAGTGAACTTACAGCGCCCGATTTTTTTAAGCCACCTCTCTTTAAACATCCCAGCTTATGTTACTGATCACACTAATCAACCACCAGATTATGTGGTAATATTTGCTTTAGTGGTCCAGTTTAAATGCTTTGTATTAAACTTTTCCTAAGCAAATGCGAATCAGGTTTATAAGCTTCTCGAAAAGCCCATTAAAGCCAGGCCTACCAGTAAATTTTCTATCAATCCAAAAGCCTTTACAGCATATCTCTCTGCAGCTGTTGCCATCTAAGTCGCCAGGAACAAGTCGAAATGAGCACTGCACAGACTGTTTTGTCCGTTGTTGAGATTTTTGCTCTGCTGAATTCACTAAAAACCAAGCAAAATGGACACATCAAGTAAGGATACGAAATTTTTAATCTTTTCATTATAGAACAGTGAAACATTTGGAAGCCTTAATTAATTTCAAGAACCAGCTGTCTCACTATAATCTGACACATTTGCCAAAGTCTCACTGATGGATACCTACATTTAAGTGGTGTTACGGGCGGACATGAAGAATCTGGTGGAGAGGAATTCTGTGAAAGCTGAAAGGGGGCTTGAGCTCCTTAAGAAAGTTGAACAACATCCTTCCGCAAAGGAAACTTGATCAAGTTTACAAAGCTCTCTTTGAAAGCCATCTTCGCTATGGCAACATTGTTTGGAGTGCTCTCTCCAACACCAAAATATCCCAACTGCAACGTTTACAGACAAGGGCAAAGAGGCTAATAGCGAATGCCAAGTAAAAGACCAAGGCGTCATTACATATAGAATCTTGCATGGCCTCTTCGCCATAAATTCACTGAAAGATCCATGAATTCAGAGTATAGAACCAGAAACCGTGGAGACCTGCAAATTCCCAAAGTTAGGTTAAAGTATGCAAAGCGAGGTTTCTTTTTCTCTGGTGTCAAAAACTGGAATTATATCCCTAACAACATTCGAGAAAAAGAATCCATTGCTCGTTTTAAAACAGGTTCAGAGAGTATCTTTCGAACCTCCCACAGGACCCAAACACGATCCCTTGGTAGCGCAGCAATTCGCATTATTTTATTTTATTTATTTTTACTTTTATTTATTCTTTTTTCTCTCTTATTATTGTTAAACAAATATTGTAAATAGTTCTTTTTTTGCTGAAAGTTATCTCGTGTAAAATAAATATTGATATATTGATAATAACGTTTGCTAGATGTCATATTTTTAGGAGAGCGTTCCCTGACCCTGTGATTCCTTGCTGCAGTCAAAAAACTCCTGGTCGTGTATGTCACGAGGTTAATCGGATTATCCGAACAGGATTGTTCACCTTCGCCGGGTTATGTTAGTATAGAAAAAAATCAGTGAGTTAGAGCCTCATAAAAAACTGACGTACTATATACATTTTCCCTTGTAGCTTTTTATTTTCCCTTATTCGATGCATACGCATAAAGTAAAGTAAAGTAAAGTAAAGTAACGTCAGTTTAGTATGTACGGGTGAATGGCATTTCATCTCAAGCCATGAATATTGTCTAGACAGTGATGAATATATGTTCAGCAACTTCACAAGACTCTGAAGTAGTTTTAAACCAATGACTAATAGCAGGAAACGATGCAGCAACACGGCGAGACAATTTAGAAGCAAATATCACCATTTAAGCAAAAACCGGCATATTTTGAACGGGAAAAACACGTCATCCACACGAGTTGATGATGCGTATCAGTGAGAATTTGCAAAATCAAACAGATTCAAGACTTTCGAGCAGGTAGTTACTTGTTTCATATAAAAATCAATGAAGCCAAATTCGTACAAAATGACAGCAATAAACTGATGTTGAAAAACATCATATTTTGAAAAAATCGTTAAACTATTTCTCACCAAAATCGGAGACATTCAACTGCTTAATGCCAGTTGCAACTCCTTCAGGTACAAGTTTCCTCATCTTGTTTAAAACATTGCACAAATCTTCAGAGTGAACCAACTTTTCTATTGACTGACCAACCAATTTATCCTTTAAAACAATGTAAGTAAGAATGGTTAATAACTACTTCCTGGGTTATTTTTTGCTTGGTTTCCAGGTACCTATGCTTTCCTGGCCCAAACCCGATTTCCATGTTTTTCTTTCTGTTGCGAGTTCTGAGCAGTGGGTACAAACCGGTTCGTGTCTGTCCACACTGGCGAACCGGCTATTTTAAAAGCCTTCCGCTGTATTACTGGGTTTTTTCTTAATTTTCACGCTTGTAAGGCAACTTACGAAAGGGAGCACTAAAAGGGAGTAAATAACAAAGCATTGACATGAGGCGGTGTTACAAAGTTTTATTAAAAGCAATCAACCCTCACTTGAAAAAAAGAAGATTTAGAAAGGCCCACTTTTCAAATGCTGTAATACATGGAAATATTTTCATATCAACCAAAAAGGAAAATTAATATGAATTCATTTCGACTGCTATCTCAATTGCAACGCAAAAAACCACCGGGAAGTACCTCGAAAATTTACAACAGATCGATTAGGAAGGACCGTTTCATAAAAAGTATTTTAAAACAAGATATTTGGTAAACAAAGACCCCCCTTCTATAGCATTGAGCGAAACAAATTGAGCAAACATTAACGCTGAGGAAGAAACACGACCATAGAATTAAATGCAAAAGCTATAAGTTCACTGGACATAATTTCCTGCTGCTATAGAGTGGAATCTAGCTGGCATTGACCGAAAAGTGGATGAAGGGTGTAGGCAACCTATCAACTTGAATGCGAAAAGGGCTATGGGTGAACAAACTATTGCATTGAAATTATAGTTTTCTATTGGAATCCTGATTGACATTCTCTGTTCTATTAGGAGAGAAAACTGTCAAGAAGGCAAACTGGCTAAGGTCATTACACTTTGACAAAGATTACAAGATCCTCGCTTACCCCACCCCTCTCTTCAGGCCACCAAAGATTGCGATCATATGTTGAATAGCCATAAAAGAGACTCATTTTCTGGGTTCTAACTGGCAACAGAGCAGAATATAAACAGATACTCACAGGCTCTAATCCAAAAACGGTATTGACATGCTCAGCAACATATTTTATCAAGCCACATTCGTCAATAACCAAGACAAGACCTTCATAAGCCTACAAAATCAAGCGATACTTTAAATCAAAAATCTTTACTCTTTCAAAATACATTAAATAACGCAGTCAGCTTTGTCCTTAAAAACAAGAAGCTCTGTTACTTCAACAAGATCATATTTATAACCTAAACCATTTTAAGAAGAACTTCTCATCTGGATCAAGTCATGTCCCTCTTATTAGTTTACCTTTATTCTATATATATTTATATCCTTTATTATTATATCCTTGAACTTGAAACAAATTTTCCTCAGAGCAATAATTTTCTACAGTCTTCCTGAGCGGATTGGTTCTACAAACATTTTCTTCTTGTGATCTTCTAAACATCCATGCTTATCGACTTCGCACCACACCATTTACGTGATTATCAAGAAAAATTCCACAAATTTCAACGCAGTTGAATCATGTACGAAAGCAAAGAGAATCGTTAAAGCTGGTTGCTGAGGAAATTTAAGTCAAGGATGATGAATTTGAGCGGATTTTTTAAGACGGGATTATGAAGATGACGAAAATTGAAATCTTGCTGAAATAACCAGGTGTCGGCATAGATCAGTGGCTTCGAAAGGGAGATCGTAATAGAATTAGGCTTGAAAAGGTTAACATTTACTCACAAATAGTATATAAAAAAAGTTTGTATAGATGTTTTTCATGGATTTTTATTATCATTTTTTAGGGCTGTTGCCACAGTGGTAGCCCCACCTTAGGGACAGAAATTGGTTGTGCAAAGAGATTGAATTTTCTGTGATTTTTACTTGACTGGACATCTCTGTTCTATTTTTTACCATTTGAGTCCACCTACTTGCCACTTGTGACTGGCAACATTCTAAGGAACTTTCATTAAACACAAAACCAATTTTGGATAAATGGTCACTTGGTGCAAAAAATGTATTTTCAAAAAGGCTTCAAAAAAAGTATGTCTATAAAATTTTCTTTGTCTTGAAAAATATACCATATCTTATTACACTTATAGTATGAGCTTTTGATAGTATCAAGATAAAATAAGGAACTATTTTATCTTGGTAGTATATATACATTTCTATTTGGGATAAAAAACGAACTATTTATGTATATTTCAAATAACTCATTTCAATTTATAGACAAAAGCCCCTTAAATTCAAGACTATTTTCACAGTCTTAAGTTTGTTAACATTTTGAGCACTCGGATATTTTAAAATTGGCCTAGATGCACTAAGGAAAAGTCACAAGATGTTTCTCAACATTTCATTGTAGTGCATTATGGGCCATTCAAGGATGAGAGATATAAAGCCACTAACTACATAATATAGTATTACTTGGAAGTGGCATTCAGTTAAAAAGATTTGTTCCTTGCCTCCATCATTAACTCTCCAAGCTCATCAGCTGATAAGAAGGAAGAGCCTTTCAGTCCTCCTTTGTTGCTACCATCTAGGGAACCTAAAAATTAAGTAAATTACATACGTAAATATCACTGCAGAAAATGTTCATGTTCCTAGGATTTAGAAACAACATTTTTTATACAAACCCTCTTGACATTTCAAAAGCCCGAACTACCAAAACTATTAGATCATTAAGTTTTTAAGGCCTAAAATCTGGAATTCATTTCCAGAATCAATAAAAATAGCACAAAATACTACACCGTTCAAGAATTTGATAAAGACTTGGTTCCTCAAAAACAAGTGCGCATGTTCCTTTTAATTAATCTCTGTCTTATGCAATCCTTGACAATGCTCTAGATGTTAAACTAAAGTGTATGTTCACTTATATTATGCTCTAGATGTTAGACTAAAGTGTTTGTTAAAACTAATATTAAATAATCTATACAATTACGATCTATACAATAACAATTACAAAAATATTTGATTAAAATCAGAAACACAGAATGCAGTATTCTGTTTATAACAGCTTGCTACCAAATTGCAAGGCTTTTATCTTTGTTTAATATGCCACCCAGTGACGTTTAAATATTGTACTACAAAATAATTGAAATTTTGACCACTTTGTGTGCCTGGTCAATTCTTCATGATACAATATTTGGTAAGCCCTAATCTCACAGACACATAAAGTGTCTGTATATTTCTGTCATAGTATCACTTCTTTGTAAAATCATTTTACATCAATCAAGTCAATTGTCTATTATCTTAACAATTGTTACATTTTCAACCAGTTTCTTCAAAATTGCAGTGGTAGTGGCTTCTTGATTACACTTTTGCTTGTTTCAGAACTCAGTTTGTTTTTTGTTCTCCATTGTTTTAAGTTTTCTTAAGAGTTTCAATGTTTTTTCTGTAATTGGCTGTCACACTATTTTTGTATAGAAACTAAAAAGTTTTACCCTGCAATGCTATAAACAAAAGAATCTTTCTGCTCAAATAAACAGTTTTAATTTAACTAGAGCATGTAATGTTGGCACTCCTAATAAGAAAAAACATCGTGTAAATATTACTCACTGTTATACTCCTTTAGATAATCCACCCCTTGCTTCAGAATAGATGACTTGTCCATTCTGTGCAGATCTTCAGATGGCAAAAGTGCAGCTAACTGATTGATGTACATATTGAGCTTGTCACGCCGCCTTTTCTCTGTGATATTTCTAGCCTTTTGTGATCTACAGAAATAAGATATTTCAGCAGTGCTGGTAGGCATTGAGATCAAAACAATGCTATACAATATTCATAAGCGGTTTCCCTGGCTCTAGATACCTGGGGCCTGGAAGTGTTGTTGCCCCTAATGATAAAATTCAAAGGCCCTTATCTTCAAAAAACATTTACAATAATTTGGGAACAGTGCAATTACGTTGGCATGAGTTACAAGAATCTGTCATGACTGCATTTGCTATTTCCTGCTGATCCAAATTAAATTAAATAAAATCAAACAAACATTGTAAGTAGATACAGCTAAAGAGTAGGACATTGCAACAAAAACATAACTAGAAAAGTTTCTTAATTTTCACATAATGCCGATAAAATAGATCTCAAACTCTATAAGAGAAAAACACAATATATAGTTGATCCTCTTGTATCCTAGAAATGGGCTGAAGTTTATTTTTACATGGTATTTCTCACATAAAGCCTTAGCAAAATTACCATACCTTCACTAACATAAAAAGCTACAAATTATGGCAAAGAACTACAAAGAAAAATAATTTTCACTGCATTGTTTCTCTGTTTACTGAGTGGACAGAAAAGTGCCTTAGGAGCTTTCACCAAGGGGAATTACAGACTTCAAATCAATAGCCTTCACAATACCTCAAACAGGTAGTCAACATGAAGTATTTATTGCCATCCATGGAAATTTTCCTTGAAGAACACACTTGGAGCTGCTTTCAATTATTTTTAGCTTTCCATGCACTTGAAAACAGTAACTATTTACTCATTAGCCAAGTAGATGGCCAGGCTGCTAGGTCTTTAGGGGCTCGTTGCTAACAATGAGCCTTTGCCAGCATGACAAATTGTCCAGGCAACAATTAAAACAATGGTAGGAAACTTTTATGGATTAACCAAAATTGATTTCAGACTGTCTAAAAATGCATTATGGGATAGATGTGTATCTCAATGGCTCATTGCTAACAATGAGCCTTTGCCAGCATGACAAATTGTCCAGGCAACAATTAAAACAATGGCAGGAAACTTTTATGGATTAACCAAAATTGATTTCAGACTGTCTAAAAATGCATTATGGGATAAATGTGTATCTCAATGGCTCATTGTTAGCAACAAGTCTTTAAGTGACCACCTGTGAAAATTTTACCAGGGAAGCATGCTACAGGTTTTTGCTTATCAACCCATAAACTGACATTTCCCTCAAATTTGAGTAAGCCCCATGGTCAACTGATACATCATGATGCAGGTATAAATAACATCCTCATGTTATAACAAGAGTCTAATTAACTTTACCAATGTATTTCCTGCAAGCACAACTTTAGTATGCATAGAACGGTTTGTTTTAAACATGTATATTATCTCTGAATAAATGGTTAATTATTCCATGTTGTAGCTAGCTAATAATTCTCTTTTGGGTTCACATTTAACATAGAAATGTGACAATTCCCCAGATATGAAATACTAGGGCAGTTGGAATTAATTATTTCCTTCTGGTGACCTGGCATCAATGAAAAATAATAATGTGTAGGCATAAAGGTTGGTGGGTTTTTCCACCTGTTTTGGGGCAATAGCACATTTTATAAAGAACTATTTTTGGCAAAAAGGATGATTAATAGTTTCTATTATGTGTTGTATAATACAACTTTTTGGTGTAAACATTGAGATGTAGAACCTTTGATGCAGCTTCATAATTTACTGGCCATTATCCAGCATAAAGTTTACATGGATTCCACCCTGGCATATTTCAGGAAGGTATTTAGCAAGGCAATTAAATCAACACAGGTTAAATAGCAAAACAACAGCTTTTTAAGTTCTGTTTCTGATGTGTTTTCATTTCTTGTGCTGTAAGGCCCCATTTTTTATACCAATAATCCAATTAAATTAAAATTGCCTATCTTTTTGCACTACCATAAAATTCCAGTTTTCACACAAAAATTTCCCCTTAATTTTACATGGTGCAACCATTCTTTGACAGGTGGTACATTGACAATCTAACCAATAAGTCTTCCAAGCCCAAAATAACTTTGCATGGATGCATTCAATTACTGGTCTGATTAATAAAAACAATAGCAAACATCTTGGCCCAGGGCGCATTCCATGTCAACTGTACACAAAAGGTCCACCGGGGCATTTGTTTAGGTACGCCGAAAATATAAAAGCAGTTAGTAAAACTGTAAACATAGTTGCGCCACACAAAGAAAACTGATTATTAGAGAAAACTGTGGTGTATCAGTCTTTATTTTACGTTAACTATGTACATTGATTCATGTTTAGCATGCCAACCAACGAAAATTTTAAGTACGCCAAAAAATTGTTTATTGGTTTGCACGCCGAACGCCGAAAAAAAAACCTGGGTGTACGCCGAAGGTCTTCGGGCCTAAGTACATGGAATGCAACGGTATATATTTTTCTTTGGGGTATTATATCGAAATTGCATGAGCATTTTTGTATTGAGAAAGAACAAAAACACATTTAAAAAAACAAGAGTTAACATAACGATCTTATCACCGGGGCTTCAAATCCAACAGATTTCTGAGCAATACCTGTCATTTCAGGTTGCATAAGTTATACTTGATGCAAAATAAATAACAGTTATTCAACCTACCTCAGTCATTGGGTGCAAAATTTTAATTGTTTAGGTTTTAATAACCCATTAATTGTCGCGTGACACAATTTGCAGAGCAGAAAGACTGTTAGAGGATTTCCATTCTATGACGACAATCCAAAACACAAATTTGCAAAATCTGAGCACCGTTTCAGCCCAGAATTGAATGCAGGGAGAATGCAGCATTTAGTTTGCTCGTCAGATAAGAACAATTTGAAACCAGCTTTGTCGCTGCGATAAAATAATCAACACAGAGTTGAACAGTTGCAAAAAACGTGGAGGCAAACGTTGGATGGCGAATCCTTAAATAACGCTTACCTCGCTCTCAAATCTGCCAGTGAATCCATGCTGGTCGTGCTGCTATAGCTGGCTTCATCTCCAGAGTCATTTTCATTACCAATTGCCTCTTGCCTGCTGTTTCCATATTGACGTTGGTTGCTTCCTGATTCTTCGTTCTCCGCCGAACATTCGTTAATAGTCGCCATGTTAGAGTGCAACATGGCGGCATTTGAATGTACCCGATAACTCTTAGAATGCAAAATGTGGTTGCAATCTTTTCCCTTTTCCAGTATTGTGAACAATTATTCTGCATTGGAACATTATCTCTTCATAGCTCCCCTACGAAGCCCGCTACGCGGGCTTGCCAGTGGCCCTACGGTTGAATATTAAGATTAGCCTTGGAAAGACAAGAGTGGCCCTACAGTTGAATATTGAGATTAGCCTTGGAAAGACAAGAGTGCCATAAACCTCGATTCCAAAATGAGAAGAGGTCACGTGATAAAAAAATTGCTTGCACTCCTGTGCGAATTAAATTCACACTTTTGTGACTATCGCTAGGAAGGGGGGAGCCTTAAAAGAAAGATGGGGTTGAGGCTCCCCCCTTCCTAGCGATAGTCACAAAAGTGTGAATTTAATTCGCACAGGAGTGCAAGCAATTTTTTTATCACGTGACCTCTTCTCATTTTGGAATCGAGGTTTATGGCACTCTTGTCTTTCCAAGGCTAATCTCAATATTCAACTGTAGGGCCACTCTTGTCTTTCCAAGGCTAATCTTAATATTCAACCGTAGGGCCACTGGCAAGCCCGCGTAGCGGGCTTCGTAGGGGAGCTAGTCTTCTGTTAATCGAAATGTGCATACTTTCAATTTGATACATTACATTTGTCATGTAGAGGCAGGGTTGAAAGTTGTTTAAAAACATTTTGCAAGCCCCGGTCTATTCGTGGTCCTCGTTTAAATATTTTCACGTGTTACCCTCTTCATTTCTCCTGTTTATTCTAATTGCAATGTTTTTAAGTGTCCATCTTTTTTTATCTCTTGACGAATCGTTGAAATACTTTGCAGGCTTATCTAAAAGCTCTGCTTATTATTCTGAATTCTACTTTAAAGCTTGACAACAACATGCTTCTGCCTGCCCCCACCAATTATTAATCCTCGTTGACACAATTTCATGGGTTATTCCTAAAAGTTCTCCTATTTAGTCAGAATCAAATTTTAAAGTTCTCCAACAAATTTTAAAATTTTCTAGTCGTACACTCTTAGCCCTTGTCGACTTAAAGGGGCTTTTTTTAAATATTTTCTAAGGTCATTCTTAGAGCTGTAATGTTCATTTTAAAGCACTTCGTTCAATCTTTGTTCACTTGTGATGCTGTTTTAAGACATAATTGCGGGCCACCCTCAAAGCTCCCTGTTTATTCTGAATCAAATATTAAAATTTTCCAACACAATATTCCTGTTAGCCGTTATTGGTCCATGGTGCTCGTTTAGACAAACATCATCTGAAAATTTCTTAAGAATAAAAATTCCTAAAAAAGTATGTTGATTCATAAAAAATTTTAACGATTTCTCATCTAAACTCCAAAAATTAAAATAATTACACAGTTATTTCATTTGAGGGCCTGGTATCATATCTTCGTCACAATTAGCTTTTAAAACACTACAGCAACAAAGCACTTAAGAAATTGAAAGATAGAAAACAGCAAAAGTTTCGTGCATCAGAAAGGATTCTTACTCAAACAACAAATTAACAAAATACAATTCATGGACAACTGCTAATCTTCACAGATTTAGTAATTTTCTCCACAGTCATGGTTTTTTCTTGTTTCTTTGTTCGATTTAACGCCAGCATAAATGCCATAAATTTCCTTTCGAAGGTCCAAGAATCACGTCTGCGTCATAATTATTGCTTGAAACGGTCTTTGGTCTAGATGAAGAACAAAAAAATAATGAAGATGTTATTCCATGGTTAATGAAAGCACGTTCTAAGGAAATCGATGGTCATAATGCTTTGTAGAATTTCAGAAAAAACGTTCGCCCCGAGAGCTTAGCCACCCCTTTAGCGACTGGTTTTTAGTATAATTTCATCAAATTAAGCATAAAATCATTTGAAATTGTTCTTGTTAAGCGAGCAATATAGCAAATCCATTTTCCTTTAAGGACAAAACTACGAAGAGGTAAAACATTAAGAGAAACACGTTCGTGGCGGGACTCCTTTTAGCAACCGGTTTTTAGTGTGATTTCGCCCAAATAAGCATAAAGTCATTTGAAATGGTTTCTAGAATGATTCACTTACAATTGCGAAAATGCTGTCAAAGATATAAATAATTCTAACTTGAGAGGCAGGCAAATCCTATTTGTCTCGGTGGGAAAATCTTTTAATCGAAAAATTACTCACTTGTTGTACCAAAAAGTCAGCGAATCCGATCGTTCATCTACAAAAAAGGAAGGAAGGCGGTTAGGAAAAGTTGCTGCAAAGGATTCTCGTTAGGCATAAAAAGTTGGGGGCTGGCATCACATAATTCGCATTACAACGGGTTTCCTATGAAAATCAAATTTCCTTGCATCAAGAATAAAACAGCAGTTGATTGCAATAAAGCCAATCCAGTTTCCTTTTAGCACAAAACCACGAGAAGAAGTAAAAATTTTTCGTTCGCGGCGGGGGTCTAGCGGCCGGTTTTAGTGAAATTTCCACGAAATGAGCACGAAACCATTTGAAATAAGGAATATCGAAAACACGTAAGAACAACAACGCTTACCTGTATTCGGTTGCCATCGATTCTGATGCCAGCGAAGAAGGGGAACAGCCAGCAGCCATCGCAGAACCAAAAAAACGGGCAGCAGCGTGTGTACCGTACGTACGTAGCTATTAAAACGAAAAGGAAGATTGTCAAAAGCACGAATTACATGGCTCTTGCAAACGAAATAAGAAACGGGGTTCAATCATCGATCAATAAAAAACCAGTTGATAAAAAAAGCCAAGAAGACTCACCTGAGATCGAGAGCAGCTACTAATGACTGAAGCCCCAAGCTGTAGCACAGACCACGACCGTTGAGGATCGCTTCGAGTTCGAAAAGGAATGCCAAGCAGCAGTGCACGTAGATTTGTTATTAGCTATCCTCTCCTCTAACAACGAAAAATCCAATGGATCCTTTGTGGAAAGCGAAACGAATTTGAAAAGGCTCCGTTCAAATTGAAGGGTTGCTGGAGGAAAAAGTTTTGAAATCTTTTGTAGAGAGCAAGAGAAAAGAGAGAGAAAGGACCTTCAGAAACGCGGGACAAAGACCACGAAGAGCACTAACGGTGATCGAGACGATGCCTCAGAAAACGCCAAATATCTCGAGAAACAAGGCAGGAAAAAAAACGTTATATCTTTACGATAGCAAATCAATTATCTAGCTTCGATTTGAGACCTTGCCGGGGAAAATCCGCTCTGCCCTTCGGGGAGATAAAGGGGTTGAGCCGCCGGGCGGTGTGGCAATCTTTTGCAGAGAGTAAGAGAAAAGAGAGAGAAAGAACCTTTAGAAACACGGGACAAAGACCACGGAGAGCACTAACGGTGATCGAGACGATGCCTCAGAAAACGCCAAATATCTCGAGAAAAAAGGCAGCAAAAAAAACGTTATACCTTTACGATAGCAAATCAATTATCTAGCTTCGATTTGAGACCTTGCCGGGGAAAATCCGCTCTGCCCTTCGGGGAGATAAAGGGGTTGAACCGCCGGGCGGTGTGGCAATCTTTTGCAGAGAGTAAGAGAAAAGAGAGAGAAAGAACCTTTAGAAACACGGGACAAAGACCACGAAGAGCACTAACGGTGATCGAGACGATGCCTCAGAAAACGCCAAATATCTCGAGAAACAAGGCAGGAGAAAAAACGTTATATCTTTACGATAGCAAATCAATTATCTAGCTTCGATTTGAGACCTTGCCGGGGAAAATCCGCTCTGCCCTTCGGGGAGATAAAGGGGTTGAGCCGCCGGGCGGTGTGGCAATCTTTTGCAGAGAGTAAGAGAAAAGAGAGAGAAAGAACCTTTAGAAACACGGGACAAAGACCACGGAGAGCACTAACGGTGATCGAGACGATGCCTCAGAAAACGCCAAATATCTCGAGAAAAAAGGCAGCAAAAAAAACGTTATACCTTTACGATAGCAAATCAATTATCTAGCTTCGATTTGAGACCTTGCCGGGGAAAATCCGCTCTGCCCTTCGGGGAGATAAAGGGGTTGAACCGCCGGGCGGTGTGGCAATCTTTTGCAGAGAGTAAGAGAAAAGAGAGAGAAAGAACCTTTAGAAACACGGGACAAAGACCACGGAGAGCACTAACGGTGATCGAGACGATGCTTCAGAAAACGCCAAATATCTCGAGAAAAAAGGCAGGAAAAAAAACATTATACCTTTATGATAGCAAATCAATTATCTAGCTTCGATTTGAGACCTTGCCGGGGAAGATCCGCTCTGCCCTTCGGGGAGAAAAAGGGGTTGAACCGCCGTGCGGTGTGGATCTTTTGTTCGGGGCTCATTTGCATATTGGCATATTAGTATTAGTAGAGGTTCTTGCAAGCCCCTATACCCGAAACTTTTTTCCACTCTTGGAGAGCCCGCCAAAGCGGGCTCTGGGTGGACCGCCGCCCGCGGCACGCCGAGCCAGTGGACCGCCGGCCCGCGGCACGCTGAGCCAGTGGACCGCCGCCCGCGGCACGCCCACCCAGTGGACCGCTGGCCCCCGACACGCCAAGCCCGTGACCCGCAAACCCCCCCAAGCCGAGAAGCAAATTAGCAAAGAACCAACTAACGCAATGCCCAACACACAAAACCCCCCTCACACAAAACCCCAACACACACGGCTTCGCCCCCCGCAGAGGCGTGCCCCCCGCAAAGGCGTGACTCCGCACAAAAGAGGCTCCCGCCAAAGAGAGGCTGTGGCGTGCTCCCACGCAGAGGCTGCGACAACCACGCCCTCTGCCATCACAAAATTTTTCCTCAAAAAAATGTGCAAAAAACACTCGCACTCCTGCAGAATTCAGCGCAAAAATCACTCGCGCTCCTACGCGATTTTTACTCGCACTCCTGTCACAGGCGCTAGAGGGCGGGGACCTTTTCTTTCCCCTCTCATCCCCGCCCTCTAGCGCCTGTGACAGGAGTGCGAGTAAAAATCGCGTAGGAGCGCGAGTGATTTTTGCGCTGAATTCTGCAGGAGTGCGAGTGTTTTTTGCACATTTTTTTGAGGAAAAATTTTGTGATGGCAGAGGGCGTGGTTGTCGCAGCCTCTGCGGGGGAGCACGCCACAGCCTCTTTTTGGCGGGAGCCTCTTTTGTGCGGGAGTCACGCCTTT